CTCGGCGTCAAGCCATCTATACGCTATTATGATATCGTCAGGGATCTCTATCTCTCCCGACACAGGGTGTGGTTCAAACGAGCTCTCTGCCTCGCCCACGATCCTCTCCACTTCGGCAGCATTGGCCGGGCCCCAGCACAGCAGTCGGAGCCACGACTCCGCCGACGAAGTAGAACCAGTACCCGAACCCGCACCGAGCAGCTGTACTCGCTGTCGAAGGACCGGAGAGAGCAGAGGGAGCAGCACTGGCGGCGGCCTCGAAGCCGCAAAGCCGAGGGGGAGACAAGCAAGCAGCGGCGCTAAAAGCTGTCTCGGCTCCGGAGGAGGAATGTAATCGACCATAGTCAGAGGGTAAAATCAAAGCTCCGTCAGCGTCAGTATCGAGTCTTGTCTCTGTTTCTTTCCACTGCTTCTTCTTCTTCTTCTTCTTCCTCCCAGGCTGTGCTGGCCGGCGGCTTTATAGACTCGGAGGGGGGTCAAAAGTCACGCGTACGGATAGTTAAGCGGCAGAAGTGAAAAGTGACCGTTCCACGATGCTTGCTTCTTTGTTGGCGCAGAGGCGCATGAGGGCCAAATATGACTCTGATGGCAAAGCGAAAGATGACAGACAAGCAGGAGAGCTGCAGCTGGGGGGGGTTAGCTAGGTTAATATATGTGTTCTATACGGCGGATTCCAGCAAGTGGAAATGGTTCCGTCCGCCCAAGGGTGCATTTTTCTTTTGACTCCACGGCTAGTTCCCCCAGGGCAGGACAGGGCAGTGCGAGACTCGGTGAAGCGAAGACGACGGAGAGCGTCCAGCAGAGAGGCTTCTTTCACGCAGCCGGACAGCTCGACGTCTCCATCTTCTCCCGCCTTCGCCTTCACTTCGTCTCTTGTTTTGTTTGTCTCTTGATTTTCTGTTCTTTTTCTGTTGTTTTTTTCGACTTTTTTGGTGAGAAAAAGCGATGGACGTCATAGGCTTAGTCAGAGATTACATAATATCCGCCATTAGAGAGCGTCGGCTATAGAAAGACGGAGATAGAGAGATGGAGAGATGGAGAGATGGAAGTGATGTAGATGATAGAAGACATATCTAGATAGATGGCATATAGTATAGACAATAGCGGAAGTGGAAGAGATGGGTTACGCTGGATTAGTTTATCGCAGGTGAAGAACAAGGGGTATACTAAATACGGCATATGGTACAGGAGCAGCAAAGGAGCCAATGCAGAAGAGGATGACGGCGTGAAGAGACGAACAAGAAGCAGGGCGAGCGAGGCAGCTACAGGTTCCTCTCACGGCTGGCCTGTTCAAGTCGGCCCGTGAGGCGCTTCATGCCCGCCCATTCGTCCGCCGAGACATCTTCAGCACTGCCACTCAGCCCCTTTCCAACATCAAAGACAGTCACCACTCCGTCAAGACCACCGGTAGCAATTCTTCGGCCCTCTCGTTCTTCCCATGCGACCTTGTTCAGTCCCTTGGTCAAGACACCGCCGCGGCCAGCGGTTGGCGTGGCGCTGGCAACGGGCACCTCTACCTCCTGCTGCAAGTCCCATATCTCAAGCCTTCCAGCTCCGTCAACAAGGGAGAAGATGCTGGGTCGATGAGGAGACCATTTGGCGTCATACACTACATCTTCGCGGGTGATGTCAAGGATGGGTGAGACGGTCTGCAGCTGAGCAGTGGAAGAGGTTCCCGATGTCGAGGTCGAGGCCGGGGCACGGATACGCCAGAGTTTCACGCTCCAGTCCAGACTCGAACTGAGCATCAAATCGCTTAGATCTACCGGCCCTCGGGCAGGATGGAAGGCCGTTGACATGATTGGGGCAGCGTGGCCTCGGTACGAGAGACGGTGGTCGGTACCGGACTTGGCCCCTGCACGGTCATATCGATGGCACGGATATATCGTCCCCTCTTCAGTGCCAACAAGGAAGAAAGTCGGGTCTGACTGGGGGAACGACAGTGTCGTGGGAGCCAGGTCTTCAGTCTTAGATGGCGGAGGGGTGGTCAGCTCCAGGTATTCCTGTGGCTGTGAGAGCATGTCAACCGTCCATCCACAGACAACTCCGTCCGTCGAAGCTGTCAGGATGTTATGTGCATTCTGTGTTCCCACAATTGCAATGCTGTACACCGGGTGGGTGTGACCGGAGCCCGACAGCGGCGTCTTTTGTACGGGAGCACCACCTCCCGCTCGGGATGATCGCGTATCCCATAGCAGAACCTGCCCAGAGTATGATCCACCCACGATCAGGTTTGGGTGAAACGGAGAGAACTTTGCCGTCAGTATATCTGAAGTTGAGTGAAACACGTATTCAGGCCGTGTGTGTAGATGTTGGTTCCACACTTGTACCAGGCCATCTGGCTCATGAGGTGCTGTTGGGTTTTTGGTATAGGATGCCAAAACAAGCTCAGGGAACTAGATACGTCGTTAGCATGCTACATTACCTTCCATAACCAGCAGCACATAGGACGAGACAAACACACCTTTGGAGAGAAACTTATATCACTGATCATTCGTTTCTTGCTCCATCGTTCGTCAAAAAATTGTGTGATTTCTTTCAGGTCTCTTCTCTTCTTGCCTGTGCCATACTCTTCATCATCCTCGTCCTCTGCACCAACGCCGCCAAGGGCATAGTCAGCAAGAACGTCATATTCTTCGTCTAACGCTCGCTCAATAACCTTGCTAGATCTTTCAACGAAATCCAAAAACTCGCTTGCTGAAGTCACTGCATTCAGCTCGTCCGCAGTCAATGTTCGTAGTGGGTATCGCAGTTGCGTAGATGTGGTTGTTGGTCCGCCATTGGCCCAATCCTTTGCCAGTTTTAGCTCTTCTTCAATCTCCTTTCGTAAGTTATCACGTATCTCTTCGTCTTTCTCTCTGGCTCTCCGACTGAAACGCTTAGACGTTCGAGATGGAGTGGTAGGTGAGCCACCGTCCTCCAATTCCGATATATCATCATCTACCGGTGTTTCTGGCTCTGGGATGGAGTCTGTCTGGACACCTTTGCTGTATGTAAGAATTTCTACCTTGGGGGGAGCTGCTGGGGCTGGTTCTGGTACGGCATTGTAGGGCGTTTCGTCGATTGTTTGCGTCGCTATAGACAGGGACATAGGTCGGGCTGGAGATGTAAATGTTTCCATATCTCCGCTCAACTGTCCAGCGCTGAGAACCGAATTGGGCCTGCTACCCCGGCCTCTTGGAGACTGCTCGCCTCCATCTTTCAAAGCTGCCGACGAAGGCCTATCAACCAATCTGGATATGAGGTTGTCTAGTTCTGCTCTGTTGTCAGACCGATTCGGAACGGGAGCCACCACCTATAAAAACCATTAGCTATACTGCCCAGCATAACTGCCACAGTTCAGTCAGACCAAACGTATACAAGCCACCTACCTCAGAGCTCTCCCCAACGCTCATGCGATTCTGCGAGAACTCCCGCTGTCGTAACTCTCGCTGCCTCTTCAGCTCCGCGAGCTTGGCCTTCTTCGCGAGTATCTCCTCCTTTCTCAGCTGCATATTCCGGTCCGCCATCTTTGCTCTTCCAGCCGGCTGTCTCTTATCCGCCTTGGCTTCGTCTTCTTCGCCTCTGCTGCTGCTGCTGCTTCTTGAAACCACCGTACTCAACCGTGTAGTCTGCCCAACTGCCTGCCTCGAACCTCTTCTCGCTGCTGCTCTGCTTTCATCCCTGGCGTTGATGGACATCAAAATATTACATAAGCGGAGTCAGGAACATCAGAAAATCCCGGAACGTTCAATCTCAAATCCGAACTTGGGTCGAAAAACACCACCAAGCCGTCGTCCGGGAACCTCCATTGAGCTCAGATCGCAAGTGGCTGCTGTGCGAATTGCATCGCCAGAGATATATACTCTTTGTCCCCTCCCGTTACCTCGCTATTTTTCTCGACACCCCTGTCGCTGGGGATTCTCCCTTCACTTTCGTGGTTAAAAATGGCAACATCCCAAGGAGTTAACGTAAGGCTTCAATCGCAAATTCCTGTCCGAAGACAGTGATATACGCATGTCAATTGTTTCGATGGCATCGTGGATGATACTGTGTGATGGGTTTCCGTTTACTGATGTTTATGCGCTGGTGTAGGTCCTGCGATATTCCGCTCTCTTCGCGGGTGTCTTCTACGGTTTATACCATCAGTCTACTCTCAACACACAAGCGAGAGCCGCTCAGATAGAAAGAGAATACAAGAGAAAGGAGTCTTTGATAGAGCAGGCAAGGGCTGAATACAAGAACAAGACCTCGCCACCAAAGAAGGACGACAGCAGTGGTATGTTAACCGCTTCAAACACCGCATAAACAAGTTTTTTTCATCCGGCCCTCCGGCTCACCAGATAATAGTTATCACCGATCCAAACGATGCGAGATTTGATCTAGAGGCTCTTTTGAAGGCTACCGCGGGTGAGACGGCGAAATAAGACCGTGACATTACATTTGGGGAAGGGCAAAAGTGATGACAAGACGGATTATTAGGCAGCTCAACCAGCCCATTATCTTGAATCCGGAAAATGCCACGATCTGGGCTCGTTGATGCTGCTACCAAAATGTGAAGGTGGCCTCGGTCCCAGCACTTGGAAGAGGGAGCCGAAGCCATCTTTACTATGTATTATTGTATCATCTCATTTTTTTTAGTCTGTTGAGCAAAAGACGAAGGGAAGCAGCCGCATCAATAGATTTGTTTCTTGCTGTATATACTCATGGAATTTCTCCAGTGGTGTACCGTCTCCTATTGATCTATTATCCTACGTTGTTGTTGATGATAATGACTTCTAGCATGACCACGCCATTGACAAAGATCCCTTTGCAGAGTTCTAATGCAGAGTCCCTCCGTTGTATGATTGATTATGATCTCTTCACCCGTGGAGTATATTAGTAGTAGCGGATGCTACTAATAATTCCAAGATTCGTGGGTTGGATGGTAGAAACCCAAAAAAATGTCTAGTTTGAACCGCATCAGCGTACGGAGTGCCTAAATTGCAGGTTTTCAATCCACCTATGGTGGAACATGAACTTCAGCCACTTCCATGGTTCCCGATAAGTGCAGTTATTTGCCCGAGCGTTACCCTCTCTTGTGCACCCGGCCGAGTTGCTGGCCTTGCGGGGTGCATCAACCTTGAAACAGAATCATAGGTCCAGCCTTTTGCAGAAAGATCCTGTATCAATTGCGATGGTACGTCGTCGCCAGTATCTTCCATAGCGTCCGAGTCTGGCTCAAGTCCTAGCTTTGATTCGATGGTGGGTAGCCTAACCGTCTTATATGATAAACTGGTATCGTCTATGACCTTGTTCCGGTAATGAACTAAAGCAGTACAGATTAGAAACCGCTCTCTCAAATCCCATGGCATGCTCTTTCTATCACACGAACCAGTATAGGACTGAACTAGAGGTTCAGTAAGCTTATGCCATGGGGCTGTCTTGAGAATCTCATAAACTGTCCCATGGTCCCTCGTCCCAACAGCTCGTACTAGCTTTTCGAGAGCTTTCATCAAGGTATCGTCCTCAAGTAGAGTAATAGGCAAGCGGCGGAATATCATCCGAGCTTCATATCTGTTATACAGAGCTGTTAACACTTTGATCAGTTACGAAATACGGGCCATTCTTACATATCATCGTCAAGAAGAAGACATATTAAATATGAAGAGTAATATGTGCTTAAAAACTCCCTATCACTTGCTGCGCCATCCTGCGAATATTTAATGTTGATCGTTCCCTCAAGCTCTATCAGCGATTCAAGCGGGAAAGTCGAAGTAGATAATATCTCAGTTAGCCGTTCCGGTACCGAGGGAGATGACGACATCGTTATAGGATCGAAATCTAGTATGTAAAGGGAACCAAGATCCAAGTGCCTGTTCAGTACTGGAGACGTAGTTGTAGCTTGCAGGCAAGTGATTCAAACCATTAACGATGTAGCTTCCAATCTTATGAGGACGCGGGACGATAAGAATGACCGTTAAAGCGGCATGAAACACCCTTAGTTGCTTTTGTCGCCGCTTTAAACACTACCAGTTCAATTGCCAGGCGGAATAATCTATGAATTGTGTGTCAAGGGATTTGGACGAGCTTTTAAATCTAAGAAAAGAGAGAATAAAAAGTGAAAAAAGGAAAAGATTGGATCCCCCGAACTAAGACCCAGTTCAAGGTTGTTAAGAATAACTAAAGCAGGGCGTCTATCTTACAGCACCCTAGCAGCTCACCCATTGGCAAGATGCACCCAGCAACCACTGAGAACTGATCGTACAAACTGTTGGTGTAAAATAAAATCAAACAGAACCTCTCGTGGTATAGTACAATTTACCCAATCATGACTTGGCCGGCTCCTCAAACCGTAGGTAGAAGGCCAAGCAAACAGAAACACGAGGGAAAAAAGGAAAAAAGAGCGAAAAAAGGAGATAGAAACAAGGCTAGGAAGATGTTATGCCAGTCGGGGCTGTCTGAATCGGAGTTCCGCTGTTTTGAGGAGTAGGAGTGGTACCATTCTGAGGCACAGGCGTAGAGTTGGCCGAATTGGGATTCCGACGGGGATCCCGGGTTGGCACTTGTTTCGCTTGCTCCGGGAGGACTTCCGGTTTCCACTTTAGGAGAATCTTCGTTGCAAGCGGGCGAGTTTCCTCCACTGTTTGATTTAAGAGTCAGCTGGGAATCCTGCCTATGGGGTTCGTACTGGGGAGCTAGCATACTTGTCTGGTATAAGTCCACCAATGCATCTAGGCAGAGTTGTCTAGCAGGGGGCCGGACGATGATAAGATAACTATTTTATGTTAGCAATTCCCAAATTAGGTGATGAAACGGCGCTGACGGGTACTTACTGCAAAGCTTGAATACACAGGCTGACTCTCTCTGGATCGTTTGCTAGGGTCTTCACCTTTTGTATTAAGGGAGAGTCCAGTTCGGGCAATTCACTTAAGAATCGTATGAGAACTTTATCCTTGGCATCAAGGTATGGAAGCATGCCTTCCAGCAGCTTCAAAGACCAGCGGCCATAATGAATTGGTACGTAGGGGTTCTTTGGGTCCCCCTCAATCTGTGAGCTGGCATTCTTCAGCTGTATCTGGTCATTATACCACTCTTCGTTCATCCAGGAGATGGCAAAGTTCATCCGAGCTCTAAAGTCTTCTAGGACATAGCGGTAAAGCATATTGCGAATGGTATTGGCAATGTTCTGTTTTCCGGGCTCTTTTTGATCATCGACGCTTTCCTCGCTCTCAAGGCCAGCTGATGAGCGGGTAGCAAGTCTCGTAAGTAGGGTCAGCCACGATTCTCGATCAGAAGAACTGGCAGCTAACCTCCCGAATCCAAGAGACTGAGAAGGGTTGTTGGCAACAGCTTTTGAAGACTGTGGGAGAGTAGAGATCATTGAAAATATCCTGCTGACTGTCTCCTTGCCTAGATGTTCAACATCCTCAGGGGATAGAGGCGGTGGCCTCGGCAATACGAATGGGCCTAGTGAAACAATATCCGGTAAAGCCTCAGTCGAAGGTGCTTCGGGTTTAGCAATATCGGTAGGCGGGCCAGGAATATCCATTGGCTGATACTCTGGCTCGTAGTCATCATCGTCTTCATCAGCTGCGGGGGGTGCGCTGGCAGCCTGATTTTGTCTTTCAAATACTTGCTTCTTGCAGATGGTCTCATATCGAGAACGGACAGCCTATAAATCCTTTAGCATATATACTCAAAGTCCAAACGGGACCTGATCAGGAGCAGGGGCAAACATACCCCGATAGCCAAATCTAAGGATTCTCCTCCCACCCGAGTAAGTACTGGGATGATAATCTTCACCACCAAGTCTACCGGGAGCTGCTTCACGTCGAACGAAGCGAGACCGACATCCTCTGTAAGGGTAAACAGCTGCCCGAAACTTGTAGGACCTGGCGGAAGTGGAGGAATTTTGTGCTGAGGTGGTGTTTCAAGGCCCAGCCTTGCTCGCTTTGCGCTGTCTACTACATCAGTAGGTTCTGCGGGTAAAGCACGTTTCCGTGATGCTTCATCGAATATCTCATTGTGTGATTGTGCCAGTCGCTCAATGTATTGTTGAATACGCCCGGCCAGGGGGTGGGTAGGAGCCCTAGATAGCAATTCACCGTTAGCCGAACCATGTCGGGAGGCTACTGGCGTGTGATCTACGCACTTTTTAACTATACTTAACAATAGCGCTCTTGTCGTCCTTTCCATAGACTTAATATTTACTTTCGTTGTTGGTGTGATTGGCGAGTTTGCCTGTTTGAGCGGATTGAAGTTGAGGATGGCATTTATGATCTTGTTTGAGATAGATGGCCGGGTTCGTATTAGGACTGGGATCGAATTGAGCGTTGCGTTGACCAAAATGGGATCGCTGTTTCTCGTGGTTAAAAGCTGCGCCCTTAGCTCGACGTGGAGAGGCAACTGACCTTGAATTCTCGTGGAAAACATTAAGCAATCTATCCAGAAGACCTGATGTCTCTGCTTCAATGTTAGGTATAGCTAGGAGTGGATGGTTCCTTGGGACGATTGCTAAGGAGGGTTCGTTCTTCTCCGGTCGCTGGATGTGGTATTAGTATTAGCTCTCCGAATATACTCCTCCTGAATTCTCTTGACATTACTGTCATCACATACCCTTGGATCAGCTATCGGTCCCTGTGTTTGTACTTGGACAACCTTCTGAGCGAACTTGATACAGCATATCTTAACACCATGAGAAGATACGTCCCACTTCTTCAGTATAGTATGTTTTATGGTTGTCATCGTTTGCCATAATGAAGCCTGGCTAGCATCGCTCACACTAGTTATAGAGACAATAAAGGGGATTAGTGTTTTGTTTTCTTTCGTTCAGATGATGCAATAACGCATGTAGAGCTGGTGGGATATGCAAGACAGCCATGACATACACTTGTCTAAATATAAGAACATAGATGCTTGCAGCTGTCATGATGGCACCTCGGACAACTGTCTCATCATTCTCAGGTGTATTCAGCAAATCGTTAACCGCACCGAGGATTTCAGTAGCTAATTTCTGCTTCGGTTGCTGAGGAAAAGCCGGGCTCGAAAACGTCTCGGTGAGAAACTCGGCCCCCCATCTTCGTAGCTCCAACCGCGCATTGACGCCAATTATAGGTAGTATGCCATGAACGATCTGAGGATAGAGAGCTGCATCGCCGAGGACGAGATTTCGAGCTGCGTCTAGCTGTGACATCTGCTCTACCAGACTATTCCCGGGCAAAGCCATGATGGACAATAGCTACCCAGACCACTGCCAGCAAAGAAAGAGGGAAGACAAGCAACAGCTGCTAGCTGCAGGCTATAAAAGCACCTCAAAGACAGACTTGATAGTTGATTACGAGTGTCATCCAGCGGAATTGGGGGGAGGATGGTGGACTAATGGGCTGTTTTAGATGGACACGAGAGGTACGAAACAGGGCGAGGAATCAAAACGACGGGGAGTAGAGTAGCTAGGAGGGAGTTGGATAAGTTGACAGCGGGAGTGACAGTGGCGCAGATCTTCCTAGGAACGCGAAGACAAGGTCTGCGGTGCTCGTTTGTCGAAAGGGGCCCTGTTTATCTCGCGATGCGTGGACTTGTCTAACTATCTCAGCGTTTCGTCCAGGCGTCGTTCCTTTTTCCCTTCCTGCAACCTTCAAAGGTAGCCAGCGGTGCGCGCTGATTGGCCAGTACGCCATGCCCCTTCACAAATTGGTCACATGATCGTATCTTAGTCAGTGCTGAGTCATGTTTGATGAGTAATCCTTACTAAGCAGCACATGACGCAACATCAAAATTTCCGATGAGGAAAAGAAAAAGCGCCAAAAGGCATCTGATCAGGTCGCATGCTCGAGATATCTGCCCGCGCATCTGCTGTGCAGTCATTATACGGTTAAGAAACGCAAGATGTCGCTGTAAGTTACCTATTCCGAGGAATCCTTGTGCTGCTACTTTTGAGAAAGCCCCAACTAACTCATAATGGCAGCTTCAAATCCTCATATTATGACAAAGACTATCGGGCGGGCGCTGCCTTGATGCGCGCACGGCGGCCGTATATAGTTAGAAACATTGCTACGGGAGCAGCTCTCTTCAGTTTCTGCATTGGCGTTTGTACGTGAACACCTACTTTTTTCAATGGCGGCTTCTCGGAACTATGGCACACTAACGAGGGGACATTTGATATTAGACGCCTTCACCATCAACGCCGTTGGACAGGACGATTTCTCCGATGTCAAGGTTCCAGACGCACCAACTGCAAAGCAAGCCGCTAAATAGATCCTACGCGCGCCGAGTGACATTCTAGACCAAATCGATCTTACCTAGCTATCTCATTTCACTCCCAATTGGAACGCGCGCGCACACACTCGCCTGGATCTAAACGAAGGAAAACGGCGGTTGATGGCTCCAAAGTTGGGCATGTACTTGCAGCGATTTGACGTTAAGGCGTGACGGCGTTGGTGGTTTCGTTCCCCCCTAGGCATGTGAAGTGCATCGGTACTGTTGAGAGAATCTCCTAGTACTCGTGCCCTGCTTTTGAGAACAAGAAAGTTTCCCTCTTTAAGTGTCAATCTACCTTGATAACGGATGTGATGGATGCTTGAGGTTCATTTAGGCGTTTCCATATGTACTATAACTCTGATTACGCTTCTCCACTGTGAATTATATATACTAATTTCATATCTTGTCAAATTGGAAAAACATATTTCTTAAGTTGCCTGCAAAATCAACAATTTAAATACATCAGGTCAATAAAATACATCGGAAGTGTCATAACCAGTTAGGCAAGGAAACTGCATGAGATATCAACTGGCGAAAAAAAGCAAACATTAGTCAGTCCAGGCAGTATTCGTTGATTCATCCGGTCTGCGTGTCTCATACGATGTTTTGCTCCAGAATCTAGGTCCAAGGTTGGGAAACAGGGAGGTTCTCCCTTATGTATTCGCCAGAAACAAGAGGAGAATTTGTGCTAGCCAGAATAATGGAACAGGCAGAGAATGAGAAAACAATGCGAAGTGAGATCAATCAAATCCTCATGGTAGACATAGACTATGTGTTGTGTATATATAGGGTGGCGAATATATTGGTAACATTAACATTTCGAATGAGAGGAGAAAAATGTCAAGAAGCAGAAATGAAGAGAATAAATATAATCAATTACACCAGAGTCCATATCCAGATCCTGATCCAGATGCATGTTCACCAAGTTTATGATTCGTGTACTCCGTAGCCATGTAGCAAGTAGTGGAAACAGGTAGAGCAGAAGCAAAGGAGCTGTAAGAATGAATCGTCAAAGGAAAAGACGAAGATAAAGATAAAGGGAGAGTTGAGGAGAAGAAGATGCAAGGAAGATAGAGCACCGCCGATGGTAGATTGGTATATTGGGTAGTGTATGAGATATATGATTTAACGCCTCCCGCTCCGTTCCCAAAAAGTAAAAAAATGGTATAACTATGGCAATGAAGGATAGTAATAGGAGAGAAAAAAAAAGGCAATTGGCAATCTGCTAGGTTTTGCTATCGCCGAGTGCGTATGCCCATTTTCTCGAGATCTTCATCCGTTTCCTGCGCTCTTGATGGTTTTAAGGACGGGGCAGCTGGGAAACCGACGTATTTTGCGAAACCGGCAAGGACGGAGACTTCTCGGTTGTAGGCTGCCTGATGTGCAATTTGTTTGCTTAGGCGAGTCGGGAAGGGGATGGTATATTCTGTCACTGCGTCGGATGTGGCGTCTGCTAGTATGCCGCTTGCAGGCCCGGCCAGGCCCGGATAAGAGCTTGAGCCAGCACCAGTGCCGGGACAACTTATACCGATGCCGCCGAATCTGTCGTGCTGGACTTTATATTGGTGTTCTGAGACAGCATCTAGAGCAGCTTCGCGGATCTCGCGCACGGTTTGGTAGTAGGATGAGTTGCACTGGGCTCGTTCAGCGCGGGACTTGACGCAGAGAGCTTGGAATTTGTAGGCGTGAAGAATCTTTTCGTGGTTGATTTTGGCATTGATATGAGATTGGACAATGGCGGCCTGGCGAAGGAATTCGGGGTGTGTTGGAGAGGGAGAAGAGAGCTGGGAGAGTTCTTCGTTGATGTTCGATATGCGTTCATCGTATATTCTAAGGAAGAAATGGTGAGCAAAGAGAGTCATATGTAAGACAGTTTGCGGGAGTTTAGTAATTACCTATCTCGTAATGTTGCAAAATGCCGTTCAAGATCAGATAAAAGGTCGAGTGCTGTAGTTTTCTTCGTCACTGTCGCTGACCAGTCAGCTTCGTTGCGCAAAGCCTCTATGCGGCAGGTCAAAGGCTCTGGAGAACTTACATTCTTCTAATTTCACTGCCGCCTCCGGATCATCTCCAGTATCTGCCAGTGTATCGTCTACAGGCTGTTCTTCTGTAGCATCGAGACCATTGCTCTCAACCACAGACCCGGCCCGTGGTGTGGAGTCTCCAAATGTTTCAGTATTGCCTTTCTTACCCCGTCTTTTGTCTCTTTTCCCTTTCTTGCCTCTCTTGGCTGAAGAGGAGAGATATGTTTCGTCGGATACAGGGCTAGGACTGGTAGGCTTGGAGGCATCGGCGTTGTTCAGTTTTGATTTATCTTCATCATCCTCTGCCTCAGCTTCCGCTTCCACTTCAGCTTCGGGTTCGGGCTCAGCCTCGGGCTCAGGCTCAGCATCCGCCTCAGCTTCTGCTTCGGCTTCACCCTCGTCCTCGTCTTCCTCTTCTGGCGACTGAACAACCGGAGGATATGCGGACTCGTCATCTGCAGAGGGTTCAACGGCGATGGACCCACGGCGCTTACGGGCAGGCTCTTCCCCATCATCGTCATCCTGTGGCAGAGCCGCCAAGTCATGCGTCGAGTTCATTCTCTTGCGCTTCTTGATAAGGCTCAGTGTTTCCTGTGACTCTGATAGCTTAGTTGACTTAAAATCACTCTCTTTTTCGCTGTGGGCGTTGCCATTGCCCGTTCCGTTTGTCTTTGCTGAGCGCGGCGGCTTGCTAGGCGACGCTTCAGTGTCTTCAGCCTCATCATCCTCGTCCTCATTTTCTTCATCTAGCTGGTCATAGGTAGTGGACTGTGCTAGCTTGCTTGGACTTGCGAAGACGCCACCGACACCGCTCAGGACGATGCTGGCTTTGTCACGGTCACGGTTATGGTGTGGCGAGTCCTCTATGCGCTCGGTTTCAGCCTCGGAGTCGATTTCCGACGCAAACTTGGATGGACGAGGAGAGAGGTCATCTAGCTGGCCGTGGGAGAGGGTTTCGTCGATGTCCGAGAGACTGCTGGAGCGAGAGTCTGAGTCGATGGCGTCTGCGAGGGAGGCAGGCATTGACCCAGCTTGGAATCGCAGGTCAATGGAAGTATTGTTCGCCAGCATAGTAGGCAGCTTGACTGTTATCTAGACGATGGTAAACGTGGTTGGTTGGTGTGTAGGATCGATTCTGTTGGAAGAAGGGTAAAAAGCCCTTGCTCCCTTGCAACTCGGGTGCTGTCCGCACAAGAAGTCAGCCGACGATCAATAGCAAAAGAACCAAACTGAGCTCAAAGACGGAGAGCTGCAAGGTCACTGAATCATATCAAGCGAGCGTTTTCTAGAGATAACAACCTCACGCAGGTGCTGGTAGCGCTTCGGCTATTTGGTCACGGGCAAATTCTGCCATCCAGCTTGCCCCAGGCAGGTCGATCGCAAGCCTGACGAGCAGGCCAGCGAGTATCGACAGCGAGGTATCTCCTTTGCAAGCAGCCCATAGACCTATCTCTCCCTCTGCTCAATACTCCTTGATAATATCAAACGTACCTTTTGGGCTCGGTGCAAGCACAGGCAAGGATGAATATTTTTTCCCTTTCTGCTCTGCGGGTTCCGCACGAGGGCGTCAGAGGCGGATCGCAAGCCGGCGAGGTGTATCCCCAGCGTGCGAGCTATCTCATAAGCCCTGTTATTTCACTAGCTGCAGGTTTGATCGAGCATAGCAAGGGCGGAATCTCATGCATTCGACAGGGCGGCAGCCAGGCGCTATGAGGGGGTCTCTGTGAGCTGGCTCGGTACGTTGGGGGAGGTGTGAAGCTGCAAGTTGACAGATGCTTTGCAGGACAGCGAGGGAGGCTTTACGCTTCGAAGACGGTTATATAGGCGGTGCGAACGGCGGGCGGGATAGCGATGAGCAGTGAAGATGAAGCAGCAGAAGCAGCAGAAGCAGCAGTGCAAAGCCGAAGACGAGAAGACGCAGAAGTTGATGCTCTCGTTTTGGGGGAGCCCTGGTGGTTGTACCAGCGTGACGCGGTGACGTGACGTGACGACATCCTTTCTGATGGATTACTATTTTGCGTGGAACCATGTGCGTATTTTTGTTTTTGCATTGAAAGATACAGCGGTATCGGTGTAAGTGCGGTTCGACGTTACCATACAAGGCGGTGGGCGTTCTGCCGTGTCGATCTGCCACCACGAGCCAATCATGATACAAAGAGAGCTTCACCGCCCTGCTGAGTCATGGTACTTATCTAATTCCTTATGTAAGCAAAGCGAGTCAAAGACGTCACTTTTCTCCCCTTTGGGGCTTCCTAGTATATGCAGCTTCTATGCAGGGCTGCTTGTTCCCTTTCGTAATCTGATTTTTAAGAGAGACTCACTTCAACAACATGGTAATATGCGAACTTCCAGTTATCCAGCCCAGCCCTGGGCAGTGGGCATGTTTATGAATTACGCGCCCTCGCGAACTTGCGTAATGTTGGAAGGAGACCGTGATTTGAAGCATGACTTGACGGTATAATCCCATTAAATATCTATATATTGGACAAAAGGGGGTTAGACAGTGCTAGGGGGAACGTGAGAGTATTTCAGTGACCAACCAATACATGCAAGTTGTTTGAAATGAACTGTTGTCTATCATCTGGACGACCTACAGTATATGCAAAATTGGTTGAGTTGATTGAATCAGCCGGCAATTTGGTAGAAAGGTATGCGCAAGGAGGCTACTACCCACAGTCTAAGGCATATTCTCCGCCAGATAAGTAGATTAGACGCGCACCAGTTGGCTCTATGCTTTGAGACATTTCAATCGAGAGGGTAAGTTGCGAGTCACTCCTTTGTTCTTCGCTGCATCGTAGAGCGGCTGCGTCGATTCAATGATCAGTATAGATGTATATAAAGTCATATGTTCGATTTTTAGCAAGCCTCAGGAGGTAGGTCCAACCAGTATTAGATTTCTTACCCTTTTCCAAGTCGCGCATAATGTTCAACAAGAATCGTTTATACGTTGCTCTCTATGCACGTGGTGGCAGCCCTACAATGCCAGGCAAGGAAGACACGTAAGTTGAACCATCCAGTCAACATATAACGCAGAAGAACTAACGCCCTGTCTGGTCTGGGCTAGGTATCACTGGGCTTTCCTCGTGGGGCCAAAAGTTGAAGGAGAGAGCAGTAAGGGTATCCGTTACCAGGTGAAGCAGAGACACCAAATAGGAGTGGGCTTGGAATGGGACTTCGAGGAGCGCGAATGTCCACTCACCCCAACAAGCATGCTTCTTGTTCGTGTCATTATCGGAAAGATACTTGACATGAGTCGCTTGGCCGAAATTCTGCGTAATACACCTGTCCGAGAAGATCAGCCGGGGTGGAATTGTGTCGCCTGGGTAAAGGAAGCCCTCGAGTCGCTAGCGAATGATTCCAAGACCCTTGGGACGAGTGTCACTGAATGGGATAAAGTGCGCAACGCGGCAATGGAGTATTGTCAACAAAAGAAGGACGAGCGCCGTTTTAATGCTTGGAGCAACTTTGATATGAACAAAACCCCGACCTACAACCTGTTGGAGTTGAAGGAAACCATCATATGAATTATCGCAGCTGGTTGAGATTTCTCAGGTATTCCCAAAATATTTTTGACGCATCTGTTCCATCTCCAGTTCTTGAGACATTGGTTGTAGGAACTTGTCAATATCCTTGCCCCAAAAATAGTTTCGAGGGTTGACTTGGTGGGCCATGGCGGGCCGTGGTGTACTCCCAGTATGATGGATACCAGCCAGCTGTTTGCCAATCAATTATGCTAGAAATACCCATCTCCACAAACGAGAATATTTAGACTACTGGAATCTCCATATGTAAAGATTAAAGGCCAGGTATTGCTTTGTTAGTTGATAAGCTCCTTGACATCGGGGTCAAGCCTAGGATCAAACTCCATGCCCATTCGTAAATGCCGATGGAATTTCTGGATAGTGTCAAACGAGCCAATGTGTAAGGAAGTCCCCGCAACACGACAGTCGTAGAGTGGTCCGCTGTCAACAGAAGGGATGATAGCATTATCCGTAGACTTCAGCTGTCGCATTCCAGTAATCATTTTGTCAACTGTGGAAGAAGCTTGGCCTTTGACTCCTCACTTCAGCGAACCCAGCCACGACCAATTATTTTCCCTTTAATTCTTTCCATCACAATATACGCCGTTCCAGAATGAGCAAAAGCACAGAACACTTTTGGTACTGGATAGACGTATGTTGCGATTTAAAGCGCATTTTTGCTGCTTCAGGGAAACGTATGTGCTGCCCATACTTCACACATAACTTGTCTGTCAACATGAGAACACCTCTATGGAATGGAAAAACATATTTAAGGATTTTAATTGCCAACAGTGTTGGGTATTGGTACAAATTCTGTCATTGATAGACTTGGATGCGCCTTTTGGGGAACGGGTATCTTGCAATCGGCCAGGGCCACTCCAATCGAGCGGCATGATGGAAAATCTATGTCGGGAGAAAATATTATATGGCAAAGAACATTAGTATGACGGGGTTAGTATCCGAAAAAGAATGTTGCGATGGAAAGGGATGTAAGTATGATCTGGGTTACGTTCAGGTGTTGACATGCTGATGAGAAAATATAACCGGTTTATTATTGGTTATTTAGCGACGCGGCCGCCTATTATCACGTGGTTTAATGAAGCGCGCGTAATATCATGTGACTTCGCCAAGCGCGGAATTTTACCTCGAAAAGATAAAAAAACAAAAAGTGATAGGCGAGATCGAAGAGAGTCAAGTCTTACGCCAATTGAGCTCGAATAAAGCTCGATACTACCTGAATCATGGGTAAGAAGGCGAAGACTCAGGCGGCAGAGGCCGCGCCGGCTGTAGCTGCACCGGTTTCTACGGCCAGCACAGCTACAGGAGGATTTCCGCTAGCCGCTACAAAGGTTGATCCCGGTCTTGCGGCGCTGTTTGCGCAGAGTGTAAGTGGATCGATATATCTATTTAGAAAGGGTATACTGACTGTTGATTAGGCAGGACCTGTAAAGGAGCCGGAATTGAAACCTGTATCTAGGCGGGAAGAGAAAGAAGGAGACGACGAAGATGAAGAAGAAGAAGATATAGAAGAGATAGAGGAAGATGAGGAAGACGATGATGGGGAAGAAGAGGGAGAAGACGATGAGGACGAGGAGGAAGATGAAGATGTTGAAATGGAAGATATGGAGGAGAAGGCTTCACGGAAACGCAAGAGAGGAGCAGAGAACGACGACCTCGAAGCCGCCTATTTAGACCGCTTGTCCAGGGAAGAAGAACGAGAGCGCAAGAAGCAAGCAGAAAAGACCAAGAGAGTCAAAACTGCAGACGAGGCAGAGGGAGACGAAGATGAAGCTGACGAGGAAGAAGAGGAGGAGGAAGACAAGATACCCATGCACGAGTCCCTTACGAAGAGCGACCAAGCAGACCCGATGGACAAGGCCTCACGCACGCTCTTCCTCTCAAACGTCTCTACCGAAGCCATAAAGTCGAAATCTGCCAAAAAGACCCTTCTCAAGCATCTTTCTTCCCTCCTTCCCAAGCCTTCATCTTCATCTCCAACAACACCGTCTACAACGCACAAGATAGAATCTCTTCGGTTCCGTTCAACAGCCTTCAGCTCTACTGCACTACCACGTCGAGCAGCCTATGCCAAAAAGGAGCTTATGGACTCTACTACAAAAGGCACAAATGCCTACGTGGTGTACTCTACTGCCCTGGCCGCTAAGAAAGCACTCAAGCTTAATGGTACGATAGTGCTGGATCGACATATACGAGTTGACAGTGTCTCGAAACCTGCTCCGGTTGACCATACGCGATGCGTGTTCGTGGGGAACCTAGGCTTTGTCGACGAGGAGGCTCAACCGGCCGACCAAGACGGGGAAGTCAAGAAGAAGAAAAAGGCGGCAGCGGCAGCGGATGTCGAGGAAGGGCTATGGCGCACTTTCAACGACCAATGCGGTGGTGAGGGCGTGGTTGAAAGTGTGCGTGTTGTACGTGATAGACTGACTCGTGTCGGCAAGGGGTTCGCATATGTGCAGTTTAAAGACGAGAACTGCGTTGAAGCCGCGCTGCTGTGCGATGGGAAGAAGTTCCCTCCCATGCTACCTAGGAAGCTGAGGGTCACGCGAGCCAAGAGAATTGGCGCTGGGTCAGAGGGAGTCAGAGAGGGAGCTAGTCGGCAACGACCGACGGGAGGGAAAGCTCGGAAAGACGAGAAGCTGTTTGGACAGGCTGTTGCTGCTGAACTGAGGAATGTGGAGAGGGAGAAGAAGAAGAAGAAGATCGGGCAGAGGGATGGTCGAAGCGGTCGAATTGGACCGGGTAATGATGCCAATGCCGTGCCATTGGGAGATAGGAGCGGCAGTGGAAATGCAGGTACGAGGATAGTGTTCGAGGGATACAGGGCGAAAGATGGGGCCAAACCAGCATTTAGGATGAAAGGAAAGAAAAAGGGTGGCAAGCCGAAGACAAGAAGCTCGCGGCGGGCCAGCGCGTACAAGGCGAGAAAATGACACCGACTACTAAACATAGAAGATAGTAAATAAAAGAAAACGGGTCAAGCGTTATTAACAATTATTTATTTATTTATTTTTTGTTTTTGAGCGTGGCTGCTGCGATGAGACATGACGCAGTGTAAGGATACACATGCATGCAACACTAACCTAACATTAAAAAAGTGGTAGAATAAGACATACAGGCTATGGATAATGCATGACAGAATGATGAGCGGGGGTGAACATTTTAACCATCAGTACCCTGAGAAACAGGTTCATAAAAGTAGTGAGAAAAGGGGGGGAAGAATATCCAACATCAAACAGTCGGGTCGACCGGTTCAGGGGGCCGTAGCAGGGAATATCCAAGCCTATTCCAAAAAGGTAGATAATTGTGGTAGTACAGGGGTCAGGTCGCGTGAGAAACAAGAAAATGAGAAATTACTGATTAAACAATAATAACGGTTGGTGGTAATGCAGTGCAATGCCATCGGGGAAGGGGGAATTTATGTAAAAATAGGAATGTTCTTTTTTTTTCGGCTTTTGGACCGATCATAGCAGAGCCATGAGAGAGAGGACAATAGAGAGGAGGCCACCTGGCAGAGCAAGGGAGACTGCGCCGTTCGGGTCAGGGGCTCCGCTGCTGGTTGGCATGCCAGTCGAGGAGGATCTGGTGGAGGACACGGCAGTAGACTCGGAGGTAGTGGTCGAGTCTGTTGTGGTGGGGGTGCTGGAGCTGGTGACGGTCGACATGGTAGTGTCAGAAGAGTCGGTAGTGGTAGGTGAGACAGTGGAGGGGCGAGTTGATGATGGAGAAGTAGTTGACTCGCCGGAGGTGGTGGTGGCCTCGGAGGTGGTCATGGAAGTACGGGAGGTGGTTGGTCCAGTGGTTGGGCCTCCGGTGGCTCCGTCGACCATGAAGCTAGGGGTGAAGTTATATTTGCTTGGGTCATTATCGTCGATAATCTGGACGGTATATAGCCCGTTTTGCATCAAGTCCGGCGGGGGCAAGAACGTGAAGGTGCCGGTGTTTTCCAGGTGTGCTAATGCCCTTTAGTATCAATATTATGTAGTCCAGAAGAAAGAATAACTCACCAGCTAGGACTAGGCCACTGTGGGGAGTGATGTCTGAGCTCATTTGGAGTTTGAGGGTAACAGTTCCAGGTGTGGTTGGCTGCCAGTTGAGGACTGTTGGCTCGCGAGTGTTGAACTGGTAGCCGCCTGGAGGCACCAAGAAAGGGTTCTCCAAGGCGGCAACAGCCGCAACGGCCGTAAAGAGGAGGTAAAGCACTGAGCGCATATTTGCTGCAGATGGGTGTGTAGATCAGCTGTCAAGAAGTAACTGTATAACAACTGGTGATAAGCTATAGTAGCTATAGTAGCTGTAGTAGCTATAGTAGTTGCAGTAACTAATAGTTGACAGAGACAGTGAGGAGGAGGCGAGCGGCGGCGGTCGATATCCCAAAGAGGCTGTCAATAGGGAGAAGAAGAAGGAGGAGGAGGAGGAGGAAGGAGGGAAGGAGGAGAGCAAAAAGAGAAGGCGCAGAGGAGTCCATATTTAACTAGGCAGGCGCGGGCGAACCCTTGAGGAATCCAACCAAGGCAGATAGACTTTTCTCCGGTGGTCCCCTGGCCCTTGCCTAGCGTGGTTGCTCTTGGCGTGGAGGGCAAAGTTAGATGAGTGGAGCCCAGACTTTGTCCGTTTTGAGCGCTCTTTTCTGTGGCTGCGCGCGCTGATTGGCTGGCGCAGGGCCCAAAGTTGGGTTTAGGGGAGCTCTGCGCGCGCCAAGCCCACATGGCTAGGCTCGCAGACTAGGCGGTTTTGGGAGCTTGCTGCCCTGTTTGGGTCTAGCGCGGCGCGGCACGACGTTGGCCCGAGGCTAGTTCTCTTGGGGAGAACCGTGCAGGGCTGTGCACGCTCACGTGAGGCGAAAAGTTCGAGCACAGGAACGGGCAGGACAGGAGGATAGGGGGGGTATATAGTGTATATAGAGGGGAGTGATACGGAGCAGCAGGAGAGACAAAGGGCGAGGGCGGGCGAAGGCAGGAGGTCGCGACGGTGCGATGTGGGCGAGCGAAGGGGACTGGAGGATCACCCTGTCGTGTGGTTACATCCACAGGGGAGATGGTTCTCACTAGTCTGCATATACTACCAGCATTCTAGCACTATATGTCGTACGCCGGCTGGCCCCTGACAGACTGGCAGCGCGCCCATCGAACGCCCAGCGGCAGGATGCGCAATAATAATAACGATGCTAGCTCGCATCGAAGATTGAGCTCTCTGAAAAAATCTGAAATTAAAAAAGCAAGAGGCGAGCATCACTATCAATCGAATCGTCACCATGTCAGGTCGTCGGTGGATCGTCGAGCAGATGTCGCTCGCCCAGAAAGACAATGGCCTGCATGACCCGTCGGTCCTCGTCCTCCCGTTGGCCAGCGAGCAGCTAATTAGACATCACCCGTTAGCTCGGAGATTGCTCCATGCATATCTTCATTAATAGCAGAGGCGGCCTAAGGACGTCGAGCGGGTGGGGAAAGAAAACAATGCATGCTCAGGCAGAGAAAAAAAAAGCAATGGGAAGGTAAAATAGTTGACAGATATCATGCTTACCCGTTCGTACAGGCTCTTTCGCCCAGCCCGTGGCTTATCCCCCTTGCGCTGCTGCTGCTGCTGCTTCTCCTTCGGCTGTCCCTGGTTCTTCTTCTCGTGTAGAAAGGTGCAGGAGCTGCCGTGCCGACACTGGCCTGTCCGAGCGAACTGGTGGCAGCGTCTGCGCGGAGGAACTCTGTCCGGCCCCTGGCGGCGAGAGCTTGTCTGCTCCGGCTGGCTGCCGCTGTCACTTTCGCCGTCACTGTCACTGCCGCTCTCGCTCTCGCTTTCACTTTCGCTTTCGCTTTCACCTTCGCTGCTGGTCGTGCTATCACTTCCGCTGTCGTCGTCAGCGCCCGAAGCTTGGTTGCCCAAGTCCGGGGCTAGCGTCTTCGTAGCGCCGGCTGCGACTGGCGTGTGATCTTGTTGTAGTGCGATTGCCGTTGCCGTTGGTAGGCTAGGTGTCGTCGTAGTCGATGCCACTGCTTCATCTCCGTCTGGCTTGACCCGAGCTTGAGCTTGATCTCCCGCTGCTGTTTGGCCTGCTGCAGCGGCTGTTCCGGCTCCAGCACTGGCTTCAACTTCAGCTTCGGCGGCCGCCTGCTGTTTGGCGGCAGCTGCTTCGGCCTGCGCAAGCTTTCGCTCTTGTCTCGCCAGCTTCTCGCGCAGCTTGTCCGCTCGTATCTTCGCTCGGGCAGCCACGTCGCTAGCATCACCCTTCTTCTGCTGCTGCTTTTCCTTCTCTTTGGCCTTCTTTGCTTCTGCTGCTTCAGCCTCTCTCTTTTTCCTCTCTTCCTCTCGTTTCTTCTTTGCTTCTTCTCTCTGCTTCCTCATCTCCTCGTCCTTTTGCTTCTTCGCTGCCTTGCGAGCTTCTTCCTCTTTCTTCCGCTCCTCGACCCTTGCCTGCGTAGGGAACCGCCGTTTTCTCTCCTCAATCCACGCCTGTACTTCTGCCGTAGAGCCTAGCGTAGACGTTCGCCCCCGGTAGCTGAACTTCAGCTCTCCCTTGGTCAGCAGCCCCGCAAGCTTAGCTTCTTCGTCCACATCTTCAGCCTCAGACTCGCTCGACTCATGCTCTTCCGTCTTGGGCGTCAGGCCTAGCTGGTTGTGTTTGCGCTGCTTGCGGGGTCGCGCGGGGTTCGCTTGACCTTTCGTCTGAGCTTGGACTGGCGGTGGTTTGGAAGGGAGCGTGTTGAAACTCGGCACTGGCAGTGGTGCGGTGGTGAAGGCCGTGTCGTGTTGTCGTTTGGGTGGTCGATGTGTTGGTGCCTGTGTATGCGTATGCTTCTGATGTGGTCGTTGATACGCCGGAGCAGTGTAGGTTTGCTTTGGGTTAAAGGTCCAGGCCCTGGAGTCTGCATATGCTGGTGCTGGAGGTAGATATCCCCCCTGCGGTGGACCAAAATGCATCGTTTGCGGAGGAGGTGCCGGTGCTGGTGCCGGTGGTGGTGCTGGTGCGTGTGGCCCCCCATAGCCCGGTAGTGGCCCATATGCATATGCTCCCTGGTTAGGATGCATTGGTAGGTGCTGCGGCTGGTGCTGGTGCGGTGGTGTGTACCCCCATGAAGCGTTCATATCACCGCCATATCCACCACCTCGGCCGCCCCGTCGAGGTCCATTGCCTCTGCCACGTCCTCGATGGTGAGAGTTCCCTCGTCCGCCTCCGCCTCCGCCTCTCGACGAGTTGTTATACGTCGGCTGTGAGGGCTGTGCGGGCGGCGGAGGCGGTGGAGGAGGAGGGAACGAGAAGCCCGACATCAGTGCTTCGCTATCCCCTTGTATCTCGCTCGTCTAGTCGCAGTAACGTCCTCGTAGGCTCTATTATCTCCAGTCCACGCCTGTTATGTATGTCTGTACGCAGTAATAGCCCTGTTCAAGCGTCAGTCCATGTCCATCAAAACGGCTGGCTGCTGTAGCTAGACTTTCAAGCTATCTCAGAGCTATCTGAAGCTTCACTTCACACGGTCAACTCACCTCTCACGTCCACGCCAACAACCTCTCTGCCACGGAATCAAAGGGTATATCCGTCTTCTCAGCCGTTAAGGACCCTGTCTCTCACCTCTTCCGCCAGTTTCTGCAGCTCTTCTATCCAAAACACCGTCAATGATGTCTCATCTTTTGAAGGTCTCGACGGGCCGCCAGAGAAAAATACAGGAAGAATATTCTTCCGTGTTGAGGCTCTTCAGATCCAAAATTCGATCAAAAGAAATAATTTATTCAATGTAATAATCGATATATATTTTGTTACTTTCGTTCAATTGATCTGATCTTGCTTGCATAGTCCTGGTTATGCTGCTGTCTGTCGTTGGTTGACGTTGGTCAGTTATTTTATTTTTATTATTTTATTATTTTTATGGCCTTGGAGGGGTTCTTCCTGCTGGTGAAGAATTGAACATCCCACAAGCAACGACAGAGAAGCAGCCATTTGATACCACAGTTATTATACCCTGCACAGAGCTGCCATCATGTTCATACTCGTGAGTGATGCTGTTTCTGCTGTTTGATGCCTGCTTTGTGCCTGCTTATGCTTACTGGAGTAGACGACCATCTCGGACCTGGTGCAGATCTCGCCAGAGGACTTCTCGAAGCTCAGCGCAGTCGCTATCGAGGACAACATCAACGAGAAATACGCCAACAAGGTGAGTCGTGCAAGGCCGATAGATGATAGATGCGGATGGCAGGCTAACCGAGGCCCAGGTCATTCAGAATGTCGGCCTTTGCATCGCCTTCTACGACCTGCTGGAGTCCTCGGACGGGCTGATCGGCCATGGAACAGGCCTGGTCAACGTCAACGGTGAGGCGCAGATGCAGACAGAGACTTTGTTATATCAATTGAAGGATCATATGCTGATTGATAGTAGTCAAATTCCGGATGATCGTGTTTCGGCCGTTTAAGGGAGAAGTCATCATCGGGAAGATCACGAATGGAACAGAGCAAGGCATTAAAAGTACGGGAACAGCTCATTTTGATATCGATATCGATATTTGAGGTTTATATGCTAACGATGAGCAGTTGGAGTTGAGTTCTTCAACGACATCATCGTCCCTCCAGACCTGCTGCTGGACGGTGCTAGATTGTATGTCTTCCTACAGTTGTTATATGATTGTCCACTGCTAATAATAGTCGACAGTGACATGAAAGACCAGGTCTGGATATGGGACAACGGCGAGGGAGGCATCTTCTACTTCGACGTTGGCGAGACTGTCCGCTTCCGGGTCGAACAAGAGGAATGGCACGACCAGGTCCCCAGCGGCCCCGATCTGCAGGACGGGCTCGCAACGCCGGACCGAAAGCCCCCCTACTCGATCATCGTATGTCAACCTTCTACACCGTATACTTATATTTACGTCTACAGTAAATACTAACAGCGCCCAGGGCTCAATGCAAGTTGCTGGTCTTGGTCTGGTAGCTTGGTGGTCGTGATCTGGTACATTTCAACGACGCCCTTCAGCTTGGTCCCTTCAGCTAGCCAGAAAGAGCATGGAAATATGCGGGTGTCAGCTTCCCCTCGCCCGGCCTGCGTCTCCCCAGCATCGACGGACATCTCATACATGGATCTGACAGTCACCGTCTCGGCTCGGTTTTGAAGAGCATGGATTGGCCTGCATCGCCGCCCACCTCGCACTCCTCAAGCCGACTTTGTGCGCATCAAAGATCCGTTCGAGCAGCCTATCGGAAAACTCGACATCCCACGCATCAACTATCTTCCCCCCTCCCACCTCCAACAAGCGGCCTGCCAAGTGTGCGCTAATCCTGCCGTGATGCGCCTTTGCTGGCCCTCTCTCTTGCTCCTTGCCCCGCGGTGGCTTTCGATGACGATAGAGGGCGACCAGCTTAGAAATCCGCCCTGAGCGGCTGTTGATGTCGGAATCTTCGCTTTCTTTGACGATATCTCGGTCGCCTTGACGGACTTCTCCTAGCAGCCACCATTATTATTAATATGGGGGATTAGAAACAGAGAGTCTGCGGCCGAACCGACCCTGCAGCTGTAACTCGACGGACCAGCAAGAATACGGCCCGGAGAAATAGACATTTTACCCAGGGTTGACAACTGAGACGGCCCTGGGTGGATATCAAAAGCAAAGTGTTTTGCATCCGTGGTTCGGGTTTTTTCTCTGAATTTTTCCCTTATTTTTAAGCAGCTTGTATAGTTATATAAACCGTCGGCTATCCCGTCGCAAGTACCAGACCAGACTCATCCTCCATCAATAACTATTCCTACATCCATATCCTTTTGTCAGTGTCATAGAATAGAGCAGCAGAATGGCCACCACCGTCTCCCCCTCGAGCGTGCTGCCCGCCCAGCAGGAGCAGAAAGCGACCATCGAGACGCCCCCCAGAGCGCCGTCGCCCGTCCATCGCTTTGGCACCAGAGCCGTCCACACCGGCGCGCCCATCGAGCCGACCACCGGCGCCGTCATTGCTCCTGTAAGTCCTGCTGCTGCTGCTGCTGCTGCTGCTGCTACTCTATAGTCTTTGCCGTGCGGGCTGCTGACCGTCCAGATAGATCTCCCTGTCGACCACCTTCATACAGCACAGCCTGGGCAAGCCCATCGGCGACTACGAGTACACCAGGAGCTCCAACCCCAACAGGTCCGTTGACGCTGCAGACGCAATCCATTGAGCCCTCCTGCGCTGCCTGAGAGACCCCCGAGCTGACCATGCGCCGCAGAGACAACTTTGAAGCCGCCGTTGCGGGCCTCGAGAACGCCCGCTATGCGCTCGCCTTCTCCTCCGGCTCTGCCACCACCGCCAACATCCTCCAGTCGCTCGCCGGCGGCTCCCACGTCGTCTCCATCTCGGACGTCTACGGCGGCACCCACAGATACTTCACCAAGGTCGCGGCCGCCCACGGCGTCGAGGTCACCTTCACGCCCACCATCGAGACCGACGTGGCCAAGCTGATCCGCCCCAACGAGACCAGGCTCATCTGGATCGAGTCCCCGTCCAACCCGACCCTGGGCCTCGTGGACATCCGCGCCGTTGCGACCATTGCTCACCAGCACGGCATCCAGGTTGTGGTGGACAATACCTTCCTGAGCCCCTATATCCAGAACCCGCTCGACCATGGAGCCGACATCGTCATCCACTCCGTCACCAAATACATCAACGGCCACTCGGTATGTCCCTTAAAACAAACACACACACACACACACACACACACACACACACACACACACACACACACACACACACACACACACACACACACACACACACACATATATATATACTACAGAAAGAAGAAAACATCATGCTGATTTTGTATGCTCTAGGACGTCCTCATGGGTGTTGCCGCTTTCAACTCCGACGAGATCAAGACCAGACTGACCTTCCTCCAAAACGCCATTGGTGCCGTCCCCTCTGCCTTTGACTGCTGGCTGGCCCACCGCGGTCTCAAGACCCTCCATCTCCGCGCCAGAGAGGCCACCACAAACGCAACCCTGATTGCCCGTGCCCTCGAGGCCTCCCCTCACGTTCAGGCCGTCAACTACCCCGGCATCGACTCCCACCCACACCGCAAGATCGCCCTCAAGCAGCACCGCAACGGCATGGGCGGTGGCATGCTCAGCTTCCGCATCAAGGGAGGCCGCGAAGCCGCCGAACGCTTCTGCCAGTCCACCCAGCTCTTCGTCCTAGCCGAATCCCTCGGCGGTGTCGAGTCTCTCGTCGAGGTCCCCGGCTCCATGACCCACGCCGGCATCCCCAAGGAACAGCGTGAGATTGCCGGTGTCTTCGACGACCTGATCCGTCTCAGCTGCGGAATCGAAGACGGCGAGGACCTCAAGGCCGACGTCCTCCAGGCCCTCGAGAAGGCCCTCGTTGCTCCCAAAATTAACAACGGAAACGGCACCAACGGCGCTTAATCGGTCAATGTCAACTAACTCTCTTTTTTTCTGCACGACACTTTCTGGCATACCTTTTTGCTCCTACCGTTTTTCTCATTATTGCTCCGTTTTTTTCTTGGTTGTTTACGAGACCTACGCTATATACGGCTGTCCATATACATACACACACCGGCTGGGATACGGTTCATCTCCACCGTTTAGAGGAGGATATTATATACCATGCATGCGCGCACTTCCCTTGATTCACCTTCTTCCAAAGCATGATGCTCTTTTCTTATCCATACCCCCCCATCCACCCTTCTGGTGAAATAGAAGAAAGAAAAGAAGAAAGCAATAGAACACAACGTGATGCTCGAGGGCTGTTTCGTCCTCGTTTTTCTTCCCCCCTTTTTTGCTCTCTCTCTCTCCCTCTCGCTGATGTCGCACCGGATGGTCGGATCCTGCGTTGTTCCCCGTAATCCCGAAGCACGGCAGTGTAGGTAGCTGCATGCATGATGGTAGTACTTATGAGGTAATGGTAAGCAGCGTATCCCGGAGAACCCATCGATTACGGGGTTTCCGGCTCCATGACTCCGGCTATGCTAGCCTCTCATCGTAGTTCACAATCAGTGGTAGAGATTTCTTGACCAAAGGACTAAGCTAACATATTCGAATCCGTGACGGCCTGGACCTTGTGAGACGCTGGGCTGTAAGTCGATTCCCGGGATTGCGGCTCTGCTCTCGGCGCTTCGCCCCTGACATCTTAATTAGCGGTTACCGGCCCAGCAGTATAGAACATGCCCCGGATAGATAGAAAGGAAAGTTGTATATTCAATGGTATAGTTAACTATGTACAAGCATTAAGCCATGGCCTCCCATAGGCCTCGAAGTAATTCATTCTTACACTACTGGCACTCCTTGGGAACGGCCTTGCTTCCAGTTCGGTTCTTGGGATCGTATTTGGCACCAACGCCCAATCCACGCTTAGCAAAGGCCTTCCAGAGCTCACACTTGTTAGAGCCCTTGGTGAGGTTCATATCGGCATCGATAATGGCATCACGAGCCTGCACGAATGTTGGCTTGCATGGTTGACTGTAATTGACATCGGTTAGTTTTGACCCATAACTAGATCAGCGCAGAGAATGCAGGAAAGGATCAACGTACATAGCCATTCCATCGAGCACGAGCTTCAGGGCAAGGTATTTGCCATCGTTGGGGACGCCGTTTTCAAACACGGGCGTGGGACCGTCATTCTTGCCATGCTTGTCGATCAAGTTCCATAGCACCTCGTAGAGAATAGAGCACCATACGGTTCCGATGGCATGTACTTCATTGTACTTGTTACAGGATGTGTAGACCAATGGGTTGGTCTGAAGGTTGGTAGAATAAGGGTACAGTCTGTTACCCTTGGGGCTGTTATTGACCCATTCGCCGTGGACGTAGTTTGAATTCCGGTTGTCGTTTGGCTTGAGGCGGATGGCGGTTGCGAAGAAATCACCCCATCCTTCGCCCATGCCGCCAGACTCCATGCCGTTGAGGCAGCCAGCATTGGCAGGACCTCCGCAGAGACGGTTGGAAACTAGATGAGATGGGAATTAGCTTGACTCAATGGGCCAGGAGGTTTGATACGGAGGAAGCTGAGAGAGTTCTTATACGTACGGCCGTGAGTATATTCGTGAATAACGGTGCCGGCTTCGAAAGAGGAGTCGCGAGATGGCTTGGCCTTGGTCCAGATATACACTCTCATGCGTCCAGGCTTGCCATCGGGAGGGGTAGCGAAATTGGCATTGTTAGTACCGGAGCCATCCTGAGCATTAAGAATGACAAAATCATTGCCTTTACCACCCTGGCCGCGGTTGTTAACTTGGAAGTTACCAGCTTTCTCCGTAAATCCGAGCATATAATACAGATCATGTACCATATTGGCAGAGTAGAATAGCTGTGTAACCGATGCATCGATATATGACTTTGGTGGGCTCATATTAGGCGCATAAGGGTACTCAAATTTGAGATTCTTGCTATCTGGCCGGTAGTTGTTGAGGTAGTCCTCTCCGCCATCAAAGTTAGCTTGTGCAATAGCGTTGTTGCCCCTGGTTGTGGTATAGTTGGTCTTCCCATCACTAATCCATGTGAACGGCGAGGTTTTGAGGTTCCAGGGGTTCTGAACGATCTCACGCTTGCCTTCAGTGGGATCAGGGATAGGCCATTTGCTATTAGAGTGTATACAGGTTAGCTTCTATGCTTTTGCCTTGGAAGGTTGGAAGGTCACAATCCAGACCACGAGTGGCTGAAAAGACAGGGGAGAAGCATACTAGACTTGGTAAGTTGCATGGGAGACATAGTCGACAACATTATGGACTTTGTCTGTTTCTTTAGCATCAACATAGGATAGAAGCCAGTTATCACCCATGTCAGTCTCCACTCTCCAGGTTAGGGCCAGGGTTCCATCCTCTTTGGCCATGTAGCATAGCTTGCCCTGTGGATCGGACATGGCTCCCGAAGTTCCCATGAACATTACTTCATGCTCATTCATAGTCTGGATTGTCGCTTTATCGGCGTTTATAGGAAGGTTAAGGGCCTTGCAAGCACCATGGAAGGCCTGCATGGGATCAGAGAAGTCTCGCTTCTCAACTGGTGCCTTATCAGGAGCAGGGCCGGTGTAGAAGGAGTGTCCCAAGGAAAGGACTTTTCCGTCTTTGCCAATCTATTTTTGGCTGATGAGCCGCATTGGTTTGAAATAAATGAATGTAGTGCTTGGTTAAACTTACATTGACGTTGAAGTCAGCGTTATCGATATCCATGCCGTGCATCGTCTGGCGGAAGTACACATGACTGATTCCGGACTCGCCAACATAGTGATCATCGACCATCCGGAAGGTCATGCCAGGCATCATACGCTTAACAACCTCTGTAGCGGTGTCAACATAGTTACCACCGCTGAGGGAGGCAATGGCAGGTTGTTTGAGCTTCATGTCATCTGAACTCATGTAGCTGGACCTGTCAGCCATGCGGTAGGCGTCAAGGTCTACGCCTCGGCCAGCGAGGTTTGTGCTTGGCTGAGGGTGCGCGAGGACATGGAGCGGCAGGCTAAGAAGCCCGGCGGCGGCGAGGAGGAGGCCGTGCATTATGGGGATATCAAGAGAACCTCAAAAGAAACTGGGCTAAGAAGATCTAGTGCCCTGTCAATAAGAGAGGGTTCAGTGTTATATTCCAGAGGAAACACTCTGGGGGTTTATATAAGTTCACATCTCTCTCGCTCGATACATCCAATGCTTAGATTTTCTAGATGTTTGGTTCTCCTCCGCTTTTCTGCTGCTGGGAGGATGCTTGTATGACCTGTTGATCAAGCCTCTCTTCACAGGCATCAGGCAAGGTCTCTGTCGCAAGGGGGCGTCGCGCCGCATGTTTCCGGCCAAGAGCGTCTCCGTGCCCTCTGACACATGCTGATCAGCTTTCATGAGGGACGAATATGAGATCAAAACCCCAAATAATTGATATCCATGTATCCTGGAGAATCGTATATCTCGGAAGGCAAGGCCGGTTATAACCAGGGAATGCATTCCAATGCCATAGCTTCCGCACCAGATCGTGGGGTAACCACTTCTTTGCAGGGTATAAATATGATTACATGCCATCAAAGGGAGATAGACATGTAACTTTGCATGATGGATGCGAGATGACACCCGTTCAGCTGGGACAAGGCCTGTTGGATCTGTTCTCCGCATGGGGACAGATAAGCAGGGCAGACACGGGATGTAACCCCCCAACAAGCTTGTTTTGTCGGTCGAGCAAAAAACAAAAATACAATATAAAAGAACCTGTGCAAGATTGCAAGCATAGCCTTGTACAAGCTCAGACATGGCAGGCTTGCAGTTTCGGCCGTGGAGGACGGACGGATAAACGGCCTTGGTCTTGGTATCTGTTTGGCTGTTCTTCGTTGGAGCCGCAGATCGAGATGGGGATGAGATCAGCTGCCAAGCTCAGCGCCCCTGAAGACGAAACATTCTCGAACCAACTTCTGACTATTTGTTGGATGTGATACTGAGATGTGATACCTCTGTCTGCTGGCACGAATTGTGGGATAAGATCACTGAGAGGCACGGAAAGTGAAGATATTCGCTGTGGGCATGTTTTAGCGCCGCGGTTCGTAGGGATGTTTTTCCCGCAGGAGGAGCCTGGCAGGTTTCATACTTCGTCAATGTACCAGCCATGGATGGGGTGCTTACTGGCATAGAAGTTGTCAGCGATTTGAGAGGATGATACCTGTCATCGTGACCAAGCATTTTGTAGACACGGAGATGACTGCTCAAGTCAGCTCGATGTCCAACCGATGACCACGGTACCGAGATGTGGGATGTAGGGATATCAGCAAAAGGATATCACCACCAAGACCTCGTATGATCTCTCTCTCCAATCGGTTTGGTCTGCTGCTCGTCCCGAGAAATCTTTCATACCCTGTCGAGTCCGCTGTTTAGGGCCATGACCCCGTATCGATACGGAGAACCTCCCTGCACACATGCAAGGCTGCAAATCCCGTTCGACCCAGCCGTTCTTTGTGGCTTAGGGACAATATTATTGTGCTGTCAGAATTATTATTATTATTTGGCGTATCTTTACCTTATTTGTGCTTTATGCCCTCCGCGGAAATTAGTGTCGTTCTACCCGAGTGAAGTGGTGGCATGGCTGAGACGGCAAGATCACTCTATGCAACTTTCAATCCAAATCCCGAGGCTGCACTGTCTCTGCTCCATGCATGTTACATGATAATTCTTTATCCGAACATATTTTGCATTCAGTAAGGCCCCGGCAGATCTATGGGAGTGATTTCATGGCTCTTCTGGTGCCGACGCCCTTTCGGGAAGACGAATCCTGCAGACGATAGCAAAGACCACAGCCCAGAGTGCCGAGTATCTGACGCTTGCTGTACTTTAACGCTGTGCTTTGGAGTTGGCTCTTTTTACTCATGATTCTTAAAAATCGCTAACTGCATTATTGAAATGTTATCTCTGCTCCTAATCCTTTGGCAACTTATATACTTGGCTGCTATCGAACTCATCGAACGTACCTGCAATAACTACCCAGTTATGAAGACCGGCACAGTCACGATTAATAGCAATATCACATATTTCCGTAAGCCTCATCCCATTCATTTCACCGTCCGTGTTGACTTCACAGAACTTGTTTTCATTAGCTTCGCTGGCCAGCCATGACTGCAAATATCCCAGCATTGTGTCCAAGTTCCAAGCGATGTATAATGCTCTTCCTGACAGTGTCTTCGCATTGCGGACAGCGATGCAGCAACCAAGAAAAAGACGCAGATTCCCCAAAGGGCCAGGTAAGACCGCGGCACGAGCTTGCGATAAAACGAACTCTTGATCGAAATTTAGAGGTTGAGATGTGGATGCCACCGCCCGAGACAGTGAATATACGTGCTTTCCGTAGGAGTTAGTTGATGCATAGTCCAGGGCTATCCTAAAATCTCCTGGTGATATTGAAGTTGCTATCCCTGCTGTCGTATTTGATATAACTGATACCAGACTTCCGTTGTTACATCCAGGAAAACCGGCACAAAAATATTAGTATCAAGGTTATAGCCAGTACTTTGGTTCTTGGGTCTCCCCGTTCGTCTCATCGGTTGTTAACCCAGGTCATTCCCTAGCTGATGCACCATTTGATATTCAGGTTTTCCTTGGATATATTTGTTTTTATGGTTTTGACAAGGATCAGACAACAAAAACAGCTTGCCTGAACACGCAGGAAATATGAAAGGCTATGGTACAGACTGGTTATGCCCGTACGATATCAGTATGGCCCAAATGATGGATTCAGGTCCTATGTTTGGCTGGACAAACCTGCAAAAACAGAAGGGAACCACTCCGAAGGTTGTGATAAAGCGCAAACATTAAAGTTTCGGGAAGTTTATTAGTAATAACAATTAACGCATTACATAATCATTGGCGCCTGCTTTGTGTACCTTTTGAAGATTCGAACGTCCATAATGGAGGGTCGTTCGGTTAGCCAGCTACCTGGACTGTCTCCTCGCAGTCAATGCCGTCAAAGCCGATTGTAGTTATGCTGTCTAAGGAACTACCATTGCTACAATTCGCTCCAGTGGTCAAGGCTTATAGCGGCATCACTTTATCACCAAAGATTTTCGAATGAGTCAGCATACCATTCTTAAAGCGGCGAGAGATTTATCTAAATCTGACCTAGGCTCCAGTTCTGATATGGATTACGTGATATTTATGATAAGAAGTTGAGAAGTTGTGAAGAAGCTGTGCATATCGGCATTCCCATAGCTGGAACTTTTTGGAAGCTCATGGAGCCCTAGTGCAAAAATTAGCTACAAGATGGCATCGACCTTCGCCTTTGGCTTTGGAGGTGACGATATAGAAGACTTGGAAGGTGTCTCTGATACGGATCAAAAGGCACCAAGTGTGCAAGAAAATAAAAATGATTTGATATTTGACAAAGCAGAGATGCTTAGGCTTGAGGATATGGTTAGTATCAAATCCCTATGTTCAGTTATTAAAATAAAACAAGGTAATAGGAGTTTGGAAAAGGACAATATACAGTGCAAAGTACTGTCATGATACCTAGTCCTACTCAAGCATCCCTTGACCACTCTAGACCATTATATCACCGGAGATTTTGGTTAATCCTTTACTAATTCTTTGTAGCTCGCTTCTCTCCCGTCTCAACTGGAGTTTAATATGCAGCTAATAGGTTCAGAATCAGAGGATCCGTTTCTAGTTGCTCGCCGAGAACTAATGGATATCCGTGTTCAACTAATGGCTGAACGGGACATGCTGAACGAGGGCGAAGATTTACTGGTTGGTTTACAGAAAGACGACATTAAACCTACTGTATATGAAGGAGGTTTCAAAACATGGGAATGTGCTTTGGATTTGGCAGCTGTCGCATCTCACAGCCAAGAAGGGTTTACATACCTAGATAACGGGGATGATATTACTATCATAGAGGTAAGGAAGTGAAGCTCGTTTTGCAAGATCCTCAATGCAAGACCCTATTGCAAATGTTCTTAATACTAATATCAATAGCTTGGAGCTGGCACTGCCATCCCTTCTCTATCGTTATTTCGATGCTTCTTAAAGCGTGGAGAGGCGAGACGCCGCAAAGTGCGCTTTGTACTTGCTGATTATAATGCTACAGTCCTGAAGTTAGCTACGTTACCGAACTTACTACTGACTTGGTATATAACTCGGCGGAGCTCAACAGAAGGAAACAATAGTATGCAGACTGATCCTGTTGTCGATCGTCTGCTAGAACTTGATCAAAGCCTTCTAGAAAGCTTTGTTCAGGATTTATCGGATCATAATATCACACTTTCATTTATATCAGGGGGTTGGTCCCCTGAGTTTGTCGACTTGTGTCTGGGCAAGCAGGAGAATATGGAAGACATGACGATGAGTGACCACCAACAGACTACAATGGGGCACAGGACACTTATCCTGGCGAGCGAAACTATATACTCTCCGCCTTCATTACTCCCGTTCACAGAAACACTGGTGTCACTGATGCGTAAAGCGCTTTCGGGCGAAGGATCAAGCATTGCTCAAGATCATCCTCCCGTCCGAGCGTTAATATCAGCGAAGAAAGTATACTTCGGGGTTGGAGGAGGGGTTAGTGAGTTCCTAAGCACTCTCAGGGACGTCGGAGGCAATGATGAATTCAAGGCATTAACCAAGCTAACGATCTCCGATGCTGGAGTAATGAGGACGGTCCTGGAGATCCTCCCTGGGTAATGGGTTGGCTTGAATGGCCTGCAGAATAAGGCGAAGAAAAAGGAAAAATACGGGACACATCTTGGGCTCCCAAAAAGAAGTGTGTCTGGCCTCAAACGGTATTCGCGATGATATCTATTATGTTTCCTTTTTTTTACCTTTTGGCATGTGGAAGTGCAGGGTATTGCTGTACAAACATACAAGTACGTGTCTTTCCTGGGTGACCAATGGAACAACCAAAATCTCGGGTATGGAATTTTGAATACAACCGGGCGCATCGAGTACTCAAAAAAAAAAGACAAAAGAAACTGACGTTTGTCATATGTACAGTGAGTCATAGTCACCACATTCAGGGTGGTGAAAAATTGCTGGGGATCTAAAATGGAGAGGGAAAACAATACATAATATAATCTAAAAATATCTTCCATCTTCGTACAGGGACTGGACCTTTCCGTCCTTCATGCGTCCTACTCTTGCCTTTTCCATTTCCGCTTGACGCTTTTCGTAGTGAGCCACAACAGCGGAGAGGTCCCCAGACGACCTGCCTGGGGACATGTTTATGGGAGAGCCAGTATTGAACAACCTGTAAGCATCAGAGTTAAAGGATTAGTTAGTGACGTGCAGATAATCGCCCGAGAAATTCAACCGGGGTAAATGACGTTATAACGCAGCATGTATGTTTGACGGAAGATGGGCGTGCAGAGCCGTAAGGATATGCAAGGCAACGTACTCGGGGAAAGACATATCAATAGTCAGTGGAGGATTCTGACTGTGGAACAGATGGCGGTCTGCGGCTGCTTCTTCAATTGCCCGGGTGTGGAGAGCGTTGTTTCGTTCCAAGACGGCCTCACTGGCAGTGAAGGTCTCGATGACACGGGTCAACCATGGCTTTGAGCTGGCATCAGACGTGGAGTATTTGTAGAGTGCCAGACCGACTGGGATAGAGGCGACCGCGATGTAGAATCCGCGCTATGGTATCAGACATGAAGTGTCAGTAGTGGCATGTATTTCGGTGTACGTTCATAGAAAACCAGCCAATTGAAACTATCATCCACCACAAAGCTACCGGAGCAACATATAGCGTGCTCCCCACGCCTTGAAATATTCTCAGGCCTTGGGCCGAGATAGTTATCATGGCAGCCGGGGATGGAGGAAGGGGGCAAGACGTACTCCGAGGTGTTCGTTGACGGGTTCATGGTGTGCGGAATGCGAGTCGAAACGGCGGGGTTGGCGCTGAACCAGGGCGCGCCTCGCCGGGGCGGTAGCTCTCCTGGCAAGAAACATGACTGACGCTTTCAATTGGGGCGAGAGCAAGGCCTGGTCGACGGTGTCGCGGAAATGCGTCTCTTCCAAGTCCTTTTTGCTGCTTGGAGCTGCGTTTCTCTCGGGTGAGGTTGAGATAGTTGCACGTGACTATTCATGATGACTAAGCTTAACACCAGAAAACTTTCTTTTTGCTTCTTTTTCCGACTTCAAAACATCAAAAAGCAAGACGAGCAACGAGAGACAGCACGATAACAGCACGAATACAGGCTCCCTGCGCCGTACGAAGGACGAACAAAGCCTTCTCGGTGCAAGACAGCGAGGAATATGGCGCAAGATGCAGAAGACGGAGGCTAGGAGTCTATCGTCGTCGCCTCGCGGACCTGATTGGCGATCGCGGGCGTGAAAAAAACGAGGCGGGAGTTCGAGATGGGGCTGCTGCACGCACAATTGGCAGGGCGACAGGCGGTTTGTTGTCGTTTGGGCTTCGATGCTGCTGCAGCCGACTGCTCTTGAAACGCATCCATCCCTTGACTCCCGCATGCTGAATGGCCAGCGAGAGGGAGGGATGGCCTGCTCTCGTCGTGTTGGCATTCCTTCTAGTACTCTGAACGGGGCTTCTGGCAACCGTTGTTACTATTTCATGACTCCCTGCGGTTGCGACCGCCTGCATCCACATCGCTACCCGACTAATGCACGGCGAGTTACGGTGGGCAGAAGTCGTACAGAAAAATAGGTTTTGTATAGTGATATTTGGTGCCCAATTTTGCCAGGGGGACCGCTGCCATTGGCTTCTCGTTGTCTTTATCCTGGATCTGGAGTGAATTGTTGCTGGATCACCCTTGACGTGGGTGCAATCCGATGCATTGCGCACACTAAATTTTGGCTTGCCCTCTTGTTTCCCAGCCGATATCTTCGAGTCACCGGTTCGGTGAAGTATTAGTTGCTGGGACTGTGCCCTCCTCGAGCAGGTTATTACCTGGTCGATTTCCGCTTGGGAATATTTCCTCCCTCAGAAATATTCTCGCTCACTTTGCATCTACGACGCTTTGATTTTTGCATTTCACGACAGCAGCGTTCTTGTTTTATTGCTCTTTTCTGTACTTTTATTCTTTTAGCCCTTAATATCCATATCCTCTCTTCATCTTACGAATTTATATCTTCCGGAATATCCATCGCATCTCCCGACAATATTCTCATTGCAACTCGAGAATTTTTTTTTTCTTAACGACCGACACCAGAGTTTGGTTTTCATATATTTTGCACAGGACCCTTTATACTTCCAGCACCTTTGAATCCGTCTGCTCTCGGGATACCATTAAGCATTAGGGGAACAATTGCCTGTCGCTGAAAGCAATCCTCCCAAACGCTTTCCCCACCTCTAAGCTCTTTTCACGAGAATATCGGAGTCTCGGTGAACAACCAGAACAAAAGTCCCAAAGCCTTACGAAACCGGCTCATAATTTGGTTGTTATAGCGCTTGGTAACGATGGCTAAGAAGGGGGCAAAGAACAAAGACAAAGAGACCAAGGCCAAGGGTGGCAAAGGAAAGGCTTCTAAAAAACAGCAAAAACAAAAACAGGAAGAGGAGGAAGAGAAGGTTCAGACCGAACAGCAAGCTCAGCAACCCGAGGATGACCAAAGCACATCCGTAGAATCAGAACAAGCCCAGGCACAAACCGAAGATCCGCTTCAGAAACCTGAGGAAGACTCGAAGTCTGATGAGGCTGCACAGCCCGTTGAAGACTCAAAACCTGAGGAAGAGTCAAAGCCAGTGGCTGAGGTAATACCCGAAGAGCCTAAAGCCGAGGAAGAGCCTAAGGTCGAGGAACCTAAGGCTGAAGAACCGAAGGTCGAAATTGAATCGACTTCCGAAGAACCCAAGCCTGAAGAAGAGGCTAAGGTCGAGGAGGTGGCGACCGAGGAGCCCAAGGTTGAAGATGAGCCCGTTGTTGAAGCTCCGGCTGTTGAAGAGTCACCATTAACCGAGGAGGCACCCCTGGCTGCGGAAGCACCAACAGCAGAGGAGACCGCCCAGGTTGAAGATGCTCCTATCGCTGGGGAAGTCCCTCCCGTTGAGGAAATATCTCCCGTAGAGGACGTACCAGTGACTGAAGAAGTACCAGTCGTTGAGGAACCGCCTAAGCTTGACGAAGAGCCTAAGGCTGAGGACGATCTCAAGGTCGATGAAGTACCGAAGGCTAAAGAACTGCCTGACGAGGAAGGAACAAAAGCGGATGATCAACTAGGCACGACCGAGGAACCAATACCTGACGAGCCCCAACCTGCGGAAGAGGCTGTTCCTACAGAGGAAGCAAGCCCTGAAGAGGCGGCACTTGAAGAAACAAAGCCTCAAGATGCCGTACCGGAAGTCGAAGAGAAATTCGAAAAAGCAGAACCTGAACCTGAGACACAGATTGAAGAAGACAAATTCGAGGAAGTAATACCAGAACATGAGGCAAAGCTGGAAGACAATGTGGTTTCAGATGTTGTTCCGCTTCCAGAAGAGGTTCAGCAGGAAGGAGACAAACAACCCGAACAAGCGACTGAGTCGGTGAAAGAAGGTGAAAGAGCTTGGGGCGAACAAGAGCAAGAAGAACAAGAAACTGTCATTGAGGCTCCCATTGCTCAAAAAGTCTCTTCACCATCTCCAGCTCCCTCTCAAACCCAGTCGTCTCCCTCGAAAAACCCATCTAAACCTCCTTCGATCATCCAAAGTCTTCCTCCACTGCCGAGATCCATTACTTCTACACCATCAAACTTGAGCTTAAGCCAAGCTTTCCCATCCCCAAAGCTCTCCTCCTCTGGGAGTCAAAGTAAGCCTGGAGGAAAAGGCACAAGCACGGTTGCAGGGGATGAATTCCAAGAAGCTGAAGAAATAGTCCCTCCGGTCGCCACAAATACCTCACATAAAGGCCGATCTGCTTCACCTCGATCTCAGTACGATGTAACTGACAGTGACTACCAAACTGCTTACGGGTCTGCCAAAACACCCACCACTAGGGCTGTATCAAACGGAGCATATTCACCATCTGACGTTCCTTTGCCTTCACCTTCTGTATCAGAAGCCAGGACAAAATCCGCTTCTCCCCCGGGACCTTCTTATGAATATACCCACCAACCGCAGCCTATACCTGCGGCCGCACCACACTTCGCCTATCCCTATCCATACGCCCATCTTTATCAGCAAAACTCCAACTACCCGAGCAGTCCAGTCATGGAACAGACACAGGCAAATGTGGTTACTCCTCAGTACTCACCTGTTATGCACCCTTCCCCACAGCCCAATTATGCAACTTCTTTCAGCCAGCAACAAGGCAGGAGAGCTAGTCGATCATCGAGGAGCCAATACGACTACTATTTTGGCAATACATCCCAGTACCGCTCTGCTCGGGAGTCGATGTCTCAGCCTACCGAGAATGGAAAGCCATACTTGAACGGTGAACGTGACCTTGCCGACACGGTTAACCTTCTTCATCGCATACAAAATGTTATCCCTGACCTTAACAAACTGGTTGTCAGCTATCGTGAGGCACAGAGTCAATTGTCCGCCAGGGAGGCCGAAAACAAGCAAATCGAAGCCCAACATGAACAGGCTCTCCTACACAAGGAGTACTATATCGAAGCTTTGCAGAACCAGATGAGAAAGGTTGCTAACGAACATGCAGAGGAGTGCTCCAAGCTAAAGGGTAAAATAGGTGCCCTTGGAGTTGAACTCAGTGATCTGCAAGAGAGAAATAGAAACACCGAGGACACATTAGTTGAGACTCAAAAGGCAAGGGACGAGCTGCTTCGTGCTCGCGATGAACTGGAAAGCGAGGTTGATCATATTCAGAAAGAGATCGAAGCAGCCCGCGAAGCACACGAACGCGACATTGCGAGGCTCAGAATGGAGGCTGAGAAGTCAGAAGAGAAAGCGCTTGCTGAGCAGAAGGAAAGGCTAGAAGACCTGTTCCAGGAAATTAAGAATGAAGATGACAGGCTTGCTGCTGAGCATCTCAAGGCTCGTGAGGATGAGCTTCTGGGCCAGCTAGCAGCGAAGCAGGAGGAACTGGATGCCAACGATGCGGCACTCAAGTCGAAAGTGGAAGAGCTCAGGGTTACACAGGAAGAACTGGATGAGAAGAAAGCTGAGCTTGCGGAGAAATTCTCGGAGCTCGAAGCCCTCAAAGAAGAGCTGGCGAATACGAAGAATGACCTTGAGGCCAAACAACAGGAGTGCGAGTCTAGACAAAATGAGCTTGAACTTACTCGAAAGGATCTCGAAGAGACCAAGCGTCATCATGAAGAGGAGCTCTCCGCCTTGAGAGATGCGTTGGACGTCCAAACCAACAATGTCAAGGAAATCAAAGAGCGTTTGGCTAACATGGTCCTCGAACACCGCAACCAAGAAGAGACCTGGCAGAAGGCCCGCGAAGGCTACGAAGCCCAGCTTAGCGAGAAGGCTGAAGAACTGAAGCTCAGCAACGAAGAGAAGGAGGTGCTCGAACGAGAAGGTCTGGCAAAGGAGGAGAGACTCCAGAGCATAGTAGAAGAGATGCGCCAGACCCATAATAACCTGAACAAGGACCGTGAGAGGTTGAAGAAAACGCTACATAGCCTTGGAGAAGCGACAGACATGAAGATGAAGGGAGACTCGTTCTTGTAAGTCAGTCGTTTCGGTGTATATGAGATATGATTGTATTGCCTTTGCCCACGAATTCCCTTTTTTATGTCGTTCATGTAGATGGCAGACTTCAGTAGCATGAGGTGGGCCAGACAAAAAGTCGTCGCATGTTTATCTTACACTTCTTTCTTTCTTTCTTTCTTTCTTTTTTTTTAATATTTCGTTTGCACAATAATCAACATTTTTTTGTGTTCATGGTCTAATAATTCATTCTTCTTTTCTTGATCTAGCATTGAGTCCTTTGCCGAATTGTCGCGACTTATCGTCGAGGTATCCAAGACTTACTTCACCTACCTCCCTATTGAACCACCACCGGATATCCTTGCCAAGATCCCATCTGATATCCCTCAATTTTTGGACAATACCCCAGCATCCCGAGAGCTCCGTGCTGCCTATGTCCAGCACGTCATTTCCAAGACCCTGACATATAGGATCTTCCAGCCTTTCCTGTTCACCCTGGGAAGACGATATGATAAGGCAGACACCTTTTTCCAGATGCTTTCTATTGACATCCGCCGCAAATCCGTTCGACGTGAAGCTTTCTGGAGACAGCAGACACTTAAGGCAGCATACACCACGTCTGATGCCAAACAGGCCATCAATGTCGTCGCAGCTGTTATCGTTGATGAGATTGTCGACCATATCCGCCACTTCACCGACCCAACGCATCTCGACGCCTTGTTGACAAATGTCCGAAAGATTGTCAAACTCGCAGCAGAGACATGGAGATTGGCTCGCGTGGAACGAGAATTGATCACAGCCACTATGCCGTCAGCTGAGGACGAGCAGACTGCAAATGAAGAATGGGAAGAGTTCGACTATGAGTCCAATGCACCATTGCCAGGAGGTGAAGGCGCAGCTGAGCCGCCGCTGATGCCAAAGAAATTCCGCCGTCCCCTTCTCCGAATGCTTCCTCGTATCTTCCGAGGAGCTGTGCATGAAGATTTCCTGACTGAAGACGACCATGAGAAGGCATCTCCCTGCACATACCTCCGAGGAGTCATCTTATATAGTGACTCGCCTTCTGTCCTGGCCAGACGGGCTGAGATGTTCAAGAAAAAGCCAGAGGCGGTAGGAGTGATTGACGATGCAGAAGATGCACGACTACGAGCCGCATCTGCCACTCCGCCCAACGCTAGCGGGAGGAGCCCTTCCCCGAAAAGCCCGCTTGGGAACCGATCGCCCAGATCAAGAAGATCAAGGGAGAGGGCTTTTGGCCATGATGACTAGAACAGGGGTAAGTGGGAATAAGGCTGAAGCTGGATTCCCCCTATCATCGGCGTCTATCATGTCATATTGCGTCAACTGTTTCAATGTGTTTCATGATTTCGTATTCAGTTTTTTTCTATTCTTGTTTCTTTTTCAACTTATCTCCAGATCGCATTTCTATCTCCCATTTGAAGTTTGACGATACGATATTTCTTCTTTGCCCTTGGAGCGTTTATTTATGGTGTTTCTGTTTCTCTGCATAGCATTGCACATCCATCGGTATGACACTTGGTAATTGTACAATTGACGACAGGGTTTGCTATGGCCACGGAGTTAGAAAGGCGAGATAATGATTTACTGATTTCTTTCTTTATCTTCTTTTATTCATATGGGTTAATTTCTCCTATCAGCTAGTTAGCTATTCATCATGAGCCACTCCGTAGAGGCATACCAGATTGGTTTTCAGTGTATCATCCTCGCCCCTTTCCCACACCTGTGGCGCAGTTAGGGTTCTAATTCTCACCATCGGTCACTCTTCACCTGCCGGTATCTGCCTTGGCCGTGGACGGGGACAGCAGGCTTAGTTGCCGGCCCGCCTTGACCTTCACTCCTTATACTTACGCGAGTCCTCCCACCCTTCATCTGATCTAAATACTCCCGTACCCTTCCGAATGACCACATCAAAGTGTCAAGGCAAACACGCAGATGCTCTCTTCTCTTTTCACCCCCTACTCCCTCGCCGGCCCCCCTTTTTTTATAGATCCAAGTCGGGAGGTGGTTAGTTAAGGTTGCGGATCATGTGACGGCCCGTTCTCCCCCTGTTGTTAATTTTGACGTCCAACATCGAACGTCCGACTGCTTGCTTGTTGTGCAGCAAGTAGACAGCATCCGGGCAGCGGACGACGGAGAAGAGGAAGAAGCGGAGGAAGAAGAAAGGTGGCAAGGCGAATAATGGACTGGGCTGCTCTGGCATTTATGACTGCATGAAAGGGCCAAAGAGCGTACTGGGCGTTTCCCCGAATCAGCCGCGTGCTGCGCCATTCCTTCGCATTTGCTGGGCGAGGACCGACAGGGAATATTAATAATTAGCTTGCAAAGGCTTGCAACTAAAGGCTCAGCCAAGCAGGACACGAGCAGGACCGACAAATCGCATGGGAGCCTGCCTGCGTGCAATCCCGCCTGACGAGGTCCAGTCCAGCGCTGCCCGATATTCACATCCGTTGGATGGAGAATATCTTCCCCTCTGCTCGCCGATAACCTCAGCACCGAACTCGACCAGCCCAACTCCCGTACTCCGTATTCTCATAACAATACTCCGTACTCCGTACATACATACAGGAGACAGAAGATACGGAACAGGGAGAAAAACGAAAACAGGAGATCGATTGGCCCGAAGTTTCTGTTGTTGAAGGCGGCTGCTGGATCAATCAGATTAGGTGGAGTCGCCTGTGTCATTCCCGCCCCGACCACTGGATTCTCTCGAAAGTCCCATTTATTCTCGCCATTTATTGTTGTTATTGCGGTGCACGGTACCGTACCAACCTTGATTCGCACCCAACTCTCTCTCGCTCTCGTACGGAGTACCTCCAGCGACAAACATCTCCAGCTTCATTTCAACTGACTTTGGCAGCGAGACTCCTTTCGACGGCTCTCTACCGGCCTTTTGTTGGTGTAGCCGCGATTAGCGATATTCCTGCTACTGCTGTTTATTTTTTGCTTGGGAGGTTCCCCGAAAAGCACCTCGTATCTACGGAATAGGCCGCTCGACCATTCATCGCATTCCATCATATCCCTCCTTCTCTCTCTCGGCCATGTTTCCTTTCTGCTGTTGAGGCATTGTACCATCCTCTGCCATCTCGTTGTGCTCGCTCACACGGACTGGTGAACGTTTGCGAATCGGTTGACAAGGCTGTGACCTTCGCCATCGACCCTTAGCCCAGGCAGAACTCGATCACACCAAACGAGGAGCCTAGTGAATCGAGCGGACGCAGGACAACAACCACCTGGGGCCTTTCACTCGGCCTCCTTTGGGAATAACGCCTAAGAATCTAAAGAATGTCGACAGGAACCTCCAAGCAGGTACTGAGTATAGATCGAGGTCTACCTGTTCTAGGGGAGGAGAACTTTGATGATCCGTTCTTGAACCAGCTCTCTGACGCTGAACTATCCGGACTCCATCAGGTACCGACACCCTTTTCCTACTAGGTACAATCAAAGTAAACGTAGAGGTAGACTCTTTTTTTTTTTTTTAGCTGACAACGAAATAGACAACTCCTGACTATTTTTCTGACTCTTCGAACCATTATCAACAACCAGGTGTTTCTACAAACCCCAGTGACCTCACATCACCCTCTTCTCAGCTAGATTTTCTGAGCTCTACCGAACACACTGAGCACGGTCTGAGTGATTTCACACGCTTGACTTCGCCAGACTTTGATGCTCCTTTCTTTGCCTCTGCAGACCCTCATTTGAAGGCAGAAGCAGCGGATGATACTAGGGTGCTCTGGGTCAACCCTCATGATATCGACAAGAATTCACCTGACGGAAATAACTATACGCCACAGAAGAGATATGTCGGAGCTGGGACTGGGGCTTCGCAGCTTCTGAGTCCTGTACCCACAAATACACCAAGTCCTATTATTAACCCACAGGTTGATCAGCGTGGGCAATACTCAACCAACGAACAAACCGCCGTTTCCCCCCAGTCAATGACGGGTGACAAGCCGTCGCGAATGACTGCCACCTCGTCCCATAACCCACCTACACTCATCACCCCCAATAATACGAGCAAGTTGCACCCTTCAAATATTCAGCCTGGTATGGATCATCAGGCCAGCCCTATTGTGAAGGTATCGAGCTTCACCCGAGGTGATTCTCCATCAAGAGCGGGTGACCAACTAAACCACGCATCAAAGCAGTCCGCAATGGATAGCGGACGCCTCTCTCCTGCCAGGGAGACCCGGGAAACCTTCTTCGATAGCGATGATGAAGATGAAGATGAAGAGGAGAACGACAACCATAATAACCAGAAGAAGCCCTTTTCAATTCCACCTCCTGCAAGACGGCTTGATGATGGTAGTTGGTCCAAAAATCCAACTACCGGACATGGTGGATTGGACCCCACCGCAAGAGAAGATGTTTATGTTCCAAGTTTAAAGGAGTTAGCTGCGCAACGGGAGAGAGATGAGAGGAACGCCGAGGTTGCACAATGGATAACGCATAGCGAAGCACATGGCGATGTTGATGACAATAAGCTTTGGAACTTCCGGTCGCGGCGCAAAAACAAGTCTGATAAAAACAAACGGCGGGCTAAGAGCGCGGGAGACCCTTTCTTAGGCGCACAAGACGGTTTCAGTTCTAGGTTTGCCTATCAAGATTTTGACGACTCTGCCATCCCCGGCCCTGGAGTGCTTATTGATGAGGATAGTGGCATGGAAGATGATGAAGATGACTCCTCTGCTGCATCATCCAGTGTTCCAGAGTCACCTCCAGCCAGCGTCCATCCCGAACTTGTGGACGATGATGAATATAATGCTCCTACTACTATTCCTGATGCAGAACTTGAGCCACTACCAAATCAATTTCTTCGCGCTCGACCATGGCAGGATTCAATAAGGAATACCCGTGACGGCACCACAAAGTTCCAGCCTACAACATCCAATGCTGCTATCATGCGTTTCTTAAAACGGGCTGACAGTACCGACACTGCTTCTCGTGCTGCCACCTGGGGAACGCGCGGTCCTAGTGAATGTGACGTTGAGAGTATCATTGGCCCGAACGGTCGGTTTAGCACAATCCGAATTAGTGAAAAGAAAAAGGACAAGCCTATGAGGAGAAACAGCCTTCTTGAACACGCGAGAGGATTTTTGCCCAAACGGAGCAATAGTAGCTCAAAACGGAAACATCAGCTAGATTCGAGTCAACGAAGCCTAACACCAGAGCAACCACCTCCATCCTCTTCCGATGGCGCTGCACAAAGCACCAGCTCCCTTGTTCCTCAGCGCAAGTCCAGCTTTAACAAGGGCAACAAACATAACACTGGAGGAGCTATACTTGCAATGACCGGACAAATGGCTACCGTTGGGCGTGGTGGAGGTGTTGGTGTCCCGTCACCCGCGGTGACAGCTTCAAATACTCCTTGGAGCCATATTAAACGACGCAGCCGAAGCAAAAGTGACCTCACCAAAGGTGAAGGTCCCGGAGGTTTACTTGACCTTATAGGAACCCATGGAGGACCGCCCATCCCTACTCTTGCGTCCCCGAAACGAGAGAAGGGGGCCAGTGCAAGCCCTCTTCAATCTAGATCTCCTCACGATAAGCCCGAGGAAAATGATCTCGAAGGAGACGATGACGATGATGATATGGGCAACGAAAATGGAGTCACGATGGAGTTCCCGGTTCGATCTGACCCGATTGTGCCAACGCTCGAAGGATTCAAAACCCACGTCAGACAGCTCAACCCTCGACTGCAACCTGCATTAATCGAGAGAATTGGGCAAGAACAAGTCCGGCGATATAAGAGATTGGTTGAACTAAGGTTGAAGCACACACAAAACGTTAGCAAGAACAGCTGCAGTGCGGGAAAGCACTGCTTTGCCCAAGGGGGTGAAGCCGTCATGTTACCACCTAGAACCAGCCCCAAAGACCCCGAAGCTACATACGCTCAGTTCCAAGTTCCTGGAGCGGCGGTTACTCCCGAGGATTTGGCATCTTTTGGTGAAGGTGCTATCACGCCCGCCTTATTCCCCCCTGGGGTTCCTCTACCGCCTGTCAGGCGTCTTCCTGCCGAGTTTGAGTGCTCTCTATGCTTCAAAGTTAGGAAATTTTTGAAACCTTCCGATTGGACAAAACATGTTCACGAGGACGTCCAACCTTTCACTTGCACCTTTCCAGACTGCACAGAACCAAAATCATTCAAACGAAAAGCTGATTGGGTGCGACACGAAAGCGAACGACATCGCCATCTAGAGTGGTGGACATGCAACATGCCAGACTGCTCCCATACTTGCTTCCGCAAAGACAATTTCGTCCAACATCTTGTTCGGGAGCATAAGATGCCTGAGCCAAAGGTGAAAGCAACAAAGATCAAGAGCAAAAATCAGCAACAAGATGGCAATGGCAACTCTCATGAAGCCACTTCCCACGCCCAGGCTGTAGAGCAGGTTTGGAAGCTGGTCGAGATTTGCCGCCAAGTTACGACTAAGCAACCAACGGACGAGGCCTGCCGGTTCTGCGGAAATGTATGCAATAGCTGGAAGAAATTAACAGTCCATATGGCTAAGCATATGGAACAAATCGCAATGCCCGTGCTGGAACTGGTTAACGATAAAACATCCAGTGGAGGTGCCATTGGGTCTTTGGGCCACGCAGCGACTACACCACAATCCCAGAGGAACATGTGGACTCCAACTAACCACGCGAACCATAGTGTAGAGAGCACGCAGACCACTCGTGCACCAAAGCCCATTACCTACGGTACCGATGCTCTCTTGACTGAGGCATTTGGACTCCCTCGTGAGCCGGTACCCAGGGAAGCACCCCAGCAGCAAACCCCTGAATACGCAGTCTTGTCGCGAGCCAACCTAAAGCAGCAGCAATACTCAGTTGGGCGCTCATACACCATGTCTCCGTATCTGCAAGCCCAACAACACTATCATCAAGCGCAGAGTCACACTCATAAGCAATACTCCAACCACCTCAATTCCGCCTCGTACCCTCCGGCCTTCTCTACTCTGCCTCAAGACCAACAATCCATTAATGGACTTCCCATGCTCCAGCCCCTTGCAGAACAAGGAGAACCTGCTATATCTGGCAACGATATGTACGGCGATATGGGTGGCATATCTTCCAATGCGCCAATCCTAGACACTAAGTTCGAAGGGGAGCAAATTTTCGCTTCCCCGGTCGATAATGGATCTTATATGTATGCGCCGACGGGCCAGGAGGGCTTAGAATACAGCATGGGTGATAATGGGATGACCTATCACCCCATGATGAACACCGTAAATGGTGGATTCATACAAAATCCGCAGTATAATCATGGGAGCTAGTGGCTGAAGCCAAACCAGGGCGTTTTGGCGAAGTGATCTTTTTCTATTTTGGTGTATTCGATATTTTTAGGGAGTTTCCTTGATAACATGCCGAGTCTTTTCGTCTTTCGACTCCATTTTGTGAGCTTCTATTTCTGATTCTTTTTTCTTTTCTTCATGGTATCTTGCCTGACTTGTTTAGAAGTCATAACCTCAGCAACTGCCCAAACTTATGTCCCTGAATGTGTTTTGGATAATTGATGTACCAACATTCATATAATTTCACTGATTCTCAATTGATTTAGCCATATATATTCTCCTTGTTTTGTTGACGATAACCATGGGGAGGGCTAAGGAGAAGGAGTTCGACTCGTGCAACCCGCCAATGGCTGGTTATTGCTACCGCCACCACTCATATGATAGGGGTAACAACTTCTGCACAACCCCCGCGTCGGGCAAACGGAAACCAGATACGTTGGGCCCATACCTTTTTTTTTTTACGGCCAGGAATAAATTCCACACAGGTTACAGAAGACATGGCCTAAGCACATAGCTAAGTCGTCGTTTCTGGGGAACTGAACGTTGACATCGCTTTAAGACCAACCTCAGGGGAAATAACGAGCCGTTTAACTAACGTTTGGGAACTTTGCAACGTCAAGTTATCCCTGAAGAGTCACCAATATCATGCGGAACTCCCGAGCTTTGATTCCCGAGTTGATCGTCATGACGCCTTTCATATAGAGTTTAAGCTCCGGCTTGAATAAGGATAAATTAAACCATGGTATGCTGTGGTCCCTCTCATCTCGTTCGCATCTCCCCTTTTTCATGAGAGTTCCGTACGTCCTAATGCAATTTGGCGACATGCCGAATCGCTATCCGCTATCTCCTATACCAATATTAACCGTTTGCTCCAGTATAATGGACGACTCTTCGGAGCCCTTCGAAGGCTCAGGGGCAACGAGTATGTGGTGACGCCCGATAGTCTCCAAAACACAGTCGCACAGAGAGGATTGGCCACGTCGGTTGGCCCCTGAGCTTAAACTCAACAGAGTTTGCTAGAAGCTTGGTTGAAGCTTCGGTCCCGTTCATCCATACCTCGTCGAAACGGCCTGAGGTCAGCGAAACGCTTGCATACCGCAAACGCTGGTGATTCTACTGGCGTAGGTACGGAGCATGGGCGCCAACTGATACCCCTTCATTCTAGAGACGTCTCGGGACTTCCGATGCCACATTACTGGTTCGTGCATGGACGGGGCGGCATGTCTTCATATATAAGGGTGCCCACTGCTGGCTTATGGCCTAATCCCCCAGCTATGCTCAAGCAATTCGTCCACTCTTTTTAACTATGTTTTTTTTAAAGGCGTTGTCGCCGTCCTCTCTTTTTTTTCTGCAGTAAATGCTGCTCCGCTTATGAAACCCAACAATGGTACAAGGAACTATATTCCAGACTCCTACATCGTGCTTCTGAAAAGGGATATCTCCCATGATGACTTTGAATTGCATAAAAGATGGGCCAGCGACGTTCACAAGAGGGACGTGGCTAAACGAGGTATCTCATTTTCTGGAATTGGGCATTCCTGGGCTACGGGCTCTTTTAGGGGATACAGCGGGGTCTTCAGCCGCGACACCATCGAAGAAATAATGAAGCATGAACACGTATGACACATTGTGGTATTTCTCTTGTGTAAAAGGCTGTTGGCTAACCATCCCTACGATAGGTTGCACACGTCGAGCGAGACCAAATAGGTACATCCCAGGGCTGGGTCACGCAGTCGGGTGCTCCAAACTGGGGACTTGGGCGGCTTTCAAACAACAGTCCAGGAAACACCGATTACACCTACGATGAGAATGCCGGTGGAAATGGAGTCGTCTATGTTATCGATTCCGGCATCGACACCATGCACCCAGAGTTTCAGGGACGCGCAACTTGGGGTGCAAACTTCATTGACAAAAACAATGTCGATTGCTGGAACCATGGAACGCACTGCGCAGGTATCATTGGAAGTGCGACTTTTGGTGTTGCAAAGCTCACAGCACTGATTGCCGTCAAGGTACTGGATTGCAACGGCCAAGGGCCTTACAGTGCTTTTGTTGCTGGGCTCCATTGGGCTACGAAGCACGCCCAAGACAATGGCTTTATCGGCAGAGCGATTATCAACTTTAGTCTTGGTGGTGATAACTCGCCTGCGGTAAATCAGGCACTGGAGGAGGCCCAGAGAGCTGGTATCTTTGTCTCAGCAGCTGCTGGAAACTTCGGCGTGAGTCATATCCTTTTACTAGCAGGAGTAGCTTATCGCCTGGCAACTAACTTCTGATAACTATAGTCTGACGCCGGGAGCATCACACCCGGTGGCGCTGGCCTAATCTGTGTTATTGGCAATTCGGACGATCGCGACTATAGATGGACTGGGCAAGGTCCATCGAACTTTGGAGCCAGAGGTAGGTCATGTCTCGCTTCTGCATCCCTGGAAAGCGCAAAAACAGGAACTATACCGTCTTTTTATAACAAGTTCTGACTGTTACAGTTGATATCTTTGCCCCTGGCACTAACATCCTGTCTACCATCCCTGGGGGCGGCAGTGGTGTGATGACGGGCACCTCCATGGCTGCTCCTCACGTTGCTGGCCAGGCTGCTATCCTAGCATCTATATCTGGCAGCGGCTTTGATCTGGGGGCTGCATGCGCCTTCTTCAAGAACAGTGCATCTGCGTCTGTCAAGAATCCTGGGCCCAACACCACCAACAAGCTACTTGTCAACGGAGCCAACGGGACTAAAGGTCCAAAGCAGGGTGAGAACAAGCCGAACAAACCCCCAGGTCAGGACGAACAACCAGGCCAGAACAAACCCCCAAGTCAGAACCCGCCTCCAGGCCAGAACCCGCCTCCAGGTCAGAACCCGCCTCCAGAACAACCAGCTCCAAGCCCACCTGCAAATCCAGGCGATGAGCCAAATCCAGATGGTCAACCATATCCAGGTGATCAACCAAACCCGGGCGATTCAGGCCCGTCGTGGTGGATGCCATCCGGCGGCCTCCAACCGCCAGCGTGGTGGAACAGACGACCTTCATTTGGGGGCTGGAATCGGCCAATGTGGTGGAACAGGCCTCTCTCTGTGTGGAAACTGTGAGCGAATGCAGTCTGCAGGTTTCTCTCTGATTCGCTTTCTCTGTAGATATCTAGACGCGAGCGGGCCTCATATTCTTACAGAGCCCCGAGAGCAAGCCTCTCGGTTCTCACTCCGTTCATTATCAATCACCCATTCCTTATCTAAGTGTATATCAACACCATTTAGCTCCCTTTTAGTTCTAGATAGAGTACTGTGTACACAGTTTTCAATATATACTTTGTTTTAGTTCTTTTTTATCCGCTTTCCACCTATATTTCAGCAGGCTCAATCAGCCAAAACTCCCTGAAACTCCCTGGCTAAGCCCCCTTCGCTGCCCTGGGTTGTTTGATATCTATTCAATCTACTTCCGTCACTTTTGCACTGCCTCTGATCAAAAATAAACAACCAATCAAAAATCCAGGCAGGTATCCAATAGAAAAAGGCCACTATGTTTACTGCCTTTTCCATTGGCTGCTTTTGACGAAAAGGCTCGTCTTTATGCAGTCTGCCTTCCCGCAGCTCTTTTTCCTGCGCTCTGATTGGCCAGACAACCCTCTCAGCCTCAAAGGCAAAATGCGCTGCCTTTTCTTCGCCTGCAGCGACGCCGTTCTGATTGGTTTTGCGGTCTCGAGGATGCTGGATGCCTTGCCAGGGAGATGCCAGGGCCGCTGAGGACGGTCGAAATAACTAGCTGATAGTTATTTGAGCGTCTCTTGTCCCTGGTTGAAATCCCCCCAGCAAGATGTTGGGCGACTTCACTACTCTCTGCCGTCTTCTCCTCAAAGGAAAGACCCCCCTATTTGCCCATCGTCTTGCTTTCCCCCTGGCAGGAGGTGAGAGAGAGGGACCCTCCTGGCTGCTGCAGCCTTGCGTCCTCCGTACTACTGCTCTTCGCCTCTCGTCTCTCTCCTCCTATCAAAACGGGAGCAGAAGTGGGTGAGATCTTTGACGTCTCAAACCTCATTCATCATCGACCATTATCGGGACCCCGAAGAGTATATGAGGCCCGAGTTCACTGTATATATATATATACATATACTTCCTCCCTCAGCTCCCATAATAGTGGACGAGTGTCAGTCTCTCTTCTCTCCGGGTCTCTTTGGCAGGTTTGATGACTCTGCTCGATGCGGAGTATGCTCACTCGCTCGACATACTCGTCTTCGCCCTGATGCCCAGGGTCTTCCAAAGCATTGAACGGTGATGCGAGATATAGTTCCACTTTCTTTGGATAGCATATTCCCTTCCCTTCCCTTTTTTTTGCTTTATTTCTTTTGCTTGAAGCCCAGTTTTATTATAGTCGATCAAGACATTCGGATCCTATAGTTCTGTTCATGCATTGCAATCAAACAGACCATGAACCCCAACGACCAGTTCTTCCTAAGCCCTTTGCTCCAACCCGCTGAGTTTGCCTCGCCCACGCAGACGTCCCAGGAGACTGACAGAAACCGGAATGTGAGCCAGACTGACTTTCTTCTGGGGATCCGGCAGGATGAGGGTTCAACACAGCAGCCTCAGTTATCCTATCCCTCATCTGTCACCATTCCTGGGCTTGAACCAAATACACAGCCCACTACTCCTTTACAACATCCTGCCGGTGACGTGCAGCAGCCTTTTTATGGGCAAGGTCAGACCCTGGCCGGGTCTCCAATCTTCCCTCCCCGGTCTAATATCACCAATATATCCCCTATCAGTGTTCCGGATACCCGTCCGCTAAACTACTTTTCACTCCAACGCAATCCACCACTTGGTACCAATATCACGTTCGCAGATATAGCGCAACAATCACAAGCATATGGTCAACAATATCACCTCCCTGCACCGCAGACGGCAACTCCATGTGCCGGCCCTACTGGCGGTACCGAACTTCGGACCCGGTCCCTTTCGGATTCGGGGTATATGTCCAGGATTTCCGGAATATCTGGCAATGCTTCATTCCAGGGAACTTTGGCTAACATACCTCAGAGCCCTCAAACGGTGTCTTTCAATCAGCTTCTTCAACCAGGATACACTCCTGGTTCGCAGTACACCCCTGAGCCCCAACCTGAGGCCAGCTCATTCCTCAATGAGCCAACCTCGCAACCTAAGCCAAGGAGGAAGAGAAAGGAACGTAGGGTTTTCTGTCCAGAGAAAGATTGTCCTTGGACGGGCCGCTGTCCATCGGAACGAAAGTAAGTTGAAAGTACATGTCTTGTAATATAGATCATAGGAATACTAATATCACCGGCGTTCTTAGAAAACATATCCATCAAAAGCATACAAAACCGCATGCATGCGACTTCTACGGCTGTACTATGACGTTTGGCTCTGGTAGCGACCTGAAAAGACACAAGGAAAGCCGTCATCCATCCGAGCGCACTCCACAGTACAAATGCTTTGCAACAAAAAAGAAGTCATGCCTTGAAAGTACTCATATATTTACAAGAAAGGACAATTTCAGAACACACCTTGTCAAAACCCACGGACTTACTGAAAGTGAAGTGGCCGAACATATCGTCTTATCCAACAAGTGGCTCTTTGACATCAAAAGGGGGTCGATTGAAACGCGTGAGAAGACTCTGCAGTCTCCAGCCCAATTTGACTCTCACGTCCAATCTACTCACCCTCAGCCGCAATACCCTGCCAGTGTTGATATGAATCTATTACGACAACTTAATCCCGCAGACTACAATCCAGTAGAAGATGCACTAGGGGAAGAGGAGTACCTTGATATAGCTAGAAGATTAGAGGAGGACCTGGAAAGCATTATAAGCGACTTCCGCAAAAGTAGTGGCGACCTCAACGTACCCGGTATTCAAGAGCCTGTGGACTACAATGGACCGAGCACCACACCTGGGAATTCCTATGTAAACTTGGCTGACAACCTAATTGCCCGCAATTCAAACCAGCAGACATCGTATATTCCCCGGAGTGAGAACTCCGATGAAAGAGAATGGTCCCTGAGAGAAGTTGAGCGGAACTTTCAACAACCCGTAAGAGTTTGCCGCAATCTTTCCTAGCCATCCAACCCAATCCTTATCTCGCTAATCTCATTATCGTCCAGACTACCACGCAAACTGTTGTTGAAAAGGAGAAACATCCGTGTGCCGAGCCAGGCTGCAATGCTTCTTTCAAAATTCCTTCCCTCCTGAAGTATGTAATCTATTTTATAAAGCTTTTTATCATTGTGGGGAAATAACCCTCATCTATAATCTTATAACAGCCAGACTAAAATGTTGTCAAAATTCTAGGAAGCACAGGAAACGGCACCGTAAGCCTTACGGCTGCACATTCAAAGATTGTTATAAGTCATTTGGCAGCAAAGCCGACTGGAAACGCCACGAATCCTCACGCCACTCCCACCTTGAACGCTGGCGCTGTGGTGACCCAGATATTACAGACTCCTCAAGAAGTTGCGCTAAAATGTTTGAGCGTAGAAGCTCATATGAATTCCATCTTAAGGTCCACGGGATCGACGATGAAGATGAAATACTGCAGCGTCTTAATGCCAATAGGATAGGAGGTGACTGCCAGTTCCGATTTTGGTGCGGTTTTTGTAATGCTTTGGTGCCCATATCTAGGGAGGGTTTTGCTGCCTTGATCGAACGATTCGATCACATCTATAACGAGCATTTTGAAAAGGGGCAAGATATCTCCACCTGGATTCTCCCAGATAGCCATCTTACCAAAGGCGAAGCAAAGCCACAGTCTCTTGGAAGGGCCCTACGGTACGCTGCCAGCGCGACGGAAACCACAATATCCGAGAGTGTTGATAGCAAGTCGCTCTTCGAGGACGTACCAGAGACAGAAGAGACCGGCGCTGCTCCTTCACAACGTAACATCCGTCAAATTCGAACATTCCGCGCAAGCTCAAGAGGAAGACGTTCGCGGGTCTCTATGTCACCACCAAAGAGCCTAAAGAGACGACGTGAAGATAGCAGGCCGACTCCAGAAGCCCCATCTGCCCCTACAACTGAAGCAGCCCCTGAATTGCAGCTACCCACGGATCAATTTTCACGAGAGCTGGCAAGCCTTGAGGAAATCGGTACTTTCGATTTCGATGGCCTATTCAACGACGATACTATGCCCACCTGGTTCCTGGGATCTCCAACTGAACCATCTTAACGCCATTTGCGCTCCTCATCGACCCTCTTTTATTGATGTTTTCTATTTTTATCTTTTTGACGTTTTACCATAACCGAAAAAAAAAACCTTGATACCATTAACGACCTGACTGCCACGATTTTTATTATGCTGATGCTTCTCTTTGCACCATTCTCTGCTTCACAGCCTTCCTGTTTTCTTGCTCCCCTTCTGCCATGAAATACCGGCTTCTCGCCCGAACGGCACGACGTTTGAAGCTGTTTAGTTGTTTTAGGGGCTCTATATAAATCTCATTCAACATATAACTCCAGAGAGGAGCTGTGAATTTTGACTATCGTTAACTTTCTTTTTTTTTTTTTTTTTTCTTTCGTTTGTTACCTGGAAAGTCCATACCGGATTATTTTTTACTTCATTGGTTGCTTCTACACAGTCAGGATGCTAGACATATCTTGTTTTCGATGTTCATATGTTCAGCGTTCTCTGTCTGATCGGTTATGGGTCAGTTTCGTTGTGCCCCTACATAGACTAGCATTCAATATCTGCTCCTCCCGTGTGGAAGCAAGTAGAAAATATATATATAGATGTTGTGATCGTTCACAACTTTGATCCGTCCTCTTGCTTTTCACCAATTAATTCCATAAAACTTCCGTGTACTTCTTCGGTCAGGTCACCCGCCTGCATGCTTCGACCTTTCGCTAGAAACGCCCTCCTGGAGCATTCTCGTGTAATAGCGCTGCCTGCCCAGGCAGCTAATAACAACGTAGTTTTCCTTGACATCTTCTTGCCATCGTTGTTGTCACCGTAAATTTCATTTTTGATCGTTTGAGCATCGTTTCCAGAACCTTCATCAGCGCTTGAAGTTGAACCATCGTCCCAAAGCCCATCATGATATGCTTTCCTCCAGGCCATGAAGGTTCCCAGCGAACCGGTAAGGGTGTCGCCTTGCCCACCACTTCGTTTCTTGCCGCCTTCAACGTCAGATATAATGGATATGTCACCATTAGAAATGACATCATGAGGTCCCTTTTGGATAATTAAAACGCCGCCTAGCGCCCGAGACAATTTCTCACATGCCTCAGACCTGGATTTCTCCTTGTCTGAGTCAGACTTGCCCTCACTCGATGGGGGGTCAAGGCCAACTGATTTGCTGAGTCGAGCAAATTCCACCACATTGGGAGTCAATATACACTCTTTATAGCCGTGTACTAGCTTAGGGTCGTTTTGAACAAGTATCAAGGCATCGGCATCCATGACCAAGGCAACGTTTTGTTTAATTGCCTCTTTGATCACACTGGCTGTTATCTTCTGAGTTAACGGGTCACGACCAAGGCCTGGTCCAACGACAAGGACATGAAGACGGGGTAGAAAGTCAACAATTGGCTTGACGTGGTCTGACACGCTCTTATTCGGGGTATCATTCTGCACGCTTGAGCTGCTCTGTAGAATCGGATGAACCATCAAATTTGGTGAATATGTTTTGATTACTGGCGCAGCAGATGGCTCGCATATAACATGGCTCTTCGTTGAATTTGTTAGTAGGATATTCTCTCTCAGTAATGTAGGTTGCCTTACCATATCACAGCCTAGTTTTGCTGATGCCATGGCAGAGAAGTAAGGAGCACCAGTGTAACTAAATAACCAACGCCAACAGTTAATAAAGGTGTTCTCTCAATATTCCATAGTGAATACGGGATCATTCACGAAATCTCATCAATTTATTACTAGGATGCCATCCTCTGAAGGATGATTACTCTGCAAATTGTAGAGAAATTCGAGGGTATGACATGGGAAGGCATACTCAGAACTCCCTCCTATAACACATACGCGGCCAAGTTGGCCTTTTCCATGCGTGTTAGCAAAGTGATGACCTGTGATGTTGCAACAAAAATCTCGAAGATATAATCCAAAAAATATGGAATCAACCATCGCTTACCTTTATGGAATCGTTCTAGCATTGGCGGGACAATCTTACGGACCTTGTCGAGGATAGCCTTCGATGCCGACGACATATTTGGAGATGTAGCAGCAGACATGGAAGCAAGATAATATGCTTAGAATGACGGGTATCGTAATATACCTATTCATGGATGAGTGCGAGTGTCCGTATCCAGGAGACGGTGGTCGGGTGTTGATGGTTGTAAGTTGTGGTCAAAACAAGCTTAAATGAATAAATAGCTAGCTAGTTATGATGTCACTGTTTGGTTATTTGGTTATCGATAACCAAGCTGTACTTCTAGATTGTTACATGGATTGCAAGTGGTAGGGAACAAGGAAGAACAATGAACCCAGGAGATTTATGACTTGATGATAAAGAGAGGAACAAATAACTATGGAACAAACAGCCTTTGATGATAAGCGCCTATGAAAAGCCAGTGAATTTCTTATGGCGCCCATGCTCCCTCCATGCTATAACAAAGAAAAGACCAGAACAGTCGTACAATCATACAGTGCAGAAAGAGTGAAGGTCGCTAAACAATTAGTAGAACGGGATATTGGACATCGCTAAAGCCATAGCGGGTATTGCTAAGGCTAATCAAAGGACAAATCAGTGAAATTAATAGGTCTGGCAGTGAATGGTTTAGGGCGGGTGCCTATGCTGTCTTGTAGCAATAGGAGGTAGATGCCCTGGATTAGCGCCGTGACTTAGCAAGCGCATTCAGTTTCATCTTGCGCTCCATCTTTTCTTTCTTTGCTGCCATCTCGAGCCTTAGCTCTTCGGCATCCTCTTGTTTGGCAATTCTTAGCGCGGTCTGCTCCTCTTCTTCGACGTCAAGGAAGCCCGCTTCCATATCAGATTCGTCAGAATAATCGTCCTCGTCTTCATAGCCATAGTCGCCTTCGTCTTCTTCGTCTGTCCCAAGGTACTCATTTCTAGAAACCCCACGGCTCTTGCTGCGGCCATACGAAGCTTCCCTGCCTTGGGCACGACGGGAAGGTAGCCCGGCTGTGCCAGAGTAGGAGGACTCCGACGACCGTGCTGGAGGCAAGCTGCCCGGTCGTGGACGGGCGGTGCCTTTATATGCCTCTTGTTTGCCCATTTCGGCCTGACGAGCTTTCAAAATGGCTTCTTTGGTGCTCCTTGAGGGAGCGGTAGCTGCAGATTTCTCGGTTGACAGCTTCCGGTTTGCTGGTTCTCGATCCCGCTGTTTGGCTTCCTCTGTCATTTTCTTTTGCTGAACTTTGCTCCTCTTATCCTTGGGAACAGCCTGGTGTTTTATTAATCCAACAGCGGCCGGTGCCTTGTTTTGCAGTGCCTTTGCCTCGGCCATGATTGCTGCATAGGATCCCTTAGGGGGCGGCTTGGTTGAAACGGGAGTAGCACTGGGTTTAGACAGTGCGGGCTTTGGGGCAGCTGTGGCTGAAGAGGTCGGTTTGGACGCAGGTTTACGAGCAGCATCGCTGTCCCTAGGCAGGCGTGAGGCCAGAGTCGCAGGCTGAGGTGAAGAAGAAGGCGCCGGTTTTGAAAACCGATCGTTCCGCGGGGGTGGTCGTGTCAGCTGTTCACCCGCTTTTCGTTTCTGGGCTGTTCCCGTATAGCCATTACTGTTTCCGCTAATCGAGGTTGCTGCCAGCTTCGAGTTCAAGGAAGGCTTCTGGTTTGAGGACGTCGAGTCTGGGGTTGTACTTTTAGGTGGGGGAGGCGGGGTGATAGACACCTCCCCAGTCTCGATAGAGGAGAGAACGGAGTTTAGAAACTGGTTATGGGAGGTAAGATGTCAGTCATATGCCGGCAAAGAACATGTTGGCTGGGTGCAGGTGTCTCAAAGACTCACGCTCATTGTAGCAAGGCAGTATTGGATATTGTATGTAGCTCAGTGTGTTTGGAAGACAGAAACCGGTCACCAGCGATGACTGGAGTGTGAAAACAACTCATGATTCCCAGACAGAGAATCACCTCATAGCGAGAAGAGTCCGTTTTGCGGATCTTTATACCGGACTTATCAGCGTTTCATATATGGCCTGGCAGGGGGGTTGCAGGCGCTAGGCAAGAGGTCTCAGGCAGCAGCTGGGGGCCCAGAGAGCCGCTGGAAGGGGGCAAAGCGTCGGCACTGGTCGCGGCACCGGGATGCGACAGGCAGCAGCGGCGCAGGAGGTCTCGTTGGCGCTGAGTTGTTGAGAGTTGGCGAGCTCGACTCATGAGGAGGATTTCAACGACGTATTTATAGCGAGAGGAAGAAAAAGGCAAAGCAGGTCTGCTTATGTCATCAGAGAGTGGCTGCGACCGAAAGCGGACTAGCGCTGCGGCTCGCTTACTCTATAGCTTATGTAATCCCACTTTCATCTTTTTTGAGTTCTTTTTTTGGCGATTTTTCTTTTCTCTTCCACAACGACAACCAAAAGCCCTGAACTTGACGTCTCAGTCTCCGCCCAACTCGCGGTTAAATCGATTGTTTCTCTTGTTCACTCCTCATCTCACAGGTAAGGGAGCGCTGCTGAACACGGCCGGGGACGGATGAATTGATTCAGATTCAAGAACTAACAGTTGTTGTATATAGAAAACATCTCAAAATGAAGCACCTCGCAGCTTTCCTTCTCCTCGGCCTTGCCGGCAACTCCTCCCCATCTGCCAGCGACATCAGCGATGTTCTCTCCTCCGTCGGTATTGATGCCGACAACGAGCGCGTTGAGAAGCTCCTCGCCGAGCTCGAGGGCAAGGACATCCAGGAAGTAAGATATTTCCCACCCCCTTCACCAAATTGGTTTTATGTGCGCGCGAGTATAGGATGGGGACATAGGCTAATCGAGCGCTTTGTAATAGTTGATTGCCGAGGGTTCTACCAAGCTCGCCTCCGTCCCAAGTGGTGGTGCCGGTGGTGCTGCTGCTGCTCCTGCCGCTGGCGGTGCTGCTGGTGGTGATGCTGCTGCCCCCGCCGAGGAGGCCAAGAAGGAGGAGCCAGAGGAGGACTCTGATGAGGACATGGGCTTCGGTCTCTTCGACTAAGCGCATACTCTACGGGATACTGCCAAAAAGAGAAAATAAAAAGAGTTACAGCAGTGAATCGTTCGTTCGGCGTGTTACCAACAATGATGATGGATATGACTCAGCCCTGTCGGTGGAATATCTGTTTGATGCATTTACGGACATTATGACCTGGGTTTGGGCAACGGCTCGTCTTGTTATCAGCAGGAATCGCTGTCTTATCATAAACTACACCATGCAACTCGGCCTTACGGCTCCCTGCTGAATCTTCTGCACCGGTTATTACCTTCCCCAGAGCAGCCCTCGTAATGTATACATCAAATAGATGCACATTGTAACTCAAATAGCTTCCAAACTTGCCATCACCAGCTGCCCACGGGCAATGGCCTGGCCCAAGGACCGCCCCGGCCGCGATCTGATATCGGATAATAGTTAAACCATCCCGTCAATAGGGTTGCTTACATAAGGAATCCACTTAGGGCTAAGGTCGCTTAACCGAATTCGCTCCTCCACCTTTCGCGATCCAAATCGACTTTTTTCGACGTCGAGAAAGAAAACGAGACAGACAAACCCAACTTTTCGACAGTTTCTCTCCCCTTCTCGCATCCAAGGGCAAGCCAGTGTTGCCGAGAGAATAACACCGCAATCATGGCTGACGTTGAATATGTAAGTATCCGGGGCTTTTTTTTAGTAGGCATCAGGATTGAATAGAACTTGCGACTGACTACTTCTACAGAACGCCGAGGAGGCTGCCGGTACGTGCTAGATGGCCCTGTGATATCTTTAGCGGAAGAGGGGAACCGCTCTTTGGTTGATTTGCCGGGATATATCGATGGATGGGATGAAGAGAGTGCGGCTAGCTGACGAAACGACCACCAACAGAGATCAAGCGAAAGAGAGCCTTCCGCAAGTTTTCCTACCGTGGAATCGACCTCGACCAGTACGTTTTGATCCCCTGGACTGTTCATATGCAAGGAACCTATCCAGCACGCTTTATTGCTCCGTTTTTACGACAAATATCTGCGCTACCAGTTCGACAAGGGGAACATACGATCTAATCAAATAACTCTTGCAGGCTCCTTGACCTCTCCTCCGAGCAGCTCCGAGATGTCGTTCACGCCCGTGCCCGCCGCAGATTCAACCGTGGTCTCAAGCGCAAGCCAATGGGCCTGATCAAGAAGCTCCGCAAGGCCAAGCAGGAGGCTAAGCCCAACGAGAAGCCTGATCTCGTCAAGACACACCTTCGTGACATGATTGTCGTACCAGAGATGATCGGCAGCGTCATCGGAATCTACTCCGGAAAGGAATTCAACCAGGTCGAGATCAAGCCCGAGATGGTTGGCCACTACTTGGCTGAGTTCTCTATCTCATAGTACGTCGTTTCCTACCCCCGCCAGGAAGTTGATAATTGATGCCTTTTTCTAACGTTGTTTCCCCCATTTTAGCAAGCCTGTCAAGCACGGTCGACCCGGTATTGGTGCCACCCACTCTTCCCGTTTCATTCCTCTCAAGTAAACGAATAATCTGCACGCAAACTTGACGTTTTGTACTGGGTCATGTCAAAATGTTTTTTCATCCTCTCTTACATGGGGCACAAAAGGGACGGGGTTCTTGCTTTGTATGGAAGGGCTTTATATCCAGAACCTCGTTCTCCCAGGTCATGTAACGGCATAGAAAATGGAAAAGCTCTTGGAGAAAACAGCTTTTATCATGCTCATGCCAACCCGCGGCTAGATTTATGATTTTTAATGTATCTAGCAAAAATTCATTCCATACAACCAGTACTCGTACCTTCGCGCAACCATCCTTGTTGGGTGCGCCTCATCGCAATGAAATTACCACCGATAATGATATTACACTAATAATGTACAAGAACACCAAATTGATATAGAGGTACAGTAAGGCAAATTCTTAACCACCACAAGTATTATATATCGTCTAGATATATGATAGGGTCCTCTTAGTTACTAGTAAATAATACTTCCTAATATGTTTTTCTAATTTCAGGAGATATAGTAGAAGAAAAAAAGACATGCAATATTTTCCCATGTAATTTAGTAACTATTAAGAAAAGGAATAAGTATCTAATTTCCTTAAGAAGAGTAAGTTCCTTGAAAGTAAAGAGGACCTCTCTTTTATTTCGAAAGGCTCTATTAATATGGTGGTTAAGATATAGAAGTAATATTATATCGGTGGTAATTTCATTACGATGAGGTGCACCCAACAAGGCGCAAAGGTAAGGGTCATTAAGCCTTGCATGTCAGACGTGGGTAATAAGTGGCCACCCAAGGTCATATCCGATCTGTTGAAGGGAAAATAAATTCATCCATCGGTCTCCAGTGTTTCCTCAGCAATATTATTAAGGACCTTCCATGCAGAAGACATAGCTTTGGAAGCAGAAGGTGTTGACGGATTGTAGCCGAGTTTCTTGACTGGGGCCATGAGAGCGTCATATTCCAGTTTGATAGATCTAGCAACCCCAGGCGTCTCGTACTTCTGATACTTGTTTAGCTTTGTAAGAATAGGGTAAATCGCCGATACCGGGTCGAACTTGTATTTACTTTCATTGGGAATCTTGCTTGACTGTTCACGTGTGATCGTCATGACTAGTTGTGAAAACACAAACTCATGGTTCGTGCGGGTGGGATGCCACTCGTGAGGATAGAGCACAGGGTCAACAAACAGGTATCGAACCAAACCATGTCGAAAGGCGGACCAGAAGTCCTCGATTTCAAGGAGAGACACCATCAACTCTGATCGAATCTCTGGATATGGCTGTCGCGTAATAGGCCACAATTTGGTATCATGTAGGACCTTCATGGCGGACTTGAGTTGTTTCACTGCCGATTCGGCCTTGGAACTCCTTGCGGCTGTAAGCAGCTCCCTTGCTTGTTTTTCAGCCTCTTTGAGAGTTTCAACCTCTTCCGAGGATGGATTGGATGGGATGAATTGGTCTTCCCTAGCGGTAGTCCCTTGGGCACATTTCGAGCATTTGCATGTGAAGAAGTATCTTTCAGTAAGCTGCTTCTGCCGAACCTCTAAAGGATAGGTGTTGTCGATGTAGGATATAAACACCTGCTCGTCAGGTTTGATTTCGCGCAAGGCTTTCACTGTGATCAGCCCTCCATCAAATCCAACAACGGCATTTGGTTCACAGCTATGATTCATGTAACATGCAAATGGTTGAATGCATAATCCCAGCGGATCACCAAATGCCGTGGTAAATGTGAAGCTATTGACTTCAATCTATGTTCCAAGGAATGCTCAGTATACGACTATTCCCATTTGACAATAAAATTACGTCAGTTACCCACCCTTGCTAAGTATTCAGCGATGGTCTCGACGTCAAGTTCTGAGCCTGAGTACTCCTTTTCTGCCTTTGCACAGAGCATTATCCGCTCATACTGTTCCTGATTTGAGTTCGTAATCTCAACTAAGTGTGAACGAAGAGTCAAAAACATGTTCAGATCTGACTTCACATGGTCCTCGTTTGAATCCCTCAACTTCACGATCCGAAGGACCGCTCTTGAGTTCACAGGGAGAACCTTGGGGTATAGCTTTTTGTATATAGCACATTCATGCTTGTGTATAAGTTTCCAGTTTGCAGATTGACATTTCTATTGTCCGTTAGAAGCTTATTCTCGCCGACTAACTAGGTATATTATATATGTATATAACTACCTGGAGCAGAAGCTTACCCTGTCACAGTACTTGACTACTTTGCAGCCAGAACAGGCCCACAGTTTCATGTCAACGCTTGCCATGACGTTGACTCCGAACGGAAGATTTGCAAAGCAGTTAGAGCATGCATCTTTCAGTCTCTCGGTGCTCAGCACTGTAGAGAACGTTGCAGGCATGCTGAACACATCTTTGCCCATCTTGATAGTGGACGTTGCGAAGAGGCCTCTCCCAGCATCGCCCGCCGGCCGGGGGACCACAGAAGCATTAACCTCTCCGAACGACGCCATCATCGACTAGCTAGATGCTTCCCTGTGAGCTGGCTGCCTTGATATATTGTTTTACAGATGAAGATGAACAGGTCAATCTCGTTTCTCCTGCGTGTTGGTGTTTATAGTTAGTTTTAACTACTTGTTGGTGTGTTTGTTCAGAAGCGACGTTGGGCCGCAGGGCTTGGCGCAAGTCAGACTTCATTGGATGGATTTTGGCCGCTGAAAAACATCTACACTCAACAACACTCATCTACAGGCAATCTACATCTAATGTCTGATACACGGCACTGGACTGTCTTACAGTGTTTAGAACGGGCCCAATTTGATAGCACCGTGTTATGTCGTTCGTGATGATTGTGTAACTCGGGAAGAAAGTACAATACCATGATACCCCTTTGGCCACTATAGAGACAAGCCGGTCACGGAGAAGATATTTCTGGAGGAGAATGTTGACGTCCTAGTTCTGATGACACCAAGAACGAGCTCCAACCATCGGGCTTAATCCTCGTGGATCAACCCTATCAAGGACGACTGGCTTGGTTCTCGCTCACACGGCCGCAGCTTGAGTGTAGAATCTTTGTCCGAAGGGGAGTTGTGCTAGAAAAGGAGTATAAGTAGCACTTGAAGAAGCGGCAGGTCAGGGTATTTAACGTCCTTTTATCATACTTGGAGCAGGATAATCCTCCACGGAAAATTTATAGGAACTTCGGTGGCCGAGAATATTTTGTTGGCCGTCTGAGAATCTACTTCCCTTCTTATATCATTAGCACTTGATATTGTTATTGTGTATCCTCCTCAAGATGTTTCTATAACTTAGCTGGGTGGCAGGTTTGCATGGTCAATGTCGGATAGTATTTAATCCCTGGTTATCCCCGGGCGGTTTATCAGTCCCTGTAGAGCCTTCTGCCAATTAAAAGTCCACGAATCAAAACAGGTAGTTTACTAGTATAATTGCCCTGCATAAACCGCCTGCTTCACCAAGTCAAAGCCAACATCAATACTCGGGAAACAAATTCAAATACAAGATACTTAAGGCAAGGTCTTCCAGATCAGCTATCTACTAGCATGGCAATGGCAGCGAATAAGCATGGGCTTAACTTCTCATATCAAACCTTCTGCGACTATCTCCCCCGAATAACCGGTGCTTCCTCTTCGCCGACAAACGCAGAGAATATCAACCCCCTGATCAAGCGGATTCTCGGATGCTATCCAGACTCTACTATCTACGGGGCAGGAGGCCATTCAGCCCTGCTATCGATATGTGACAGCTTATGCGTCAAAGTCTCCTACAAGCCTGGTGGTGAGCATATCATCCATGAACAGCAAATATTCAGACAGCTGGAATCTGTCCCATGCTCGTCTATAGCCCACGCATTTTACTGTGCTCCAGATCTCATCTTCATGGAGCTATACAAGAACGGTACACTTCACGAGCGGCTGAATTCGAACAAGGCGCCTCGCCCGGTACTTCAATGGATGCAGCAGCTCTCGGAGGCAGTGGCTTGTCTGGAAGCCCTCGGTTATGCCCACGGGGATTTGAATCCCCGAAACATCATGTTTACGGAAGACGACCATCTCAGACTCGTTGACTTTGACCATTCGCTCAAACTCGGCGAAGACTTGGAAGTTGGAGACTACCCTTAGGTTCGTCCCATAAGCCTAGCGGAAGACACGGCACAGTCGGGTGGAACGTTTGGCATAGCGAGTGCCGCTACGGAGCTGTTTGCTCTCGGGTCTATCTTCTGGTACATGGTACGAGGCACGGAGCTGTGGGCCGGTGTGCAGGGGCTAGATCTCGTTGACCGGCTTATAGCCCGTACATGTCCGGACATGGACCTGGAAGATCCCGTTAACCGGATCATCAGAGACTGCTGGACGGGGAGATTTGATTCTGTGGCCGCATTGGCAGCTTGCATCCGCCAGCTGGGGTACTCGAGGGATTTTGAGCAGAAGAGGAGCCTATGCGAGCAGCACTATAAGTTGATGTGTGGCTAAGACCGTTGGGGAAGAACAAGCCCGGCAGCCTGTCAAGATATATAGATACCGGCTACACGGTGGGCTGGCCGTTGAATATCAGCTCAAACAGATCCAAAACAACTCATTAAACCGCAAGGGCTGGCCCCCCACTTAGATAAGGCACATACTAGGCGAGTAGCCAGCAGCCTAATTGGCTGGGCTGCGCACTTTTGGGCACCCGGAGGCCGGCTGTGGCCTGAGGGCGACGGCAAGATATAAACAAGCCCGTTCGTTGATCTCGCGTTGACATGGAATACCAGCTTACGGATCCAGACGATGGCATATTATGAACATGAGCCGGATTTCAGTATCCATTTCGGCAAGACAACGTGTCTACTCTGCAGACACATTGCAACCCCCCAGTCCCCTACCCTCGGTGGGTTTATTAGCCCCTGCTAATCTTTTTATATGATTAACTATTTGGTCACACAGTACTAATAAGTTTGTGTACAGATCTACATGGACATGACCTTGGAACTCGGGAGTGTAAGCGATTATGTCTAGTGTGCAATATACATCCGATAGAGAAGCAATGGATGCACCGGCTCTGTTACGACCTGCTGAAGGCCAGCAATAAGTCCAACGAGCCAACGCTCGAAGACCTGCAGAGATTCGGGAAGGCAGTCAGGCCCCTGTACAAGCCCGCGGACAGTGAGGATATCGACAGCGCGTCTTCCCGAGAGGGGCTGTTCTCCAGCCATGCACGGCCCATTGTGGAACGGAGTCTCCGGATTGACTTGTTTGAGAGACTACCAGCGGAAATCCAGGCTATCATACTTAGCTATATCGGCCCGTGCTGGTATCTGATCCTGCTGGGAGAGAGCCGCAGATTGATCGAGGAGTTGAGAAATGGTCGTAAGAGCCGCCAAAATGAACAAGTCAGCCTGGAAAAGGAGGTATATATCTCGCGAATACCTTACCAGGGCAATTCCTATATTTCTACTATCAGCAACGAACCACCGGAACCTGGCCTAGATGGCTTGAAGCTAGAGTGTTTGAAAGTACCAGATAGCCTGAGCAAGATTGTGCTATCGACAGACCATATTGGTGTACGCGGAATACAGTTTGTGGTGGAGGGGGGCACTCCCCCACCACCAGATGGGTCACCATGGTATGAATTTGTCGACGTCCCAGACTGCAGCCAGGCGCTGCATGTTGCTACTGAGGTAAGGTAGGGCGATCCCCCGTCCACGAGTGCGTTATTCAATCTGACAAGTGAGGTATGGTAGGGTCTATTTGTTAGAAAAATGCGGCGGGTCGAGGGGGAGAAAATCCACAACCATTCCCCCATCTGGAGCAGTCCGTCACCGCCTGCATTCCAGCCGTGGAACGTGTATGACGATCGAGGAGGTCGTCGCTTAGACTACGTCAACCTTGATGAGGAGGGTGTGCAGGGCCTCGTGGTGTGCTGCTACGGCGTGGCCAACGGGGGCTTGTTTGCCTTTTCCGGCGTTTCCAAACCATTCAAGCGGTTTGTTACCTCCATGCAACAAAACATGAGAACGGGCCCCATTTTCTGGATGTATTTCCCAATCAACGACGGCGAGCAAATCGAGGCAGCGTGGGTTCGCAAGATCGAAGGGTCATACGGCCAGATGTCCAACCCGGTATTAGTTGTACGTTTTTTTTTTATCGCAAGCATGCCCCAGCCCCCGCCAGCACAATGCGGCCTGCTAACCGGTTAACTAACTGTATCACTAGATCAAAACGACGTTCGAAAGAACAGCTACATTCGGGCCCTACCACCGCGAAGACTACCGGCGGAAAGACGAGCTCATCCCGCTCGTCAAAGACAGCGACGGAACTATTTCAGGATTCATCCATGACGGACTAGACACAGACAAGCACGAAATCTCTCTATTCGGACTGACCTGCCGAGACCAAGACGGCAACGGCAACGGCAACAACCCAAACGACGACCACGACCACGAACACGAGCCCAACGACAACAACAACGGCACAAAACTGGCCCCACCACCCGTTGAAAACTACATCTCTCCCCCGCCCTACGCTCCGCCCTACGCTGCTGACGGACTACAGGCTTTGAATTGGTACATGACCGAGGCGCGGCTGGATGGAGTTTGCCGTGTGCGCGTGTGCAGGGATCTAGCGCAAGCGCACAACCCATGCATCGGAATGCTACTTTACTATGATAACGGGCGCGCGGAGGCCCTGGGCCAGATACGCTGGGACCAGGAGGTGTCGCGGGATATAAACGTGCCCGTACGACTTAGGCGGGAGAAGCTTGATGGGAACCCGTACGTTGCGGACATCCAGGGCATGGATGCTGCTGGGTGTGGCGCAACGGCGGAGGAGCCGGGTGATGGGTGGCTTGAGTTGCCGCGGACAGGGACGATGGTGTGGTGGTTTTGTATTTCGCGGGACATTATCTCTGTGTATGGCCAATGTACGCATTGTTGATAGATCTAGCCGTACCCTAGGGCATGGGGATGTATGTCTGTCTGCGCTATGCCTGTTCCTAGTCAGTCAGGCAGTCGGCAGCTCCGAGAGAAGGGCCCAACCCAGTGGTCGAGGCGGTCCGCGGGCGGGAAGTTAAACTTAAAGGCCGAAGTTAACTTTACAGCAACCGCCGTCTCGAGTCCGTCATAAATAGATCGATAAAGAGGGGAAAGAAAAAATATAGAAATATATATCAATGAACTTCCGTCAATGAATCGATAATAAATCAGACAATGTCTATCTATCTGCTAGTCGTGCTATTTCAAAAAACTATGCACCGAAAATAGAAGTTTCCCGAACCAACCGAACCGAACCGGACCGAAGCACAGCACGTAAAAAAGCACCCCAAGTTGCGCCCTTACACCAACTTCCTACCCACGAAATCCGACCAGCTACGCACCTCAGATGGAATGCCTTCCTTCTTAGGCAGCTTCTCACTCATACATCTGGCAAACAGCAAGGCCGTCTTGGGCTCCATGAAAAGCGGCACGCCGAAATCCACCGCGTTCCTACGCATGACATAGTTCTCGTCAAGAAGATGCTTGCTTCTCTCGCGCGCAATGTTGAAGACTCCCCTGATATCGTTGCGCTCAAACACCTCTCGCAGCTTCCGCTTGTCCTGCTTCGGGAAGTCGATGATTTGAATGTTCAGATCCTCCGGCTTAGCGGCGCAGTTTTGCTCGAGGAAGCGCTTGACGGGCTCGCTAGCTACGAATAGCTTGAAGCCTAGCGGATGCACGTAGTTGACTACCTGCGGGAGTTCAGACATGTCTGTATCTCCGCCGAACAGTAGGCCCTCGCCTGGTTGAGGGGTGCGGAAGTTCATGGTGGATTGTAGCGAGGCCCAGTAGGCTTCGACCAGGTCCTGGCCGAAACAGGCTATTTCGCCTGTACTTGCCATCTCGACGCCGAGGAAAGGGTCGGCGCCGGCGAGTCGGGTCCAGCTGAATTGCGGTACTTTGGTAGCGAGGTAGGGACGGGATTGGGCCATGAGGTCAGTGGGCTGCGGGACGTTGGTGCCGACCAGGGCGCGGGTAGCGGCGTCGATGAAGTTGGTTCCGAGCACCTTGCTGACAAACGGGAACGAGCGGGAGGCGCGCAGGTTGCATTCGATGACTTTCAGGAGAGGCTCGGAGGGGTTTTGCGGGTTATCGGCTTTGATGATTTGCATATTAAAGGGACCTGTGATGGAGAAGGCATGGGCGACTTTCTCTGCGATGGTTTTCACACGGGCCATGATGGAGGCGTCGAGGGAGGCGGGTGGGAGGACGAGAGTTGCGTCTCCGGAGTGGACGCCTGCGGGCTCGATGTGTTCGCTTACAGCGTGCAGGATGAGAGAGCCCTGAGAGGCGACGGCGTCGACGTCGATTTCTTCTGCGCCCTCGATGAACTTGGTGATTACCACGGGATGGTCGGGGGAGACGGAGGAGGCGGAGAGGAGTTTCTCTTTGAGCTCGTCGCGGTTGTAGATGACGCTCATGGCGGCGCCGGAGAGGACGTAGCTTGGTCTGACGAGGACGGGATACTGGACTGATTCAGCGAAGGCCTCTGCGTCCTCGAAGGAGGTGAGTTCCTTCCAGGCAGGCTGGTCGACGCCGATGCTGTCGAGGATCTGGGAGAATTTGTGGCGGTCTTCTGCCTTGTCGATGTCTTCTGGGTTGGTTCCGAGGACGTTTGCGCCGCCAGCCTGCTGGAGACGCAGGGCAATGTTCTGGGGCAGCTGGCCGCCGACAGAGACGACGACGCCGGAAGCACTTTCGAGTTCGTAGATGTCCATTACGCGCTCGTAGCTGAGTTCTTCAAAGTAGAGCTTGTCCGCGGTGTCGAAGTCGGTAGAGTAGGTTTCGGGGTTGTAGTTGATCATGACTGTCTTCTTGCCCATGTTACGGAGAGACAAGGTAGCGTTGACGGCACACCAGTCGAACTCGACGGAGCTACCGATACGGTAGACACCGCTTCCGAGAATGATGGTGCCCTTGTCCTCGAAGGTGACGTCGTGGGAGGAGGCATTGTAGGTGGTGTAGAGGTAGTTTGTGTCTGCTGGGAACTCGGCGGCGAGGGTATCGATCTTCTTGACCCAGGGGTGGATGTCGAAGCTCTTTCTGCGGGCCCTGACAGCGTCTTCGGTGGTGTTCAAGCAGAGGGCAATCTGCCTGTCGGAGAAGCCCATCTTCTTGGCTTCAAGGAGGACGTCCTTTTGCAGGTCTGACAGGCTAGCGATATGCTGGAGAGACTTGTGCATGTCGACAATATTCTGCAGCTTGTAGAGGAACCACTTGTCTATCTTGCTGAGCTCATGGACGCGGTCGACAGAGTAACCCTCGTGGAGCATAGCCTGGCCAACAGCAAGCCATCTGCGGTCTGTCGGGTTGGCCAGGACCTCGTCGAGGTTTTCAAACTTGTCACCCTGGAAGCCGACGAAGCGCGGGTCGACCTGGCGAATGGCCTTTTGGAAGGACTCTTCAAAGGTACGTCCGATGGCCATGACCTCGCCGACAGACTTCATGGAGCTGCCGATATCCCGCTTGACGTGCTGGAACTTGCTGAGATCCCAGCGCGGGATCTTGGTGACGATGTAGTCGAGACTGGGCTCGAAGTTGGCCGAGGTGGTCTTGGTGACTGCATTGGGCAGTTCGGGCAGAGTGTGGCCCAGGCCTATCTTTGCAGCGGTGTATGCAAGGGGGTATCCGGTGGCCTTGGAGGCGAGAGCAGAAGAACGAGACAAGCGAGCATTGACCTCGATGACACGGTAGTCTAGCCCGTCTGGCTGGAGTGCGTACTGGACGTTGCACTCGCCGACTACGCCCAGGTGACGGACTATCTTGATGGCAGCGGTACGAAGCATGTGGTACTCTTCATCGGACAAGGTCTGGCTGGGAGCTACGACGATGCTGTCTCCCGTGTGGATGCCCAGTGGGTCAAAGTTCTCCATGTTGCAGACGGTGATGCAATTGTTGCTCGCATCACGAACGACTTCATACTCGACTTCCTTCCAGCCCTTGAGGGACTTTTCGACCAAGATCTGGGGAGCGAGGGTGAGAGAGCGAGAGGAGAGATCACGCAGCTCGTCCGGGGTGCTGGCGAACCCGGAGCCAAGTCCACCCAGCGCATAGGCCGAGCGGACGATGATCGGGTATCCTATCTTGTCAGCCGCAGCGAGGGCATCGTCGACGGAGCTGACGGCGATAGATTCAGCGATGGGGATGTTGATCTCGTTGAGGGCACGGGCAAAGAGGTCTCTGTCCTCGCTGGTCTCGAGGGTCTTGATGGAAGTACCCAGCACGCGGACGCCGTAGCGGTCAAAGATGCCCATGCGGTTCATCTGGACGCCGAGGTTGAGGGCAGTCTGGCCCCCGAAGGCGAGGAAGATGCCGTCTGGCTGCTCCCGCTCGATGACATAGGAGACATACTCGGGGGTGACGGGGAGGTAGTAGACCTCGTCGGCGAGCTTGTGGTCTGTCTGGATGGTCGCGATGTTGGGGTTGATCAGGACCGAGCGGACGCCGGCTTCTTTGAGGGCCTTTAACGCCTGGGAGCCTACAGACCGTTAGACAGGAACCAAAGTAAAAGTTATATATATATATAAAATAAATAAAATAAGAGGTAACGTACCAGAGTAGTCGAACTCGCCGGCCTGGCCGATGCTGAGCCCTCCGCTGCCGATGACGAGGACTTTCTTGACGTCGACGAGCTTGGAGGCGCTGGCGGTGGAAAAGGCCGACTTTGCCTGCAGCTGGTGAGCTCTGAGGGCGTATCCATTGAGCGGCAGAGCCGGAGCCGGAGCCTGAGCCTGAGCCTGGAGCGGGAGTCTCCCCAGGCCGATGCTGCTCTTGGAGAGGGCGTGCCTGGCCGAGCAGCGAGCAGCCAGGGCGGGCGGCGGGAAGGTCGACTTGAAGCGTATGGAGGTCGCCGTCACGAAGCTGGTGATGCTGGCGAAGCTGTCGCTGGTGGTGGAGCGCTGCCGCAGCAGGGATGAGAGCAGGGGCTGGCCGCGGAGGGACATCTTGCTGTAGACTGAAGAATAGTCGAAAATAGAGAGGAATTGACGAGGTTGAAAAGAAGTTGAAGCTCGGAAGAAGTTGAAGTCGAGAGATGTTGAGATGTTGAGAAAAGCCTGAGATGAGTCAAAGACGGTGTAACTGAGGACTTTTTTCGCTGGCCCGGATGCCAACAGAACTAAGCAGCTAGTCAGTTAGTGAGAGTGCGGGAGCTCCAGCGAGGCTAAGTGTTAGTCTTGGTCTAGAGTCTTAGCGAGATCGGAGGAGACTGGAGTAGATGTAAGTAGAGAGTTGTAGTTGTAGAGTGAGATGTACTTGGAGAGTGAGATGAAGTCGAGATGTCGTTAAAAGGCGAAGTTGGAGATGTTTCTTTTCTCTTCTTCTTCTTCTTCTTCTACAGACGTCGACGTCGACCATCTCAAGGCCAACATCTTGCTCTAATAAGTATTAATTAGTAGGTCAGTCTCTCGCTAGTTAGTTACTCTGTCTTTACTCTGGCTGACTCGATGTAGAATGACAAGTGACGGACAAGGATGTCTCGCTATAGACCGGGGCCTCCCTGTAGTGGATTTGAGTCTGGGGTAGAGACGAGAAGATGAAGAGAATAAGAAGAGACGAAGAGAAGAAGAAGAGAATAAGAGGAGAAGAAGAATAAGAGAAGGCTTCTGGCTGGTCTTTGGTGCTGCTCCTGCTGGTCGACGGCAGCGAAGTGGTGGAAGCAGGAGTAGTTAACAGAGTAACAGAGCATCTTCTCTTCTCTTCTTCTTCGTTTCTTCATCTTCGACTGCTAGTCACGCCCTACGGCCTGCAGAGACGTGGATGGAGAGACATCGACAGAGACATGGATGAGATACTCGGATGCTTGATGCTTGGTGCTTGGTGCTTGGTGCAATACCAGCTTGTGGACGTCAAAGCATGGGAGAAGACAAGCCTTGCCATGGCCGTTGACTGGCAGTAGTCTCTTCTCTCACTGCTTCTACCAGCTACTTCCTGGATATACTTGAGGTTACAGTGAAAAGAGAGCCAGTTGAATACGAGCTGAAGGAAGATGGTCACCGAGGATAAAAGGTGAAGAGGATGGAGATAATACGACAGACCGTTGAAAGGCCGGCGGTAGACGAGGTGAAGCCGGCAGTTAAGAAGTGAAGACGATGCTCCAAGTCTTCTTTTCTTCTCTTCTTCTCGTCTGCTCGTCTTCTCTTCTTCTCTATAGATACTCGAGATGAAGGCTGTCCTGTGGCTGCTGCTGGCCGGGCTCTGTCTCTGCCAGGGCCTGACCGTCGACTGGGATAGAGGCCAGCTGGTGGTCAGAGGACTCGATGGAAGGATCATTAAAGATGGAGACGGAGATACAAAAGACTCTCTCTGGCTGGTCTCGTCTTCCTTTGAGTCTCTTCTCTGGCGTGAGTCTCTCCCTTCACTATCTGATAGTGATGCTAACAGGAGCAGAATCATCACCATCGACTTCGACTTCGACTTCAACTTCAACACCACTTACTATCACCCTGCCGTCTCTGCTCCTGCGCCTCCACAGACCTTCTCACCTCTTCACCCTCGAACTCCGGCGTGATGGCTCTCCGCTGCTCCTCTCCGCGCCCTTCTCCATCCCCCCGGCCAGACTAACCAACCGCTCTCCATCATCAGCATCGCCATCGCCATCAATTGAACCGGCACCGGGTTTCCACAAGGACGAACATCCCAACCCGGGTGCCAGCCAGGGCCTGGCATGGGGTGTCACCATCGCCAGTCTCGCGGCCTCGGGTCTCGCAGCGTGGCTCTGCATCTACCGGCTGAGGAAGAGGAGACGGCTTGCGGGAGGGCCTAGAGATTCAGCTGGACACAGCATCAACGGCGACGAAGAGGATGAAGCAGGTCAAGCCGATGAACATGTCAATGGACATGTCAATGAAGAACAGGGACAAGGACAAGGACATGGGCATGGAACTGAGATGGAGGTTCTTCAGGATAGAGAAAAGGAGACGACAGTGACGACGGAAGAGAAAGAAGAGACAGGAAAGATAGAGAAGAAAAGCGAGGGTACAGGTCAACTCGACAGCGCGATGATGGCCCGGCTGGGGGTGTAGAAGCCGACATATAGACAGGCAGTCTTATTCTCAATTCAATCAACTCAACGATGACAATAGTGATAGAATAATTCATGCATCCACGCCGGATACCGCGCTTGCAGGAGAAGACTCGTATCCCTCGACCTGTCTGTCCCGTCCATGCATGCATGCACCGCCGACGTGGTCCATCCTGACTCTATCGTCTTCTTTGCTTCTTCTTCTTCTTCTCCTTCATCATCGTCGTCGTCCTCGTCTTCTTCTTTTTAACCCCTGATCGCACCTGGACAGGCAGACTCCGTCATTGGCCTGTCATCCACTTCTCCCCCATAGTTGACGTTTTGATCCTGACCATCAGTCACCACTTTCACTCCTTGCCAACCATCTAGTGTTATTATTATTTATTTCATGCAGTGGACAGTGATCGATCGAGCACCGCAGCCAGTCGGCAGATAATAACTTCGGCCATCGCGTTTCACCTTGACCGTCTCTCGCGCATCTCGCTGGCCTTCGCCGTCCGCAGAAGAGAGACTGCCTGGAAAACCCCCTGAAACGAACCAACTCGCAGCTCCAGCAAGTTAGCTCAATCGATCAGTCCGATTGACCCAGATTGACTTTCAGTTAGTTCGTTTAGTGGCCTTTTTTTTTGCTTCTTCTTCCTCTTCGTTGCTTCTTTTGCTGCTCTTTTTTCTTCATCTGGATCTGACAGTCGAGATAGCGTTACGAGCGGACGGTACGAGCATCGCCAGCCAGGAACCGAATAATAAACTACTGGGAAATAAACTAGCTAACTGGCTGGCAGGCGTACAATGGCATTGAAATCGAGATAGAGATACGGGACAATGGCATTGAGTTGGCATGGTTGACGGCATAGTTGACGGCAGACCGGTCAAGCCACGCAGCGATGACGATACAGAGTGACACCCAGCTGTCCTTACTCCAGGCCAACTGCGGACTAAGTGTGTGTGGCTGCACTCCCTGCTGGCCTCCCCTGCTGCCTGGTTGCCCTCTTCCTGGCTCGTCACGGCTGTGGCAAGGGAGTCGGAAGTTAGGAGGAAGCATCCAGGAGCGCGGTGGATCCTGGCGGCTGGCAGAGAGCGCCCTTCATGTCCGTCATGATACTGGATACTCCTCCTCCTTAGTCCATCCCTATTATATGCCCAAAACCAGGGGGAAGGGAGAGTCTCTCTGGAGTCCCCGAGAATGAGCCCTGAGATCTCGTCTCCGGCACTGGATGCAGCTCCATCCGGGACTCCGCAGGCAAAAGCCTCGATGGCGCAGATGAACCTTTCCTCTGGCCTCTACGGAATACTAACTCTGACTTCTCACTAACTATACACTCTATCCTTTCCCTCGTTCCGCATTCACCGCTAGCCAGTCATCGTCTTCTTTTCTTTTTCTTTTTTTTTCGTCTTTTTTTTTTTAAACTTGCTGGTTTGCTCTTTGGGTAGCAACTGGATGGAGGATGTGCGTGAACCATGGCTGCTGGCCCATGCTATATATCTGCGTCTCTGCCCTGTCCCCGACCTGGCTCCTGGACCCCCTTTCTTGTTTGCATTATATTGCATCTACTTACACTTATTATTACCTCCTCGCACAGTTTAATTTGCTGATCCCAATAACTAGCAGGACGGCGTGGAACATCTGGGCATCGCACAGCAGGCAGTACAACCGGTCCGACTATACACTCTGGACTCGCCCATACTGCTGCTTGTCTTTACTTCTGCCCTTCAATCCTACCAGAGGAAGCGGAAATTTACTTCTCCCAGCTGCATACCACAGAGATCAAAGATACATCAAATACAAACACAGAGATTAGATGGCCTCCGAAGTGTCTGTCCTGACGGTGCAGCTGCCCGCTGAGGCTGCCTCCAAGCAACTTGATACCCGCCAGTTCACCAAACTGCGCTTCCCACAGCATCACCAGCAGCATCACCCGCAGCATCACCCTCAATTGCGCCCTGGTGACCGAAGAAACGACCTCCTGCGGCCCTCAGATAGCAGCCCTCGCAGCCACAGTCCAAGAGGAGACCGGCGCCATCACCATGATCCCTCTGCGCCCATGACCAGAGTGCGCAGCCGCGAGAACCTCAGCAGCCTGCCTACTCCCCCCGGCACGCCCACGCAGCGCTACTACCGCCCACGGCTCCAGCACGTCCAGCCCTCAAAGCCATTTCCTCCTGCCAGTGTCCCGGCTGCGCTCCCTACTCCCCCCAGACCCATCAGCTACTCCTCCGCGGGCTCCTCGCAGTACTCGGACCAGAACGCCAGCCCGCGCGAGCCCTCCTCGACATCCAGCTCGCCTCTCTCGCGCACCCCCGTCTCGGCCTCAGAGCTCGAACACCCGCCCTGCTTCACCAACAGCAGTGCTGCTGTCCGGCCGAAAAGCAATTGCTCGACCTCCAACCAGTCCACTTCGTCCTCTACTGCTTCTGCCTCCGCGCCCAAGAAAGTAGAATACCATACGCCGCCGCTTACAAACTCGCATTTCTCATGCTACCATTTCCACAAGACCTTTGCGCGCTCAAGTAATGTTCTGTACCCGCTCACTTGCATGACCTGTCTCAAGGCAGACCAGGAAGTGCGTTGGCGATGCACCTTCTGCTGTCTGCGTATTTGCACCGACTGTCTCGGCGGTATCAAGAGGTGCAAGGACAGATCCCTTATCGAGTTCATGGAGAAGCTGGTCATGGACCTCGAGGCTGCCGGCACTACCACCGAGAAAGGAGAGACCTCACCTGATACAGTCGATACTGAACCGGGGCCTGGTCCTGGTCCTGGTCCTGGTCCTGAAGTTGAGGACACCACTCCCGAACCTCCGAGAGAGGTCCCGGCCTAAAACTGTTCGCATATTTCTACCATGTTGATATTTCGGTTTAACTCGCCTACCATCTTATCTTCTGGACATACGATACCACGCCTTTCTTATGTTTCATCTTACTCACCATTCGTGATATTTTTCCTTCTTCAATTTTCTCTTACTTGATGGAATTTTCATGCTGCAGGAGGGGGGGCTTGTTCGTTTATTCGCTACTTTTTACTTACATGATGGTGTGATCTTCTTCATTTTCTTTCTTTCTTCTCTTCAATTCCCCCTTAATGACCATTTGCATATATACTTCTCACATATCACTAGGATACAGTCTAGTCTACTCTACTTAGCCTATCTAATTCTCCCTTCATTTTCAACTCCTCTCGCTGCCTAGTTAGTCCGGATGCCGCACTTGTGACACGGTGGAGTCCAGGGATATGCCTAACAATGCTTGTCCACTCAGTAACTATCTATTTAGCTCTCGTTCGGCCGGATGGGTTCCAGATCGTCTCGAGAGCAAGTTAAGACAAGTTTAATAGCCGAGTGTTGCATGGCACTGTTGCATCCAGCATGTTCTAGCTATCTAGCACTGGATGTTGATATTGACATTACTGATGTTGATAACATTGATATTGATATTAATATGGACGTGCTATGGCCGTGATGTGTCTCACGACATTACCTACATGCATGATAGCATGGCAGTGGATAATAGGACAGGCCCACGGCACCCTTGCATGCATACAATATATGGATTCTTCGGTGGAGTTGCTCTATTTATACTATTCTCCCTCCTTCGGGGGAAATTCCGCCAGTAGGGATACTTGCAGCCTGCAGCATCCATAACCCCCCTATCTTATCATCAAGATTGCTGAGCCTGAGCTCAATCGTGGTCTTCCTCCGTCAGCCCCGGACAGCCCTCCATGGCCGTCGACTCATACCGGAACTTGCACCAGAAGCAATAGTTATACTCCTCGCGCAGATACGCCACAGCCCGGCTCAGCCGCTCCTGTACGCTCAGCGCTTCAAAGGCAGCCAGCTCCTCGTCCTCCTCGTCCTCGTCAGCTTCCACTTCCACCACCTCGCCTTCAGCCGTGCGGCCCAGCGCCAGTCTATCGTCGGCCTCCAGCTCGTCGTCCGCCAGGGACGGCAGCTTCGGGTCTTTTTCCGAGTATATCTGCGAACAGTCCCGTGCAGACAACGACTCATACCGTCGACGAGCTGCCTGTTTCTCTCGTAGTGCCGCCTCTCGCTCCCGTAGCAGTCCGCGGTAAAGGACATTCACCCGAGCCTTAGGCCGGTTTCTTTTTTTCTCTTTCTCTTCAACTTTGTCTCCCGAAGCAGGCCCGCTGCCGCCATCTGTATCTGTATCTGTATCTTCCTCCAGCCGCTCAATCACCCTCTGCGCAGCCTGGAACTGGCCTTCCTGCCTCTTCTCCTCCCTCTCGGCCCTCACACGTTCCACAAAGTCACTCTCAACCGCCTTATCACGTCTAGCCTCTCCCTCAAACTCCTCGCGCAGTTTCCGCTTCTTTTCCGAGTCCAGTCCTATTCCACCGCGATTCTCCTTCACCGATACCCACAGGGGTTCTCGCAGCCGTTGATCCGGCTCGTCACTTTCAGACCCGCCTGGATTCTGCCTGCCAAGAGCGCTGCCGGGTTTGTAGCCCAGTTTGGCCATCATCTTGAAGCCCTTGTTGGACGCATCGAGCGTGCTCTTTGCAAGCGCGGCCTCGCGCCGTGCAGCTTCTGCGGCAGCCAGTTCGGCCTTTGATGGGACTCGCGCTCGCTCTTCTGCCTTTTTACTCATCAAAACCAAACAAGTTAGCATCCCGGTAGGATTAATTGTTTGATACTTGCTACTTACCTCTCGCAGCTTTCGGAGCTTCTTCTGCGTGAAGGTCTCCCTCTTAGTCTGGGGCTCCTCCACGAAGGACATCGACATGTAGTCGTCGTCTTCCTCGTCCTCGCCATCGTCCTGTCGCCGCCTCGCTGAGAGTTTGTCCATCCTTGGTCACGGGCGACGAGCAACCCCACGCATCTCGGTCTTTTTCTTCCTTGTAGGATACTCGCTGCAAAACAGGGAATCAACACAGTCAAGAAAAAATATAGAGCGTAACCAAATGAATAGTTAAAATGTCCAACGCGTAGAAAAGCTCGAAGGCAAAGCAAAATCCACCATAAGAAAAAAGAAAAAGCTCTTATCTTTTATCGATAAGGTAATGATTATGTAATATCTTTAGTGTCGTGAAAATAAGGTTGGAGCCTCATTTAGTCACGTGAGTAGTCTAAATTTAAGCTTAGATAAGCGAGTTGAAGGGGTTGATAGGGGGTCATTCAATCATTTAGGGGTAAAAGCTGCTCTTCTACTGTAGTTTATGCAATTAAAGATATATTCTGGCTAGATGAATACCTTTCTTGATATATGTGTAGATATCAATGATTAGCTGTTCTCAATCGAGGTCGATATCCTGCAGGAATGCTGGAGAATTGAAGGACCACCAGAAGTTGGCAAGAAACCCAGGTCTATAGAGGAGATATGATATACCGTGTTTCGCTGCATTTACTTGCACAAGACCTATTTACTCAACATGGCCCAGCTGCGAATACGCATTGAGAGCCAGCTGGCCGCCCAGATGGGCATACAGGATATTCCCAGTCTTGATCTCGCCATTTCTCACATACCCCAGCAAACCAGCAAGGCTCTTCCCTTCATACACCGGGTCAGTAATGAATGCATCCATCTTTGCCCCATACTCAATCGCCTCCCACGTCTGCTTGTCGGGGACCCCGTACGTCCCAGCATGGTACCTCTCATCAAGCACTACATCTGCCTCCGTGATGTCATCCGCCTTTAACCCGATCTTCTCAGCAGTGCCCCTGGCAATCCGCAGCACCTGGGCCCGAGTCTTCTCCGGAGTCGCAGATCCGTCAATCCCAATGATCTTCTTCCTGGGCTCATCGGGATAAAGCTTCTCGATCAACTTGAAGCCCGCCACGATGCCGGCCATCGTAGACCCCGTCACTGCGCACACAAATATATAGTCGAACGTCACGCCCTGTTCTTGCTCTTGCTCGCGTACCTCGAACGCCCAGCGAGCGAAACCTAGCCCTCCGAGCGGATGATCCGATGCACCCGCGGGTATGTAGTAGGGTTTCTGGCCCTTGGCTTCATATTCCTTCGTCAAGGCCCTCAGGGTATCCTTGTGCTCGATGCCAAATGAGGTCATCTTTTCGATCCGCACGTCTGCACCCATGAGGTAGGAAAGCTGGATGTTGCCGACCTTCTCGTAGCCCGGGTCAGCCCATTCGACCCATTTCTCCTGCACTAGACCGCACTTGAGGCCCATCCGGGCGGCAACGGCAGCAACTTGGCGGGTATGGTTGCTTTGGATGCCGCCGATGCTGACGAGAGTATCGCATCCCTGGTCAACAGCGTCGGCGGCCAGGTACTCTAGCTTGCGAGTCTTGTTGCCGCCGTACGCTAGGCCGGAACTGACATCGTCTCGTTTCGCATATATCTTGACCTGGCCACCGAGATCTGCTGTCATCCGCGGCAGAAGGTGAATGGGCGATGGGCCCAGGAGGAACTCCTGGCGCGGGATCGCGGCAAAGGTCTCGGGTAATTTGACCATGTTATTAGTAGGTACTTCTAGGGGGATGGCAAATAACATACAACGACGTTGCAGATTAGTGTATAGAATGCTGTCCTTGACTGATTCGAGCCACGGCAGCTTATATACGAACCGTTTGGTGACTTGGTCGGCTAGCTAACTAACTACTTGTCCCCCGCATGCATGCTTCAGCTGGCCGACATTTTTGTACCGCCCAGAAGTCACTTACCTCGGCCTTGGAATGCTAAATTTAAATGCATGGCAGCACCGGCTACGTAGCTTGCCCATTGGGTGTTATATTTAGAAGTGGTGCAACCAGAAGAAACACGTTGTGATTTAGGTCGTAAACGTATCTTTGTTGAAAGAAGATTTGACGTCCTGGATAGTTGATATAACCCTGACATCGACTCTAACACGCAGGTAGCTTCTCTATCTATGTACAAAAAGCACATTGAAGCTTTATAAAAAAGGGAGACAAGCAATTACATGCTTTCTATTATAAAAAAACGTTTGATCGTGTATTATAAAGTGTAAATCAGCCGCGATTTCCTGGAGGAGTTCTAGTTCAACTTGACAGGCTTGTTGAATGCTGCTTGCATCTTACTGTTTGTGACGTCACCAAGGGCAGTCCCATTCAAGGATGCACGTCGCTTCTTGATTGTCAAGCAGTTGATGTCCAGGAATGCCGTAATACGGCCAATAACGTATAAAGCCCAGTGCATGTATGCAGCAAAGGCGAAGGCGAGGTACCCCCACAGATACCAGAGTTCCACCGTAGCCCCGACAGCTGGTAGCCCGATCGCAGGGAGGTTGACGAGGACCGCACCGCCAATAAGAGGGGTGATCAGGACAGTCCAGTAAGGGAATGGCTGTCTGGTAAGATGAGCGAGGATGATCTTGGTGGTCATACGCCCAAAGACGAAGCATAGGGTAACTGCGAATAGCACGAGATGGTTATCCTTTAGAATAAAGGAATACGGGGAATAGACCCAGGATATAGCCGATATAGTTGATATGATGATAGAAGTCCATTCCAGGAAAATGGGCAACACCGGCAACCCGTTGCGTCTGCGTGCCTGGACCACGTTATAGACACACTCAGGCAAGTGTGCGGTGAAGAAGGAAGTGAGAAGGACAAAGACCCAGATGTCAAGGAAGGTGACGTTTCCGATCAAGTCTGCGTATCCAATACCGTCGGCCAGAGGACGAGAGTAGATCTCTGGTCCGTAATAGCCTGCTGCAATGATGATTGCAGTGGCAATGATCAGTCCTTCGGTAGGGCCATTGAAGTAGCCCAGGTAGAGAGTGTGGGTATGATAAGTCTCCCAAGTCGAGAAGAACATGGGTAGACATGGGATCAGCATGGTGAAGGCCCCAATTTTGGTCGGCCCTTGACCCATGGCTGCAACTTCAAGTAAACTTGCCAATGTGCAGTTTAAAGAGTCAATCCCATGGCTATTTTCACGTTCACGATACATTAGCTTTCCACTTTCCAAGTTACCAGAAGTGTAGCAGGAGATAAATGTTTCTCATAACCTTACTCAAACAATTCTCCAAGAGGACTTGACGTGCCGGTGCGTCGAGCCTGTTTACCATCAACGTTATCCATGGTAGAATACCTAGTCGACTGGTCAGTAACACATCAACAATATATCCGTGGGCGTGAAGATAGCCAACCCCGAGAGCGAAACCAGATCTAAGAGGTTGCCTTACATCCAGATGCCGATAGCAAAGCTATAGTATACCCATGAGGGGGCCTAATACCCAGAGGACAATTTCTTAGCAAACTTAATGCACGCTACAGGAAGAATTCACCACTTAAAAGGGCTCTTTTGTTTTTTTTTTTTTTTTTCTCTTGGTCGCAGTGTACACACCGGGCCTACGAGATCAGGCATGTAAATCTCGAGCAGCACTACGTTCCCAACAATGAATCCAAACCCAAGCAGGGTGACCATGTTGGGAGCGATCCATAGCGGCAAAAGCTCGACAAAGGCATTCCACTAGAGGTAGTGAGGTAGAATTTGATTAGTCCGGGGTTTATATACATGGCATACAGCGAGCCTATCAGCCCCTTTCGGAGACAGTAAAGAAAGGTGTTGACAAGGGCGAAAGAGAGCGACAGTACATAGTGTTTGAGTATATATCGAGAGATATACGACTTATCGACACTCGAGTATTTGTAGCTCTTCAATGGAGCCAGGGTCTCATCCGTCAAGGAATCCTCCAATCCTGTCGTGTGCGCAGGTTAACAATACGACCTATTCCCACCAGTCACAATGAAACGCCCAACGGCGGAGCATCGACGTACCGGCAAGTTTCCTGACCACATCCATTGTAGAACGAACTGGCGATCTGTGCAATGATAACGAAGGGCCCAGACTGATCTTCAAAACATGCTGAGACGCTGCCTGGTCACCAGCCCTTTTTTTCCTCTTTCTTGCTTCTTTCTTCTTCTTCGATTGACGTGCAAAAAACCGTTGAAGTTCATTTCGTGGGGTAGAAAAAAAAGAAGAAAAAAGAAGAAAAAGAGCAAAAAAGTCATGTCACGTGATAAACACTGAACATGTGACCATCACGTGAAGTGTGCTGCATGCTAGCCGCTTTGGGACTAGCGTCGCTCTGCGCATTTCGATCGCGAAAGCTCGAAGAAAGTTCGATTTTTATATTTTATTATTGAATGAATCGACGGCGAGCAGCTGAATATACAACGAGCAGAGCGCCAGCGCGACAATACCAGCGTGTTCTCTGCCTGCCTCCTATTGTCGATAATGGGCCCCTGCGCTAGCTGCGTGTGTTGGGTATATTAACTGGGGCACCCGCAGCGTGCTGGCTCCCCCTTCACCAATGCCTAGTGCTGGACTTGCTCACCCGGTTGGGCAGACTCGCTTCCATACAGCAAACACCGCTCTGCTCGCAGCCGTCTTCCCTTCGCGATATGGTCCTGCCGCTATATAACGACCGTTAGGAGAACCAACCCCCTCTGATACCTGGCGTGCGCGCGCGGCCGAGACGAAACGATGCCTGGGGTGGTTGACGTGCAAGGAGCTCCGCCGCCCTCGGGGCTTGGCTACTCAGTCAGCCATCAGAAGGTCGAGCTCGATATCGACTTCACCAGCCGGAGCATAAAGGGGAAAACAGAAATCACCATACACCCGGACTACAAGGACCTGAAGCTTGTCCGCTTGAATTTCCGGCAGGGTCAGCTGAAGCGCATCACCGTGGGCGGGAAGACTGCCACGTCGAAATACGTCGACCCTTACGAGGCACTGCAGCTCTACGGTGTTCAGTACCACCGCAAGCTCTCCACGAAGCTTGATGCCCTGTCGAAAACACCCCCCGAGCCAGAGCTGGTGATCACAATTCCGAAGTCTGTTCGCATAGAGGAGCTAGACCCCTTTTCGGTTGAGGCGCAGACACAGCTATCATTAAGGGCCACTTCAGGCGGCGCCAACGGGACTGGTGGTGCGGACGATACTGTGGATGGAAATCGTGCCGCCGAAGCTTCTCTTCCGAGGTTTACAGCAATAACAATACTCATCGAATTTACAATCGAAAAGCCAAGGGATGGGATCCAGTTTGTTGGTCTCGAGAGCCGTGATTTGCGATACCCCCATGCATTCACTACCAACTCTTCTGATACGGGAGAGTTCTGTTGCTTGTTTCCATGCGTGGATGACATGTCTTCCCGGTGCACATGGGATATATCGATTAGATGCCCACGGACTCTAGGGGATGTGTTTTCCAAGTCGCCCGATAATGGCGTCGTTAATGGAACCAGCAGCCGAACAAATAGCTCGAGGAAGACTGGACTTTCTGCCGAGGATGCAGCGTTGGATATTGTTGTTGCATGCTCAGGAGATTTGACAGATGATATACTCGACCCCAAGGACCAAACCAAAAAGACCGTATCTTTCTCCTGTAATACACCACTTTCCGCTCCGCAGATTGGATTTGCACTTGGACCGTTTGAATATGTCAATTTGTCCCAGTTCCGTGAAAGTGATGAAGATGACCAGCTTGGCGCCAATGCAGTTCCCGTCCACGCTTTCTGTCTCCCTGGAAGGGCAGACGAAGTGAGAAACACATGTTTGCCGATGGCAAAAGCAGTTGACTTTATATCTCTGACTTACGGTTCATACCCCTTTGCTAGTTTTAAGCTGTGCTTTGTTGACGACCTCCGAGCGGACACACTACCCGCTGCAGGCTTCACCCTATGTAGTGATCGAATACTCTTCCCAGAGAACATCATTGACATGATGTACGATTCGACAAGATGCATAGTCCATTCATTAGCATACCAGTGGGTTGGAATCAACATCATTCCAAAGGATCCTACCGACACCTGGGTGATCACAGGTATATCCTACTACATCACGGACACATTTATGAAAAAAATCGGCGGAAACAATGAGTACCGGTACCGACAGAAACTGCTAGCGGATCGAGTGGTTGAATTGGATGTTTTGCGCCCATCACTCTGGGATATGGGAGCCATCCTCAAAATCGACCCCTCCGAAATGGAGTTTATCTCTTTAAAAGCGCCACTTGTCTTATACATCCTTGAACGCCGATTATCCAAGGCAAGCGGCAAGGCTACTGTCTCTCGTATCATTTCTCGAATCTTCTTAAATGCACGAATGGGTGACCTTCCAAACTGCGAACTCACGTCAGCGCATTTTCAAAAACTTTGTGAACGCATGGGCCACACGAAGTTAGATGCCTTCTTCAGCCAATGGGTTTATGGTGCTGGCTGCCCGCGATTTACTGCTAGCCAAAGATTCAACAAGAAGAAGCTTGTAGTTGAGATGATGATTTCTCAGGTCCAGAGTGAACAGGCAACTGCCCGTGACCTCGAACGATCTACTTTTATGAGAGACGTAAAGGAAGAGATACGCAATGTCTATGCTGGAACAGTACAAAATGTGTTTACGGGCTCAATGACCATACAAATTCACGAAGCAGATGGGACCCCTTACGAGCATATAGTTGAAATCAAGGAGGCCATCACGAAGTTTGATATCCCTTACAACACGAAATATAAACGTCTCAAGCGGAATAGACGACAAAAGGAACGAGCTGCGGCCATGTCCGGTATTGATCCTAGCAGTGAGACTCAAGATGACGTGCTGCTTTACTGCCTGGGAGACGTCCTCCAATCAGATGAAGACATGGAGAAGTGGAGGATTGTTGAATGGACCAAAGAAGATGAGAGCCGCATGGGACAAGAATCCTACGAATGGATTAGAATGGATGCTGACTTTGAGTGGATATGTAAAATGTCACTGGGTATGCCGGGATATATGTATCTATCCCAGCTGCAGCAAGATCGTGATGTGGTTGCACAGCTTGAGGTAAGACAGACTTCCTGGATTTTATTGACTGGCGCATGAGTCTCATGGTTTCTAGTCTATACAACATATGGCTGCACAACGAGAGCACGCCCTGATATCGAGTATCTTTGTTCGGACAATACTAGATCGTCGATATTTTCATGGAATTCGAACAGCAGCTACGAAAGCACTGGTCAAACATGCCAAACAGGAAGTTGACTGGATTGGCCTCTTTCACCTAGAAAATGCTTTCCAGGAGCTATATTGCCTCCCAAATTCATCTATGGCCCGTTCGAATGACTTTTCAGACCGGTCCTCATACGCAGTGCAGTTGGCTCTTATTGAGGCAATTTCAGAAGTGCGGGATGAAGATGGTAGGACCCCAATGAGAGTAAAGCAATTCCTCTATGAGAAGCTGAAATTCAACGACAACTCCAACAATGAGGTATATACTATTCACGACATCTTTCCACTGTTAATATTGTATAGTGTGACTTACAACTATTAGTACTCCGATTGCTTTTACATATCGACGCTGCTCAAATCCATCTGCAACGCACTGCTTGGCCGAAGAGAAAGCAGGTCCGACGATGGCAATTTCGATATTAACAAAGAAATTGAACGCCAGGCGGAGGAACAGCTCGACAAGGACTGCATTGCCGAGATTGACAGATATCGACGAATCGACGAATGGGCTGGTTCGTTCAGAAATATCTTCTCAAGGACTTCACTCGAATGCCAGAAACGACTTATGAAAGCCAGAATGCTTGATGTCGACATTATCCAGTTTGCTCAATACACACGCGCTGGGATTCTGGAAGAATTGAGGCTCAAGGCTTTCGAAATTCTACTGGAGTTCAAATTGTTCGAGCACCCTGAGCTCATAACATGGTACATTTACAACATGTCAGCAGACCCCTCACCTTGGATCCGACGGAACCTTTACCGCATGTTCGGTGAAGCCCTCGCAACTATTGCATTTGGCATGGAATCAGAGACTTCTGGCTCCTTGGAAAGTAGCTCACTTGTTATTGAGCAAGAATCGTCAACCGAAGCTCGACAAGTCCAGTTGGCTAGAAGGCAAACGGTTCCTGGAGCTCTAGATGCCTTGAAACAAGAACTTGGTTCAAATAAAATCCTAAAAGAGGCACTATGGGCAGCATGTAACTCACCGCGAGCGAGTCTCGTAGAGCTATGTGACTTCGTCTATGCCCTTGGTGCCTTGTACCATCCTGTTGAGCAAGCATTGGTCCGCCTGAAGTATCCTCGCTACTGGAAAACACAGCACCTAGGAAACGTAAGTCCGACCATATTCCCTAACCTTACTCTTTGTTGAACTGTGCTAACATTCATCCAGGGAAAAATGAAATTCTTCAGATCTGACCGATTCCGCACCCGCCCAGTGGGCAGCACTACCACGACTACCACAACTACATCAAAGGCCACAACCGCACCTGTGCCTACTCCCACCGTGAAGAGGAAGCGTGAACAAGATACCAATGGCACTGCTCCACCTCTCAGTCATAGACTTACACTCAAGGTTCCTAAATTGGGCACCTTATGCTCCCCGTCACCACAACCGCCTCCCCCATCTTCTGCCGTTAAGCCGAAGATCAAGTTGAAGCTCAAAGCTAAGAGCTCAAACTTTTCTCCAGGTTCATAAATAATACCTTGAAGTTTTGCATGCTGCTATAATTACTCTCTTGCCTTACTGTTATTTTTCGCACTGATTATTTCGTCATTCTCGGCGCTCGGAATCCGTACAGCGGGCTGGTTTAACATTCGGATATGTCATGAACAAAAGGGCGCAACGGGGTCATATGGCTGGTTTCTATTTCCCTGTCACTATTCGTTTTCACTTTTTTTTTTTTTTTTTTTTTACCAAGTAACAAAACAATAACCTCAACGGCACGGAGTTTGTTTATGGGAGGATCTAGTCTTTTCTGCAATTTATATTAAGCAGTGTCACACTTATACTAGTAATCAAGCATCCTTCGTTTTAAAACAAGTTATTCCATATTGTCCCATTTTTGTATATCGTTTCCGTTTCAAAGCATGATATTTGACCTGCCTGGCATAAAACTCCGTTGAACTATAAAAGATGATTCGAGGTATTTTGCGGAACGGATAAAATGGCCGATTAATTCTGAAGTATTATCCCACCCAATCCGAATAAATACTCCGGGAAGATTGAAATGAACAGAACGCGGTCCAGCGTTGGGGAGAAGTCTATCACCGATCGCTGATACGCTCAAGGGCCTGATTAGGAGATGTAAAGTTAGCATGTCCCTCCTTATATGAACCCTACGTTGCAAGGGAATACGAACCTCTAGCATAACTACCGAGTTTCCACGGATAACCTATATACGAATCAATCTTAGCTTCCACAATGACCCTCATGTACGCTTTGGGCAATGTTTCCTTACCACCATGCCTAGTGGGACTTTTTCGCCTCCATTCTTCTCTTCCACAGCATCGTCCAGGACAATATTCATGAAGACCTATCCCGGCATTAGCTATATATTTCACTTGCGACTAGGTATGGGGTATTCAGGGCGTCGTACATCGTAACCTCGAAGGACTCCGATAACCTTGCGATTGCCATTCAGTTGAACGAACAACCGCTTCTCCATATACTATTACGCAAGGTACGGGTCAGCAATGTATGCGGGAAAAGATCACACCCGTGAACATACCTTTTTCAATTCTGGCTGGGCTTGAGGCATCTTGACTGAGATCTATGCTTGGTCAACTAGCTGCAGAGCTCTTCTCGTCTGGATACTCGAGGGTTGAATGAATGTTTTCTCGTGCAAACGCGATAAGCTGCTCGGGATCGGAATAACCTGGTCCCGTGATATGGAGTTCGCGGGCTGTACCTTTAGGTAGAGCTCCAAAGCCTCAAGACTGACCTTGACTTTGAGACTCTTCGTACAGTAACTACTTACTATTCGGTGGGAGTGTTGAGAATTGAAGGAGATTCTACTACGTTTTTCTGTTAGTATGAGCTCCTCGTTTGCAAGTCGGCGCAAGGCCCGGCGGGTTGGTGCGGACGATGAAGATACAGATGGAGCTGTTGAGCAAGGTGAGCGCTCTATATACCCAATTATCACAGTCAGTATTGATGAATTAATCAACAATGCAGAACCTGCTGTTCGGAAACCGGCCTCAAAATCAAAGCGGAAGTCGAAATTAAATCTTTCGTTTGGGGTCGGTGGAACTTCTATGACCGACGATGTTTCCGACGAAGGAGAGGTTGTCATTCCAAAGAAGACGGGAATAAGGCGAAATGTTTTGGACAGAGCATCGAACCGAAAACACCTGAACCCATCGGAGACACTTCCTGTCCGGGTTGGCCGAGATGATGACCGACCAAGCTACAGCAAGGACTACCTCCAGGAATTACGAAATTCTACGCCGTCCACGCCAAAGAACGTATCTCGTCCAGACACCGAAGATGAAAAAGACAAAGCCTTGGATATAGCCGGCAAATTTGGAGAAGTGGCAAAATACACCAGACCCTCTGCCATTCCTAGTGAGGCAGAAATCAGGGAGAAAAAAGAGCGCCGCAGCCGCCTGGCTAAGGAGCAAGAGTACATATCTCTTAATGATACCGGCATAGAGGAAGATGAAGATGAGTGGTCACTCTTAAAGAAACCACTTGAAACCGACACAAGGTTAGTGAGAGATGACGAGGATTTTGCGGAGGGCTTTGACGAGTACGTTGAGGACGGCCGGATAGCAATGGGCAAACGGGCCGAGATTGAGCAAAAACGGCGGCAGCGTGCAAATATGAAAGAGCTCATTAATGATGCCGAAGATCTCTCAGACGAGGATGACTCTGAAACCGAACGCCGGGCGGCATATGAATCTGCACAAACTCGTGCAGGAATGGATGGTTTGAAGAGGGACGCCGACGAACCCGTAACGCGCCCAAAGACGCCGCCCAAAATAACGTCTCTTCCGACGCTTGCATCGAAATTGGCAGGCTTGCGAATGAATGTGGTCGAAATGGAAACCAATAAGACACAACTTGTCAATCGTTTGGAAGAACTTCGCAAGGAAAAGGTTGAGATATCGGAGAGAGAGATGGAAATCCAAAATCTCTTGAAAGAAGCTGGCGAGAAGTATGAAAAACTCCGGGCAGAGGCCGGGCAAACTGCCACTACGGAGAAGCTTATCACAGGAAATGAAGTGGGAGGTGACCGTGGACTTGATAACCTCGCGACTATGTCGTTACCAGCACCGGATACCGAAATGGATGAAGAGGGCTAAAAGACGACAAACGCCGCAGGAAAAACACAAAAGCAACCGTGTTTAAGGTCTAATCAAAAGCAACGAGTATGGTTGTGTCATGCCTTCCTATACTCCAAACTATCAATGGAAAGGAAGCTACATTACCACCGGGCGAACTTCCATGACGGAAGCCTTCCCTCACGTCAAAGATGCTGAGACTTCAACGTTGTGCTATCTAAATGGATAGATCCAGACTCGAGGAGAATATGGCACGCCAGTTATTCCTTTCATTCAGGCATTCACGTCCTGCAGTGAGACGATCGAAATTTGACCGGTATGAGTTGTAAATACATGCTGCGTATGATCTGATCTGGGATTAATAGTTATGTCGTTCTAGATATATTCCTTACCGTATACCCTTGATTGAATCTCCTCTCGATAAGACTGATAATCCCCCGCGTCTATACCGACAGGCAGATGCTACACCAATAGAGCTATTTTTTGATCTCTTCTTCGTGGCAAACCTCTCGACATTTACCGCTTCAAATGATATAAACTCATTGGAAGGTGTGTGCTTGTAGCTACCGTCTTAACAGTGTGTTAGAACGTAAACAACTAATAAAGTGTGTAGCGCTGTGGTCGTACGTCTGCTTTTTGGGGATAATCTGGTTCACCTGGCTCCAGGTCACTCTATTTGATATTCGTTTCGCTCGAGACTCTGTCTTCGAACGGGTATGCAAAGCAGTGCAACTGGCCACCATGGTAGGGTTTGCTTCTGCCGGTTCTGGCTTTGCGACGCGAGTTCTACCAGAGAATCTGTGGATATTTCAATCCCTGACGATACTTCTTGCCATAAGCCGTTTGATGTTAACGCTGGAGTATCTCGTTGCCTCAGTATACCTACCTCCCGATACGGCGTTTAATTTACGCTGTGTCACTTTATTTATGTTCTTGAACAGTCTGATATATATTGCGGTAAGCCTTTCCAGTTCATAGATACCATATCATTTGAATTCTAACATGAAATCATAGCTATATTTCCTCTTCAATGACCGGGCGGCTTCTATTGGTTCACAAATTTGGATGTTGTGGTGGTTTCAGTTTGCTGCCGAAACTTTCATAGTGATGGTAAAAGCGGACGAATTGCCAGGTATTGGCTTTGAGGACACACATCTTAATGTTCGTATGGGCCTCCTCACGCTTATTATCATCGGCGATGGTATTATATCAGTCACCAGGATCGTCAATAGGACTGTGGGTAACGGCTGGACTCGCTGGTCTTTTGTCCATATATTTGGGGTCACAATCTCTGTGGTACGTGTCCACCTCCGACAAATACTAGTTGCTTCTATTTGGATAAAGGAGCTAATAGATAAATATAGTACCTCTTATGGCAGTCCTATTTCGATATCACACCAACGGAAAAGTTGGGAAAGCTTCGACAAAAAATGTGGACATGCTTGCATTTCCCATTGCATGTACTCCTGATTCTTCTGTCTGAGGGCATGCAAATTCTAGCATTGACGTTGGATGTGTCGCTGAAACTTAAACGTTTGCGCGATACCATCTTGTCTGCTTGTGGTGTTCCAAGGCCTAGTACCTCGGATGCGATTGATTCCATTAACAGAACAATTGCAGGCTTTGGAATCGATTTCACACATGGAGCAATGGAGGAAAAATATGCAATTCAAGGCCTCTTGTGGGACCTCAGGCGTCAGTCCCGCCTCTGCCCTTCAGAGATGGAGAGTGGTGCTTTAAATATTGAGAGGTCCCATGATATCATGGGAAATGTTACCGTGGCGCTCTTCTCCGGCATGGGAATCACTCCGCCAGACGGCCACACAACGGCAAAAAGAAGCGATCATCTATTAACAATGTATCTTAGGATGTTCGGCTTTGTATTCCTATATTATTTCATCGTGGCTGCTCTCTCCATGTTTATGTTTGCGGCATTCATCTTCTTGGTCAACCACGATCCCACAAAAAGAGTGTTTCGACTAGGTGCCACGGGAACACGAGTGGTGGCAGGATTTTCATTGCTGAGCATCATAGCCTTAGTGTCGAATTTTGATCTGGCTTATAAGTACATGACGAATCCTATCATCCTCTTCACAGTAGCTCTGGCACTTCTTATATGTATGTTTCCCTTTCCACGGTCAAACTCCGTTTCGGTAGCTGATGTACGTTTTCTAGGTCTTTTGAGTGATCAACTGTGGTATACACTGGCCTTCTACTATGCAAGTTTTGAAGCTGAGAGTGGCAATGACATAGAGCTAGAAGCCATACCTACCAATACATGAATAGTGACCAAGAGAATAGCGACAGCAACGAAAAAGGGTGTGTTCTAGCCTTTGAAATCTTGTTTTCAAGGCCTACGCATTGATATTATAGCGAAGCTCAAATGCTACGCACAGAAGATCGAAGTCATTATTATATCTTGGAGCTTGCCTTACCCTTGCTTCTCAACACTGTAGAATCCATTCGCTTCCCTTCATCATCTTGTTCCGCAACATCTAGAACGGGGAGACTCTGGGGCATGATACGGCGCGGACTAGCACCTGGGACAACCGAATAGGGGCTAAAATCAGTGACACCACCATGTTCACGTAAGAAGTCCTCATCTAAGGCCAGAAGCCCATTAACGACAGAAGGTGGTGATTTTAAAATGGCGAGGATGGCATCAGAAAATATTGTCTAGAGCATACAATTAGCCTCCCTGGAGTGGATGCTTCTTTGGGAGGTATCAAGATTGGAAGAATCTCACCGGTTTTCGAAGATCTTTCAAAAACGAAGGGTCCATATTAGTCGATTGTTGTGTTGCAGCAGATTCAATTGACTATATATCCTTGTTATCAGACACAGCGACTCATAGAAGGAAGCCGTCGATACTTACAACAGCTGGCCAAATGCTTGTAATTGCCATACCATCTCTCTTTTGCCGAATGAAATCCATAGCGAGGCCCTTTGTCAGGACACTCATTCCCACCTTGCCTACCGGTAGGATATTGAATTAGCAGCTTTGTATAGGCACAGAAGCCGAATTAGGAGTAAACTTACCCATAGCGTAGGCTGTCTTCCCCCTGAAGAACCGAGAATATATCGGCGGAGAGACAACTATGATCCGGCCTTTCCAGCCATTTTTTTCAAAATAAGGAAGAGATGCATGAACACTAGCATATAGCCCTTCAGGATTAACTTGTTGCATAAGCATAAAGCGTTTGACAGGCGTGTTCTCAATGGAAGACCACCATATTGCGCCGGAATTATACACTAGGACGTCTAGCCTTCCATATAGCTCTTCGGCAGTCTTTCTAACTAGTTCTTTTACAGCCTCAACGTCTCGGGTATCAACTGGCAGTGCAACTGCTTCACCCCCTAATTCATTTATCTCCCGAGCAACTGTGTTGATCGTAGATTGGGGTGAGTTTGGGTCTGGTGGAAATGGCACAGTCTTGGAGGCATCGGACGTTGTTTTTGCCGCAACGACAACTGCGTATATTCTCAGTCATATAGATCAGATGCTTGAGTATTAATGTGTAGAAACACACCGGCATATCCTTCCTTTGCCAGGTCGATGGCGATCTGTCTTCCAATCCCCCTGGAAGCACCGATGACAAGTGCTACTGGCTTAGATGCTCCCATGATAGGTATCCTTTGAAAACGGTTATAGATCTATATAGTATCCACTTACAGATACTTGAGTTGAGGGATATGGTATGATGGAGCCCGTATGATATTTCATGGGCGTGAATCTGCCTTGGTCGATGTGGTTGTCTTGACGCCGGCTAATCGTCGCTTATTGCCGAACCTCGGCATCTCTGGACTTCAAGATAACCAGTTACGATAGAGCAAGCAACATCCTTCACGCTCGCCAGCCAGGTGTCAGATATCTGGGGGAGCTCTACCCTTTACTATTGCATCCTGTCGGCCTTTTGTTTCTCGTCTGTACAGTTTCCCTAACCTCTGTGGAATTCGAGTGAAAATGGGAGGCAAGATTGAAGCATACGTTGACTGCCGTAAGTCATAACCCACCTAGTTACCTCTAGTATAGCTTCACTCCAAGAGGATCTCCAGTTACATAGCTAATGACATTCAATAGCCTCTCCATACTCGTATTACGCGTTTCTTCACCTTCTAAGAAACCGTGATACCTTGGAATCTCATGGAGTCGAGATTGAGTAAGCTTGCCCCTATCCAGCTGAAATGAGGGTACCAGCCTGATATGAAAATAGTGTCCACCCTGTATTCCTTGGTGGAATAAATGCTGGCTCGGGTATGGAGTGTGGAACAGATGATTATGAAACTATGGCCCGTCACTGAAAGTGGTATTCTAATCTCTACTTGCAATGCAGGCAACAAGCCACCATGGTCTCTCCCAGCCAAGGCAGCGTATGGGCAGTTCGACCGGGTGCGAGCAGGGAAATACTTCGGAGTCGATGATTTCAAAGTCCCGCCCTTTTTCCCTCCTCTAACCATTCTGGTGCGATTCCTACACATATAAAGCATGCATTATAGGCAAGCTAACTGTCTTCTGAACAGCCTCAGAGATGCGCGACATATATCAAACAGAACTATCCGCGAGAGCGGTTTGAAAATACATTCCTGCTGTATTGGAAATATATGTTTTACAAACATATCGATCTGAGCAAACCGGAGGGTATGGCCGAACTGCTGGAAGAGGCGAACTTCTCAAAACGGGAAATCGATCGTATCCTTGCATCTGCAAAGACAGATGAAATTAAAAAGGCGCTGACCGACAGAACCCAGGAAGCATTAGATAGGGGTGCATTTGGTGCACCATGGTTCTGGGTCCGGCATGCTGAAACTGGGAGAGAGGAGCCATTCTTTGGAAGTGACAGGTTCCATTTCATGTGGGAATTCTTAGGCGTCCCGTTTGATGATGTGAAGATCAGGCCTGCAGAAAAGGCGAAGATTTAAAAAAGCCTTGATGACATGGCAGTTTCAAGAAGGAATATGCTTTCTACAGGGTAGAGCTAATAAATACCATTTGCAAATATGCTGTATCTAAAGGTTAGCTGCATTGTCACTTTAACTATCACCAAATGCAGACCCTAATTTCGCTGCAAGACCCTTCCGACTAAATCGTTGTCCCTGATCATCGAGACCAGCCCCTTGAGCTGCCATGGCCTCGGCTTCAGCTCTGCTACCATACGCCTGAGCCCCCGGAACTTCCAACTTCGCGTTCAGCACATTGATACGCAGTATATGCATGTGTGCATTTTCCAGGTATTCTCTCATACTGTCCAGAGCTTCTTCATGCAGCTGCTCTCTCGCAGGCGGTTTGCTGGTAACGATTACTCCTTTTTCAAGATCTATTCTAGCATCGAGGATTTCACTCTGGATAAGTCCAATCAACTCAGACACAAATGCACCATTTGGGTTGAGTTGCCCCTGCTCATCTCTAATTTGTTCTTTAGGGGCAAATACCTTGGCCATGCCATCGAGCGTGACACGGCTGTAGGGTATGATATGTTGCTGTATGGCTTTCGTCCTGATGCGCCTGTACAGCGTCCGGACATGTCTCTGCAGGTGCAAATCAAGAAGGTAGTCAGCCTTGTAAGCCTCTAGGATATCCAGGCAGAGCCGAAACTTTGATGCGCAAAAGAATGAAATGGCTTGACGGATATGGGGTTCTAATTCAAGGAAATTTCGAAACGACTTGTTTTCGAGAACATTTTTGGCAAGATCAGTTCGGCTCATGGATGCCAAAGCACAGAGACCACCATAAACCGCCACATCGTTTGGTGAGATCACCTCCTTGTAATTATCACCAAGGGCTGGGTCGGTTGATAAGAAAGTTATTGCAGCTTCATGGTACGAACTTGCTGCGAGTTGTGCTAAGCCGTGTGATGCAAAGAGCTTAGCTTTACACTTCGGTTCATCTTCCGGTTTAAACTGAAGACTGCGCAAGCGATGAACATTGGCCTGGAGGGCTAACCAATCCGAGCGATCAATGGCAACAACAATGTTTTTAAAGAGCATTGAAGCAATATGAGACGTAGTAGTGCAGTAGTCCCGCATTCTTGAAAATGCATGGGAGGCGGAAGCCAGATCGCCTATGCGATGGTAATGCATACCAAGATCCTCATTCCCCATCTATAGAACGTCAGACACAGGAAACGAGGAAATCATGGAAGGGGATAAGGCGAATGTTGGGGAGCCTACTCGTATGCTCTCCTTGATCAAATTGTTTTTATATCCTTTCAGTTCACGTTCCAGTCGGTTCGTATCGGCCTTGACGACTTTCGTAGTATTGTTGATCCATTCAGTGTCCAATACAGCCTCGCTGTCGGACGGGGCAATTTGGCTGAGCGCCTCAACCGCAGTCTCATAACAGCTAACGTCCATCCCTGACTTTGCTTCAGCAACTGCCATCTTTAAAGCTTCAACAGCAAGGAAACTTGAACAGGTTCCGATAAGGTATAGTCTAGCAAATTTTGTCCTCCCTAGTAGAATGAGCACCAGCCGAGGTGATTAGTTTCACGCATAGACCGCGTCGTTTTGGGAACGGAACATCGTACCGGTGTAATTTGATATGTATGTTTCGAGATCAAACTTAGGTGGCTCTATATAGCTTGGTTAGAGAGTGCTTTACCAGCTCGGTTATCTGTGAATTCCGGCAAGCATACCGTCAACGATGATACGTGGAGTTGTTAGACTTCGGCCTTGGTGTTCCGCTGCGGGCTCTATATCCATCGCTGAGCTACCCGTACCATTGCCGGCCCAGGCTTGTGATGACGACTCCATGGTTGTGTGGGAACTGTATCTATGCCTTGATTGTGTGTTGTATTGAGGTAAAGTAGCTTATGGAGGGCGGGGTGACGGTAGTCTTAGAGAAAGGAACAACAGCGCAGCTAGGGCCCTGGCTTAAGCTCGGCGTCCTGAAAGCATGAATACAAGAGCTTGATTATGTTTATTTATGCCTCTTTCGTTCTCGTGTGTTGGTTTCTAATTCAAATTCTGTACTCAGTTAGCACGCTGACTTGCTGATAGATGGCTAGAAGGCGGGGAGAGCAAGTGGCAGAGATATTTGGGAGAGCCGGTGTTTCTCTAAAAAAGATTAAACGTACAGATCTGTTAGAAATGCAAATAGAGCTCGTGAATCGTTCCCTTAACCGTCGTGAATCGTGATGTCATGTCCTGGTGTTGTTTGATCTTTGATGGCCAAAAAGAAGCTCGGAGATCAAAATAAGGCTAACCACTGGATTACGTAATGAGAGCACTCGATACCAAATAACCCGGTCACATGAATATTGTACTTTTTGGTGAAATGGAAATATCATTCATTTACAAGCAGATGGAGGATAAAAATTTAGTGTTGATATGCATTTTCATTTATGGTCATAAGTCAATTATATACCATTATCCCGTCTTTTGATTCCCAATTCTTTTTCCCCCTTTCCCATTGGAACCCAGCCAAAAAATTAGAAACAACCACAAAAGAATTTAGGAGACACAAGGCGCCAGCTATGTCAAGTATGGGTAAAAAAGTCAAGAACAAATATACCAAATGACAGGCGACCCTTGAAAATGCACAGAATATAGGAAATAAATGGTAGTGGCAATGGAATAGTAAGATAATGCTGTCATGAGTTAAAAAGTTGTACGCGACGAACGGCAATCGTAACCGATTAGGGGACAAGGAGCTTTTTTTCGCTCCAGCCGATTGAAATGTGAAAAAATATGCCAAGGTGAGTTTGGTAATAAGAAGGGGTTGGGGTGGAGAGTAGAATTATGCGGTATGTAAGGAAATGAGTTTAGGATCCATGGGACAGATCGGGAGAAAGCTGGGGTATCAATTGAATTTTGAGGGGTTATTGTGAAGTGGGATGTACTTTTTTTTAACTCTTGGAATAATCCTTGCAGCGAATCTCCTATCCCATAAGATCATCGATGTTGAGTTCATCACCGAGTTTCATGGGATGCTCGATGACTGGGACTGCCGTTGGTCCAATGAGGCCTTCAGTGGCGTTGGGGTCCTTGATCCATGGGCCCTTTTCTTCTTCGGTGGCATTAAGGACGCCCTCTGATCGCTTCAGGGTTTCGATGTCCAAATCAGTAACATAGGCTTCTCGACCCATGCAATCGCCGGCAGGGAGCTTAAGCCGGACTTCAAACTCATTGTCAAGCATCATCTCATCCTTCCATAGGCGACGAGGGCCGTCGTAAAGGCAGAGGAGACGTCGCTTCATCTTCATCTTGCTGTTGGGACAGCTCCATGAAGGAGGATAGTTGTTTCGGTTGTTTCGGCGCCTTGAGGTGGCAACACGATTCTTGGTCACCTTGCTGTTGGTGGAGTTAGATTTAGAGAGCGAGCCCTTCACAGAAGAGTTGGATGAGTCGTTTTGTTTGTCCGTAGCATCTTCGATTTCATCGCCATCTTCGATTTGAGTAGCGTTCGACTCGAACAGCATGTGTCGCTCCATGGTGTCACGGACGGCCTCGTCGGAAGCGACTTCGGTCAACCTTCGGGAGTTGATGGCCTCCGAGGGTTCTTCCTGCTGTACTACTCTCAGGACACAGTCGTCAAGATGTTCGTAGAACTCCTGGGCATTTGAAAACGTCGCGGTACATGTGGAACATTTTCCGGTGGCATCCTGGCAGTAGCTGGACAACTTCCCACTGGGAACAGACGGAGGGGTTTTCTTCCTGCCGTTGGGAGCAGACTGGTCAACGCCGTGTACTGTCGTGAGATGGCGTTTAAATACGTCCGCGCGGTTAAAACTTTTCTCTGCAGCGGATCCTGATCCAGGGCAAAAACCGCAAACCATGGTCCCTTTGTAATGTGTCAATGTATGACGATTTTTATCATATTTTCTTGCGAATCCTTTCAGATGGTATTCGCATGTCACAATGGGACACTTTTCGGGGCGTTCCGATTGGTGAGTGAGCATATGTGCTTTGAGGTCTCTGAAGACACGGCCGCAGTCTGGGTGGGGACATCTTCCTTTCTCATTTTCTTCCTCGGCTTCATTTCGGGTTGGAGAGGTGCGGGCAGATGGACGAGAATGAATAGAGGAGATGGACGACCTGCGCCCCTGGAACGGTCTAGGTGTCGAAAAGGTATTTTGCTGCACAAAAGAGGGGTTCACATCGAGCTTCTCCTGTTTCTGGGGTCCGGATACTCCCTGGGACCGTTGCTGTTGCTGAGGGGTATGAGAAATGTTAAGAGGAGAGTGTGGTGAGAGAGGAGCAAAGGCGGGTGAAGAGATGAAGGGGTATGGTGATTCTTCTGCGTACGACACGGCTACTCCCGAAAAGTTGCTGCTCTGTTGCATTGGCTGTAACAATGCAGGATCTATTTAAACACCATCAGTTCTTTGTCTTCAACGCCAACACGGCGGTCCTGCCGTATATCTGTAAAGGTCCATGATGACCAGACGTTGATAGAGGAAGAGAAAACAAAAGGGCATGTTGAGAAAGAGAGACAATGAACATGCCAAGCATTAATAGGTACTAGCAGTGTTATTGTCTCAGAAACTAAAGTGTATGTTTCCGTAGATCTATCTTTGTCCACAACACCGCCATTTGCGTCGAGTCACGACGGCAGGCTGAAGACACAGGATAGATGAAAGATAGAACATAAATCTTGCGAATGATAGGGGGATATACTAAGTTATATCGCTCGACCAACAGGCACAAGATTTATAGGATATAAAAGAGGAAGAATGGAAAGAAGAGAGAAAACGAGGTCTAGAAAGTACTTACCCACATAAGGAGTGGAAAACTTTTCGCTCGCATATAGCATCTCAGGGTCGATGCTATTAGACAGGAAGTCACCTTGATACCCTTCACCAACCATGGCTACTTGCTCCGCACCCACGGAGACGTCGAGGTCAAGCCACTGGTCTTGATAAGGGGAACCTATTGATGAATTTGTTGCGCTGGGAAGAGAGTGGGTAGAAGCCGAGGAGCTGATCGAAGAGTACCGATCGCCGGGCTGAGAGAGCGGTAGAAACTGTGGCGAGCTGGAGGGCTTTGGCGCCAGCCTTAACTCACTTTTGGCAGGGTAAAGCAGCGGAGAATCCAGAGCCAAGGGTTGCTGGAGCATAAATGGATAAGGATCGCATGAAAGTCTGCTGCTATTGTTGTATGCCCCAAAGAGCGCTTGTTGCTGCGGGTCAAGGGAGTCTAGCGGGCCGCTAAAGGCAGACGAATCCATGGGGAGTTGTTGGAGGTAAGATTGCTCGCGAGCAGGGCGCTCCAAAGCGAGCATGACGGAGAGCTTGCTCTTTACGCTCGTCCAAGGAGTAGTAGGGAAAAAAAGAGAGTAGTGTAGAGGCACAGCGAAAGGAGGAAAAGGGACCACAATAAAAGAAGTAGTGAGTCCGTGAGCGTTTATCTCCTTGATCTTCCCTATGTCCGCGGTAAAAAATAGGATTCTAGGCAGACAAAGATAGGCTGGATCTAATTGGAGGAAGCCGAGGTCAGCACATGGGGGATAGACGGAGATGATTTCTGCTTTCGCTTCTTCTTCTGTTTGGCAACTGGAGGGCGACCAACGAGACGAGAAAGAAAAAGAAAAGGGAGAATGGGAGAGGAAAAAGAACATATAAGGCAGAGGAAAGAGGGGAGTTGGTAGAGCAAGCGATTTATGTGTACAGAACAACAGGAGATGTCAAGTAGTTATGTCGCCAAGCTTGGGTTCAGGGCAACAGGGAGAGTGATCGATGGGCGGGCCGCACCGCTGTTTACGGGCACCAAGAAGGGTGGCAAAGGGCAGCCCTTTTAAACAGCTGCCATGGCCATTCGCAGCAGACGCATCCAGGCGGATGGAAATAGGCCGCTAGGGAAGAAGGATGGGCAGCGGAACGGAGGGAGGCAGAGGACAACTGGCAAGGGGAGAAGGAAAGAAAAGAGAGAGGTCAAAGTATGGATGAAAGAGAAGGAGACGAACCACGAAGAGCCGATCCGAAAATTGGGAGGATGCAATGCGGCGACCAATAAGCTTGCTCAGGTGGCAGCCTGAGCAGTGGACTGGAAACAAGGGCGAGAAGACGAACTGGGTCGTATTTTTATGACTGATCGGTCAGATATTGGATCGTTCTGCTAGTTAATGTGAAGATCAGAGTGCTGTGGAGCTGGAAGCTCTTCTCCCTAGGAGCACATGTTATGATCAAGTCGTTTGTCCTTCGAGTTCTGGCGAGTTTTCGAGCACCGGCCTGGACGGGCTCAGATACGATGAGTAGTATGAGTATGGGATCGAGAGAAGGAGTGGGGGAAGGGAAAGGAGGCGTCTGTCGAAAAGGGTAGAAGAAATGTAGGGCGTAGGCGGTTGGGAGTTATATAGATGGGCCTAACAAGTCCGAGAAGATGAGTGGAAGAAGGGAAAAAGGTGGAGGAGAAAAGAGGCAGAGCATCAATTATATAAAAGGGATCAGGGCAACGATATTGGAATTATATGGATGGAAAGACGAGCCAGCCCAGGGAACTCAATATCACCATCAGGTACCGCTATGTAGCTTACCCACGAACGGGACGCTTCCACTGAGATGGGTATACGTGAGAAGAGCATCCACTTGGCCTGCGTGCATGGACAGGGGGAAATGGACCGGGGGGCAGGGTAGGGCAGGGATGAACGCCCATATTAATTCTCGACTCTTTTTCCATACATAGTCCTAGCTGTATCGGTCATTACATACGGCCACCCGAGTGTTTTGGGGAGGTTCCGTATGGGAGGGATACATGGCCCCCTTTCTGCCCAGGCGCCTGGTGCTTTGTATAGGCTTCCGTACTGACCGGCGGCTTCCCCGTCGCACGGGAAGCAACCGCGTAAGAGAAATACGGGCCATATCATTCATCGTCATCGTCATGCGGGTGTCGGAGTCTCCTTCGAGTTTAAAAATTAAAATCTTGCGTAGGGCTTAGACGGCGGGGCACGGATGGGACAAGCTAATCCATCGTTGTGCTTAGTCGGTTGTGACCCTTCTCATCCTTCTTGATGTTTGTTTCCCTTTCTCTCCCTGTGCCACGCCTTTGAAGCGTCCTGAAAACTTGCGGTATTCCTTGAGATCTGGTTATCCGGCCTCGACCCAGATGCTTCGACTGACGGACTGGAGTTGGGATTGCGACAGTGACAACCCCCTCCTAGCTTTTAACTCGAAGCCTTATGCGCGGATACTTACTATGAAAAGACACGGATGGTTGTTTCAAATCCAAAATAGCAACAGACCAATCGAGTGTCCTCCGGGGAAACTGGCCCGGCGCTCACTGGCTACTCTGGATCAGAGAAGAGAAGTTCGACACCCAGCATGAACTCTCTTGGTGCGCCTTTGTTTTTCCCCTTTTGTCGTCTTTTTCTTTCTCTTTCTTTTTTTCGATTCCCCATCTTATTGCCAATCCATCAACTTTCGTCACAGAATAACGAATTTGATGACTGTAAAAAAAAGAAGGCCTGAAAAGAAATGATTAGTAGAAAAAAAAAAAAAAAAAAAAAAGGAAAAGGAGAAGACAAATAACAGGAAGAAAGCATGGATACGTCTTCGTCGTCCCACGTAATGTGCAACCCCGGCTATGCAGAAGCCTCTCTTTTGATCTTGAAACTCCGTGTACTCCTCCGCAGAAGGAGGAAAAGAGAGTTAACCTTTCTGATGGTACCCAAAAGAAAGCGCAAGTATCGTCCATACGGAGTAACAAACTCTCCTTTCCTCTCCTCACCCTCTCTTCTCTCCTCACTGCGGCTTTCCCTTCACCGTCGCTCCGCAAACCCCGGTCAAGGTTTAGTAAACATTCTTGATCCACACCATCCTCTCCTCAGCGAGATAATTGGCCCAAGGTAGCCTTATGGCCACTTTTAGTATTCACCCTCAGGTGTGCAAGGATCAAGGAGAACCGGTCAACGAACTTTCGCTGCGGTCTGCATGCAAGAATGTTTGTTGTTGAGTGTTCTCCATGCAGGTTCTAGGCGGAAATTCTATCAGATTGCTTCCCGTTTGGGACTCCCCTCGATCCGCAATAGGCTATGCTTAGGGCCTTGAACCTGTCCAAGGAGGTGCGTAAAGAATCCACCCGGGGATACGATGTGTTTTACCTAACCATCTGTCAACGTGCTTGATCAGACCGGGCGCTGTCAATCACCGTTGCCCTGCTCAAGCCCATCCCTTTTCACCGCGGATATGGCGTATAATAGTTGCCGTCTCTCTGGTAAAGTCTCGGTCAACGGCGCGATTATGACCATCTTCGTTTACTAGCCTGTTGTTTTTTTTCTTCTCTTCCGGTCCCCGGAAGGCCTGTCTGTGCTACCCAACGTATTCCTGGAGTTCAAAAATGGGACAACTCCTTTTGTCTTACCTGGATTTGATGAATTGTAACTATACATGGGATGGAGAGACAACTTCAACCGATCCACGAATAGTTCAGATCGAATATAGCCGTAATATTGACGAAAATGAATCATTTTAACTCCGTTGTTGTCCGCATGTTTTGTTGAATCTTGGTACCGTATCTCTGGAGTATGATCGGCTGTTCTATTGTTAATAATTCCCATTTTATTCCATTTGACTTACTTATTGGGCATAATACTTCTCCTTTTTCAAGTCCTTCATTATTACCCAAACCCCCCCGTCAAAACCTCCTCACCCAAATTAACCCAGTTAGGGGGAAAAAGGAATACGATGAAATCTGAAATGACGATTATCATCACTCTGTCCACTGGATAGCCCTATTGAAGGCCCATCTAGACCCGCATCTTCCTTTCAATATAATCTCAAGAGAGGAAGCGCTTTTCGCTTTCCTTTTTCTCCCTGCTGTGATTGCGAGTCATCGAAAAGAAAAAAGACGCAGGGCAAAGAATACGTTCTAGAATGCGTTGCATTTGATGTCATCTTACATGGTCTCCTGTCGCATGTCCCCAGACCTGGACCATAGGGCAAGCTTAAGATACATGGGGGAGGGCTGCTGGAAGGAAGGAATTTAATAATGTGCAAGTCAGCATAAACTTCATACGGAAATTTGGTATCAAATAAAACCCACCTGATGTTCGGTTTGACATGGTATGAAGGGCATATAGTATTATCAATAATAATACCACTTAAATACCAAGTCTCGCTCATTTGACACTAGTAACTCAAGCTCCTGTTTGTGATCTCCTGAAACTGCATAAAATGCTGCTTGCAGATATGTATATGTGATGCTCCCCATGCTTTTCTGACGTATCTGATGTATCTGATGAAAATCTGGTGGGTGCCTGTCTGTCTCGAAATATTCGTACAAGTGACTTGGCTTTTCCCAGCACTGCTGCTAGCCCACAACCTTATTATTGTCTGACGCTCTGCGTGGACTTGGTCCTGGCTCATGAAGGGGGAAGCGAAATCTAGCCGTCGTCGCCATCCGTGGGCGAGCAGCATCTGCCACAGGTCGGCCAGCATGCACCATAGCGATTCTGCATCGCTCTATCAATAACGGCCGGGACGTCAAGGAGTGTTCTCACCAGTCAAGGGCCGCGGTAGCCGAATCGGCTTGCTGCCACTATTTTCCCAATCCAGACTAGCAAGCCTCCCCTCCGCCGAACTCTGCCTGCTCCCTGTCCCATGCTCGCTTGCTCGTCCGTGGTAACCGTCCGGCCTCCAGCCTGTCTGTGTCCGCTGTAAGATTGATTTCGTGGCTTTGTTTTTGCGTTGCCCGATATTTCTTTTTCGCTTGACGTCCTTTTTCCTTTTTGGGGCTGGCGGTGAACGTTCTGCCAAGTTGCACCACCACAGCCAATGGCATCTCGGGAAAGCCGGGCGCATTGTCTTATGTAAGACTTTGGCGCTCTCTGGTTGGTCCACGGCCTTTTGCTATTTTTATCCTTACCGCAACTTTATTGCCGAAAACCAAACTTTCTTTTTCCCAGTGTTATTGTTGATATCAGGATGGCCAGGAAGTATGAGCATGAGCATGAACATGAGCATGAGCATGAGCATGAGGGAGACGATGCAGGACATATGTCGGGTGAGTGACAATCAGCGAACGTCTGGAGGGTGGTTGGCTGCGAGACTGCAAGCTTCCGCCAGGTAGCATCGGTTATTTGGATAAGAGCGGCCCATGCAGGGAAATTTACACTGCCAGTTTGGTTGCTCATAGACAAGCGGAGGAACGCGGGCAATGAAGGTGGACTGCGTGGTGTTCCATCACAGTAACATACTGGATGCAACTCAAGAAACGGCATTTCAACTCTTTCCTGTACTATGGATGAAACTGTTATCAGCTCCTTTTTGTCCAGGTTGTTGGTCCTGTGGCTTGCGGCTCAGGAGATTGAGGCCTCTGTTAACTCGCCATGGTAAAATCGGCGATTCAAGCCCAAGAATTTCGGTAACCAGATGTTCCCACTCGACACAACATCAGATGAGATGGCCCATTTCCCGCCCTACAGCTAGTCTGCCCTTAAGTATGCTTAAGTTGGTATCCACCAGCGTTGAATTCAAGCCTTCGTGGTACTTAAACTCGCTTCTTGTGCGCGCAATCACCAGTTACATTTTAGCCTGATATTGCGCCTCCTGAGTCTTTTTCTCGAACTTGGCCCACATGGCATTGTCAGCCGTCTCCCCTGTATAGAAACGTTGAGAGAGAAGTTTTTCCATCCTCCATCAAGTTGTGCCGTTATGCCCACCCAACATAACACGAGCAAGGAGGGTACGGAGTAAGGCAGACCAATTTCCGTGGTACACAAGGAGATGCTCTAAGTATATACGGTGAGCACGGTCGCCATACATACCGAGTTATGCAAACCCAGTTCTTCCGTATCGTCAGAGCTTCATACAAAGCTGTTTTGCAGCTCGTTGGTCGCTTTGTGGCGGTGCGTTCTGTATGTACGATTTTCAATACGTACACGGTATTGATGTACTTACAAGCGTCCTTTTTCGTCCAGGAAAGGCACATGTTGCGGTGAAAATAATAATTTGAGCCTCATCAGAATTGTTATCTCCCCCTTTTTCCCGGACCTCACCAAGTTGGTCGTAATAATCCTGGACACAGCTCAGGGATGTGAAGGCACTATTGAATAACTAATAATGGTGTTGGCTCATCTGCTTTCGCTCGTCGATCGGCAACGCATAAAAGACCATAGAGGGGGGAGAGATACGTCCACGTATACCATATGGAGTATCACACATTCTGTTATTGATGAAACCCATTTTTCCTGTCCGATAACACGCGGTAGTTTACTCCGTAACTACCGAGTACCTCACATGAAAAAATAGTAGGGGAAAATTGATGATTGCTCTCGTATCAACCACGCTTGTCCCAAGCCTTGGTCCTGGGTTGGCGGAAACAGCAAAAGTACTAAAAGAGGTGGAGATGATCGTCTTTCTCATCCAGCCAAGAGAAGGGGAGTGAGAAAGGGCTTCCTTACTTACATATCTGTAGGGCATCCTGCATTATGCGGGCTTAATAATAACAGAGTGATCACTTTTCTTACCGAGAGACCGGTGATCCCGCACAATCCATGCAGAATGAGAAGCCATCACTTTCGCAAATCGTCTGAAATGGGCCTCATAATCCCTGACCACCACGTATATAACCGCAAGGGCCGCTGTTTATTATAGGGCAGGCCAGAAAACCATTAATTAGACGGAGCTGGTGAAAAAAGGAATAACGTTAGAAAGCAGTGAATTCTGCGAGCCCGATATCATCCATCGTTTTCGATATCAGTTTCCACTTTTCTGGCTCAAGCTTTTTTGACAAATCGCCCTTTCGTGGTGTGATGAAGGAGCGCTTTTGTGCCGTATCTCCGTCCGAGATGACAGATGCTCTGGAGATCGACTGGAGACGTCCAAACAAAACCCACCAGAAGCACCAAGCAGCAAATCGTCCGTCCACCACGCTTTCGTACGAACCCCATCTTTCCCCGTGTTCATCATCCGCGGCCCGGCCTGGGGAAATCAAAAAGCGTCAACCTGAACGGCAAATTATAGTGATCTCTGGGCGGGTAACTAGTTAATGAGTTCCTCTCGCCTTTGCCCTCGGAACCACCGAGTAGTTATTGAGTCGCTGGGGTAACTCGTTAAGTTGGTTGTGATGCTAGTCAACCAAAACTGCCATGTAACCCGCTGGGGCCAAACCAAGCCATGCATGCTCTCATCAATGACAGTCGAGCGGTTTACTTAGATGGTCTCGCATCCACAATAACTAATCGTGCACAGGCTTAACAAACTGGTTGCGTCCTGTTAGGCGGATTCCGCAGGGGGTTACGGAGTACCAATCGCTAGACTCTAGCCATGCTTAAGAGATCCTCAGGCAGGAGGCCATTACTTTGTCGACAGTGGATGATAGTGAATGCAGACAGCTAACCTGGATGCCACGCAAAAATGTGCCTTGAAGTAGCTTGGCAATATACGGGAGGAGGGAGAATAGGGCTGAATCACTTGATTCTTCCCTGTCCCGCTTCCCGTCGTCCGTGCAAGCCAGCTCAGCAGATAGAACGTGACTAACAGCAGGTCAGTGCATGTATGCGTATTTCTCGCTTCTCGATTCTCCCGTAAAGGGCAGATAGGGACACCAAGAGATGGGAAGCTGCTCATGCCATGGTGCCCATAAAAGGGGTTGATGATAGGGGAATTCCTTTCACCCTCATCCCTGTCGGCAACTAACTACTTAGTGATCAGTGAACAACACTATCAGCCCTATGCATCCTTCAAACGGGCTCGTACTGCCAACATCCTGATCTATCAATCAAACGATGTATACACCCGAAGTAAGTAACTGAAGTACTTGGCTGTGTATGTACTGGTTTGGCCTGTATGGTAACTATTCGTTACACACGAAAGAACAAGGACAAATCCGAATTAGTCCAGAGTGCGATGCATGCATGCATGCATGCCGAATGAAGGGGAAAATCCCTCGCGGGTATTGGTTCACCTGCTCGATTCGCAGAGCTGTGAGAGCCGCTCCTCCCAATCTTGCGGTCAGTATCATTATGCTTAGGTTTCTTAAGGCTGCCTCTCCACAGTTTGGGCATAGGGTTTGGTTTTTTTTGAATTTTCCTGAAGGGTTTGCCGGGATGCATGCAGTATTTGGTTACATCTGACGCTCCGACCAATGGTGGTCACGGTGTTGGCGGCGATCAGAACGTTCGATACTCAGCCTTGTGAGAACCTGGACACATTGAATTGTTGATTAATGATCACGTACGTTCCATATTCCCAGATAGGCGAGCGTCATTGTGGTAACTTATGATAATTTCGATGCACTCAAAAGTTTCGTCTAACCGTTTCTAGACCACTCTCTAGACAATTCTATTGCTTTCCTTTTCCTCTGGACCACTCTCATCTGTCTCTGAAATGCTTTTACTCAAGTTCTGTACGACAGCGGACGAAAGATAGGGCAATCAATCCTGGTGCGCCCTTTTCGTATTAAGCCATGGTTGCAACGAACTCACATGTGGATGAAGTTGAGTGAACAGGTTAGCCCAGATGTTAATTATTTGCCGACACACGTTGTCATCGGCAGCTAGTTGATGAGAACGCGGGTATAAACATCTTATTGGTTAGTGAGCGCATGCTGCTAAAATTTAACTCCAGAAACGTGTTCCCACCCTGTCCGCAGAGTATCCAAGGACCAGGACGTCCTTGCATAGCTGACAACTCCAGAGCTAAACAAATGAAGAAACGGACCCGAAAGGAGATAAACGGGCCATGGAGACACCAAACATCCCATTTACAACGGATATCATAGCTCCTGGTTGTCTTAAACACTACCCCTATTGCAGCTGCATCCACAATGAGGCTTGGGATATGCATTGTGCAGCAGGGTTAAGGCCCGACGAACGAACCAAGACGAAGATTACCCGATGATTCGGTCTATCCGGAGAAAGAAACCCAATCCTATCCTGCTCCCTTTCTTTCCCGTGTCGATGTCTTTGACTAGACGGTTGGTTTCGATATATTGTTTGGGGTAAAACCTCCGGTGGAGATACAACGTGGTACCATAATGCACCCGCGAGCACCAAAGCTAAAAAGACAGGAAATGGATGGAAAGGCCGCGCGGAGAGGACTTTATTGACGGGGAAGTGAGTGTTAGCACTTGTTTTGATTCCAGTTTAAATTGCGAGCTTAACACGAGGCGGGCCATCATCCTTCAACAGGGGGATGGCTGTTTTGATAGAGGGCAATGTTGGTAGTAGATGGGTATGGGTTATATGTCGCATAATGTCCTTCAGTTACTGAATATTAGCAGTGAGGTAGGATTGACCTTTCAGTCGTATCACGGAAATCCTTCTCTAGCTGGTGGCCATTCCTTTTCTGACATTGACTATTGGTATGATAGGATCGGGATATACTGAACATGGTTGATCGGAACGAGTAGCCATCAAGCACTTCTTCAACCACACTTGGTCGTATTATTGTTAGTAATAATATATAAAGATCATGGTAGCATAGACACGAGGGTCCAGGGTGCCTAAGACATGGGTACAACAAGCTCGAGGATTTAGATGTCCATGCAGAGTCTGTTTGGAGCCGCCTCCAATGATATCTTAAACCTTTGGTATGGGCTAGCAGCTCTGAAACAAATAGGCTAAACGTTTTCTTTTGTGAGAAAAGAGAGCTCGGAGACGAAGGGTGTCTAGTGATGACTCGGCTTCGGAAGCAATGCCAAATGTAACTGTTGATCCTTCTCTGTCCAGGAAGTATGCTGCATACGAATTAGACGGTGACAAAACATTTAAGCCTTTATTTGATGCCCATCAACTTAACCCGTTAATAAGGGGCGTGTAAGAAGGCGGCGTGGGTGAGGAGGTGGCAGCGCGCTCCCCGTTGATGACAATGCAGCTATCAGCATCGAGGCTAAGCCACCGCCTGGAAAGAGTGTCCGAATGGTCGGTGCCTATTTCGTTACACGCAGGGATCCACAATCTCTCCTCATCCGGACGACCATATATTCGTCAGAGGATAGAATCCTTATTTCCCCTCCTGTAATGGGGGGATCCAAAGTCCCTGCACTTAGTGTAACCACACCTCTCATGAATGCCTCTTCAACAACAGCTTGTCATGGGAATCTTCATCTGGATAACTTGTATGGCACCCAAGCAATTATCGAGCATTTCCCCAGGTTGGTAGGTCTTGCGTGATGGTGTTCTCCTCCTTTGATGTCCTGGAAAGATGCGTGATTTGGATATGGTTCGGTGGCAGTGACCGGTTCTGGTGCGTTTCACCTCTGGCTCGTCACTTTCAAGGGAGACGACGCCAGTTGCGTGGCCTCCGTGAGGCTTCTGACTGAGGGATCTGGGTATCATCCTTTATTTGGGTATCGATGCCTGGATGCCTGTACTGCTTGGTAATGAAGGTAGACGGCCCATGACGAAATGTCGAAATTCAATATGGACCACAAGGGCATAGCTTATAGACCTCTCAATAAGTAAGAATCATCTCACATAGAGAATTCCGGTCTATCTGGCGTAGAAGTGCGTGTCTGGAGCGCAGTTTTGGTGGCCTGACGTTGGTGTTTGGCGGTTTGAGGTTGCGGCTCGTGGGATATTTTTGGCTTTTTGGCGACGAAACGACGTCAACGACGGCGATTGACTTGCGGGCTCACTCCACACGTACCTGTTTACCCCCGGAGTGCTTCATACTTGGAGCAAATATGGATAGTAAAGGAGAGACGCGAGACGATATGATGTTACTCGGACTCTCGGAGCCCCTTGCCTTGCTTGTTGCACGACGATTTGCCGCGGCAAAGAATGCTGGATCGCTGGTCTTCTCGCAGACGGAGGTGACTTCACTGCAGTCGTCTACTGTTCCCGTAAGCTATATCGTTAAAGCCCCTCGACGAAGCTGCTCTCTCCATATTGTCTCTGTATGCTGACGTCGATTGGCAGTTCCAACTCAGATACTGCCCCGCGTTGGCTGTGAAACCGACGAACAACAGCCCTCTGCAGCCGGCGAGCACCGCTGCTTCACTTCCTGCGAAACCAAAGAAAGTTGACCCTTTCGAAAACCCCCATACAGACCTCCTGGTGGCTCAGATACCGGCCTCAGATCCCACTCATATCCTTGTTCTCAACAAATTTCCTGTTATCCCAAACCATTTCATCCTGGCAACGAAGGTCTTTAAACCGCAGACACATCTTCTGGAGGCCGATGATCTCCATGCAGCATTTGCATGCCTGAAGGAATGGGAAAAGCCGACGGGTGAGCTGCGTGGTGACGAGAATGTGCAAGCCGCAAAGCAGCGGAAACGCCTTTTTGCCTTCTTCAATTCTGGCGAACACAGTGGTGCAAGCCAGCCTCATAGGCACCTGCAATTCCTCCCCGTCGAGGACATGCACCAAGCTGATGATGTAGCAAACTGGCAGCCTCTAATCGATGGTGGGAACCATGCTGAGGAGAAGGATAATTCAGAACAATTGCAGCAGCCAAAGCTGCCATTTGTCACATATACCGCACCTTTGTCACCGAATCCAACCCCGGAGGAGTTGCATCGATCGTACCTTTCTTTGTATGCAATGGCTGTCACCGCTGCAGCTCAGCATTCTGAGTCACTGTTAAATGGGATTTCAGCATCAAGGGCGCTGGGAACTGAGGGTGAAGCTGCAATAAGCTACAATCTAGCTATGACAACGTCAAAGATGATGATTTGCCCTCGCAGGAGTGAACACGCCTGGCTTCCATTGGAACCGGAGATGAAGAAAGGCCTGGTTGATGAGGGGCTGGTGAAGCTTAATGGGACCATTCTCGCAGGAACACTCATGGTTAAAGCTGAAGCAGAGTGGAATACCCTCAGACAGCAGCCATCTATGCTAGAAAATGTACTCAGCTCGGTTGGAATCCCAACCTAGCCTGGGCCGTTTTAGCCATTTGATTGCATATCCTGCGACATATAATACCCTTGCCACATATGAGAATCTTTTATGACGCCGCTTGACTCTTAAGTTGCCTGCATATTAGAGACACCTTGTTCAACCTTCCGTTGTGAATTCCCGGCCTGCACAGCTATAGAGGGACACATTACGAGGATGCTGACAACAGTACATGTTATATTAACCTATTTACATTGCTTGTCATTTATGGAGCTCTTGATAGCTAAGCGGAACCACGCTCCTTTACATATGTTCGAGCTAAAACGACTGGTTAAGGGATACCTTTTGAACATATGCATGGTTGCGCTGCAATTCCGCCCATTTCTTCTTACATGTTGCGTTTCCAAAGTGATATGAACCGCCTTTCTTCCAAATGTACTCTCCAACTTGTTTCCAGGAAATTTTTGGTGGCAGCAATTCATCACCTATAAGCGAAACCGACTGAGGCTCGGCAAATCGTTTCACAGCTTCACAAAGAAGTTTCAACTATCCCAAAGCCACGTTAGCCTTGTTACTTCTCTTGACAAAATGGTTAGATTTAGAGCATATACTCACATCACTGTCCTGCCAGCCAGGCTTTCTCACTCGAAGTTCCTTTCTTTTTGTCAGGCTTCGAAAACGGCCCCGAAGGGTCGATTCTGCGACAGTGAATTTTCCCTTCGCCTTTATCTCCTTGTATGACATTCCTGCAAGCTTGCACTCTATAAGAAATGCATCCCTCTCGTCGTTCCTTTGAGAGTATGAGCGACACGCCCTGATCTTAGCCTGTTCATCCTCACCGCCAGTAGGTGTATACTGCGCGTCTGCGTCGGTATCTGCGTTGGAGCTGGCTCTGGAGTATCCCTCACTTGTACTTTCTAGGTCAGCACCATCGAGGTACATATTGTTCTCGGCTGTGACCAGAGTCTCGGGGTTTTTTGTTGTCAAGGGGAGGTCTGGAGTTGCAGTGCTTGATACTGCCGAAGAGAAAGGTGAACTTGGACCGCAATAAAAGCCATAGTCATTACTATAGCTATCATTGGTTGCATCCCACGGCGAGCTTGGGTACTGAGTCGGGATGCTAGTTACGGTCGGATAAGGAATATTTGTCCACGGATGATGCTGGGAGCCAACGTAAGGGATACTTGGGCATGACGTGTTTTGAGCATAATAGGGATAAAATTCCACTTCAGTCCTTTCTGGGCATTCTGCAGTCGCTGGTGACATAAGATACCCTGATACCAGATGCTCCGAATCCACACACATCCTCCCAACCTCTCTTACTGTGGAAGCGGTAAGAGGCAAGATATCGGGGCTGGATTTCATCTGCCACTCGAAAGGGGGGTATGTTTTATCATCACGAGAGCCAGTGGTACTGTTTAATGTGGAAGTGGGTTGCCAATTTTCACGGGGAGGTGTTTGAGGTGGTTGCTCTATCGCTATTGTCATCGGAGAGATCTCGCATTGTGACCATGGTGCGCTGGGGGCTGGGGTGGATTGATATTTAATGTCATGTGTCGTTGGCCCTTGTATACTAATAGTTGCGCTTGAAGGGCTCGAGGCATAGGAGTGATTAACCCTCCAGCTATTCACCCATATACCAATGTCTCTGGAGCTGAGACTCCCAGTTTTGGCCTGGTCCATATACCCCGAGACTCCTTCGCGCTGAAGTGGGCAATGGGAATTCATCAGTTGCTGCTCTGTTTGATTTTCGTTTGAATCGGATGATTTGTCACTCTTTGTGGCATAAAAGGTCTCGCTCTGACCTTCATTCAATTGGAATGGCATATCTACCGGATAAGGTGGGCAGTTAGAGACCAAAGCGCATTTGCTCAAACTAGCATGGCTCTGGCCGTTCGAAGGTGTACCAATACGACTGAGTTGCCGTCTGGAAGCCATTTGAGAATCCCTGAGACGCTCTGGGAGGTTTAATACCTCCGCCAGCAAAGTCGGTCCTAGACCAGGGCAGCTAAAGGATTTCCGCCACTGTGTTGCACGCTATGGTCCGGGTAACGAGGCACGATGCAGAGAGGAAATTTCCGACAGGTATATACCTGCTTTTCTTTTTGTCCTTTTGAAATTGTTTCACCTCGGGTTAAATTTCAGAGGCGGTGAGGTCGATCGCAATAGCTATCCAGGGGGCTTTCTTTATATCGTGGAGAAACTTTGTGGGATGAGGGCGGCGATGAAGATAATTCTGTGCGCAAGGGTCGTTGATGTTGTTTGGTGCAAATCAATGGCCCTTGATGAAGCTAGAAATTGTTGTCGAATAGCAATATTCAGCGCTTTATGATGGGAGGGAATGCACCTCTAAATAACAACAGCCTTCACCATACTTAAGGGTAATGGAAAAAAATTCATTGCAACGAAAAGACTATTTTGACATCCGAGGACTATATTTTACCATCAGGGTTTTCCATTTTTCTTCTTCGTTTCCAACCCCCTATCTGCGAGGCTTTATCCAAACGATCGACTTGGTTAGATAGGGAAGCCTCCCAATGAGCATTCTAGAACATTTCTCCTGACCGGGGAGAAGACACCACTCCTTAGGCTGGTATGCGGTTCTAGATCCATTCTTTGCACTTCTGCCGCATGACTGAACATTGCTTTTATCCATGCGTTGCGCTAAGGAACCAGGCGGATCCCGCATTGTGTGTGGGAGAAGACTGGAAAGTGTGCAGGATGTTGAAGATGTATCCTCAGTGTCTTCGTGCTGTCATGGCTTCCGCCGGGGCAAGTTGGTTGCATATCCTAGACGTCGGGTTCAGCCTGCAGCCTACTCATGGCGTCGGGTTCGAACTATGATATGTGATATGTAGGCCGGGTACATGCAGGTCATCGTGGTCAGATTAATTTCCCATGCTTTCTTTTCTTTTCCATATTCTTCTCTTTACCCAAAAAAAAAAAAAAAAAAAAAGACCAACGTTGTCCGTTCCTGTAACCCCCATGAATTTTTTTTTTCAGCAGACTTTTGAGTTCCATCTGGGGTTGTATTTCCCATTCCTTTTTCTAACTTGTGAAATTGCCTTTTCTTCTTCTTTTTCGATGATAGCATAAATGATTTGGGGGTGAATTTACCAGCACGCGCAAATCTGAACGGCGTGGTGCCTGACCGGTATTTAGCGTCAAGTCAAAAATTGAAATGAGACTGGAATCTTTGTTTCGAAGGATGCATATGCTTTATTTTCCTGCTCGAAGGGGACCACATTTCGGAAATTTATTCCATTTGACCTGAGACCGAGCGATCACAGAGGGACCAGAAGGTTTCATGGGTGCGACCTCATATAGATTCTTTGTCTGCAAAACGGATTCTACCATTTCTCATTATCGAGCCTCAGGAATGGCGGTGCGAGATAGCACTGAGCACACCGACAATTTGTTCTGGTGAATATATAGTCTAATCTGTCAGCGTACGGGACATATTGCAGCATTGGCGAGCCATCTCCTTTAGATCGTTGCTAGAGGACAGTGCGGGCGTGTGGGAGGACAACAGCGGCCGAGTGGAAAGAGAATTTCAAAGACGGGTGCATTGGTATGGTTTTGGCGCCAGCAGCTGAAGGATCAACCTCGAAAATGGTTGGTACACGAGACGACAGCCAGAGGCCACCTGGCTGAATTAACTAATCAGCAGTTGACACCAGCATTGCCTCTTTGCGTTATCTGCTCCCCCGCCCTAGGGGTCGTCTATCATAACCCCCTCTAGGTCATTTCATTTCTTTTTCTTTTTTCCCATCTTTATATCCAAACCAAGTCCCGTCAGAATGGAAATTTTCATGCACATACCCTCCTAACGTTCATGGTTGGTTGTTGGAACGGGACTTGGCCCCAACCCACGGGTTGCACTGTCGCTAAAATCATGCAGACATCTGGGTTTTCCTACTGTGGAAGGTTCTTCGATGCTTCGGTGCATGAGAAGGGGGAAATTTGTGGTTGCCCAGTGGTAACTTTGCATAGTAGGATGTATTGGCGTATGCATCCTTGCCTTTCTTCACCATTCGTCGTTCTCTAGCGCAAAGGCCCTTGCACCAATTAAGCGTTGTTTAACTTTCGGGTAAAATGGAGACATTCCCCGGAAGGCGCCGCAGAGGCGAAAGTAAACCTTGCCAATTGGCAGACGCTAGAGTAAAGGGGTTTGACGTTATCCATGAAGATGCATCAGCTGCGGCCATACATTACTATGCTGACGGATCCCGGAACTTTATTATGTGTGTAAGGGGTTGCTGAACGTATCTATATCCTGTTCCGTTTTCACCACTGTTGCTAGGCAAGCAGATCGATACCCCATACATCAGATGGCCAGATACTTGTAAGGCGATGGCCTAAATTGCCCAGTCAGAACCTAAATGACTGACCCCGAAATATTTTCTGATTCCAATTGGGGCATTGTTGGTCGGTATGGCCCGTCGTTGTAAGTAACTGGGTAGACTCCTTGTAGCCCTTGGCTTGGTGGATACTATATGTTCAGGAAGGAACAGGACAGTAAACATCTGGCGGTCATAAACTCTCTCTGGTTTGTTGTAAGGTTATCCAAAAATAGCCTTAGTTAGTATGGACCATAATGTTGGTTTCCATGGCGCGGCTCCCGCCGGCATGAGGACAATTCAGCCCTACACCGGCGGAGCGGGTGAAGACCATGGGGTCATGTCTACATCAAAATCTGCGGACCGCATAAAATGGCAGACCTGCAGATGGTGGGGGGTAAATGATCAGCAACGGAAGAGATTTGCTGCATAGAACATTCGCTGATTCTTCTCTGCAGCATTCTCAATAAGGAAGTTCAATTCTGATTTCCTAATCGGGCGAGTAAAAACGCCACAGCCCGGGAATAAACGGCACAGGAACTGTTGGATTGGCTATGGCATAACCATCTTGATCGTCCAACCCCGTATTCGGGATATATAGGTTAAGACCCCTTTAGGATGCGTAAGTAGACAAATAATGGCTGACCTAGGCAGGGGAAGAATGGCGTAATTCTTGTTTGGCGTTTCAAAGGTTATTTATATCACCCTAATGCAGCAATTGTGCTAAGGATACGAGTGGTAACCCACTTGAACGCGATATCAATGACATCGTCCTTTGCTCCAATGCTGCCTGAGCCCGAGTATCAACCCCATAATAAGAAGCAATCCATTGAAACCGGAAAGGATGTAAAACGGGGAGTGTGGTGACAATTTATCAAACATGATGCCACCAACCTTAGTTAGGATGAGAATACCAGCACCTCCCCAAAGAGAGTACATGCCAGCGATGGAGCCCTTGACATGGATTAAAGTCTTCTGTGGAGAAGCTGTGTACACATTATTGTCTGATACCAGGGGGGTTGACTCGTTTATGGTTTCAAGCGACCTGTTAGTAGTGTCTGCAGGGACCCTATCTTCCGGGACATTATCCTGAGTTTCATGCTCGACATCGTCCATTACAGGGAGGATGCCATTTATGCCATTGCTCAAGATAGCCAGGCTGCACACGATTGCAGAAATCTGGCTGATACCAATGAAGGCCATGTCGACAAATATTGCTGCACTCGACCAAGAGCCACTGATTCGCGGGCCTGGTAAAATTCCCAACATCGCATAGGACAAGGTCCCTAAAAGGGCTCCCATCAACAACGGGAAATTGTATCGACGGGATTTGTCAGATAAGTAGCCAAATAATGGCGCGCATAATAAAGCTACTAATTGTGAAACCCCGGTCAAGATTGATGCAATGACGTATGCCCGTGGACAGGACTGTTTGATATCCCCAGGGTTGGGGCTGAGAAGTTGGACTGTAGACGGTTTACCAGCTTCATGACAAAGTCCGGAGCGTCGATAATATTGGTTGACATAGAGGGGAATAAATAGGGATATGCCGACGGATGATGATCGCGCGACAAATCCACCAATGTAAGCCAACCCAATGTTGTAGTCTGTCAGACCAGCTTTCAAAGCGACGAATAGCTGGGCTAAATAGGAACGCGGAGACGTATAGGCGGAATTCCCCGAACGCGCAGGAAGCTGCTCTTCTGCTCCTGGAATTTGGTCCCTCTTGGTGGAGCCGAGGAGTAACTTTAGATATTTCCCTTCATCACCCTGGAGGCCACACAACCCAAAAAAACACACAACAGATATAATAAGAGCTACTAGCCCCACGGTATAAAAGCTAAACTTAATTGCTTGCGCAGGAGAGTAACCAGCTTTCTGGAAACGCACAGGGAGGGGAAGGAACAGGAGGAGAGCTATAAGAGCGCCACAGCCGGTGAACATACCGACATACCCAGCTAGCCGGGGTGCAGAGCTTGCTGAGCGTTCTTGGCCTGTTACACGAGAAGTTTCATCATTCCCAGTGTTGGCCGCATCTGGAGTGCAAACTAGAGGAGCAGCAACTCCAGGGGCGGGACACTTGGAGATATCATGATTAGCAGTAATAGCTGGAAGTAATGCAGTCACCATAGTTGCTACCGCTGAGCCACCAAGGCAGAATAAAAGCCTTCCTAGCAAGAGTTGGGGGTAAACATTTTTGGCTTGCACAAATATGACTAGAGATACTGCCACTATAAAATAGCCGATTGTGGACACCTACTTTCACATTAGAAAGTTCCATGTATCATAAGTCACTGAGTAACTGTAGTGTAGTAACAACATCAAAAGGCTTTCGACAGGCTCCTTACATATCTTGCTCCAATGCGATCTGATATCAAGCCCCAGAGCGGACAAGCAACTAGAGCTAACAGCTCGTCTGCGAAACCCAGGGTTCCGACAGCATTGCCATGGCCATGCTCAAGTTTGATTAGGTCCGTGACAACAAAGGATACCGCCGAGTTCATAAACACTAAAAAGGCGATGGAGAAGGGACAAACGGCTAGCAAGTAGGTGGCCGTCTGCAGCCGGCTCTGGGAGATCATGATTCACCGGCAAACTTGCATTCCTTTGATGGCTCGACGACAATCTCGATAATGTGCCCCTGAAGTTAAACAATCCTGTACAAGAATATAATCTGCACAACAGGATGCCTTACGCATCCTTTTGTAGCTCTATTGGCGCGGGTTTGATGATGACAGTCGAAAGCTGAATGCTGGGAGGTTGAAGGTTGCAAGTTTGATGGAGCTGAAAGTCGATGCTGACAAAGCCAAAACATCCTTATCAGATTGTGATTACTAATGAAAGCTGAGTCATCAATACTCTATCAGATAAGCAAAGTGTCCACTTCGAGCAAAAACAACGACGAACAAGCAAACTACGTCAAAAAGGAGCCAGGCTGGCAGGATGCAGCAGACGGACAACACTCTTTTGGGCTTGCTTCACTGGATACACAGTTGAGAGGAGTGACTAGGACGCTCTCTCGTCTCGGACGACGGCCCATTTCAGCCATGAGATATTGACATCTCTAGTCTAACCAACGCCATAGCTAGCTTCAACGACTGCATGGTTGTCTTGTTATTTTGCGATTCCATCTAGATCACCATCCACTATGAGGCTGGCTGCTTACACTGGGGTATGCTAATCGCTCTTCGCAAACCATCCAGCCTGCGTGGAATTGTTACTAACACCCGCTTAAACAGACTTCCATAGTCCTCGCCGCGGGGGTAGCCTTGCGAGCGCTACACCAACGCTCAAACTTCTATTCTGCCGCTGTTTTCCTTTCCCAGAATAATGCGAATCTCATGGTATGGATGGAACCGGCTCAGGCGTTTGGAATATGGCGAGCGGAGGAAGAGCTAGCCCGTTGAGAGAGATGGATGCTAACGGCTTCGCTTCTTCTATAGATCCTGACGAACCTATGCCTACTTATGTCCGGTTACACTCTCTTTGGCCTCCAGAGGCTTCTGTATGGCCCGTTACGGCAGATTGAAACCGAACAACTGTACGAGAAGGCATGGTTTGCGGTTACTGAGACGTGTCTGGCCATGACGATCTTCCGGGGCGAACTAGGAGCTTGGTTCATGGTCATGTTCGTTGCCTTGCTTGCGGGAAAGATCTGGGGATGGATCGGTGAGGGTAGGGTAGAAATCCTTGAACAGCAACCACCGGCCAATCCACGCTTATTCCACACCCGACTCGCTGTGTCATTGATTATATCAGTACTATTCAACTCGCAGATGCTCGAATACGCCATCAAAACGGTTTTGCGGCAGGCACGGCCCGATATGATGGTAATGTTCGGCTTCGAATTTGCTGTCCTTACAATACTCTCTACTTCGACCATGGCTAGATATACTCTTTCGCTGGCGGAGATTTATATCACTCGACAGCAGAAACAGGCCAAGCTAGCGGAGCGCAGAGCAGAGATCCGAGCGGAGAGGGAACGAATTCTTCGCCAACAGGCTGCCTCAGGTCTTCCGGCTCCCAATGCGGACAATTTACCAAGTGAGGATGATATAGATGAAATGGAGCTGGATGTTTCAGGATGGGAAGAAAAGGGTCGATGGGTGTTCTACCTGGACCTTATTACCGGTAAGGATTGATTATCCAGCCCCAGAACTGACTTCATAAGCTGACATTTCAATCACCTGGCAGACTTTCTAAAGCTGGTAGTATATCTCTCATTCTTCGCCATCCTATTCAGATTTTACGGACTTCCAATCCATATTCTTAGAGATGTGGTTGTGACGATGAGATCTTTTGCCAAACGTATTATCGACTTCATCCGGTATCGAAACGCTACCCGCGATATGAACCAACGATATCCTGATGCAACTGCAGAGGAGATAGCAAGGGAGGATGTCTGTATTATATGTCGTGAGGAGATGCAGCCTTGGATTCCTGCGCCAGCAGCAAATGATGGAGCAGCTGCTCCTGCTCGGCCAACCAGGCCAATTCCCGAAAGACTACGCGCGAAAAAACTCCCATGCGGCCACTTACTTCATTTTGCCTGTCTACGAAGCTGGCTAGAGCGGCAACAGAATTGTCCTACCTGTCGACAGCCGGTCACTACCGGCACCCAAGGAAATGCTAGACCATTTGCAGGGCGTGGTGCAGCGGCTGGAGGACAAAGAGCAGGAGACCAGCAACAAGGCGGGAACGAAGCAGGTGCTGCAGACGGAGAAATCCGACGCCGTATGTGGTTTCTTAATTTTGGTCCAGTCCGCATTGGATTTGGAGCGGGTCGTGGCGACATGCTACAGAATATTGATATGGGCCAGGGGATCCACGGTCAAGCTGCACAGGCACCGGCTGCAAATCAGAACCAGAACCCACCTCCTGGGGGACAAGCGCCGCGGACAGGTTTTGGATTTGGCATTGACCGTCCGATTGCTGGAAACACGCCTGGTTCTACTTCCGAGTTTAACCACAGGGATGTGCAGCAGGTCACCCAACAGCTTGAACATCAAGTGATGCAGGAGATAAACAACCTCACAAATACTGCGGAACAACTACAGGTCATACGAGCTCTACATTACGAACTGATTCGGCTCCGCACTGTGCAGAGCAACGCCTCGGCTAGTACCCAGAATACCACCAGCCCTGGGTCCTCTAGGGTTCAGCCAAATACCACTCAAGCACATCCTCTCACCGCCCGTACGACCCCCTCGGGTACAAGCCATTCGACGACCATACGTCCTAACTATAGCCAGTCATATACTGCTACAAACCCTCATCTTACTTCGATACCTTCAGGCGATCCACGTCTTCCCGAAGGGGTTTCCATCCCACCAGGATGGACTCTGGTGCCCCTGCAACGCACGTTACCGTTAAATCCACCAATAGGCCCTCACAACACGGCGGCAGGAAGCGCTAATGCAAACATTCCAACCGCAACATCACCATTATCATCATCATCTGCTCCTCCATCGGCCTCAACGTCCCCATTTCCAAATCACAACCACACGACAGCTACAATCACTTCTCACACAGTCACCCCGGGCCAGGAAAACGGGAATATCGGTGTGTCAAGCACCGGTCCTGCAAGCCCACCTGAGTTTTTTACGTCCGGCACTACACCGCCGCAGTCTTCTCAATATACTCCAACTATAACTCCTCCACATGATACTACTAACAACACAGCTCCGGCACCATCCTTGCCAAGCACTTCACCCCAGCGAGAGCCCCATGGCCTACCCTCCCGTGGAGCTTCTCAATCCCCAGAGGAAACCCACGAGAACAGGTCACTATTCAACAACCCATCGGCACGTAGCTTCCCTGAACAAGCCGAACATGACAGAGAAGACGCAGAAAGTGAAGAAGACGAGAACGAAGGCGAAAACGACGAAGAAGGAGATGATAATGACAGTGACGACAACGAGAACGATAGTGAAGGAGATAATAGTACGCACAGCTCTGTGCCCAAGCAAAAGGGCCGAGCAGCCACTGTGGAGGACGAAGCGGAGGATGATTAGCCAGATGTATCTATCTCCGGTAGCGGTCCATCCAATGAGCGCCCCTTCATGTAACATCGTTTGTCTTCTCTTCGCTATGGAGTACTTTGGAGCCTTTAATAACACCTATATAGCTGTTCATAGTACCCTCTGTAGCTCCGGCGTTATTATTATCATCGTTATCATTAATATTATTATCAGGGTGGAGCGCCGTTTATTTTAACCTCGGCCCAGCTTCGACTCTTCTTCTCCCGCACATCACATCCACCGGCAGACGAACTAAGCATCAACAACCTCCCCAGCAGCGCTGGAACACGGCGCATGGAGTTCCACCACCGGAGCAGGGATGTCGAGCACACGGTCTCTCCTGGCGTCCTGGAAGGCTGACTTCTTCCTCCCCTGCTGAAGGAAAAAAAGCGACCCTTTCGCTTCAGCCCGTGAGCAACTTCGAGCCCTTCCCTGCACACCGTCGACCTTGAGGATGCTTGATTCCTGCGAGTGCCGCAACTGAGCCAGGCTATTGGGTATATGGCAGCTGGCTGTTGGCGAAGAATGGTCCTGAAGATGCAGAATACCCAGTCGGATGCTGCCCGTCGAGCTTGTTGTGCCTTCGAGAGGGGTGGGGGACCAGCCTGCACCGGCGATCACCCGCATGCTTGGGAGCTGGAGGGGAAGAAAGAGGCAGAGAAGCAGAGGCGGTAACGGTAGCAGCGCAGGAAGAAGAGGAGAATGAGTGGACGGGAGAATGCGAAGGAGGAAGGCAGAGAGAAGGGTATAAAATGAGCTCTGCTGTCCCCTTTCGTTGAGGGCTGACCAGAGACAGAGCAGCCTTCATCTTCACTCCCAAGCTACAGCATCGCCAATACTCAATCATGCAGCTCCGTGTGGCCCTTTGCTTGCTCCCCCTCGCCGTTCGGGCGGCCAACATTGTCTCCTCCAACGACGATGGCTGGGCTGAGGTGAACTTGCACACCTTGTACAATGCCTTGACCAACTCAGGACACAGCGTGGTTGTCTCTGCGCCAGCTGACAACAAGAGTGGCACTGGTAAGCATAATGCTAGTTATGGGAGGTCGTTATAACGAGACTTTCCAGTAGCTAACGAAGAGCTTGCTCGATGTTAGGCTCCTCGGATGCTAACCCAACCCCCCGTAACACTCCTTGCGAGTTCGACTCTTGCCCAGCTGGTAGTCCTGCCGTTGGCTACGACCAGAACAACCCACGATTCAACTATGTCAACTCTTTCCCCGTCACCTCGATGAGATATGGCATCCAGAACGTCGCCCCTCGCTTCTTCGGCGGCCGCCCAGACCTTGCCGTTGCCGGTCCCAATGTCGGCGCCAACCTGGGCCGAACCGTCCAGATCTCCGGTACCGTGGGTGCAGCCACCGAGGCTGCCCTTGAGGGTGTTCCCGCCATTGCTTTCTCTGGCAGCGTCGGCCATCTAACCGCCTACTGGGACTATACCCCGAACTATAGCGAGGTCTACGCTACCCTCGCCGCTCAGGTCACCAACGCCCTGCTGCAGAATGCTAAGCCAATCCTGCCCCCCGGTATCTTCCTCAACGTCAACTTCGGCGCCGTTTCCGACTATGACTGCACCAGCCCTGATGACTTCAGCTTTGTCCTCACCCGCATCCTGCCTACCTCCGGGAACCCCGACGTGAACATCTGCGGTAACGGCGGTCGCCTGCCCACCGAGTCGGACATTGTGAAGAGCGACGGATGTTACGTTAGCATTTCTGTGGCTACTGCCAGAGGTAAGAGGGATGCTGACGCCTCTGCTCAGGAGTTTGTGGTGAACAAACTAGGCTCTATCTTGAGCTGCTAAGCTTGTACTTGTAGCTTCAGCCTGAACCCCCCAAAATGATGTTAGCATGACCATATTAATGTAATTACGGAGTATTTATTGCAATATGAGCAGATCTAACTCCATGTTTATATTTCTCTGTGCGATGTTATATGGAACGAGTCCAAATGCCGCGAGCAGCCAATCAGAAGCCTCGCTCACGGCCGCCATCAAAAAGCCGTCGATAGTCAAAAGCGACGGCAAAGCTTTGCTCTTGACCCAACCAACCAGGCGTCCGCTCGAAGAATTGATAACAAAAAACAATGGCGTCCTTCAGAGTCGGCCTGAGCTAGCGACCCTTAAACCTTTTTATGTTGTTTAACGGAGTGTGAGAGAGTGTGCCTCAGGACGGAGCAGCGGAGGCTGGTGCAGGTGAAACCTCCAGATCTGCGTCATCCGGTGGAGAGCTTACGAGTAAACCGGCCGCCGCCGCGGCAGGGCCGTCTTTGTGGCTGCAGGCGACGTACTCTGTCCTCATTCTTCTCCTTTGTCAAGATACGAAGTACTCAGGTACACGACGACGACCGCAAGACGAGAATTGCCCTCCACACAGTCTTTATATCCGGATCGCGGGCGGTTGGTTCCCAGGGGTGGAGGCTCAGCTAACTTAGCCTCCTTCTGCCCTTAATGCTGAAGAAGCCTAGTTAACTAATTAGCTGGCCAGACAGTCTCCACAGCGATCTATAATTCCAACTATCCGGCCTTGTCTCGCCTGGGTTGCCGATAGGCAAGTCGTGTGCCGCTGTCTGCTGGATGGATACAAGCGGACTTGCTGTCATGTTTGAGGTTAGAGACCCTGTTTCTGCTTATGCCGTTGAGCAAGGAGGCCTTGGATCATCGCGGAGATATACGAGCCTATTCGTCACCGGAGTGCATCTGCATGGATTCTCCCAGCATCACGCAACGTTCATATACTTCTCGTTCTAGGGCTCTGATAACAATACATGCTGTACATACTCCGTACCCCCGACTGACTTGAGGAATGTACCCAATGATCAGTCATTAAATGCCGGCCAATTACGTTGGCACTCACGGCCCATGAAGGCTTACAAAGTGGCCCATATCCGACAACCGGCAGCGCTGATGATGGCCTCGAAATGCTTTTGTCCTGGACGATCCACAGGGTCATCCATACACATATGCCACTCTGCGTGCTTGGCTATCATCCGCTGGCCCATACTCTCCCGTCCTTTAATCGCTGTGGAACCAGGAACCATGCCCTTTGGGACATGCGGGACTTTCGCCTCCTCGATGGGTTTTCACCCCCATCGGCGATTTTTCTCCCTTTTTATAATAGGGGCTGGTTTCCCCCCCGTCATTATTACTATTCTTACCCGCTGCTTGTTTTGACAAGAAGGACGGGAAGTTGTTCGTTTTGTATATTTATTTTATTTTTATTTTTATTTATTTTTCTTTTTGGTTTCGTCGCTTGCATGGTATTGATTGCTTGACGAACAACCATGATCTCCTTAATCCCAAAGGCAGGGATCCAGTTACCTATAGTCATCTTTCTACTTATTCTTACTCTTATAATAACCAGCCAGCGGCTCTCCGCATCAGTACCACAAATAAAGGTAAGCTGGGTCTCCTTCCCCGCAGAGTGAAGCTCTCCTTAAAAGCTGGCCTTGCTAACACCAGTTCAAAGGGATGGACAGGTTCAAATAAGGCCCAGCATAAGGCCCCAGTAGCACCCACTCCAATTACAGCAGAAGATGTCTTTATCATCTCCAACTTTACCGCTGGAACCCCGAAGCCACCGGGGTCAAACTATACGAAAGCCCTTATTGTCCCTCGATTACGAACAGAAAGGGTCGACTGGATCAACAGCCTCGAGGATATCAAGAAGGAGATTTATGTCGTTGACGACCCACTGTCGTTTCCTCGAATCCCCAAAAACAAAGGCCGGGAGGCCATGGTCTACCTAACATACCTTATCGACAACTATGACAACCTGCCAGAGATCATGATATTCATGCACGCGCATCAAGAGGCCTGGCACCACGAAGAGCCCCTAAATCGAGATGCTGCGGAGATGGTGAGACGGCTAAGCATTGAACGAGTAGTCAGGAATGGCTTCATGAACCTACGGTGTGCGTGGGCACCCGGCTGCCCGGGCTGGATAAATCCTCATAACACCCAGGAAGATTCAGCGAAGCCAGAAGAAGCTAGCGTCCTCAAGGGCTGGAAAGACATTTTCCCTTCCATACCGATCCCAGGTGTTATCGGCGGCCAGTGCTGTGCCGAGTTTGCCCTCTCTCGCGAAAGGGCCCAGGCAATCCCTCGATCTCACCTTATCTACTACCGTGACTGGCTGCTTCGCACGAATCTAATTGATTTCTACTCTGGCCGCGTGTGGGAGTATCTCTGGCACATCATATTCACCGGACAGTACGTCTATTGCCCCGCCGAGCGAGTGTGTTTTTGTGACGGCTACGGTCTCTGTTTCGACAATGACAAGCCGTTTCAAGAATTCAAGAACTTGGGAAATATCCTCTACGGTCTGCGACTGGAGTTGGACCACTGGCGCAAGAAGGAACAGGAGGTAGCAAGCGCGAAAAAGGAGAGGAATTTCACTGCTCTGGCTAAGATGGAGGTCCCCAAGATGACCAGGAAGCAGCAGGTAGAGCAGGAGATCCAGCGGAAAAGGGCCGTTTTTGATGAAATAAGGAATGCGGCATTCGCTCGAGGACGGGATCCTCGCGTCAGGGCTCGGATTGCTGGTCGACCGTGGAAGGAAGGTGACGGCTTTTGATTCAATAGGGCCACCTTTTTTTTTGGGTTTTGTTTTTTTACCCTTTTTTTGCATATCATCCAGCATGTTCACTACTATATTTCAAAACTCGTCTTCACCTTCTTTATGTATAAATAAATATACCCTTTGATGTTGCTTTTTCAATAGATCATTCGTCTTGTCGTCTTTTCGTCTTCCGTTGTCGTTGCCTCCATCTTATCTTATCTTATGACGTAATAAGTGTCAATCACGTGATGTGTTTACATAATTTGTCTCGAAGACAAAAAATTCAAACATCGAAGAAATTTTTTTCCTCTTCAAGAAGGCGCGACCAAACAACACAAACAACCCAAACGCCCAGGCCAAGCGGCTCAACAAACTCCGCCGTCGGCAGCTGCCTAATATAGAAATATAGATCGGCAGGCGTTAGGCGCCGGCAAGCGCCAGCACAGCAGGAAGATACCAGAGATACCCAGGCACTCGCCACACGCTCAACGTCTGCAAGGACCGTAGCATATTTGGCAAAGTTGCCGGTAGAATAAGGTACGTCGTCACTGCGACTTTGGGTGCGATGGCAATGGCAAAAACACAGCACCGCAAACGACGTAATGAACGTTGACAATGTGTATTTTAATGTTTCTGCTCGTCATTTGCTTCGTGTGCAAATGCCGGATTTCACACACTGCATCAATTGTCTGCTAACAAATGGATAGGTACCTTCATACATTAGATATTGAAGTGCTCTGTCAGGGTGTCATGCCACTTGGGCCACAGCAAAACACCAGTGCTGAATTTGTGAGCCATGCACCTCAAGCACAGGCCCAGCAGCAGCAGCCCCAGCAGCAACAGCAGTCCCAGCAGCAACAGCAGTCCCAGCAGCAACAGCATATTGAAGGGAACGCACCCCATCTAGGCAGCAACAGTGTTGGGGTGACCCCGGGTTATCCTACAGATAATCAACTGGCCGGTCTTGTTGAAGCTGCCACAGCTGCTGCTGGTGAGGACGAAAGCTGGGATCAGAACGATGCAGGTGATATGATGGCTGCCGGTCATGGACGGGGTATCCAAAACCACCTGGAAAACTATAGTGTTGGCATGCATTTAGATGAAAACGGCTTCGCAACTGCCGGCCCGACCGGCCATTCCTTCGGAAGCCTCCCAGGAGGAGAGTCATCAGTCAGCGGCGGTGGCAGGCAAGCGCCACCCGGCACTGCAACCGCAAGTGTGCGAAAACGCAAACGTAACCAGAACAACGTCGACCCTGCAATGACTTCTGCGACGACGAGATTCAGATTTGGAGACGGGGAGGAAAGTAGCATGGCCCAAGACGGAGCTGGGGTGCAGGTACCCGAAACCGACGGATCTTCTTTGGATATTAGAGAGATGCCTCCGCAGCGAGTGATATCGGATGCGCGGGCAGCCGGTGTCCATTCCGCCGTTGCCCTCTTTAGGCAACCATCAGCATCAAGCAAGAAGGCTACCCGCCCACCAATGTCCAAGATGTTCACTTCCTTGGGACTATCTCCAGAGAACTTCCTCCATCTGCAGGCTGCTGCAAAGCAATACATGTTGGACGAAAATCACCCTGAACGGCGCGATTGTGTCGGCCAGAGAGGTCGCGGCGATACGGAGATGGTCAAACTCCGGCTTTGGAGCTGTGTACGAGACTTCCTGGACCGAGAAGGGAACGGTTTACGATACTTTGGAGAACACGTCGAGAATGATGGTGCCAGCTCAGATAGATTGATCTGGCCTAGAGATGATCAGAGAATTATCTCTCTTGTCACTCCTCTGCTGCGTCGAATGGTCACTAACGAACGACAGCGCCAATATGCCATCGAGATTCGAAAGGGAGGCAACTCTGAAGATAAATCGAAGCGAAATTCGGGATCCACCACTAACGCTATACCTGATAGCGCTGCACGCTATCATCAGCCACCTCCCAGTGGCACAGCTGAGCTCGGGATGCTGGGTCTCATCAGGAACGAATATCCTACATATCAGACGGACTGGGACTCTGTCGCACGAGCATACGAGATGTATAATCAGGACTACCGCCTGGATAGCCTTGGATCAATCTCTGGCCTGCCTCAATCAGATTGGTGGGGACTGGTTGCTGCTATAGACTGCCACTATCAAATTGACCATGGTGGTGATGCAACGCAGTGTACCGATAGCTGCCAGGAGTGCACTGTCAACCATCTAATGTCATCTGAATCAATGTCGGAGGTGAACTTCCGGATCAGCGGTGAAGAAGACATTGCTGCACGGAATTACTTGTAAGTTGAAAACTCGCCCTGTGTTGGACAAGATGTATATTTGCTCTGATATTAACCGGGTATGTTCCCCAATATATAGCGCAACTGGTATTACCCGTGATGCCACTCGCATTGTGAAAAACTATCTCCTGGAGCACCCCAATATCCCACCGGCTAGTACTGAGGCCGAGGATCCTCAGTTCCCAACATCCGAGGTGGTACCTCAGGTCCCTATACAGGTACAGCCTGGATTGGACCAGCAACAACCACAGCATCAACAATCTGCTTCAGACGCTTTACCAGTTACCCTATCCATCAACATCGTACAAAACGAGGACCATAAACGCATAGTCCCTCGTTTTCAAGTTCCCGCCAGCCAATGTACTGACTTTGATACTCTACATGGCACCATCCGTCAATACTACCACGGGCAAAACAATTCCCAGGCTCCACAGAATATGCGCATCAGAGTATGGCTGGACGATGGTCTCCAGTTGATACTTAATGATTCCCAGTGGCTGACAGCCTTAGTCACAGCAAGCGAGATCGAATGGATGGACAATGAGTTGAAAATCATTGTTGATAGAGTCGATGGCGCTGCTAACTAAGTATGAGAAACACAGTCAAAAAAAAAAATAAATAAATAAATAAAATAAAAAAATAAAAAAATAAAAAAATAAAAAAATAAAAAAATAATAATAATAAAATAATTCGCATTTGCTATTATTATGATGTATATTATTAACTGACAAGTATGCAGCTTGGTTTTGAATTTTTTTGTCTATCCGGCATGGTTTGGTGTTGGTGTTTCTCTCGATCTTTTGTGATCTCATGAAAAGCTCCGGTTTCTTCTGGTTTCATACGTCGCATCTTCGTTGTCAAAGTAATTGTACTATAATTAACCTAATACTGACAGTTGCTCAATGTTATACATGTGTATATCTGAGTTTAACCTGGAATCTCTATTTGAAGGGTGATAGGTATCGGGGGGTAAGGGGTAAAAAAAGAAAGAAAAGAAAAATAGCATATACTCTGCATCCAATCATCACCTCATGATACAACAATTTCATCATGTCGTTCTCCCATAAGGAACTTCAGGCAGGCTTCACAGGATACCCTACCGCAATATGGACACCAAAAAGCTACCCGCTGAGTCCCCATCGAGCATCGACCACATCTCATCGGCTTTTGAATCATCTCCCATTCGCCTCCATACATACATCCATTCTGCTTAGGTATATCTCGCTTTCTCGGGGCTTCTCGCTTGTATCTCCGTCTGGCCTCCCTGATTTCCTCTTCATGTCTTCGGTTTTCTTCTTCCTCAGCCTCTTCTCTTCTTCGCCAGAGCCTCATCACCTCCGTTGCCTCCTGATCGTCTGTCCCCCATCGGGTTGCCTCCATATCATTTTCCTGTCGATTGTGCTCTTCTTCAGCCCTTCTCTTCGCTTTCTCTTCTTCTTCTCGCTCCTTTCTTATCTCTCTCTTCACTCTTATAATTTCACTCTCCGTAAGCTGGTATGAGGCTTCACGCCTTCGTACGATTTCCTCCTGTTCCTCTAGAAAGTCGTGTTTAAATCTGAGGGCAGCCTTCTTGGCAAACAGTGTACGCTGAGCTTGCTCCTTTCGTTCTTCAATCTCTTGAATTTTCCTCGTGGAAAGGCGATGTATATTTATTTTTCCTATGGAAGCATGGTTTTCCGTTGCCTGATCCATTTCTTTAGATAGTCGTGCCACTTCATCCTGCAGTCCGCCGAGTATTCTCCTCGCTTTGAGAAAATCATCCTTTTGACTTGCTCTTTTGGCTCTTAGTTGCTGCAGTGTTGCCTTGAAGTCTTCCGTGTGTTTTTTGGCAGTAGGGTCATGGCTAACTGGGCGTCTCTTTGGGATGGTCTTTAGGTCTATTTTTATTTTTGTCCTTGAGTCTTGCTTTATGTCGGGCTTTGGCTCTGGTTTTAGATCTGGTTTTGGATCCGGCTTTGACTCGGAATTCGCATTTGGCCTATAACTTGGGTTCTCCTCTGTTTTATGATCTGGCTTCGACGCTGGCCTTGACTCCGCTGCTGGAGCAGACTTAGGATCTGAATTACCATTTGTCCTTGGGCCTGCTGTCGGGACTGTATTTTGCTCTGCCTTTGGAGCAGAAGTTTCAGTCTGTCCGGCAGACCGCTTAATAGATGGGTATCTCAAGTCATACGCCCGGCGGGCATCAGCATCAAACAAATTCGAGTATGCTTCTTGAATCTAAATAACCGGCCAGCAGGTTAGATGGTTGCTCGATTCGTGAATAGCCGGAATAGGTGTGACAGACCAGCTGGAATTCAGATGTCGCATCCGGATTAGTTGGATTCTTATCCGGATGTTTGATTCTTGCAAGGCGCCTATAGCTGGCTCTAATCGACGCAGCGTCTGCCGTCTGCTCGACCTCGAGAATCGCATAGTAGTCATGGTTTGTTCGAACTGGGGCCATTCCAGCTTTTGGCCTGCGAGATGGATTGTGGCTGGGGGTCTGTGTTTATCGGGTTTACGCCTCCGTCCGTCATTCACCGGTTGCTGCTGGAGGATGCTGGCCGGTCAGTTATTACTTCGTACTCTGCCTAGCACAGGAGCTTCGCAATTTTCAACTGAAATTTTCAGCGTCTCCACGGCCGCTTGTGGGCTTTAACGCCATCCTATGAAGAATTCTCATCTTGCCGGGCTGGAAATAGGGCCGATTTTTGATGGCTTCTTCAGGTTGCTGCAGCGACTGGGGTTGCGGTGATTGGCGGTGGGATTCATGCATCTAAGATCAGCCTCCAATCAGCAGGGGTATATAAGAAAAGTCGGAGAAGATTTTTGCATCGTTAGGCAGCGAGACGCTCCATATGTGTGCCCATAGTAACTAATGCTGGGGAGCTCGCAGTCAGGCCTCGTTTGTCGATGGCTGTCTCTTCTGTCGTTAATTATTACTGACGGTTAACTGGGATTTCCGCCTCTCCGCCAGAAGTAGTTAAAGGTCGCCAACGGGTATGAATACATTTGGCCCTCAGCATAGCCTTGTACTCCCACACCAGGAGCGACGCGGGACGTTTGCTTCAAGTGCTGCGGTTCATGGGATCACTACTGTCCCGCATGCATGTACAACGCCCGGAAGTTGCCCTTCTACCTCGTGTCCGGCCGACCCGAGGCGCCTGTGTCTCGCCAACCGGAGCCTTTGCCTCGCGCCTGTCAAGATATCGAAACCAGTGGCATTGGCATTGACAGAGACCAGCAAGGATACCCATAGCTCGCTAAGCCGTCTCATTGTTCTTTGATATGAATGTTTCATCCGCCTGATAGTTATGGGCGAGGCAAGTGATTGTTGCTCTGATCGACCTGCCATTGGTTGCGGGTTACCGGCTCAGGGCGTATATTTTAATCAAGCCTGGGAGTATACCTCTTGTATACTCTTATTTACCCATAACAGTTCATTATGCCCTTGAGTCAAGGTCACAAGGCCGCCAGATACCCAGTGAAGTCGTAGTTTGTGCACCGATCTCTATTAGGGGAAGATCCGATTTGATATCATACGCCTTCGGAGCAGTGGAAGCAGCTCGGCTCGTTATATTGCCCCCTGTTTACTCCCCTTATTCCTGGAGCTATATACCTCTGGAAGATCTCATACAAATACAAATACCACCCTCAAGACGAGATGTTACGAACCACCTTCACTGCTCCATGGCGCACAGCAATTCATTACTCTTTATTGATCAAGAGCCATTGCTCCAAGTTCTCCCTGCAGAACCGGCAATCGAACCATGTATTCCTCTTCAGCTTACATATTTACCCAGTCTGGAGCAACCTTTATACGTTGTTCGTGAACAGCTATCAGAGCAAGCTATTCTGTACCAAGAGGTTATACCAATTTACACCGGACAATGTCCTATTTGCCAGGCACTCCGCGACAGAAGCTACACCTACCAGTATCTTATACCAGTCGAGGTAGACGTTATGAATGGTAAGAGTCTATCGAATTAAGAGGAAACGGACTTTGAAGCTTTAATAACAGAACTTGGCTACAGAGTTTATCCCCGTTTACTGTAGGAAACATGTCCAATTGACAACTGACGAAGGAATTGCTTTATCCTACCCCCCCGTTCACAACAATATCACGTTTGTTCAATCAACGGTGAACTACCCTAATCACGTAATGTTAAATAGAAATGAGGCGTCTCACCAGTCTGGTCCGTTTACCCCAAAGGTAAACCAGAGGGGACATAGGAGACGAACGAGGATACATCACCAACCAAAACAGCTTCACAAACGAGAAGGGGACGGAAAAGAATCTAGAAGCTGCAAAGTACCCGATTTCGCAGTGAAAAACCGTCACAAGCCAGCTAAAAGTCCCTCACCAATACCTTTCTCGAGGGCCCCAACATTGGCAGAGAGCCCAGCACCAGTACACGCTGACAAGGCGAATGTCATACCTCCTCAGGCACACTCCGATTCAATGAAACATTCTACTAAAGAAGCCCAGAGGTCTTATGATATAGATGAGAAACGAACGTCTGTACGGCAAGGGGGATATAAAAGCACAGGAGCAGAATCGATACTCTCCTGTTCTACAGATAGCACAAAACTTGGGATTATACCACCACATAAACTTGCAGTCCCTCGAAACCCACATACACCATCTGAAAATAGGCCTAGGGTAACGGGTCGAAGTTATGATACTACTAAAAAGGGCGGGAAGATGGGATGGTTGAGATTCTGGAGGAGCTGATCTATGAAGTTGGCCTACGTTGCCGACGAATAATAGTAATACATAGCCCCTGGTGTTCCGGATTTGGTTAAGCCTGCCATACAGCATGGATATTTACAGATACACGACTACATAGAAACCATAAGTTAAGAATCATAATTGCATTCAATGTTAATGTAAAGTCAGAAGCTTGAGGTCTAATTTATATCTTGAGTTTCTCCAGCTCGCGAATTTGTTCTTCAAGCCGAGCAGCCTCTGCCTGAGCATCCACCAGCTTCTTCTCTTCAAGTTCTCTAACTTCAGGCTTGGCCTTTTCTTTCCACTGAGGGGCATTGATGATAGTTTGCTGCTTCTTGATAGTTTCCTGTAGCTTCAAGAGACTAGCCTTGGCTTTTTCTTCCTGCTCTAGCCTGACCTCATCCGACACCTGGAGATACACAGCTGCTTGGGCACCGACGGGCGAAACAACACAGCCTGGTGGAGGGGTTCGGTTGTCGGCATCAAGCACAGTCAGCTCGCCGATGTTTTTGCCACTCAAGGATTTGATGCTGATGGCTTCTTCGGAAATGGACTTGTGGCTGGTAGCGTCGTATGCCTGGATGAGAATGTCTCCCTTTGTCTTCACGTCGTATTCAGCGAGGATACTTCGGATAGCCTTGGAGGTGCTGAGGATCAGCTCATAGGCGGTCTCGGCGGCAGGGTCATCGAACGAAGCGTTGTACTCTGGGTAGGTAGCCTTCATGATAGAAATGGTTTTGTCTCCAGGACGTCTCGGGAGACGCTGCCATAGCTCTTCGGTCACGAAAGGCATGACTGGGTGGATGAGAGTCAAAGCACCCTCCAGCGCGGTATAGAGGGTCTCCTTGGCAGATTGCTGAACGGCTGGGTCTGCGTCGGGCTGCAACAGCGACTTGGAGTTTTCGATGAATACATCACACAGTTGACTGTACCAGTACTGGTAGATTGTGTTGGCGGCAACGGAGAACTCGCGGTTTTCCAAGGCTTCGTTGGTGACCTTTGCTGCCTGGTTGAACTTGTGCAAGATCCATCGTTCAGAGAGGGACTCCTTGCCAGTCTTGATGGGAGTGGCCTGGGGTTTGAAGTCATCCCCTAGTTTACCAAGAACGAACTTGGTGGCCTGGTAGATCTTGTTGCAGAACCTTCTGTAACCGTGAATCACCTGGATGTCGAAGTTGATATCACCGCCTTGAAAGAAACAAGAGCGTTAGTGGGTTTATCCCATATAAAAGCATCTATGCAAAAGGGGGGGAAGGGGTTTGTTTAACTTACCACCAGTGCTGTATGCGAGCAGCGAGAATCGAAGGGCATCAGCACCGCACTCTGGGATGCCCTTGGGGAAAGCCTTCTTCTGGAATTTGGTTGCAATGGCGACTTCCTTCTCCGCAAGATTACCTTCTAGCAGCTTATCATGCAGCTTTTGAAGAGAAATACCATTCATGACATCGATGGGGTCGACGACATTACCTAGTGACTTGGACATCTTGCGACCTTCAGAATCTCGGATGAGAGAGTGGCAGTACACCTCCTTGAATGGAACCTGTCCGGTCATCTTGATTCCGAGCATAATCATTCGAGCGACCCAGAAGAAGAGAATGTCCCATCCGGTTTCCAAGATAGATACGGGGTAAAGATTCTCAAGGTCATGCGTCTTCTTTGGCCATCCAAGAGTAGAATACGGCCATTGACCAGAGGAGAACCATGTATCTAGGACATCTGGATCCCTCTTCAGAGCAAATTTCTTCCCAGGGAATTTCTTCTCTGCTTTAGCTTTTGCTTCCTCCTCAGTACGACCAGTTACCCAGAGGTTACCATCGGCATCATCACCTTTCTCGCCTTCAATATCAACGAAATAAGCGGGCGCTTGGTGACCCCACCAGAGCTGTCTTGACAAACACCAATCGTTGATGTTGTTCATCCACCGATAGTAGCTCTTCTCGGCACTTTCGGGGCGGATGATGATCTCTCCACTTTCAACGGCCTTGATGGCAGGCTTAACAAGCTCAGTCATGTTCATCCACCACTGTGGTTTCATGATGGGCTCGATGACATCGCCAGATTTGGCACACTGTGGTACTTTCATGGGGTTGTTCTCCCATTTCACATAAAGACCCTTCTCCTTTAGCTTCTCAATGACCTGGTAGCGGGCGTCGAAACGTTTCACTCCAGCGAAGGGGCCGGCGTTTTCGTTAAAAGTACCATCATCGTTCATGATGGAAATGAACTCAAGATTATTCTCTTTTCCACGAATGTAATCGTTGAAGTCGTGTGCTGGTGTGATTTTGACGGCACCGGTACCGAATTCCGGATCGACCTTCTCGTCTGCGAAGATTGGTAGCAAACGGTCCACAAAGGGGTGCTTAACCTTCATTCCAATAAACTTCTGGTATCGCTTATCGTCAGGGTGGACAGCTACACCGGTATCACCAAGCATTGTTTCAGGTCGAGTAGTTGCAACCTGGATCTTTTCATCCGTGCCATCGATCTCATACAGGAAGTGAGTTAAAACACCGAATTCAACTTTTCTGGAATACCCAGGGACATCCAGCAAAGTGCGACCTTCGAGGTCACGATTTTCGACCTCAAGGTTTGATAGGGAAGTGTTCAAGGCAACACACCAGTTAACAAGACGATTTCCACGATAGATAGTGCCCTCTTCGTGGAGGCGGACGAAAGTCTCGGTGACAGCCGCAGACAGGTTCTCATCCATAGTGAAGGCTTCCCTGGACCAGTCGAAAGAGCCGCCCAACCTTCGGAGGGAGGCAGTAATGCTGTCGTGGTACTTGTGAGTCCACTCCCAGATCTTGCCCACCATGGCTTCCCGCCCAATATCGTGTCTGGATTTCTTCTCCGTCTTCCATAGGATCTTCTCAACAACGCTCTGAGTGGAGATACCGGCATGGTCGTATCCCGGGAGATACAACACGGTTTTTCCCTTCATTCGCTGCCAGCGGATCATAGTGTCCTGGAGCGCCTTTGTCAAGGCATGACCCATATGGAGGGCTCCGGTCACGTTTGGCGGTGGGATCGGAATGACGAAGTATCCAGCCTCTTTCACCTTTCCATCTGGGCCAAACTCCGGCTTGAACAGGTCGCGCTCCTCCCACCACTCATATCTACCAGCCTCGATAACCTTGGGGTCATAGGCGTCGGTGGTTTTGTCTTTCTCTATCTTTGGCTTCTTCTCCGTAGGTTTCGCGGGGGCAGGTGCTGCAGAGGCCTTCTTCGCAGCCTTTTCGGCAAATTTCTTCAGCTTCTCAGCCTTCTTCCGTTCCTTTTCAACTATACCGAAGCATTTGAGTCAGAGACTGTATCCCAAGTATACACTACAACCCACCGCATAAGAAACATGCCACATACGTTCTCTTTCCGATTTTTCCTTTCCACCTTGCGTTCCTGAGCTGTTGTTAGCAGCATCTTGGGCCGGACTGGCTACCCCGCCAGTCGTCGAGTCAGCCGGGGTATCTAAACAGCGAAGACAGGCAAAAGTTAGACTCTCGGCCTTTCCCACAGCATCATATGGACAATTTATGGGTACACATACCAGGAGACTGCGCCGTAGCAAGTGAAGCCATGTTTGCAAATCGAGGTCGAATGTAAATTCCCCTCCGCGCCGAGCGCGCAGCAAGATGTCGGAGTATCGTGGTTTACGGTTTTGCCCGTAACTGTGGAAAAAAAGAAAGAGAGTTTTATGCGTGGGGTAATTAGGCGAGTTAAGGGTCTGTCTGGCCCAGCAAACAGCGCTTTGGTAGGGGGGATATCGGTCAGGGTCGCAATTGATCCCGGTTTCTCATCTGCTTCTGCTTCTGCTTCTCGAATCTTTTCAATATAGCTTTTTGGTGACTCAAAATTTCCCTGCGACGAGCCTTGGCCGTGTCGTCCAAGCTGACTAAGTTATTATCTAATTGAATTTCAACCTTACTCATCTGATTCTAATTTTAGGTCCACGGGTATAGTATGGTCATGTGAGAATGCTTGGCTTCATGCGGAACTTTATATCGACGTTGAACTTCATCCAGGAGATAATCAGTGATAACTAGCTACTCGGAGATTGATGGCTATTTTTGCGCCAGGAGCCTGGGTTTTGGTCCGAGGGAGAGTCATAAGGCAATAAGGGTGGTCTCCGGTATAGTTCGTACCACCACTCCTCTTCCTCCAGCGCGTTATACATCTCAGCATAAGTGTAAACTTCGAGGTACATCCACCCAACATCTTCCTCTTCCATGGCTGTTTCACCATCCTCAAAATCAGGGTGTATAGTGTAATTTCTGTCTTCAGGGTCTCGCGCACCAAAGTGTTTTGCTAGTAACTTTACGACCGGTATGTCCATGTGCTCGACAGACTCCAGGCAAATGTCATCAACAAAAAGGCAAAAATTATATCGAGTACCGAAAACATGTTCTAGCCCCATACTATGAGGATCATTCACGAGCGTCAACTGCAGCTGAGACTCGGTCGGTGTATTAACCATGATATCCGGTAAAGCATTAAACACCCAAGACGTAAAATGGTCACGGATATCGTGAGACGTGGCGCCATCATATTTTGCTTTGTCGTCCATAATAATCATCTCATGCCGAGGCAGTAGGTCCTCCTGCCCTTGATCTTCTAAACACTCGGCCATCTCATCACGTATTCTCTGAAGAATTGTCTGCCAGGCATCCTCATTGTTATACGAGCATCGATAGATCACAAAGCCCCAAGTAATAGGTTGTTTTAGAGTAACCCTGCCAAGCGACTGCACAATGCCCTTGAAGGCCGGCTGGGGAGGAGCTGATGTTGCCATTTTCCGGTAGATTGTTTTAATAGCCAGATCCGGCGCCGCAAAGGCGGTTCAACCAGAGTTGTCAGGCTTAACTCCAGGCTTCTCGGTTTCGCAGATGGTTGTTCAACGTACCTGATATGGAGGGAGGCGGGCTTTCGAACGCCCTGGCATTTGACGAAAAATTGAAGTAACAGTGTTTTCAGGCAGGCTGAAATGTAAATTCTTCGGCTCTGCATAGCGTGCAACATCAGGGAAGGGCGCTGGTATGTTATAACTACCTAGTTATATTAGGGGGATAAGTTATATAACTATGTCTCGCCTCCTGCACATCATCATTATTGGCCTTGAGTGGTCAGTATTTTGAACACAACTGCGTGAATCCACTGGATGCGAATAATGCATCCTAAAATAGGTATCGGTTTTCATGCCCTACTTGAAGTTAATTAGCTGTGGAGTCTTTAGTGTTGCGAACGGACTTTAAAACAGGCATTGGGACTGAAAACCGATCACCCATCCCATTCTTCGAGTTGTATCTTATAGCCCAACGGAGATCTGCCTTGGTAGTTGATATTAGAATACATTTCTATTCAAACAGTTCCTTTATTCCGGAGAAGATTAACCTTCCGGTCTCTCCAACCTGCTCAAGAATTCACTCCACTTCCTTTCTCACACGTAGTTTTACCGTCAACAGAGGGGAGAGGGATATAAGGAATGGTATGCGCAAATATAGATAGATATGCAGGTTACGATAGCAGCCAGGGGTCATTCAATAGCTCTCTGGCGGTTTGCCTCTCATTTGGCTCCCATCTCACCATCTTCCGCACAAATTGAATAAAAATATCTTTGTTCCGGCCCTCCAGGTAAAGCTCCGACTCCTCAAAGGAAACATCAGCTATCTCAGCAAGCCCTCTCCAGTTGCCTATAGTTAATATATCAGTATTATGTGCACACTATCATCTCATTTATAGTGTACCTACCTGACTCATCCCAAAATCTCAGGCTTTTATCACTTCTTTTAAGAAATTGACTTGGAGGGGGTCCCAGAAGAGCGATCATGCTAGCTAGCAAGTGAGCCTCAGAATACTCTCCATCAGGGCCACGATCTTGAAACATATAATAGTTTTCGAAAAGTTCCCATATCTGTAGTTTAAATCCATATCAATCAGGATAGGTTCCAAAAGCTACTCCGTTCGTCTAAACGTACCAAAGCTCCAAGATTCCAAATATCCACTTTGGAGTCCCATTTCATGCCCAAAACAACTTCGGGTGCGCGATAAAGGGTTGGTTGGATTGTACCCTCATGGTCTCCAGGACCAATACGAGCTTGGCCAAAATCAGACAACAATGGTAGGCCCCATGCACCCCTACCTTCCTCGATATTGTAGCGCCTAGATCGATAGACAACATGTCCAGGTACATTTTTCCGAGAAGGAGGCCCTTGGACAGCTTGTGCTTTCCATTCCTCGAAACGAGATGGCTGGTTTGTGCCGATCATGATGTTCTTCGATTGGATATCTTGCAAATAGTCAGCTGGCACCCTGGGGGTGATGATATGATGGTGATGATAACCCCACCAGTGTGAATGACTTGAGCCTCGGTGTGGAGGTAGTCTAGTGTTACTAGAAGCTCTTTGAGTAACAGTTTCAAGACCTGTTCGGTAAGCCTCTGGTTTGGAAGAGAGGCTTGAAGATGTGAAATGCTCGTCAGTAGAGGCTCATGCACTAAGCATTGGTGTCGGCCACTTGGTCCATCTGCGGTAAAGGCATCGAGCATCGTCCGAACCTTTGCTTTGCCAGGATGGGACGACTTTAATGATTCAAGATGCCTCAGTACATTGCACTCCTGTTCGGCTCCAGCACTGCATATATAAACCTTGAGAGCTGCATAGCGGCGTTGGCTAATATTGTGATTAGTCTCGCTGCCACCGTACCCATTCTCTTCTAGTAGCAGAATACGAGGAGACATACAGCAAGTCACGACAGAACCAGACCGTAGAATTTGCGCCATACCCGAGCTTGGACAGTACTTGGTATCGAGAGCTAGACACCTGGCCTATTTGAACGGGGTAAAAAAGACCTTTCTCGTAACCTGGCATATGTTCCTCTTCAAATCTTGAGAGTTGGATCCAGGTTTTCAAAGCTGTGGCCCGTAAAATCATGTGCCGGCTCAACAGATCGTGATAGAGCGCGATGGCCTAGTCGAAGCAATGCGGCCATCGCGAGATTGGTACGCTGACGAGACATAAATAAGTGCAAAGTAGAAGCATAAAAACAGGGAGGCTGATTCTAAGGCCAAAATACGAGAATGGATGAGTGATGGGTTAATCACCCGGAGCTGATTGTTGATGTTAAATTGCTGGTCCAACAGGTGACCGGCTGGACAAATGGCGGCAGTGAGAGTCGTTATTTATCTTTGACGGTTGACGTTCGGCAAGGTTTGGCATACCTAACTATACGCCAGCTCTGTAAGGAGGCGGTCCACGGGGGTCGGGTGCCAATCAATCACGTGACTGTTAGGAGTCTAGGGGCAGAGCGAGTCAGGGTGAGAGCTGACTGGGATGACGGTTAATTCGCCGGGACTACTATGCTCGGCCTTCAGTTACCGGTACACCCTTACATTGAATGAATATTCTACCTCTACTGTCATATGGGTCTATATACCACATGGTTTACATTAGATTGCGAGGCCTATATATCAAATCCCGTATAGAGTGGCAAGTTGCCGAAGGGGAATGGAAGGAAAATGAACAAGAAAATTGATTCGAATAGGATGTTTATAACATACATACGGGCAAGGGAAAAGGAGCAAGGGGAATGAATACCAGACTTCAGGAGTTGTAGGCGAGATGTTAGTCGCGTTATCTGTTTCATTCATGTGTGGACGTCTCATGCATAAATAGCGCTAAACAACCTAATAAAAGAAAAAGAAAAAGCAACACGTTGCACCAGCCGATGACTCCCAAAGATGATTACTCGATTTTAATGGTCCTGGTACTTGGAGAATAGATGGTCGGAATTATTCTGCCTAATGAAAACCTTGTCGGAGTTTGTCGGAGAGGAAAACTGACATTCGTCAAGGGATGAGGTGTATCAAATAGTTGGCGAGTAAAGGAAAGATGACAGATCGGGTATCGGGATGGGAAGAAAGTGTTTAGGCGTTGGAAGCAGCTGCGGTGTTGCTTTGTGCGTTAGTAGAAGCATGGCGAACAGGGGAGAAATACGGATGTGCCATTGCCTCCTGAGCAGTTAGACGGGCCTAGGATATTTGGGTTAGTTTATCAGCTCGATGAAGATGAGAAAACATATCCCAGGGAACATACTGTGTGGTCATATCTGAGCAACTTGTCCAAGAAGTCAATGGCATCACTGCTAATGAATCTCTGGTTCTCGGCGCTGATGAAGGAGTTCCATGGCCTACGTTGATACCGTTGGAGAATCTCATCGTACTGGGGGTCCAGCTCAATGTTGTATTTGTCAAGGTAGTCAAACAGATCATCTGTTCCAAGGACTTTGGCAATCTTGACAAGCTGGTCCGCATTGCTGCTACCGTGGAAAAATGGTTCTTTTCTAAATATCATGGAGGCAAACATGGCTCCAAGGGACCACATGTCCAGGGAATAGTCGTACTCTTGGAAATCAACAAGGAGCTCGGGGCCCTTGAAATATCGCGAGGCAACACGAACGTTATATTCCATGCCTTGATGGTAGAACTCTGCGAGTCCCCAGTCGATAAGCCGCAACTAGGGTCATGTGTAAGTAAACTAGCGGATATCATTGTCGATATAACAGGCCTTACCTTTCTCCGCTCATGGTCAATCATGACGTTATGCGGCTTGACATCCCTGTGCATTATTCCCTTGCTATGGCAGAAGTCCAGTGCCTTAAGAAGCTCATATATGTAGTATCGGACATCGTAATCTGCCAATCGCGGGTACAGTGTTCGAAAGTCGGTGTTGTTAACATATTCGAAGACCAAACTGGGCGTCTTGCTCTGACTATCACGAACAACGTCCAACAACGCGACGACGTTAGGACCTCCGGACAGGTTTTGGAGAATCTTGATCTCTCTCTTGATCTTCCGTTTCTTGACGGGTTTGAGGACTTTGACGACACATTTCTGGTAGTTGACGACGTTTACGCCTTCAAACACCTCCGAATATTTTCCTCGGCCTATTTTTGATCATGTTAGCAGGCTGAGACAGGGATCTTGAGGTTAGATTGGATCAGGTAGGGGGGCAGGGTATCGCATACCAATTTTCCGCACAACCTCATAATTCTCCAGGACGCCCCAGGATATATTAACGCTGTCATAATCCCAGTACGTCTTGGGCATCTTCTGGTTCACGTCTGCATAGACGCGTGCCATCTTGACGGTTTGCGATCACCCCACTCAGGGTGTGATATCAATGCAAGGCAGGCGGGGGAGGAGGCTCAAAACTCGACGAGAAGCCCGTTTGCTAGGAAGGTTGCGCGGGAAGAGACGCAGCAGTAATGATTGCACAAAGAAATAGAGCAGGATATCGCGGGCGCGACGGACGCGGGCGTTGTTGTTGAGCTCGAAGGAACGATTGCAGTTCGCAAAATAGCAAACAGCGTCAACAATCTTTCACCAGCCCGCAGCTCCCAAGCGACAGGGTCACGGGACTTCTAGCCCTCAAAGCACGGACCATGTTTTTGCCTTACGTAATTGTTCCCCACGGATAAACTAATCTCCGGGGACGGAATAACTTGCCAGAATGGGAGAGCATGTGAAACCTTAAACAACTTTGTCCTGAATATTGAACTTCAACTTCATCGGAATATAAGAAGAGACCATATTTAAACAACTTTTGTTGACAAGTGCGTCATTGCTATAGCCATCAGTTTGAGGTGTATGGGGTGAGTCCTATCTAACGAGCTATGCTGATCCATTGCGACCCTCCCAGACGAATTCAAGAATTCCCATGGCGGACCCTGGAGGATTCACAACTCCCTTAAGCACGAAGCCTGGATCGGCCGCTTTGAACAATGCCTCCCAATCAGCCAGAGTCCTTTCTCGGGAATTGAAGGTGAAGGCCATTTCCAGATCCATCGATCTAGAAAAGCGTCAGACATATACCATCTTCAGCTGATGCTGCGACATACCTGATATCTCTTTCATTCCAGTAGGCCAGGGATCCCGGCTCGGGCATGAAAACTTCTTGTATAACAAGCCTCGCCCCGGGCTTTAATGCTGGTAACTGGGCCTTCAGGATGCGAATACAATAGACATCGGACCAGTTGTGGAAGATCCAACGAAAGAAATATACATCAGCTCTGATGGGCTGAGGATCGAACAAATTATGGGCCAAGAAGCGGACCCTCTCTGATACTTCTCCTGCATTTGCATTCTCAATTACCTTAGCCATGTCCTGCACAATAATACGGAGCTGACTGTATTGCCTTGCAAGGGCCATTGCGAAGTGCCCCCGGGCACCCCCGACGTCAACCACTTGAGCTTCCCCTAGAGACTTCCAGTCGTAGTAGTCTGTTCCATACGATAGGTCAAATGCCGGTCTTGATGTCATCATCTTCATAGCGCTACTGAAGCGGGCCGCTCTATCGGGATTCTCTGCAAGAACATCGTAAATTGACCCTGTGATATTGTGTGCAAGCGAAAAACCCTGCAGACAATATTAAGTTTTGGTTCATTAATGCTTTCATTGATGCGTTGAGTGACGGGTATATTACAGTCTCGTTTGGTTCTTCTGAAGCTGGCCATTTTTCAAGGGCTTTCGCAAACTGCCAATACAATGTCAGTACTCACTCAACATGCTCGATTTGGTTCTCTGCTTACCTTCGCGCCTGCAGGGCTTAACTCCTCGATACCAGCTCGAGTCCAGTCTCTCGCATCCGGATCGGCTAAAATTCTGGAAGCCTTCGTGTGTTTTACAATACCAGGCTCGGGCTCACAAAAGATTCGCATCATGGCAGCATGGCGAATAATTCGGCTCACCATCTGCTCCGTCAATGGCGTCCTATCAGAAATCTCCTTAAACGAAGCCTGCCCATTAGGCGGTATGAGTTCCGCAATACCAAAGTGAGAGATCGCCTGCAGACATGCGGACTTATCACTCTGATTATATGAACATCAATGTTAAAGTTAGCTGTTTGTTGATGGAATATATCAAGATGGAGTGATCGGGTGATCTTTACCCTAGCTAACCTATGAATCATATTTGTGGGCTCGGTGAGCAAATCGTGAAGCTCTGCTGTTGCATCGAGGACGATATCCTGAGCTTTACCAATATGTACAGGAAGAAGGGGTGCATTCTCATCAAACGATGGTGAAAGTGCCCCTAGGGTATCGAGAGTCTCCTGAATTTTGAGCACCGCGTCCTTGATCGTGGTGGCGAGTTGAATAATTCTCGGTACTGGTACTACTGGAGCCATTTTTGGGTTTCCGATGCGGAATAGGGTAGCGGTGAGGAGAATAGACCGCAACTTGGTTACGGGGATAAAAGCGAGGGGGAGGAATCGAGGGAAAGGTAAGGTACAAAATGGAATCGAATATCAAGTAAGCTAATGTGTTTCACATATATGTCCTCAAATCCAAGACGTACTTCCGCTATTTGAAATTAGATTTCATTTTTGGCCGATATTGCAGCAAACGAAGGAATATATGCAGTCTCACCCGCACTTCCTTGGGTGGCAGCCTGGCGGAAAGTACCTGTCTGGAGGGGTTTGCTTCGTTTGCCTGATACAGTACCGCATCAATATGCAGCTTACTCTACTCTGGTCCTTACTACCATGCTTATACTCCGGACCCTTTCATATCCTAGCCTCACTGCGGCACTGGAAGTTAATACCACTGGCAAATAAGAGACTGACATGACCTCCACATGAAATGATTGCCCATGTTCACTGATACCCCGAACTTCGGGGAATAATATGTAAATCAGGACGCACAGCTCCGGATGGCAGTGGAATCAGTGTTTGTCGCTTCTATTACCCATGTACTGTTGGTGGGGCCGGGGAGGGTTAGGATTCGGCATGGATCGTCCTTTCTACTATTCTTCTAATGGACGGGCCAACATCCAGGGGTTCTAAGAAGTTGGGATGAGGAGGCCTTATGAGCCTACACATAAATGGGGTTTATCAAGTATTCAATATGCATACCTGTTTGAACCAAAACACAACGAGGCTCCATCCCAATATCACTTCAATATGCCACTGCTCAATGATCTACCATCTTGTTCTACAGAACTGAAACCCGCATCATCAGAGTCTCGGTGCTCCACATTACCCTTATGCTTCCCACTTTGCTCGCAATCACCATCAGAATGGGGATCGTCAACCATCTGTCTTCAAGATATCCTTAAAGCAGTGGCCGTGCTGAGGAAAGGGTCAATTATCTGCTATCCTCTTGGAAATATTGCTGGTTATAAGGAATATTCCTGCGTGGAGCTCTATATCCAATCCAGTCACTGCGCCCAGTTACTTCGGACACTTCCTAGCTTTGAGGACGAAGCTCCTATACTTTTACACTTGGATGATCATTGGAATACTATAGTTTGGTTCTGGGCAGTTCTGCTTGCCAATGGTGTTCCTGTTCTCTCTTCTCCATTCAGCATCGTTGATGACCATCGTCTAGAGCAGATTCGGGGCTTGTCGAAGCTTCTTCAATATCCGATATGCATCACAACAAAAAATTTACTTAGTGTGTTTGGCGGCACCGAAAATTTGCTGAAAATTCACACAACGGAATCACTGAGCTTGGATAAATTTCAAATTGGCCACCGAAGCCCAGATGTTTCAGCTGCCTACCCAAGCTATAGGGGAGGCCGATCTCTGGCGATGTTGATGCTAACGTCAGGAAGTACTGGGAACTCAAAGGCTGTACGCCTGACACACAAGCAGATAATTTCGGCAATCACGGGGAAAGCATCCGTACGCCCATTACCCGTTGGCGGCCCATTTATGAACTGGATTGACCTTAACCACGTTGCGAGCCTCATTGAAATTCACATCCAAGCTCTGTGGCTAGGAGTTGACCAGATTCATGCCCATGCAGCTGATATAGTTTCATCACCCAACGTCTTCCTAGACCTACTGAGCAAGCACCGTGTCTGTCGCACTTTTGCGCCAAACTTTTTCCTCGGAGGCTTGATATCCTCAATGAAGTCAAAACAAAGTCTTCCGCTAGGCGAAAGGCCGTGGGACTTGTCAAATTTGCAGATAGTTGCCTCTGGAGGAGAGGCCAATGATGTGACAACCTGCGTTGCTGCGTCTGCCTTATTCCAAAATCTTGGAGCACGCCCAGATGTCATCACACCGGGATTCGGCATGACAGAGACCTGTGCTGGGGCAATATTTAACCTTACTTGTCCGTCATATGATGTTGACCGCGGCTATGCTATTGCCTCTCTAGGCAAGTGCATGGAGGGTATCGAGATGCGTGTTACGATTGGCCCCAGGTTGGCGGCTATAGATGAGTGCGGCGACTTGGAAGTACGTGGTGATGTGGTGTTTAATGGCTATTATCGAAATCCCGAGGCCACTGCTAACGCTTTTCCTTGGGGAGACGGATGGTTCCGTACCGGCGATCGAGCTCGTATCAATTCAGACGGCAATCTCTGTCTTATTGGCAGGAAAGAAGAAGTGGTAAACATTAATGGCATTAAAATTGTCATAGCAGATGTCGTATCGCTTCTAGAGCGGGCACTTGGGAATAAAGTAAACCGTTTTGTGGTGTTCTCTTCTCGAGTCACTCACACCGATCAGATCACTGTTTGCTATACCCCTACGAAATGGCCCCATACCGCTGAAGAAATGGACGTGGTTGACGCAATTATTACTCAAGAATGCCTTTCTAATACCTTTGCGCGTCCTTTGGTGTTCTCCTTGAGAGAGTCATCACTGTCTCTTTTACCTATATCCTCGCTGGGAAAAATTTCGCCTGCAAAGATGAGTTCATTATTCGCATCTGGCGTCTTCGATCAAGATGTTAGCCTTCACAAAAATCAGATTAAGGAGTATAGGGAAGAGAAACAGCGGGGAGCATTGCACTCTGTTGCAACAGAAGCTGAGACCTTTATCATGGTTGACTTCGCAAAGACCCTCAACATTGACCATACTGCGATAGGTCCAGAAACGCAAGTCTTTGAGCTAGGTTTCACGTCCATGGACCTTATTCGCCTGAAACGCCGTCTCGATACTCGTTTGGGAATCACATTGCCCATAGTGACAATCATGAAAAACCCAACTGCCCGATTATTAGCCGCAGCTCTTGCTAGCCAGACCTCCAGTGATGGACCAGTTGAAACAAAAGACACAGAATACGATCCTGTGGTAATCCTGAAATCTGGTGGTTCAAAGGCACCACTTTGGCTTTTCCATCCCGGCGTGGGCGAAGTCCTTGTCTTCATTGGTTTAGCACAGCATCTTGCTGATGAGGATAGACCTATTTACGCCTTGCGTGCAAGGGGCTTCGAACGAGGACAGACACACTTTGCGTCCATTACGGAGACAGTCGACACCTACATCCATGCCATCCAAAAGCACCAGAAAAGGGGTCCGTACGCATTGGCAGGCTATAGCTACGGTGCAATGCTTGCCTTTGAAGCGGCCAAAAAGTTAAACTCTATGGAAATAGGCACCACGGGCAATTCCGTACGCTTTCTTGGCAGCTTCAATCTACCACCGCACATCAAATGGCGCATGCGTCAACTATGCTGGAACATGTGCCTGCTGCATCTGACACAGTTCCTCGGAATCACGACAGACGAATATGTGGAGGAAATGGAGCTGAACCCGCAATTTTCCCAAAAATCCAGGCATGATGCAGTAGAACAAATACTTCTTGCTGCGGACCGGGGGCGGATGGAAGAGCTGGGACTGGAAGACACGGCACTTGCCAGATGGGCTGACGTCGCTTTCAGCCTGCAGAGCATGGCAGTGGACTACGAACCCAGCGGACAGGCAGACAGCATTGATGTGTTCCATGCCATTCCCCTCAAACTTGCCGCTCCATCGAGAGAAGTGTGGATAAAGGAACATTTGAGCAAATGGAGAGACTTTTCTCGGACTGAGCCTAGATTCCATGCAGTTGGAGGTGCACACTACACCATGATTGGACCAGATAATGTGGTTGGATTTGCTTCAAAGCTTAAGGAGGCCCTGGCTGCACGCGGGGTCTGACCCTGGCATCAGCTAGAATACCGACTTGCTTGGTTGGTTATGTGGAAGTCATTTGGGAGAATGCATGGTCAATTCGTTTACATAATGGTTATAAGTTTCTAGCCTTGTTTCCCTGCTTGCACTCCGTACTCCAGACTGCAATATACTCCCTACTTGTTTACTCCGCACTGGGACACTGGGATGCAGCTACCTGCATGGCCTTGTACATTACCTTAGAACGGGTATAAATGTCTGGTTTAAATTGTTTGCAGGGGGCGGCTTATTTGGAGCAACCCAGCATGGCTGTACCATTATCCCGGGTACATATGCACAATGCATGCGTCCAGTTATGTTTAGTCATTATATTTTTGGCAGTATTGACAGGCATGTTTATGTCGCAGCTACGGAGTTACTGACGTTTAAGGTTAATTCGCCGGTAACACACAGACGTCCGCGACCACATTAGTGGCCAAGACAATTATACCGATGTGCTTCACACTGCTTTGCATCTTTTCCTGCGCTTTTCATGTACAATAACACGGGAGGCAGCGGCATGCCAACATGATGCCTGTATACTCTGGCTTCTCCGCTATCTAATCCCGAACAACTTCCCGCCTGGGCGATTGCTGGATAACTCCGGGCCTGGCTAGGCGTTCGCTAGTAGCTGTCGCTTGGAATACTACTGTTTCAGATACAGGCAAGATGGAAACGGTCTTGCAATGTGAGCGCATAACCCGCTCCGGTCTGCTGGACATGATTTGAGAAGGTTACCAATCTACATATATATAAACCTCCTTCGGAAGAGGAGTTACTGGCTCCCTTTCTGTTACTCCACAAAAAGCATTGACAAAGATACTTTACTCATTTCTCTCCCAAAGCAGCTACAATGGAGGCAGCTATTGACACTATCAAACAGTTGGCAACGGCTGCCAGCGAGGCAACTCGTCAGGAGGTGATAAAATCTTTGACCAAGCTTATTTTTGCTTTAGAAGGCCCCAGTGACACTATTCATAGATATGGGCATATGGTGAGCTCCCTTTATTAAGCTTCTAAAGTTTTACTGTAGCTGACATGTATTATAGCATCTACAAACTGCCATAATTAGGATCGGCTTTGATTTAGGCCTCTTCAAATTATTGGCTGATGCGAATGGGCCTCTGTCAGTGGACGAAGTTTCCCAGAAAACCGGCGCTGAGCCCCAGTTGATGAGTATGTTGAAAAAAAAAAAAAAAATTATTTCTGCAACTTTAGTTAACATGTAATTAACTGTTAATGACAATGCAGGCAGGATTTTTAGGTACCTTGCCGCCATTGACTTAGTGGACGAAGTTTCGGCTACTCAGTATGCCGCAAATAATGTAACCCGAAATCTTACTGACAAGTCTGTTGAGGCTGGCTTGTGCCACTAGTAAGTTATTTATAGCCTTTGCCTACTTTAGCTGTTCAGGCAGTTAATAACTCCTATAGCTTCTACACTGCCTCACCTCAGTATGAAGCACTCCCTGGCTTCTTGAAAAGAACCAAGTACCAAAACCCAGTTGACGAGCTACATACTGCCTTTCAAGATGCCTGGAAGACGGATCTTCATGCGTTTGCATGGTTCAGTGACCATCCTGCGCAGCTTACCTACTTCAATAACTACATGGCTCTTCGTCGTACGCCTGAAGTTTCGTGGCTTTCAGTGTATCCCGTTGCTCGTGAGATTGAGGGCTGGGATTCAAAGGACAACACCAGGGCTATCTACGTTAACATTGGAGGAGGTATAGGCCATCAGTGCAAACAATTCAAGGACAAGTATCCTGATTTGCCTGGAAGGGTGATATTGCAGGACCTACCACATTCAATCTCAAAAGCACTGCCAACACCTGGTGTAGAGAACATGGAACATGACTTTTTCCAGCCACAACCAATTAAAGGTAGTGATGGCTTTTCTTTCCTCTTTCCTCTTATTCCAGCCTGATAAATGCTAATCAGTCCTTTCTGGGACTTTAAACTGTAGATGCCAAATTTTACTTCCTCCGTGGAGTCCTCCACGATCATCCGCCCCATCAGGTGCGAAAGATCCTCGAACAAACAAAAGCAGCCATGGGACCTGAATCTGTTATGTTGATTGATGAGATGATCCTGCCAACGACTGGAGTAAACAACATGGCTGCATCTGTTGACATGACTATGCTCACTGCATTAGCAGGCATGGAGCGCACCGAGGCCCAGTGGCGCAATACTCTCGAAGAGGTAGGGTTGGAGGTTGTGGGCACTTTCCCATACTCTGCAAAAAATTATGAGGGAGTGATACAGGCAAGGCTGCCAAGATAGGCCCAACTCTGGCTGTCGAGGATGCCGCTTCCGGCTGTTATTGACCTCATGGTAACTAGTTAGTTGTTGAACAATCCAGATTAACATAGACATTGAAACGATCCATACCTCATACCACTAGTTAGGATTCAAATTATTAATCAAAGCGTTCATCGGATGCCACTCCTTGAACCCCTGATCAATACTTTGTATATACCTGGTGGGTATTAAACTTCGGGCAGTGACAACTTGGCTCGTGCAATTTTAACTTTTAGATTCGGCGAACAAACGTTTCCACTTCCGGCGGAGACGCTAGGCCAGGCTAGGACTAGTGGCCTGTCATTGCTTATGCTTAATTTGACTCGCAATCTTTATAAATATCTAGATAGGTACTTTCTCTGTTCTGCTTAAAACCATTCCTTTTATCTACGTAACAGTTGTGTTATTCCTGAGTAGCGATATATTTTCTGCCAGTTCAATGAATCCATTAGCCTCATTAAAGACGAACATCGGCTGGCCTGCCGTTATTGGAGCTGCGGTTGCTTATTATGGAACGCTAGTCTTCTACCGTTTATTCCTTCACCCTTTATCTCGTTTTCCTGGTCCCAAACTAGCGGCTATCTCACGCTGGTATGAAGCATACTACGATGTCGTACTTGGGGGTCAGTATACTGTCAAGATCGCTGAATTACACAAGAAATATGGTAGGTATGCCCCTCAGTTCCAATACCCCAAACTGCTAGCTATAACACTTAGTCAATAGGTCCTATTATCCGTATTAGTCCCCATGAACTACATGTCATTGATCCATCGTTTTTTGAAAAACTTTATCGCTCAGATGGACGTTGGGATAAGTATTCATGGACATACGATGCCTTTGGGGCTAAAATGTCAACCATCTTCGGTTCAGGTATTTTCCTTGTCTCCTTAGCATCAATAACATAGCTACATCTAATTATTTCCATAGATCATTACGCTCATAAGGCCCGCCGCCGTGCCCTTGCCCCTTTTTTCTCGAAAGCGAATATTATTGCGCGACAAGATTTGCTTCAGAAAAACATTAAGAAGCTTTCCCAACGAATTACATCATTCGAAGGAACCACTTTCAATCTAGGAGCTGCCATTAGTGCTTTTGCACGAGACAATGCCAATGAACTAATTGTCGGTAAAGATTACAATGAGCTTAGCCTGGAAGATTTTGGACTTGGATTGTCACTTGCATCGCAAGGTGCCGGTGTTTTTTGGCGTACGACCAAACATCTACGCTGGTTCGGACCCTCAATGAGAGCGATGCCTATTGAATGGGCTAAGAAGATGGCTGATGAGCACACACAATCATTTCTTCGTTACCTTCAGGTTAGTCAAGGGGGTACTATCATTCAATATAATTGAGACGGCCAATATATGTCATACTGATCTACAAAGCAATCTGAGCAAGACACTCGAGATACATTGGCTGCTGCTATATCTCCCTCCCCTGATGATAAAATCAAAAGCACTTTGATATATTCAATCGCTCATTCTGATCTTCCGCCCGCTGAAAAAACGTTCGATCGAATCTTTGAGGAAGTAGCTACTGTTACCGGTGCAGGGTTCGAAACAATTTCAAACACTCTGCGACTTATTCTCTATCACGTTTATAGCAGCGATGAAATTCTACAAAGGCTCAAAGAAGAAATCAATGCAGCGTCGACTACAGTCACAGGGCCTCTTACGTTAAAAGAATTGGAGCAGCTTCCCTACCTCACTGCTGTTTTAATGGAAGGCTTGCGTCTAAGCCCTGGAGTTGGATCCAGAGCGGCACGTATTACGGATCAAGACCTCTTTTATGAACACTGGCGTATACCCACTGGAACCCCTGTTGGAATGACAACAATACTAATGCACACTGACGAAAATCTGTACCCTGATCCCATGTGCTTCAATCCCGATAGGTGGATAGATAACACGGCAAAACGATCCACTACGACATTTGCTCCTTTTTCTCGGGGAACCAGAATATGTCTTGGCATGTAGTAAGTTCAGTCCTCACAATATATTGTTATGGATTGACAATGGCTTGCTAATACACTGAGCCATCTCAGCCTTGCATGGGCGGAGATGTATTTACTCCTCGCTTCTTTGGTTCAAGGATTTGATTTCAAGATCAAGGATGCCATGGCCAGTGATTTTGCATTTGAAAAGGACAATTTTGGCATTGGCACCAAGGCTGCATGTAATCTCATAGCCTATGTTATGATTCGCGAAGACTGATGTGCGCCATGACCCTGGTTCAGCTAATTCCTACAGTATATATATCCGATTACTTTACTCTTCTCTATAATACCCCAGCATGCTAGATATGTCTGCCGTACAAGACAACCCAGGCCGTGGACCTCTAATTATGAATCAAACTTGGGCATTTGCCGTGTTAGCTACTATAACTGTTGGTCTTCAATTTTATATTTGTATTGAACTTAATAACCGTCCTTCGTTTGATGACTGGCTAATTGCTGTTGCCCTTGTGAGTTACAACTGATTATTTTGCGATATTACTCATATGACATGGCAAAATTACCGTACCAATGAACATCGTGTCCAAGAGCATAAGAAAAAATGCAAGGGCTACGCTGCTAACAGTCAAAATAATTTTTAAATCCGTAACGTACTCGACAGAAGTTTCTGGACTTGTATCAATCGTCTCTGGCTTCTGAGCATCAAGATCTGGTGACATTTTTTTTTTTTTTTTTTTTTTTCCTTAGATGATTAGTTAGTCGCTGTCAAAGGAGCATGGGGGAAGGGAAATGAGTTTGAGTAACTAGTTATCAATGAGCTCGTTTCTCGCTATTCATGCTGGGGAACTGTCACCTTCTAGTTGAAGAGACGGGAGCTCAACTAGAAGAACGTGGAACAAGAGTCAAGACCCCACACTTGGCTTCCGGATAGACCTAACCTTAAATTAGTGGAAACCTCGCTAGTTAACGATAACTAGTTAGTTGGTTAACTTAACTTTGTTTAAGTACATGGGCGGGGCCTTGGCAGAGAACCGAGTATAAATGCATGCATATCACAACCAGTCCCTGCCGGCCTTGCATATCCAACAAATAATTCCCTGTTTACAACATCACGTCATTAATATGCATGTGAGTCTTTTTGTTATGGTCACTTCAGCTGATCGAGTAGTCCAGATTGAAAGTATCTTGCCAGGGGTATCGATAAGTATTAAAGACGAACCTGGGCATGTAGGATTCGAATTGACTGAATTTCAGACCAACCTGATTAGCAGCAGCTAAGGAAATATACTTACACCCAACAACGCCGTTTTTGTCTGTGGCGCCACCGGTAGCCAAGGAGGAGCCCTGGCGTTAAAGCTCCGAAAGGACCTAAATTGGTCCGTTCATTCGACCGCCCGAAATCTTGCCTCGCCCGCGGCAATATCTCTTCTCGAAGCCGGCGTGAAACTTACCCAAGGAGACTGGGATAATGAGGCAGCACTAATTGCTGCGCTTCATGGATGCAATAAAATGTTTCTCTGCTTATTACCGGATTTCAAAGACTCAGACAGGGAACGACGTCAGGCAGAAGTCATTGTCAAAGTCGCCAAGGCTGCAGGAGTCAAGCAAGTGATCGTGTCGACTTCTCTAGGTGTCTTCACGCTGGATGACCCTCAACTTGAAACTGAGGTCCGAGAACACCTTACGCCGGACTCTTTTATGGCACGACATATCGCTAGCAAAAAAGGGGTTGAGGATGCAGTTCGAGACGGGTGTTTCGATTATTGGACCATCCTTCGGCCCTCCTTCTTTATGGCTAATTTCTTAGAGCCCAAGGTTGTAAGGTATCCTGAGCCGAGAGAACATGGTACTTGGACTACAGCAATGACACCAGAGTCTCGATTGGCTTTAATTGACCACGTTGACATTGCAGCGTTTGCGGTTGAAGCCTTCCGTGATCCTCAGAAATTCCATGGACGTGCATTCGGGCTAGCAAGCGATATATTGACAGTCCAAAATACACTGGACATACTGGGAAAAGCAGCAGAGAAGCCACTCAAAGCAATATTCATGACAGATGAAGAGATCCGAGAGAAGCAAAAGACATCGAATGTATTCACCAATTCTCAAATCTCAATGAGATATATGACTAAATACATCAACATGGACGAGATTACGGGGGTCATTCAACCGACGACTTTCAAGGAGTTTTTGGACAGAGAAGATAAGGCCGTACGCGAGACCTACAACAGTAGGAACAGTATATAAAAAGGACCAATTTGTGGAGCAACAATCACAGTTATATATGTCAACAACCGTTTTCATCTGGAGCAATATTCAGTCCTGAAAATTCTCCTATTGCCGCCTAGTAACGCGTAGTTTCTCTCCCTGTGGAGGAAACATGAAGTTAAGCAGTGAGGCTCTCTTTCCAGGGCTTTTTGTAACTTCCGCTTCATATTTAAGAAGCGCACGGGCAGTCGCCCGTTTCACCACGTAGGCCACAAACCATCTCCCCGGGCACACGCGTCACCCATATCCGAACGGAAGGAACGACGTACTCTCAGTAGTTATAAACTCCTTTTAGTTTTGGTTGGCTGTTCGTTGGATGATTTTTCATGCTTTCGCGAAAACCTCAAAGGATCAAAGCGTTCAGGATTTTGATAGATATCCCGATCATGGTGAACCATCTGGGCGGAAAAAAACGGTTCGAAGTCCGGACTCAGCGGAAATTTGGATTCCCTCTCCGATATTAATTGGTTGACCCGAGATAATATCCAGAGTGACTAGATGTACCATCACGTCATTGAGGCGCATGGACTCACGCACAGCAGGCTCGAGACAGTATAGTTTGTCAATTGCCTCCTTGCTTGACATTCCTCGGTATTGGGCAGAGACGTTTTGACATTTGGCAATCAAGGTGCCGACGATCTCATCGCTAGAAGGACTGAAGTGGATATCAAGTACAACACGGATAAAACCCAACCGATGGCAAAGACGAACATGGAAATGAGGGCGAGGATGTGACCAGCTACTCTTTTCGCGGTCAGCTGCTCCGATCCATAATTCTCAGATATTTCAATGAGCCACTGGATTACGTCGCCTAGAAGAAATCGATATGATTAGAATCAGAAGTTGTAATCTGGAAGTCAAAAAATACTGCTTGAACATTCAAACATACCTGGCCATCTCTCTGACTTTCTTTCACATGACGGTACTGAAAGTCGGTCTTCCACAGTGGTATCAAAATCTTCAATAGCTTTCGCTCATAATATTTGGCACGCACGGAGATTAATGGGCCTGCCATTGGCCGCATCCCAGGAGGGAGACAATTAATAAGACAAGCGTCCACCAAGACGGCATTGGCATACAACCTCGACTGCTCCAAATAGTCTTCATCTTGACATACAGGTAGTCCAACCATGATGCGGAGTGATGCCCGGACAATGATTAATACCATGGAATCCCACTCTTTGATAACCCTGCCCTCTTAGAATCTCACCAGTATATTTGAAATGCCCCTTGCCATTCTTCGAATAGTATCTTAGTAAGGGAACTCATATCCTTCCCTCTTAGGTGGCAATGAACGATATCAAAGTGAAAGGTGTTTCCCCAGACATCCTTGTCAGACATTAGATATTGAAATTAGGCATTCTCGAGCAATGTATTGAAACTGGATAACTCGTTTCTAGGTTTGTTGAGAAGCCCAGCTTAGAGGGAGGAAGTACTAAGCCAGCCACTCCGATCCACATGGTAGGAAGGGCAAATGTTTTGTTAGCCTTTGAAAACTTTCCGTCCCTTCACGCATTGTCTCTTACATCGATATCACTGAATTTGCGAGAGAAAAGGCCCAAGAAAGAACCTCATCTCCAGAAGAAATACCGACAACATTAAGCTGAGCTCATACATTGCTCGGTTGATTGGAGCTCTTGGCCATAAACAGGGACCAAGGGAGCAGTAGGATTGCTATTGCAACTGGACCAACCAAGAATTGATTCACCGAGGCTATAGTGAGTTTTTAAGGGAGAGAATGTGTAAAGATTTAGATTGGTATAAGAGGTAGCATGGGCTGGGTATATAGCTCCAATCTGGCTCTTGAAATAACGTACAACAATGGCAAATGTCGGGATTATAATTGCCTTAACGAGTTAACCAGGTATGCATAAGTAGCCAGTGACGAGATAACTAGTCAGGCTGTATGTGCTGGGGTTTGCATCCATCACAGTATGCATGCCAGCATCTGTAGGATTACTTTGATCTAGAAATGGAAAAGTATTCCATCGGTTGTTCTCACCCGGTGTAGGCCGAATGCGAAGTATTAGTACCTATTTACCTTTAGCCGTTGACCCAACCCGAAAGTCTAAAAAATGGGCCTTCACCAAAGTGTTGGAAAAAAGTTTTGGATTACATAACCAGGTTAGATCACGTGAATAGAAGGGCGATCGTATCATGTGACCTTGCTTACCTAAGGCCGTCGAGCTGTTCAACTTTCTCCGGAACGTGTGGCTTCGAATCGGCCCATGCAAATACACCGTCGCGAAGTGTCCCATCCGCCATATCACCTTAATCAATAACGGGGGGGTTGGATGGGCTCAAAACCACCATGGCATTCTATGATCTGAATATTCCGTATAACGAACCCAACGAACCGGGAATTGCTAATACCTTGCGACTCTTATCTGAATGTGAGTTCTCCAATGGATCAGATACACAGCTTCAGGAGAATATCAAGCTCATATGTCTTTTTTTTAGTGGGATACTCTACCGTAGCCCTTTCGCAATCGATAGCAGGAAAACTGCCTGCGACCGTGTCCCCGTTGCCTCTACCAAGCAATGTCCCCGCGTCTCTCACTGTACTGACTCGATTAAATATCACGCTCTCGGATGCCACACAGAATCAGCGTCTAGCAACGTTAGCACAATCGTTCTCACTTGTTGCTATACGCCCTGTGAATGAGAAGGCGCTGTCGCAGGCTTGTAATAGCCTTGACTGTGATATCATATCTCTTGACCTGTCTACACGACTGCCGTACCATTTTAAATTCAAAACCCTCTCCGCAGCAGTATCACGAGGCGTACGACTTGAAATATGTTATGGACCCGGAGTAACGGGTAGCGGGATGGAAGCGAGAAGAAACCTAATATCAAATGCAGCATCGTTGATCCGTACTGCGCGGGGCAGAGGGATCATTATCTCCAGTGAAGCGAAGCAAGCTCTTGGTGTCCGGGCGCCATGGGATATTGTGAATCTTGCGTGTGTCTGGGGGTTGAAATCCGAGAGGGCGAAGGAGGCGGTAAGTGAGGAGGCTAGGAAAGTGGTGGATATGGCTCGGGTAAAGAGAACGAGCTTTCGCGGAACAGTGGATGTGATATACGGAGGGGAGGAGGAGGACGCTGGTGCAAAGAAGGTTGACCTGGTCAATAAACCAGGAAGGCAGCCAGCCACCGTCTCTCTGAGCGCGTCTGAGGGGGGCGGCATGAAACGAAAAGCGTCCTTGGGTGGTCCTGAAGGCCCGAGTAAGCCTTCTGGCGAACCGCAACTGTCCAAACGAGAGATGAAGAGACGGGCGAAAAAGGCCAGGCTAGCGAGCGCCAACTCTTCAGACGCGTCCCCGGCAGCTTCATAATGGGCTTCATCCATTCGATTCAACCATAACTACTCCGTATCTCACGATAGTCTGGGCTGCCCATCCCATATCTAGCATAGATTAGCCAGCCTGTGCAAGTGCATCTGCCTCTTCTCTCAGCCAATAACAAGCTCTTCCACGCGTGTGGCCTGTATGATTCGCCATCACCGTAGCACAGTCACAGCATCGGCTCCCCTCCAAGGCTACTCTAGGCCACATATATCATCTCGCCATCCTCCCGCCTCATCCCTCTAACGCAACCCTCTCTTTCTTCGCTTTCATCCCATCTTCTCTCGATATACTTAACCTATACACGTGACCGCCTCATGTGACCTACTAATCCTCTATTTTGATTGGCTGTTATGTGCGAAGCTCGGACCCACTCAGCTGACCGAAAAGAGTAAAGAGGTCCGTGCGCAGCCTTGCAAAAACTTCGCCTTTTCCTCCTTTTTCTCTCTTTCGCACCTCAAATCTCAACATCAACTTCACGACATCGCGTCTTCACCTCTTCAACTCCCCAGTTTCTCGCCATCCGCCCTTCTTTCAACCCCCTACTTATACTCGTTGTTTCGCGCTTCCAGTGGCAGACGGTGGCGTCACCTTGTGATTCATCTCGGACTTCTTCTCATCTCCCATCTCGACAAATCACGCTTTTCACTGTTCTGTTTCCAGGGTATCTTGGAATGCGTGTGAACAAACCAGCAGAAACATAACTTTCCCCCCAGTTAAGGACCATTTTATAATTGTCCGCCTGTCTCATTTCATCTTCTCTACGTGTTTTTCTTTTCTTTTTTTTTTTCTTTCAGCCCTGTTGAATGTGTCGATTCGTCGTCACGGACTCGCTGCCCTGAGGAAAACGTACTGGAATTGCCCAGTTGAAAAAAAGACCCTTGAGAGGACAAGAGAAAAAATAATATATCTCGCTGCCTAAGCTAGCTCTTTGCCCTGCGGCTACATAGTTAGCCATGGCAGTGTCTTTGAGCTCGCCTGGGAGCTCAAGTTCTTCCTCTTTCGACCCATATTCTGAAAATGTCACAGATTCAAATTCACAGAATAAATCCCAAGCCGGAACACCCGGACAAGATGACAGTGATGTTGCTGCTTCCAGTTCCACTGTCGTTGCTTCAAGTGCTCATTCCAGCCAGTTTGTTTCACGCGGCCACCGTCTGGAAACCCCCAAGAATGTATCCACTGCTGCTGAGATAACTCCCTCTGCCACCAACAGTACCCAGTCTCGCCGGAAACGCAAACGCGGTGCAGCTGGTGACCATCCAGCAGGGACCCAGGTTTCAGATGCTCAATACTCATCAGAGTATGATAGCCGTCATTTTGGTGTTAAATCCCAGTCAGACTCGCCATCGAGTTTCGTGGATGGCACAAAGCGTGTCAAGTTCAAAGATGATGTGAAGCCGGACTTTTCCGTCGATCCGTCTATGGATACCATACCCGAGGATAAGTCCAGATTACCAAGGGAAATATGGCAGCACATTTTTACTTTTCTCCCGCCTGTTTCACTTGGACGTGTCTTGCAAGTTAACCGCACTTTTAAAGCTTTGCTTACCACTGGTCAGCCCGAGTTGCCCTCTGGCCGTGCAACTCTAGGCTCACTGAAATATGTTAATCCGATTCACATTTGGTCCATATCACGAAAATCTTTCCATTCAAGCATGCCACGTCCGTTAAGCCCTTTGTCAGAAATGGATATGTGGAAACTCATCCGCGGATCTTCTTGTCAGTTTTGCAACAAAGCCGGGTCTGTTCAATCGCCAGAAACTCCGCCCTTTGAAAGTGGACCGGGGGAGAACGGAGTCAGAATCATTTGGCCTTTAGCCGTTCGTTCCTGTGGAGACTGCCTAAAGGCAAATTGTGATACCGTAAGTCATACTCGATTACTACTCTCCCTTGTTTACTGTGTGTCGTTTCTTATGCGAATTGAAAAGCTGATTACCTTTATCAGGAAATGGATCTTCTCTTCTCCTCTACTCTGCCTTCAGTTTTGGTTCCTGCTCTCCCCTTTGCATTCTTAACAGCATCGCTGCATTATGTTTCATCTGTTTCTCTTCGTGGAAGTCAACCTCCAGTCGGAATGGTCCTTACCAAGCATTTTCTAAAATCCCAAGTTGAGGAATTAAAATCCAGATTTGAGGAAGTCAAAGCCTTAGGGCCTGCAGCCGCAGAGGAATGGATGAAAGGCCTTGATGGAAATGGCAAAGAAAAGATCGCTGACGCAGCGCGATGGGAGCAATGGGAATTGGCGGGCGGCCTTCGCAGTCTCAAGTCATCTCACCAAGCTCCATCTAATGGTACTAAGACACAGTCTGCAAAGCCTGAAACAGCTGACGCAGCCTCCGCACGTCTCCCTATCGCAAACCATCGTCCAAGTAATAGCCTCGGCGGCAACGCACCATCCACCAGTTTAGGTATGTTATACCCTCCATACATTGTCTCATTCCCTTGTTCCGGCTCTCGAGTTTCGGTCTTCTAATGACTTCCTTTGGTGTTATCAATTTGTGCTGTCCCCATTTACCCAGCTATGCTAAGGTAGTATAACTGTATTTACATCATTTTTACTGATAGCATGCCCTTTAGATACTGCTATTACCTCACGGCCTCGCAGCACCGGTGCTCAGCCCGGCTTCCCACTTCCACCAAACTCCCAACTTTCTCGGGAACGCAACCTGCGTCAGATCAACGAGGCAAAAGCCAGTCGTCGAAGTGAAATCGAAAGGCGATGCGCAGAACTTGACCCGCCTCTTGCTCCCGAGGTTATCAACCATATGGAATCGTTCACAGCTGCGATCCAGATCACACATCCATTTACTGATAGAGATTGGGAAATCTTGAAGCCTCGGCTTTTAGCTCAGCGCGAAGTTGCTGAACGTCGTGAAAATGAGCGCAAGCTTCATGACGCACTTCTCCAAGCAAAATCTGATGAACGACGTCACCAAGAGGCCCAACTTAAAGAAGCCAAGGAGCTACTTGACCGTGAATGGGAGGATGTCCAAAAACCAATCAAAGAACGGATGGCCGGCTATGCCGATGAGATCATCCGTGAAGGTTGGCGTGGGGGTGAAGGGGTCACAAAGGAGAAGTGCCCCAAGTTCGCAGCCGACGTCATTATGTATGTTCGGAAGAGGTTCTTGGAAGATTTAGCCCAAGAAGATGCGCGTGCTCGTGCTGAAGGGAAGCCAATTGAAGAAGATCCTCCAAACGGCCCTCCTCGGCGCAAAATCATCTTAGAGAACATGAAGTTCATATTTGACACAAAAATCAAACTACTCACTGAACAGTTCCAAAAGGAGCTGTTCTTGTGTAATGGTTGTGATAATAATGCCAAATATTACGGCTTCGAAGGTGTGATTCAGCATTACGCTGCTAAACACACCAACGTTCTCAGTTTAGGCAGTGTTGTTGTTCATTGGCGAGCAGAATGGCCTGAGCGCCCTCCTTTCAACCCTGACCCTGCCTCTGCAAAGCTGCTCATGTATCCTATGCCGCGTCCGCATGGCGGGCAGCCACATATGGGATACACTAATCCTCAGCCATCCCCCGGTCCATATAATAGAACACCATACGGTACACCCTATGCGTATGGGACTGGCCCTTATAGACCACCTTCCCCCCAATACTACCCTCCCCCTCCTCCTGGTTATGGATTCTCTCCTCAACAGCCCTACCCTCCAGGCCCCTACGAACATCAACATCCACCACCAAACCCACCATACGGGTCACCTTTCCCTGGCCAGGCTTATCCACCACCATATGCTCCGGCTGATCCAGGGAGACACCCAGGACCACCATATCAGGCCCCTTACAGTGGGCCAAGCCATCCACCTGGGCCTTACAACCCCGCTTACCCACCTGCTCCACATCATTCAAGGCCACCGGCTGGTGCTCACAAGCCTAATCAAGGCAGTCAGTCGTTTGGCCTGTACCAAACACATCTAGATGAAATCGCTAAGAATGCTCGAAGTGTTTGGAATGGCACCTCCGGCATCAAGGATCTTCCCCACAATGTGCGAGCCCACGTTGTAATCCATCATGTTACCACTCGGTTTGTTGATAAGTTTGGACAAGAACCGGCACTCACCCTTTTCTCTGATGGGTTGAATTCTCATCCTCAAATGAAACCAATCAGAAATCTTAGCGGCTTGGTTTGTAAGGCATGTACTGATATGGCGAGCTCGCGCCGTTCTCGTCAACATGATTCCCGCAATGACCGAAAAATGTATCATCTTCCGGCTCTCTTCAGCCATTTTCAGTCTGTTCACGTTGATGCAGCAGCACCTGATGGCACTCAGCCCGATTGGAAGGTACATATGCTATTATTGCCCGACAATGCAGTCATATCATCGTTGGGTCAAGCTCCTGGCATGGACCAAGCAAAGTTCCATTTGATTACTTCCGCCTTTCCCTGGGTATTCTCGCCAATCACTGCCCCCATTGCCCCTGCTCCAGTGAAAGCCGTGATAAAACCAAACATCCATGGAGTTTACGAGGCAAAAACTAGTGAACATACAAAATACCCTGCTGCAAGTCATGGTGGTAAGAAGTCAGCCAACCACCAAGTCCTCGAAGTTGCCGTAGATGACTTCCCAAGGTTCGTTGAATCTCCAGATGATCCAAAACACTTTGAGCCGCCTCGGGATGATGAGTATGACCCTCACCGACCAGCATTTATCGAAACCGCAACGGACCCCTACGCTCGTGGTGCCCGTGGAAACGCTGGACCTCGTGAAAAGATTCAAGCGAAACATCGTCAAATTGAAACTGTTCCCGGAGAGGAAGCTGAAATGCAGGCTGACAGTAGGCGTCCTCGTCAACAGCAGCAGAAGCACTCATCTCGGGGAAAAGAACGAGCTGCAAAATCTGGTGGTGCTGATATTGTGCCTCCAGCAGCAGGGAGTGGACATTCGCAACCCGGTACAAATCGCCCTAAAAGCCGAAATGTATCAGAAGACGGTGAGGTTGCTGAATCCAACGAAGCTAGGGCTGAGGGGGGACCCTCTCCCACTGAAGAGATGAATGCAGCGGAGCACTTCTTGAATAACTTTGTTCCTGGCCAGGATCAAGGCGACTTCGGAACAACTTCTCGAGGATCCAATCCGCAAACACACGGTGAATCTAGAAGTAAATGGCCCAAAACGGCTGCTGCAGAAGAGCGAGAATGGCGTACCTCCACTAATTCTCATGCCGGTGCCGAAGCCGGTCATACAGCCCAACCAGGCCGTGGTGGGAAACATAATGGCTGGGCTGGACGTGGAAAGAGCCCTACTGTCGGACGTGAATACCGTGAATTTGACCCAAGAGGCGAGGCATTCGACATGCATAGTGGCCCCCCTTCAGTTCGTGGGGATGTGCTGACACCTGATCAGACTGAAGCCCGCGGTCGAAGCCGTGTAGCTACTGCTGATGTGAAAGCTGGACCGGAAGCCCGGGGCGGGCGACCTCACAATAGGTTCGAGCGGTATGAAGCCCAGAGGCAAGAATCTCTTCGACCACGTTCAAGATCGCCTCTGCCACAGGAACGGACTGCGGTAGAGTACTACCGTAACCGTAGCCCTCGAGCGAGACAAAGAGCTGCTGCTCTTGCCCCGTCTCATCCACAGGAAGCCTATGTCGAGCGTATCCCCATTGACCATCCTTCCTACGCCAGAGCACCGCCACAGGGCCAGTACCGCTACGTTGAAGAGTATATCGAACCTCCTTACGAAGGTGCGGTGGAGTACGTCCCCGTGCGTGTCGCGGCTCGAGAGCCACAGAACGGAGGTCAGTACTACATCGAACGTCCGGTCCACCGCGGTGTTCCTCAAGAATACGTCGACTATGATATGGAATATTCTCGACATCCTGTTATCGAACAACCTCAACATTATTATCATGGACCAAGCGCACGAGATATTCCTGAGGGTCCTCCAGTCGGTTCACGCCGTGCCAGGTATAGGTAACAAGACCTCTACTTGTTGCGTCTCTTTTACCTGGCCCGTCTTCATTGAGCCTTTTTATTTTTGATACTTTATGTTTCATTCTATCACTCAGTGTATTAAAGAACGGGACTTGTATCTGTTCTTTTCTTCTTTCTCGAGTGATCGCTTCTCTAGTTCTTTGTCACGGTATAGCATTGCAGAATCGATTCTGCTGCGAATGCCTTGTTGTGCGATGTTTTCTTTTTCTCCCTGTTGCTTTTCTTTTCACGCTTTATTACGAGCAACGTATCCTGATTTCCAACCACTCAATCAGTTTACCTCTTTGCTTAGTATTTTGGATTTTCTTGTACCAATAATCTTGACGTTATTCCCCTTCACCTCCCCTACACTTTGCGAGACTGCTACCGCTAAACAAAAGTATCTTGTTTCGAGAGCACCATGCCCTGATCGAGAATGCTGGAGATGAGCGCCCCGCTCATTTCTACATTTGTCATCCTCTTTGTCAATTGGCGTGGACATATTACCTACGTGCTGGGTCATATGTATGATACCTGGTTCAAGTGGTGCAGATATCTAACAGAATGAAATCTGTCCACATTGGCCTACTTGGTCTGAGCCTGGTAGTTCCATTCAAGCGCTCTTCCTATCAGCTCATCAAACTTTGTTTTTCCTTTGCCCTTTTTTCAGTGATGTTATTTCGGCTGCGGTGAAATGCTGTTTGTCGTATTATGTTGTTATGTCTCTTTCACTGGCTAAGGTGGTTCTTTATCTGTCACTTACCCCCAGAAATAATATGTATATTTACCTTAAACTCGGTTTCCTGGATCCCTATGTTGCCTGACTTGGTAGGCAATATGTCTAGAGATAGCTGGAGCCTGGAGCTCCTGCAGCGTCAGTGATAAACAGAGCCCTTACACAGGCAGTGGAAAGCAGGCAATGTCTGCCTGCTTGGCCTGTCTTGCTATGATTCAATGCACAAGGCACCATGTCTGCGTAAATAATAATATATTTTATGTATGTTTCTCTGTTGCTGGTCCACTTCTGCCGGCCATTTGCAGTCAGAATTGTATACCATCCCATTGAGCGCCACTTCAAATAAACAGGAGGATGCATCGTATCAATTTGATCCGAGGGCGCAGAGGCATCTGCTACAAGTGGGGTATATTTGTTACTTAGGGAGCTATCAGAAATATTAAATATTTCTATATGACTACCCAAGGTAAAATATAAGAGCATACTTGTAATACCTTTGTTGTTCTAATTCCTGACATGTTCCTTTCCCTATATTGTTATCTCGCTGAATAACGGTATATAGCGGTAACTGATCCCAATAGAGCATGGTTCGTTATGTAGACCTCGACGAATAAATGTTATGATATCCGAATGGCTGCATATCTGCGGTGAACTTCTTTATACTTGCGGATAGAATAAAAAGCGGACAAATAATAAATAATAACTTGATCCTTGGGCTTGGAACATGTCTATATTACCATCACTATACTCTGTACATTACTTTAATATGAGCCAACAAACCTCGATAATCGCTAGTCGGATTTCTGATGTCTTATCGCCCCTAGAACCCTTCTAGCCCAATTAAACAGAACCACGCACCGCCCAAGAAGGTGGCCGAATGCCAATGGCACGCCAAAGTTATACCATGTAAGAGGCTGTAGCAGCTCCACCCTCGGCACTGGCATCATAGCATGGCACTCATCTAGTGAAGGTAGATTCCCAAGAGGATTCCCAGTAAATTGTCCAATAGCTTCAAGGATAAGCCTGGCGGTATCTTTAGGATGGCTTAAAAACGGTGAATGGCTGGCCCGGAGTTCCCTACACGTCACACTCGCACCCATATTCCTAGCCATACCAGCCTGCATTCGCTGTATGAAAAGGGGCAAGCCCCTATCCTCCGCTGTGCCAATATACCAGCACGGTACATCCAACCAACCAGAGTAGGAGTGTTCAGCGCCTTCAAACAATGCTTTAAGGCTCTGCGATTGAAGCTGAGAACACCAGTATTCTGCCTCGTCTGCTGGTACATCGTGATAGAATGCTTCACGCGGCGAGGCGACAAGTTCGGCGAACCCCGTTTCCTTGTTGACGCGCCATAGCGGCGGTGGGCGTCCAAGGAAGGGGTCCATAAACGCGAGGCCGGTGAAAGTGAAGCCGGAAGCAATCAGAATGAGGCCGATGATGTACCCTGGCCCCGAAGGCTGTTGATCCTGATCTATTGGGCTATCTTGTGGTCGAGTGAACCCCTTGATGGCACTGTTTCCTACCATACCGCCGTAGGAGTGTGCAAGGACCACAACATTACGGCCCTGGGTAGTCTCGCCTGATATAGCCATTCGTGCAGCATCAAGGTCATCTTTGAACGTGGCTTCAGGGCTCCCTTGGGTCGATGGAAGAGTTACTAGGACACATTTGAAATTTTTTTCTGAGAGAATGCTGGTAATCTTTTCAAAACATGTGGGTTTGTGCCAGGCACCAGGTATAAAAACGAGCGTTGGCAGGTTAGACATCCCAATTATGTGGATATCGACGCCAGAGATTCAGATTTATATATCCTTTGTCATTATATATAATTGGCAGAGATATCCGTTCGATCAACATGCATGTCGTTTGGATCCATAAACTTTGTGACGTTTTAAAATAAGGAGAGCAGGCTGAGTAAGCAGTGCTCTAAAAATAGTGATGACATAATCATATAGGGCTGTTCACGTGAGCGGCCCGACCACCAGGTACAAGGGTGATGACATCGAAGTCAAAGAGTAAATCAAACAGGGAAATCATCATCAAAAAGGAATCCAACTTTCTATTAAATAAAAATATATACTGTCTAAACAACCAAAAAGAGGAGGCGCCATCAAGTCGTGAATTAAAAAGGAGGTCAGAAAAAACGATGATAACCCGTCCCAAACCCTGTGAAGAAGACTGGAGAAAGACAAGGAAAAAAAAGGCGCAGAAGCCGGATCAAAGGCAAAGGGGAATCGAGCCAAGGAAAAGCAACGTAGGCAGGGTAGCAATAACAGAGCGGGGGTTGAAAATGCAGTAGACAATATTATCCAACTCGCTGAACGGGGAAAAGGGTCGCACAAAGATGACTGGGACCAAGGCAGGAAAAGGCTGATATGGGACGCCCCTCTATGTCGCAGAACACTAAGAAAGAAGTTAAGAACTGGGGACTGACCCGGTGGACTGTGGAGGCTGTACTGGGCTCATCTCCAAGCAGGGATATGTGTGAGTGTGGATGTATGTATAAGCCGCAAAAAAGCATGTCACGCGATAGAAGCGACGAGGCAAGCGCGGAAGAGGGATAAAGATGCTGGTCCAGTGAAGACAACTGGTCGAGGGTACGGGGGAAAAAAGAACGAAAGGAAAAAGAAAGAAAAGGGAGCAAGGCAGTCCGTCCAGTGATAGAGTACAAAAAAAAAAAAAATAAATAATCCGAGTTCCGAAAGTTAAATGAAGGGAACCAAGGGTGAACTCCGCTCAAGCCAAAAATGAAACAAAACATTTTCTGACGCAAGGGAACGAGGGAAATGAGACAGTGTTCAGATGTGGAGGCGCAGTAGTTAGACAGCCCAGCTGCCTCTTCGCTCGGGAACGCCCCAAGAGTCGACTCCTCTGTCAGCCCCGGAGCGAGGCTGTTGCCTCGCCCATTCATGGATATACAGCTTCAACGCATTCCATCGCACGCACCCAGGCGTGGTAGTAGTAGCAGTGGTGGTGGTTGTGGTATTGCAAGTACCGGTTCGACAATCCGGTAGGTCGATGTAGCCCTTCGCGTTGGCGTGTTGGTCATCGCTCTGCAGCGTTTCGATAGGGATATTTGTGATTTTACTTAGCTCCGCATCAAAATCGCGCGCTAAGCATGGGTACCCCAGTGATAGATAGTTGTATATTTGGGTAACGAAACTATCGTTGAACTCGGCTTCAATTTCACGCTCAAGGTCGGGATCGCATGTTTGAATGAGAATAGCAGGGGAAGGTGATGAGGAGTCGGGAATAGTGGTGAGCGTGACAAGATCGGGAGAGATTTCTTTAGAGGGCTGGATGAGAGAGCCCAAAGGCGTAGGAGTTGGAGTAGGCGGTAGAACAGGGTCCATTCGCTCCGGAGCGGGCGTCACAAGGCCAGACTTTTGCGGTGATGAGTTTTGTGAGGAACGATCGCAGCTTGTCTGGCCACCGGACTTTCTCTTGCAAGTACCGTTCCAAAGTCCGACTTCACCGCAGTCCGCCATGTTTGTGTCTGCCGACCATAGTCCACCGGCGTTGCAGTTACCAGCAGGTTTCTTGTTTTGGTTCGTGGCTGGTGTAGGAAGCTGGTCGGCTCCTACCAGTGTTGACTTGGGAGACTGGCATCGAGTGAAAACAATGTCGTCTCCCAGCATCGGGGGGCTCGCGGCTTCACGCATAGGCGCAAGGTTTACGCCCTTCTGCCAGCCGCCAATGATATCGTAACCGCCCGTTTCAAGGCCTTCCCATTCCTCCTTATATCGTGCGGCAAGCGCAGCCGCGGAGAACTTGGATGTATGATTAGCTGCAAAGAGGCGTTCCCGAGACCTCATCTCCGACTCCTCCTTGTGCCGTCGCATCTCCTCCAGCTCCCAGGCGAGGTCGGCGGTGGACTCTCGCCGGAACCTGGACAGGTCAATCGACAGCTGTCTGAAAGCGGTCTCCATGCTGTCGTCATCGTCTTCGGAGTTGCTGTCCTCCCGATCGATGGCAAAGTGGGAGACGGGCTGGTATACCTGCTCGTTGGGGAAGGCAGCGAGAGCCTGGTCCTTCAGCTTCTCGGAGACTAAACGAGAGTGGAGGTTGTACATGTGATTGTCCGGATAGGAGCCGGTGTAGGAGTCAGGGTAGTGAACATGCACATTCTGATGGCTGCCTTCGTTGGAGAAATTGGTAGGGGAGGTCGAGAGCGATGAGGTTGGTGACTCGCCGGAGTTTTCACTGCTGGTGGAGGGGATGGCGGGGAGGTTAGGAACCTGGAACGACTGTCGTCTGCTCCCATGGCGCCGAGATAAGCTTGCATAGGAATACTTCGACTCCGAATCTGCAGCTCGAAACCTAAGCGTATTGGCCGAGCAGACACTGCTGCTGCCAAAATTCTGTCGGGCAGGGCTTCCTGCCGGGTTCTGGCGAAACGACCGCTTCCCAGTCTCGATAAGCTGGGGAGTGAACTTCCGCGGGGCCTGTGACGTCTTTGTGGCAGCATCATCCCTTGACTTCTTTTGTTGCTGATCGGCAACCCCTAATCCTGCACGACCGGCACTCCCAACACCCCTCTGTTTGCCCTTGTCACCACCGTCTCCGCCCTGCTTGACAGCTTTCCGGCTGGTCTCCGTCGTCGTTTCGATCAACTGAGGCCGAAACCTGCTGGCGCCCTTTGACGCTGTCGTCGTCGAAGCATCCCTACCCTTGGCCTGTGTGCGCGATGACGACGACGACGACGACTTGGTGGTCGACTCTATAAGCTCTGGAACGAACTTTCGTTTCGGCGGAGGAGTGCTCGCCGTCGATGCCATCGGGCCTAATAAATAAAGAAAAGAAACGCAGCTCGAGCCTGATAACCAGGATGGTTCGGTTGTGGGTGAGAAAGCGAGTTTTCCCCGGAATATATTTAGGGCTGTAGCTGCTGCTGGCCAAGGTGACGCAGACGGCTGTCCGTAGCAATGCGATAGGGGTCCGCCAGGCCAGTGAGCAGCACCATTTGAGGAAACAAAGCAGGCGAGCTGAGCAAAGGTCGAGGTCTCAAAGGACTGGCGGGCGGGCGGGCGGGCGAGGTGTGAGATATGAGATGGTGTGAAGTAGAATATTTGTCAAAGGTTGGAGTCGAAGGCCGGAAGAAAAAAAGACAAAGAAGGCGAAGAAGGGGAAAGTTAAAAAAAGAAAGTTAAAAAAAGAAACGAAAAAAGAAACCAATCAGAAAAAAGGAAAAACCAAAAGATGGCCCGAGTGGAGACAGGGCACAAAAGGGGTAAGGCGCATTCCGGTTTTCTGCCGCCGCCCGGTGATTGGCCGACGGCTTAAATAAGCAAGGAGGAAAAGGGCGCCTGTCAGACACGGTAGCGCGGTCACATGCAAAGCACGTGATAAACCCCTGGCCAGACCCGCCCAGCCCCTCTTAGCGCGTGCTCACCGCTTCCGGGAAGGGGGATGACTAAAGATAAGGCGACACGTGATTGGCTTATCGAATCTATCTTCTTATCTATGATTATGTAAGATCACATTTCGCATATTAAGAGAACTCTCGAGCAAGGCATTTTATAGTACGAGAAGGGAAAGCGAACGATATAAAAGTGCATAGTTGAATAGCAGGCCAGGGCAGAGGAGGTCCTCGCCGGGCTTCAGTCGTCGTCGCTGTCCATGTCCTCTGAGCGCCAGATGTGTCCTCCCTGCGCCGAAGACCGCTCATGTGCGTCCTCCGAAGCCGCTCCATCCTCGGAAGTCCGTGAAAAGGTGCTATCCTTGCGAGCGCGCGCATGCACGATTCCCGGGAATATCGCCTGCGCTGGCATCGAGCTAAAGCCGTGCTCCTGTGGCGTGCCACTGGCGGTCTGGGGCTTGCTTGAGTGCGCGTGCGACTCTACATCTGAATGCGATGGATGGCGCCCAGGCGTGTTAGCAGCCACTGCTGGTGTTGCACCCCCATGCTCTGGAGCACCGCTGCTGGGGCCCGGGGCAGCGCTGGAGGACGGGGCCTCCTCATTATTATTATTATTGTTGTTTTTCAGGTAGGAGAATGAAGGAACCTTGGTTAGTGTCTTTGGGGTGTGGGTGTTGTTCGGTGTGGCGGATGCATAGCGGTCGAGCCTGCATATATAATCAGCCTTCAACACACAAACCTCTCCCCCCCCCCATCTAGTATTCTCAACAAAATTCGTTGCATGCAAAAAGAAAAAGGGCAAGAAAAAAAATAAAGAGCGGTGGGACTTACAGCGATAGCTCTCCGGTCAGCGTCTCATATCTAAACGCCTCTCGTAGGTCCGGCACATTACTCTTCGCCATGTTGTTCCCCTCCAGCCCGGGTAGATGGCACTTACTCCCCAGCCAGCGCTGCTTCAACGCCAGCTCAAATCCGCTCTGGTCTACACTGTGTTTGGCCAGCTCACACATGTCAACAGCACTAAGCTTGTAGATCTGTGCGGCAACGGAATATTCTTCGATCAGCGGTTCCTTGGTGAAGGCAAACTGGAGCGGGTCGTCAGTGGAGAGCGAGATATTCAGGCCCTTGCGGAAGTAATTAGCGCACGGGTTCTTATCGTAGCTTAGAAACAGTGCGTTGTTGCTCAAGGGTGACATGGCGATCGGAATCTGGTCGAGATAGAACAAGTACTGCAGCAACGGCACTTTACGGAGCAAGATTCCGTGTGAGATGCCCTGGCAGCACAGGAAAGCTGAGGCAAGATGGTCTGGATCTCCGGCCTCTCCACAGTGCGGACGGAGCACAAACGTGTTGAATCCGCGCTGTTTCCTCCAGGTGTTGAGTGACGCCATGTTTGCAAACATAAAATAGATCCAGTAGCTGTAAGGCGGGTTCTGCTTAGTATCCCATTGCTTAGGAACGGGGAACTTGCGGTACAGTCTCCTCTCCGCCTTGCTCTCGTCGTCAACGCTGTCAAAGCCAACCACGCGCTGCAGGAAGATGTGCAACTTCGGATGGCTGTTTGGATTCTGCGTGACTTCGAACAAGGGCTGGAAGACATTGCGAACAATGTCTTCAAAGTTCCCTACCTTACCACTCGATTTAAACACATCATAGAGCCGAGGCACCTGGATCAGCCAGCGAACGTTGGGAGAGAAGAGCTTGTTGTCGACAACCCAGGCGGCCAGTTTGTCCCATTCTCCCAGGGAGTGGCCGTAGATGGAGATTCGCCATTCTGCCATCTGGTATTTACTTGACTCGAGGTCAGAAATCACCTCTTTAGTGATTTCGGCCAAATATCTTCCCTTGATGTAATTATCCGTCTTGAGGAAGATTTCTCGGAGACGAGACTCGCCAATAGGGTTGTATTTGAGATTGAACTTGTCAAACCGGTGGAACGAATCCGTGTGCGCCTGGCCATGTTAGCAAAAAAAGAGAGGAGATATCAAGTTTGAAATTAGCCTAAACGTACATGCATATCCAGAGTATCAATACTCAAATCATAGGCTGTAAGATTGATGCTCTCAAAGACCTCCTTCAAGGTCAGGTGCTTTCCGTCTCTGAAAAGCACCACCTCGTCCGGGCACTTCTTCATCTTACTCTTGATGAACCTGAGCAAATGCTTCTGGTTCATACATGCTGAATGATGCACGTGGGTATCAACCTTGCGGACGTTGTAGAAGTCTCGGTGTGGTACTTTCTTACTGTCCGCGAGTTCCTGGTACTCGTTCAGCAGCGTATGGAGCTGGAACTTACCCTCCAAGTAAGATAAGCGCTTGAAGGCGAATGATTTGACAGGGCCATCCGTAGACACATCAAGCACGCCGTCCAGGTCCATGTAGAAATCGCGGATGGAAGGGATCTGAATGACAGGCTGGTTCAGGTCACAGGCGGCTTTGGTTTCATAAACCTGGTACACACTGTTGTCATCCAGTTTGAAAGTCATGCTCGACGCTTCAGGTAACGGAAGCAGGTCGTCCATGTCAAAGTCCTCGCCGATATCCTGACCAGGCTTTCGCTTCTTCTTAGCAGAACTCGCAGACGGGGCTACATCTGATTCACCTTGCTTGGACCCTCCCTTCGCAGCCATGACGAAGCTGCTAGACATGCTCCCAGTTCCAAGCCGTTCTTTATCTTCCTCCCACGCTGGCTCTGGCGGAGGAGGGTAAATGACCCAACCAGGCTCATCCTTGGGATTGTCACCCGGTCGCTGGAACGAGAGTCGCATATACTTGTGTCTGGTATCCAGCAGCCCCTGTATCTTGCGGCATATGGCACTCAATTCAGCTGTGATTGCCCCATCATTAGGCGCATAGCCTCCCATGGCATATGGTATTCCAGTTCCAACGCTCATGCCAACATTTCCTTGAATAGCGCTGTGTGAGGCATCACCAGGCATGCCCACCGCTGGCAGGACATGAGCTCTAGCAGACCGCTCTGCGATGCTGAAACTGCTGTTCTCTCGCCGCATTTGCTGCGAGTTTGCAGGAGGAGTCGACGTCGCCGAGTACGACGGCCCAGGTAGCATGCTGCTAATCGACTCGTTATCGAAGTTACTTCCCGACGTTGGGCCGTGGTTAGGTAGGGCCGGGATTGATCGTGCAGGAATATCAGGGCTCTGCGGAATGTCACCATCTACACTGCGGGAGGCAAGCTGGTGCCTCTGGTAGAAAAGCCGTGCCTCTGCATGGCTCATTGACTTCTCATACGCATAGTCGTAGGTAGCAGTCCGTGCCTGGCGATCTCGCGGGAGGATGGGCTGCTGCGCTGCCGTACTGGATTCAGGCGCTTCGTCCGCCGGCGGGGTTGGCGCGTTCTTCTCCATGTTTTGTGAGACGGCTCGAGAGCACAAGAGGTCGCCCGTCTGCGAATCTGGCGTCACTGATCGAGTGACTGTGGTAGAACCAGGCCCGTCAGCGAGGTGTTGTAGTTGCAGCTGTTGTTGTACCTGTCGAGGCTGATGGGCCGCAGAGTCATCGCGGGCCCCGAAACTACCTAAACTTATTTGTCGGGGAGCTCCGCAACGGCCGTTGTTAGCTGGACCATGGCACGTCATAGGCCGACTATCACTAAGTTTCCCGTAGGGCAACACATTGACTCTCGAGCAGAAACAACTACGGTATTAATAGGAGATATATATGTTAAAGGCCTACTCCTATTGTTTTTATATCTTCAAACGCTTTTTATCCTGAGATCGCGATCTCCGTTGATACATAAAATCGGGTTTGGTGTGGACTAGAGAATCTGCTGAGAACTCTCTATCACACTTCACCCCCAAGTTCTCCGGTTCAATGGAAGAATCTATGGGGTCTATAGAGAGTATTCTAAGCTAGGAATCACTAAAGAGACAAGAAAAAGACTCAAAAGCATCAAAAAAGACCAAAAAAATACACATACGAAAGTCGGGATTCGCTGGTGGTCACCCACCCAACTACTAACCGACCGGCAAGTGGCTTAAGTACAGCTGAGCGGACGGGAAGCTCTGTTTTCCACTTCCTGTGTTCGTATGTGCTAGATACATAGACGAGAGGATTGATATGGGGTTGGAGGAATACCGACATGCAGCTTCGTTTTTGATACCCCTGAAAAATAAACAACCAAAGGTCCATCTGACCCATTCGCAATTGTTTGTCTCGACTCCCCCATGCCAGGTTGGTCTCTACGCTGATGCTGATGCTGATGTGACCTAGCCGAATCAATGTCTTTATATCCCATATGGCGTCTTCGACTTTCGTTGATATTTTCTCCAAGATCATGCCCAGCAGTTGCGCCCAAAATAATCAAACGGGCATCCTCTACAAGGGAATACAGTATGAATCTTGGGGCCTAGTAACTAGTCTGTCTCAAGCAGATCCTGACTTTTCCTAGAAGGCAATTCTGACCATTATTACCGCTATACTGCTGGACGCTGGCTGTTCAATGAGTCTCAGCAGCTTGAAGCTCGCTATGTGCGGTTCAATATAGATGCATTGGCTGCAATCGCTGCAAGATGCCTAGGCCATGAACCTGCATCATGTGTCAAAATTGAGAAGATGCCTGAAGGAAACTTCAATAAGAGCCTTCTACTCACTATGTCCAATGGCTCTCAAGTCATCGCCAGGGTTCCCAATCCCAATTCCGGTATTCCACACTTCACAACTGCCAGCGAGGTCGCTACAATGGACTTCGTATGTGCTGTCACTGTCACCTCTTTGCTTTGGCAGGCCTGTTATTCTGATTATTTCTAGGCTAGGACTAAGCTTGGTCTACCAGTTCCCAAGGTGCTTGCGTGGAATTCACAGACATCAGAGAACCCAGTCGGAGCAGAGTATATTGTCATGGAGAAAGCATCAGGTTCTTCCCTTGCGCAGATCTGGCCGCGTTTGAGCAATGAAGAAAAGAGGGAAATTGTTCAGGCTATGGTTAGCTTTGATGTTAAAATCCTAAATCATCCCCTTGGTGGCATTGGCTCTTTGTATTATCCAAGGGATATCCCAAGTGGAACCAGCCAGCTACCAGCTCTAGGATTGAATGATGCTTGTGGTCGTTGGGTCCTTGGACCTACCACTGACAGACGTTTCTTTGACGATGGAAGAGGAGAGCTATCCCTGGACCGGGGCCCTTGTAAGTTTTGCATTCTTTTTTCTCTTGCGCTCCCATTTGAAGCTAACGGGTTTATTTTAGGGAATACTGTAGAAGAATACCTAGCTGCAATCTGTGACCGTGAAATGACGGCCATTCAAAATCTGAATTGTCCTCTTCGATCGGAAGGAATTGTTGGCCCTGGGGGTTATCGACCTACTCGAGCTCTCAAGCTCTCAGTGTGCCGCGACTTTCTGAAGGTGGTAAATCATATCCTACCGCCTGAGACTAGTCGAACACCTGTTCTATGGCACAAGGACCTACATCTAGACAACATCTTTGTGAATCCTAAGAAACCTACAGAGATTGTCGCGCTCATTGACTGGCAGAATGTCCACGTTTCACCTCTATTCGACCAGGTCACGCACCCTGCATTCTTGGACTACAAGGGACCGAAACTCGAAGGTCTCAAGACACCATGTCTGCCAGAGAACTTTGAAGAGCTCGACGAGATTGCAAAGAAACATGCAAAGAAAATGCTGGTTGAGCAGACCATGTACAAATACTATGATCTATATTCAGCTTCTATGAATGTACCGGCTTACCGCGCACTGAGATATCAGGAAACACTGCATGGAGAGATCATTACTCTCATTGGCATGATCTTAAATGATGGGGAACCAGCCCTGCAAGGGCTTCTAATGAAACTCTCCAGCAAATGGGATCAACTCATCTGCAGCAAGGGAGGCCCTCCATGCCCTCTACAGTTCTCGGCTGAAGAGATTGATCGCCAGCCGGAATTGGAGGCGAAGTGGGCAGAAGGCATAGCGCTGATGGACGATGTGCTAGAGTCACTGGGGGGAGCTGTTCGTGGATGGGATGGCTGGGTGAGCCATGAGGATTATGAGGCACTCCAGCAAAAACATGACCTTGTCCGAAAGCAGTTCATTGAACACCTTGCTGGGGACGATAAAGAAGCTGCTAAGGCATGGGCACGGGCCTGGCCATTCCAATGAGGTGCTGCATAAGTACTGCTACTAATTGTACTAAAACATTTCAATTACCACCATAATTCAACACATTATGGAAATCCTATGGTTTGCAATGTTTTGTCTCAGGCTCGCAAGATATAAAGTTTAGAGTTTTATAGCAATTATCCACGTGACATGTTTGCCATATGATTATGTAATCTTAAAAATAGCGTGACGTGATTCGACCCGACTTCGACTTCGACCTCAACTCGACCTCAACTTCACTTCATCGTTATACAACGGCTGGATCTTTATATAGAGCTATACTTCTTGCTTATCACTTGAGAGTGTGCGCGGACTATGCGATGATTGAAGAATATTACACTTTCGAGGTAGGTTACAACACCTAGTCACACAGCACCGAAGGCCCAACAGTGTATACGGGACTGAGCTGGGAATGTATCAAGTACAAATAAGGGGACGGGCCGCCAAAGGATCCTGACAGATGCTCCTAGTTCGCCCATCCCCGACACATTTCCACAGCCTTTTCCCAGCGGGAGAACCGTTTGTCGGCCTCTTCCCTTTCAATGCTAGGATTAAAGGTGGTTTGGCCGTCTGTGTTGACATTTTGGAGCTCCTCCAGGTTGCTCCATACCCCAGCAGCAATACCTGCTGCAATTGCAGCACCAAGGGCCGTGGTCTCTCGCATCTTGGGGCGGTTGACAGGGATGGAGATCAAATCTGCTTGTGTCTGTTGACCTGTCAGCACCAATCTCACAGTCTATCGAAGGCTTTGTCCGGATATGGAAATTGGCACGTACCTGCATTGTCAAATCGCTGGCACACATTCCTCCGTCAACAGCTAGCTCAGTGAGCTTATGTCCGCTGTCTTTCTCCATGGCATCAAGGATCGCCTTGGTCTGGAAACATGTTGCCTCAAGAGTTGCTCTGGCTACATGGCCTCGTTGAGTGAATGTTGTTATCCCAAATATCGTGCCTCTCGCATCATCGATCCAATATGGAGCAAACAATCCACTAAATGCTGTGACAAACACACATCCACCGCTGTCTGGTACTGTCTCTGCCAATGTCGTCAAATCCTTCGAGCTGTCCATGAACTTGAAATTGTTCACCAAAAATTTGACACTGGACCCGCCGACAGCAATGCTTCCTTCGAGTGCATAGGTGAGCTTTCCACCTTCACCTCCTCGGAAGTCAAAGGCTACAGTTGTTAGCAATCCATGCTTTGATACTACCGGTTTCTCGCCAATATTATAAAGAAGGAAGCAGCCAGTCCCATATGTGTTCTTGGCCTTTCCAGGTGTGAATCCCTTTTGGCCCACGAGCGCAGCAGATTGATCTCCTAAGCAGCCCGTTATGGGGAAGCCCTTGAGGGCAGAGATCGCCAATTTGCCATAAGCCTTTGGGTCTGCTGAATGTACAATCTTAGGCAGATGGATCTTGGAAGTGTCAAGGCGGAAGAAGTCAATCAACCTCTCATCATATTCCACCTTCTCAAGGTTCATAAACATGGTTCGCGATGCGTTTGATGGATCCGTTACAAAGACGCCTCCTTCCGGACCACCGTTTAGCTTGTAAATGAGCCAAGTGTCGATGGTGCCGAACGCAAGTCTTCCCTCATCATATGCCTCCTTGACTTTAGGAACGTTATCGATCAGCCATAACACTTTACCGACGGACGGATAAGTGGACAGTGGCAAACCGCAGATCGGTTGCAGCTCTTGATGGCCCAGGCGGTTTTTTAATCCACGCACAAGACCCTGTGTGCGGGTATCGGTCCAAACTATAGCATTATACAGCGGCTCGCCCGTCTCCTTATCCCATACTACCGTGGTCTCCCGCTGGTTGGTGATTCCAATCGCTTTGATAGAATCGACTTTGTGTCCCTGGGTTTCGAAATCGGCGACGGCGCCGTCTATGCAAGCAACAACAGATTGGACGATCTCGTTTGGGTCATGCTCATGCCATCTACAACATATGAGGTTAGCGCGTTTGCGAACAACAGAACGAGAAAGCAATTTGCTACACTTTACCCTGGTTGAGGATATATCTGACTGAACTCCAACTGATGTGAAACAACCACCTCTCCGTCTGTGTTAAAAATAAGAAATCTCGAACTTGTTGTGCCCTGATCAATCGATCCGACGAACGACTTTCCATGTACAGCCATTGAACCGGACTATTTCATGTCAAGCACCTGGGCAGTTGGAGTAAGGGCGGCGAAAAAGGGTACAAATAACTAATGAGGGGAAAAATATACATGTGGGACATGACAGGTGCCTCTTATCTGTCAAATAGACTCCTGGGCCCCCGGACTTGGGGTAACCTAGGACATTCCATACATCGCTTACAAGTAAGTTTAGTAGGATGCATCTCGGCGCAGACTTCTGCTGGTGATACCGCGGGTTGGCGGGCGAAACTAAGTATGTTAAAATGTCTCGGCCGCGACGGGGATTCCCGATGAACCATCAACCAAAGCTCGCATTTGCTCCGTTCCAGCGCAGCTTGACTTTATTTCTGTTACGCAGCGATGTTTTTGATATATCCATGGAAATGACACCCGTCCCATAATCGATTTACCCCAGGATCTGGATGTTTATCAACATGGAGAAAAATGCGGAGGTGTTCACGACAACTCCCGTTGTTCACCAACGAGTGGCGTGATCGACGCCTTAGCGACAGGGGCCCCCCTGCCTAGTGCAATCTTTAATTTGCGTAGTCCAGACAGGGCATCACGCATGGCATCAGTTTTGGCACTGAATCAATTGGATTTAGCCTTCATGCAGTACAGACTCTGTTGGTGCGACTCTGTGCTCCGTGACTTCGAAGGAGGATTCGCCAGCTCTATACTAGAATTTTATGCTTTTGGTCGGTTCCGGCCGACCCTTGCGCTTCACCATTGGAAGCAACCCTACGATGGATGGAGGACGGAGAGCAGGTTCATGACCGGACCAAAGGACGATGCAGCTGGCTAAATTTGTGCCACTGTTTATTGAAACGGAAGTTGACCACGGCATGGCAAAGCATGGCATTGCTCGGGGGATACAAATCCTGAACGGCCATGCCGACAGTATGCCAGGATCCTTCTTTCTGCATTTTTCTTCATCCCTCTGTATAAGATCGTCGATCTGCCCGTGGGGAAAATCTGCAGAATCTTGTGCAGCTGTCACCCTTCTCTCCCGTGGATCATCTACTCTTTCTAGCGGAGCCTTCCTCCCCTAGTTCTTTTCTATCTCTTTCTGTGGTTCTTCTATCCGTCAGCTTGTCTGCTTTCCATACATGGACATTCCGGCAGTGAGTGAGGGTTGGACAATTAAGCCTGTGAAAACCGGGATATCTTCCTCCCATACCTTGCATACCGAGAATATTGGGACCATTTCTCAAGGAACCACCGAAAAGGAACTCAGTAGCCCTTCCTTGGATGGAGTTCATTCTAATATCCACGGGTTTTCCGAGCCGTTGAAGGCCCAATTCACTCCACGTGTTGTTATTGAGCATGAACCCCAGCCCGTCGAGGAATTACTATGGACCAAAATACGGACCAAACTCCGCGAACCCTTCGCTGAATTCTTCGGGGTATTCATTATGATTCTCTTTGGTGACGGTGTTGTTGCGCAAGTGGTTCTAAGTGATTCAAAGAAAGGAGACTACCAATCGATATCGTGGGGTTGGGGGTGAGTTGAAGCTTTTTTACTTGTAGACAAAGGACACCTTAAACACATACCAGGAACCGTCTCGCAGAACTTATCTGTTCATTCTGACAATAGTGTTTCAATAGCCTCGGAGTTATGTTAGGCGTTTACTGCTCCGGAGGGATCTCTGGAGGTCATCTTAACCCTGCAGTAACATTCGCAAACTGCGTATTCCGGAAGTTTCCTTGGAGGAAGTTCCCTATCTACACGTTGGCCCAGTTCCTTGGGGCATTTTGTGCTGCCGGTGTCGTTTACGCAAACTACAAATCCGCCATTACGACCTTTGAAGGCGGGCCCGACATCCGAACCGTGGGGTTGGACACCTCCACTGCCGGCATATTTTGTACTTACCCGGCCCCATTTCTGACTAAAACAGGACAGTTCTTTTCGGAATTCATTGCCAGCACGATTCTGATGTTTTGTATCTACGCCATGGCTGATGATAAGAATTTAGGAGCAGGAAATTTAATGCCCCTTGGACTGTTCTTCCTCATATTTGGTATTGGTGCTTGCTTCGGGTGGGAAACGGGGTACGCGATCAATCTTGCTCGCGATTTTGGACCACGGTTGATGTCCTATTTCCTCGGATATGGACATGAAGTATGGTCTGCTGGGGGATATTATTTTTGGGTGAGTTACTTCTAATCCTAATCAGTTCCACTCTTGTCATGCTTGAATCCACTATTGACTCAAATTAAGGTACCTATGGTCGCTCCGTTCTTTGGTTGCTTATTCGGTGGCTTCCTGTATGATGTCTTTCTATACACCGGCGAGAGCCCCATCAATACCCCCTGGATGGGTCTAGATCGCTTTATCAGGCCTAATCGGGATGTGTGGTCAAATACCAAATCCATAGACGGAAGAGTGTGACACAGCCTGGAAAGATGCAAATATATGTAACCAGGATTATATCATCTTCTCCACCACGGTGGTTAACTAACGATATTAGCAAAAGAATTGACACGCAAAAAGCATTGTGATTTTTATGATATTGCGTCTCTCAGTAGGGAAACTTAGAGGTGCCAAAACAATGTTCCAAGCGCAGGTATCTGTGGCTCGCCTATACTATCCTCAAGCAGCTTTTGATCTGTCTTCCTCCCTGTAAATGGCCGATAAGAGGGGTAAATACGTACCCCGGTCGCTTCCCTGACAATACAACTGCATGAGATATAGATGAGGGGGGTTGCCGAGCCGTCCCATCGTATACTTTATCAAGCTACATCCTTAGGAAACGCATGGCCCGAGGTAGATGAAAATGAACAAAGCAGAGTACACTCGAACATGTGCACGTCCATAGATGAGGTTCAGCCAGAAAAAGGAATGATTGGTGCAAGGCCTAGATTTGTATCCCTATGCATGGAGCGAAGGAACAACAACGGCGTTCACGTATTTGGATTTCACATGGTTATCAACGGGTTGGTTGGCCAGAAGACCGAAGTTGAGATTGTGGTAACGTCTACCAAGCACGGATACGAACCTGGTGATCCTACAATGTAACGTACTATCCAATCTCAAGTATAATTCCAATGCATTTTCACCCAAGAAAAATCAAAATAATAACGGCTCGAGTCCCCGTTGAGGCTGAGCGTCATGTGATTGGTGGGTCGAAAATGGCCAATTTCAACGTCGATTTCAACGTCGATTTCAACTCCAACTTCAACTTCAACTTTACACCTCGAGGATACAGAGAGAAATGCCAAATAGTCCTGGTACTATTGCCTAACCATACTCTTGATATACCCTAGTTTTACGTGGATACTGTTTTCTAGGCTAAGTTGAACACGTTCCAACCTAGAAACACACGTTCCTCTTCCAAGTCCAATACCTTTTGTCAAAGTCCATGGATGAATGAATTTGGGCCAGCCGATATTTACGGTAACTTCCGCTTCCCGGACTTTAGTGGCTCCAGATAATGGTTCAGAATTTCAAAATAATACCCACCACTTCGTTTCTTACTCTCTCTCCAAGTTATTGTTTATTTTTAAGGAAAATCAACAATACGTACCATGCCAACCCTTAAACAGCTAACCTGTCATATAGAATGGGCTAACTGTAGCATACCATTCAAAGAATATGGCGTCACTTATCGAGACGGGTCTGTTGAATGCCTTATTCCTGTGCAGCCCGCCTCGACACCATTCTCTATCAGGCTCACTTCCAGTGGCTACATTGCACCTGGTTTGGCCATGTTTGTTTATATGGATGGCGTCTACCAATGCAATCGCAACAGGGATGATCTTATTTTAAAAAAGGGGTGTAAAGGTAAGACGAAGGTTAGAGATGTCAATTTCTGCGTCCGCCAGAAAGAGGAACGCCTGCCGGACGGGAGCTGGATAGGAAGGCCTTGGAGATTTGAGCCGCTCCAAATAGGTAACCATATTGAATCCTCTGGTTCCGGCTCATGGATGTAATACTAATACACCCTCTAGTACAACTTATGCCGGGCATGCCAGAAGTCAACAAATCTCATTTCGATAACTTAGGCGAAATATGCGTTGTTGTTCTTCGATGTGAGTCACGAGATGATCAATCCTCATTTGAGGGTTCTCTCACTCCAGAATCAGCTATGGCATTTGGGCCAGATTTGGACGGTAAGATTGCTCTATCCCTATAATCGACATTCGACGATAATTCGACCGTAAAGCTGACGTTCACAACCTTACTGCAGATTTTCAAAGCGTCTCTAGCGATGAATGCCTTCTCAATCCTATTAATACAGCCAAAGAAAACGATACAAATTGTGGGTTTATGGGAGGATTGTTTGACGGGGCAAATGACACTAGGCACTGGGGGAATAATATAAGTTGCTGCGAATCTTGCGATCATGATGAATCTAAGACTCGTCGTGAGAACCGTGGCCACTGTCACGATAACCAATCGTCCATAAACAATAGGGATTCCAGACGACGCCATCCAAACCCTGCGAGGTCACAACGCCAGTGTCGAGTCCACTGGAAAGATCAGCCTGAACTAGAGCAGGAATCAGACTGGGATAATGGATGGGAGTCGTATGATACAGAGTCCACTGCAAGCTCCGACCGTGTCTGCCGAGGATATAGATATTATCGATCAAGTGGGCCCACCAATCCGATCCCTAGGCAGGAAGCTGAGGAATCTGATAGCCCTCGTTCTTGCATGCGTGAACATCACTCTAAGCCAAGAAAATACCTCCCTTACAGGCCAAAACAAGATCAAAGCTCAGGATGGAAGATTCGGAAAGGTTCGGGGAAGCTATCTTCAGAGGAGCCCAAGAGACCCCAGAATCTCTTGTTGGAAGAAATACACAGCGGTACCCGTGGATGTGCTCCTTCCATTGTTCTCAATGTTAACTCAGCCCAACCCCAACCGACGCAGGAGGTGAAACCAGTAATCAATCATACTTGCCACAATTGTGCTCACCCCAAGTGTTGCGTGACTGATGATACCACAGATGATGGCTGCTATATAGTCTCTAACAATAAACGAGTTAGAAGACGCTGCCACCATTATAATCGGAGCCGTAATCATTGCACGCACGGAGAGAAAAACCAAGAGTCAAACAGCAATGATGATACCCTATCAACGAATGCCGATACTGGTGCAGGAAATGATGACGGCGATTTAAATACCTCAAATGAAAATCAGGATAATAATGGTTCATCCTGGGATAATAATAATGATCAAGGTAATTCGAATTGGAATAATGACAACAATGAGACTTCTGCCGGCTGGAATAACCAGGACAATCAAAATAATACTACGAACGACAACTGGGATCAAGGGCAAGGGGACCAACAAAATAATAATAATAATACAGATGATTGGGACAAAGGTAATACCAACTTCGATTCTAATGCCCAAGGCCAGCAACAAGATACTTCCTGGGATAACGGTAATCAGTCTAATGGCCAAGAGTGGATGGCGCGAGGTGTAACAACGGGCAATGGTGATGCCCCAGCAGCGGGCTGGCTAAACAACAATTCCAACGACAACCATGGGAACAATAACGATGGCCAATGGGCTCCTATGGCTAGCCCAAATAATGGATATAACAATCCTCAGCCAGGTCCATCAAGCCCGCCTACGGTTCCAGTCCAAGCTCAGGGTCCGATATGGGAATCCCCACCGCCCATTCAAAGAGTTCATACTCTAATTACTCCATTTTGTCAGGGACCAGAGGCTAGTGAGCCTCCATTATATACTGTTCCTGAGCAAGTTGCACGAGAACGAGCGCTATCTCACCAAGTGCAGGTTGGTAGATCTTCAAGGTACTCTCATAAAATCAAAGTACCACAGTATATTGATACTATGGAGGAGCCTTACGCAAAATTCATCTTCAGATATCGGGTCAAAGGCAAGTACACTTCTAAAAGCATTTTTTACCACCAGAATACACCTAACATATACTTGATCAGGTGTCGTTGAGTCAGAGATTGGCAAGCCGATTGAACGAGATGTCGAAGCCGAGAGAAAACTTCTCGAGTCTCTTCCTCGAGAGGAGATTCTAAAGCAACTCCTCTACGCTCAGGTACGGCATTCCGCACCACCATATCTTATACAAATATTGACGGGCATTTAGGGATTACTGGCTGCTCAAACTCTTGGGCAAGCAACGGTAACACCGGCTCAGGGGCAACCTCAAGTCTCCAGTCCACAGCAGATCCAGCATCAACACTCCAATTCAAACAACCAGCAATATGTGCCGGCTCAGCATCAAAGTCCCCCTGGGAGCAAAAATGGTCGCGTTAACCACTCCAATCATGGTTCACAGTCTGGTCCTTCGCATTGGAATAGCGCTCCAGCTCAGGAACAGGTTTTCACTGTCCCGTCAAGGCTCACAGGCTATAATAATAGGGCGATTAATCCTCCTCAGAGTCCCCCGCAGAACAATAACTTGGCAGCTGCCCTCACTACTGGGTTACAGAATGTTCAACAGCAGCAGCAGCAGCAGCAGAGTTGGCCCAAGGGCAGTAATGATGCTCCTAGCTGGAACGCCCAGGCTACACAGGATGATTCCGGTGGGACATGGTGAAATAATTACTAGGACTTCTCTATTCTAGGCCGTCTCCTGTTGTGGATTATTGAGATTCAGGAGCCAGGTATTGGCGGATTGATTGTCTCTACATATTTTAGCGACATATCCCTTAGTTCAACGTATCATAGTCGTATTGAATCACTATGCTATTCCTAGCTTTGAAACTATTTAATTTACAGCTCATGCAGGTAACGTAAAATATTCCCATCTTTATGCCCCGCTGCCGTTGTAAAGAAGCTTGTTGGTGGTATTGAATCCAGGGTTCTGGATAGTTGGATTGGCAAGCTCTTTGAGACGGTCGCAAACTTTCTCAGGAGCAAGACCCTCGGTAGCCATAATAAGTCCCCCAACACCGCAGACATGAGGAGTTGCCATCGAAGTTCCAGACATGAGTCCGGTGAGATTATGAGGTAAGGTAGAGCGGATGTACTCTCCAGGCGCGAACAGATCGACTGTATGATTAACGTTAGTTCCTGTAGTATAGAAAAGAATGCAGGACCAAGACATACCGAGTTCTCCGTAGTTGGAAAAGATTGCTTTGGTGTCATTTCTGGTACTTGCACCCACCGTACAGACTTCTGGGGCTGAGCCAGGTGAATAAAACTCGGCGCTCGTAGCTTGGTTACCAGCAGCAACAGCGATAAAAATCCCTGCTTCTTGTGCACGTACTGTAGCCTCGTTCACGGCTCTAGAGCGTCTTGTTTTGAGGCTTATATTCATGACAGACTTGCCAAGGAGGCCGCGTTCTTTGGCATCATTGATAGCCCAGTTAAGTCCGTTGATGTATCTGGTTATATCACCATAGCCATAACAGTCAAGAATTTTGATAGAAACGATGGACGCTTTCTTGAGGATACCAAACTTCTGGCCTGCAACGGTGCCTGCAGTATGAGTTCCGTGGCCGTTACAGTCGGTATCTACATGGTCAGCGAGATTGATACCCCAGCGAGCACGGCCAGTGAAGTCAGCTTGATTGATATCAATACCGCTGTCAATCCCATAGAAGGTAATATTCTCGCCCTCTCCATAGGTAGACACGTAGTCATGGCTGGAGTTCTCCTTGTGAGAGATACGGGAAAGTCCCCAAGTGACATTTCCTTGCTTGATAGTAGAGGCAACTTGCATCTCTTTGTTTGGCTCGACGAACTCGACCTAGCTAATGAGTTAGATGCTGACAGATTAATTCAGGGTATCGTAAGATGACTTACGTTCTCGTGGTTCAGGATCTCCTGAACGGTGTCTTCGTCAAAACTGCCGCTGTAGGCCTGCCATCCAGCAATGTCCCAGGTGGCACCGAGACCTTCAGTAAAGGGAGTAGCACGCTTGGCCAGGTTCCGACGGTGAGTTCTCTTCAGCCAACGGACATGAGAGGAAAATTCAAGAGAAGAGACACGGTCCTTCATGACAACGATGTACGCGCCTGGGATGACGCCTTGGGAGTCGATATCAAGTAGCTGGGCTGCGTTAACTACCCAGAAGATGGCAAAGTAGATCAACATCATCTTGAGGATAGACATGATGCACAATATTCCTTTCTCCAGGAGCTGTCAGATTTCTTTCTTGTAATAGTTAAAGTGTCAGTATCTGGTGTGAAAGATGTTTGTTGACAAAAAGAAGACAGACAAGTAGCAGCAGAATAGAATATTTATATAAATACAAACAAGAGCCCTCTCGGCGATGACTGCAACGCTCATTTGATATTGATATTGCCTGGCTATCACACAGTATTTCACTTTGATGCCCTGCATCCTGGCGGTATATGGGTATAATCTGCATCAAAGAGAGAGCAATAGGAAGAGTCTAGTCAGAGACTCATAGCAGATAGCAACTAGATATAGCAGATAAGGAATATCTATTTTGATATCTAGGATTGTATGATGAGGCTTGGGAAAGGCCTTTGTCAATATAAAGAGCCGTAATTCATACCTGTGAAAACACAGGGTAAACGGCAAGATTATTTTATCTAACTGCATGGTACATCTATGTGACCATTTTTATAGTTATATTCAGGGGTATAATATGTAACTAATGGGTATAATATATCTCGAGAAGATGGACATTTGATGTCCTTGATAAGCTCTGTAACTCGATGCCTGTTCTTTCGGATATCCAAAAACACATCGGCCTCTGCGTAAATATGGGATATATAGAGACCATCACTACCAGTAAGTCATTATCTTTGAAGTGAGGCATAGCAGTTATAGATGAGTATCTTTTGGATATGTTGATAAATGGTGGATTGTTGGTTGTTGAAATATCGGAAAATTTGACTCGGAAAAAGCAACTTCTGGGTCTTCATGGAATCTCAAGCCTCAAAGACCGCCGGCTAACAATAGCAATGTCAGTAGCCAACCCGGCTGAAAGAAGACGGCAAAGACGTCGTTTGCTCCTGTAGCTGTCTCTCTCACGGCGTCTTCCTCGGGCTCCCTTGATTTAATCGCGACCCTTTGTCGGCGCATCCTCAACGCCCTCACGACGCCAAAGGCGAATCCCGCGAGCGCTTTATAACACAGCATCATTCCACCGACAGACACGTTTATTCGGTCTTTCGTCTTATGGAAGACTATTAACATAGTCAATATATCCGGGGCACAAGATGTAGTTTATATATCTTGTCGTGCACCGGGCAAAAATGGCCTTTCTTTCTTTTCACTCTCGCCAGCTGTCGCTTCCCCTGAATGTCGATATTTGGCTCGATACTGCTGGATATATTGAACGGCAGGCTGGATGCTTCGTCAGTGTCAGGCTACTGTTTTTATTGTTACTTTTATCATTATATATACATCTGTTATGCCAAATGTTCATCCAGCCAGCCGTGATACCCGATATACTCAACCTACTCTGCCTATTCTATACAACGGGACCCGTTAAACTCCCTAGTCTACGCCTCCTGTGAGCCCATTTGAGATGGCTGTGGAAAGGTTTGCTCATGATTTAACCCCTCGGAGCTGGATATATTTTATCTAACAATAGTTGAAGAGACACTGCGATTCCATCCAGGATGGAGCCAGGGGCGACCTATGTCCAGAAACTCCCCTCGGGAAAAGTCGGATTCGTTCGTCGTCCCATAAAGATCAAACCGACCAGATCGATACTCGCTGATGCGTTTCTCCCTAATCGAGATGGCTCTGCGTGGAGTTTCCCCTATTCCTACAACCTGGATGCGCCTCTGCCTATTGACCCTACTGGCCCTAAAGAGACACACCAGCCGATACCCTTGACGGATGGCCCAGCTCAGATGTATAATCATGGGCGAGAGTACCAGCACCAGTTAGCTACGAGAAGATATGATCCGGTACCATCCAATCTGTATCATCGTGATGCAGCTCTTTACCCCCCGGCACCGTCCCCTATACTCGAGCCCCAGAGCCCGACTTACTCTAGGGTACATGCAGCTCCAGCAACAGAGACAAGACACAGATGTGCAGTATGTGGACGCTACCGTTCACCTTCGTATCAACATCGGCATCCCATTATCCTAGGACAGATTCCCCCCACTAGCGTGTGCCGAAAGTGCAGGTTCACCTATACTTCTAGCGGAGACAGTACTGAGAGCGATGAGTCCGACAGGCGATCTAGAGGCCGAAGACGCAGGAGAAGGAGGCGCAGTAGATCCAGACCTATATTTGACAAGGAGCCTTCTGCTCAACCGGCTCCAATTTCTCAGATACTTCAAGCTCCTGCACCTCAGACCAGCCAACTTCAGGAACCTCCTACTCCTGCTCCTGCTCCTGCTCCTCCACCTCCACCTCCCCCTCCCCCTCCACAGCCGCAGCCCCTGGCCACAAAGGTAGAGTCGTCTCCTCCTATATTCCACTTTTGTCCGAACCCTCCTGGCCTATGCACGTTACGTAGTCAGAGAAATTCACATGACTATGGCCTTCCAACACCTATCAGCAGTCCTCACTGCTGTACTGAACCGAGCTACCAATCGCTCCCCGACTATAGAGACACATGCAGCTCCTGTTGCTATCATATGCACAGCCGGCGTCATTACCATCAGGATTGCCACCATGGCCATTGCTACCACCGAGAACCCAGGCTCTATACCTCCCGAAAGTCTAGGAGCTTCGATGACGTTCAGGTCATTCCGTCTGATGGTCCTAGAAGGCCATGCAATCACAGGGAACCATCACCTTTGAGACAAGCTGAGCGTACTGTTGTCAAAAATGCCAACTCTTGGTCAATGCCGGCAACTGGGAATTGGGATGATAGCAATGAACGGGTAAGAAAACCCAGGTCCCCTACACCTTCACCTTCACCAGTGCGAGAAAGACGCTACGCTGAGCCACATCAACTCTCTTCTTCACTAAGGGGCACACGCCCTCCTCAAGCAAAGATATGTCGATTTGCATCCGACGAACCACAGAGTCAGCCCAATGTCCAATATCAAACTTGGGAGGATGACCGCCCCAAAAGGCAGTACAGCCGTGTTATATCGCGAGGCGATGATAATAATAATGAAGAGAGCGGCTGGTATGATACACCGGAGTATGAGAGACCGATCTCAATGCGGCCCTCTAGAAACGTCAGCATGCAACGACGGCCTTCCCGAGTAGAAACAGATAGAGCCCCTTCAGGTGAGTAGAAGTGATAAAGAGTTGCACCGTAGATCCGAATGCTAACTTGTACGTAGAAGTCCTGATCGTCCCGAAGCCTCGGCGCCAGTTTGAAGTCAGGTATGGGACATATCAACCAGAACAGCAACGGGACTATGAGTATAGGGAGCCTCAGCCAGAGACCCGTTTTAGGGAATGTGAACCCTCAAATCCCAGGAGAGTGACGACTGTCAACAGACGGAGCTATGCGTACCCCGTAGTCCGTGATGAACAGGAAGAAGATGATGCAGGCCAGGGGTATAGTGACCCAAGGTACGAGAAGTGGAATAAAAGTCGTTATGCTAGCCATGAAATCATTGAGGGACCTCGAGGGACATATAATCCCCCAGCCGCCCGAGATCCGAGTGGTCAGCAATATAAGGCGCGAGAGAGGTCGGTTGTCTGGTAGACATAGCCTCAGCAAGTGTATTTCTAACAGTCTTTGGGTGTCGGTTTGCAAGGTTGTTGGTTAATGAGGCTTACTACCATAAAACTTCGGTTTGTTGGCTAGTGATGTAAGACAGATAAACTGGAGAGATACCTATCATTATATATGGGCATTAGTTCTATTATAAAAATTAAACTATATACATATTCATAGCTCATTAAATATGTATATATATCTTTTATAGCTTCCCGTTTATCCGTCCATCGGCCTACTTGGACAGATCATCGATTCTGCCCAACAAGTACTCCAATATTCTGTACGAGGCAGAGGGGTTGTACTGGGGGCCCATGTGGCCCGTCAGGTAGAGCTCAACATAAGTAAGTTTTCGCTCGGTGTGGTGACGGCCCAAAACACCGGCTCCGGAGAGAGTGCTCAAGCTACCACGGTCGTGGTACGGCACGAAAAGAGGCTTGGAGGGCTCCTGGCTGAAACCTTGAGCACCGCCCCAGGTCATGTTCTGGATGCTAAGTAGGGTTCCATTGCTGATAAGAACGTAGTCGAGATCTCCGTGTGCAATGATGGTACGAGGAGACTTCTCGATGACATCAGGAATGATGGTGAAAGATGATGGTTCAGAGTTATCCTTTCCATCAACGAAGACTGGGCGTTCAGAACACTCGGTCCATTTCTGGAGGGGAGCATTGATGGCCTTCTGCACATCGGTGCGGTTGAAGTAGACATTTGCTCCGGCAGGTAGGTATTCGAAACTTCCTGGGTATCCGAGGACATCATACAAGAGAGGACAGGTAGTGGCTACCTGGTAGACGTCAAAGCAGGGATTGACGAGAGAGACGGCGTCAAAGATGGCGGTCCAGACGTCGCATTCGGGAGTAGCCTTGGGGAGGGCAGGGAGTTTACCCTTTGGTGGATAGACGAGATGCTCCTTCATGTAACTGCTGTAACCGCACTTGTCGGCCATGTCGTGAATTTGCTTGGTGAAGGTCTCGTTGAATGGGAAGAGACCTTTCCAGTGCTCAACGAATGGGACAGCGGGGACTAAAGTTGTGTGAGTAATGATGTAATGAGCGTGATGTGAAGACAAGGGCGGCTGGCTTACCCTGAGTGAGAATCTCGTCCTTGTTGATGGATGGGTCGAAGATCATGGTGCTCTCGACGTTGAAATACCTCTTGTTCTTCTTCTCAAACATGGCGTGTGCGATGTATGGGACGTACAGTCCGGCATAACTTTCACCAACGATGTAGATCTTCTTGCCGTGCAGGTCAAATGTATCTACAAAGTTTCTGAAGAATCCCAAGAATTGTGTAGCAACATCTTCTTGAGATCGCACAGATGGCTTTCCTTGAGAGAAGCCGGTACCAACAGGTCTAGATGGGTTATCATCAGTTGGGTTATATCTACATGATTTTCATGGGTTTTTTATTGACTTACTGCTCAACCCAAACCATGTTGGTTAGCTTGGTCCACGACCACGGGTTAGGAACTGGGTAAAGGGTTCCGTATTGCCAGAGGAAAGGACCATTCTCTTGGAGGAGGCCTTCCAGGGAACTGCAGCCTGGGCCTCCATTGAGCCAGATGGTGATTTCATCCTTTGCAGCAGGGTTCTCAGATGGGAAGTACCAGAAGTAAAGTTCACGGCTCTCATCTTTCCTGGTCGAAATTGGCATCAGACCAGCATATGATTCACCAATGTCGAACTGGACCTCTGGGATCTTGGTGCCATCGACGGCATACTCTACATAGCATCAATGTTAGCAACTGTTGTTTCCGGGAAGGGAGTTCCCCCCCCCCCCCCCGCATGTACCTGTTGAGTCAGAAGCTCCAATTGCTCTAGAGCAATTGAAAGAAAAAGGAGGAACTAACTCTTTGTCTTGCCATTCAGACGAGAAGCAGTCTGACGCTTCTCTACTGGAGGGATTGCAGAAAAGTCGTAGTTTGGAAGGTTGCGAGCAGCTGGGTCTCTTCTGCCTACATGCTGCAAGCTTCGTAGGAAAGGAAGGCTCGCAGCCGCAGCAGCATCTATGGCAGAGAGGGCCAAGACGAAATAAGAGAGCCCGCGCATCTTCGAAGAGTAAAGGTGGAATCTAACCACACACGACTTGCTCTTGAAGAGAGTGAATCAATCAATCTATATATGTTTGATTCTGGCGCGCAGACAAGAGAAAGGAGGAGAAAAAAAAAGGAAAGAAGCAGAGCTGCGGACGATCTCCATGGTAAATATACTGCCTTCGAGAAGAACCAAAAAGAAAATTTCTCTTTCCCCTCCCTTGACAGCTGCTGGGATAACTCGTGCTCGGGCATATTTTCGTGTTGGATATAATTTCAATTTCCGGGATATACGGCCAGATGTGGAGATGTCAAGGTAGGGATTTCCCCATTCCCCCGCGTAGGATCGCACCTTGGGCTCGTATTGCCATGGCAGAGCTAAGCGATAAGAAGGTAACCCCGTATAGTTTGATTGCGATCTTGAATGGCCAACCGAGCTAAGCTTTCCAAGCCGGATGGCGACTTTCTTCGCCCATTCTTTGATTCTTCTGCGGCGAAAAAGGAAGAAGCATGTGGTTGTACTCCGTACTGTATATTAGTCTGCATAGCTGCCCGCCACAGGAGACACTCAAAAAGCCACCCCAAAAAAAGCCCAGAGTAAACAGGCTTGGAGGGATTCAGATGTACCTAAAAGCCAATCCCCGGCCCAGTAGCTCTGCTATCACAGGCATCTCGTCTCTCCCCAGGGTGGGCGACCCAATCTCGGTCTAGCGACGGTGCTGGGGTTTACGAGCTAGCGAGCAACCCTGGTTGCCCGCGGGCCTTCCGGAGAACATGTCCTTGGACAGCAAGCTGGGCCGACAGACTGTTTAGCTGCATATGGTGAGGGTGCTGGGCATGGAGCGCCAACGGACAGTGGCAACCTGCGTCACTGTGCTGTCACTCTGCATGTTGGCTATGTTTATCACTGGAGCTGGAGCTGCCCTGCATGGTGACAACATGCAGTCTGTGAGCGAACAACGACGAAGACGCCATGCTTTCCCCCACAAATCCATCACCAGGCCCGCCATATGAGGACCCAGGGCGCCGTCAATCGGCCTGCAAGGACGGAGCGCGCTCGCTCACGGCTTGAGATTGTCGTTTCTTCGGCTTTTTGAAGTCGAAAAGTCGAAATTTCCAGCAGAGAAAATTATCAACAGTTGAAGATCGACGTTGCATTTCCTCTTTGAGATGTGAGATTATATAATAGAATAGAGTTAGTCACGTGCCAAAGTATATCAAAATTGTTGAAGACGAAAAGAAGGGAAAAGAAGATAAACAAGCAGAGGAAGAAGCAGAAGATTAAGAAGAAAAAGAAGAAGAAAGACAGGATGGGAGGAAACTATGGACCAGCGATGCCGCCGAAGAGGAAGCTCGACAGTGAAAGCGAAGAAGACGGAGATATCGGGCCAGCCAGACCAGACACGCCGCCGAAGAAGCCCAGAGTGATGGGCCCAGTGATGCCCCCGAGCTTTCGGCCAGAGAGTGATAAAGACGAAGAGGAAGACAGTCACGATGACGAGGACGACAGTGATGATGATTATGGGCCCTCGCTGCCTCCCCCCGCCTCCTCCAGCTCCGCCGTGCAGCAGCACGAGACCCCCACAGAGCCGATTCCAAGCAGAGCAGACTCCAAGCCAGAGGTAATCCAACGAGACGACTGGATGCTGAAGCCGCCCGATCAACTCGGCCTTTCAGCGCGTATGGACCCTACAAAGCTGAAGAACCGAAAATTCAACACCGGAAACCCCGCTCGACCGGCGGCTTCAAAGGCGGGTGGCCCATCAAATACTTGGACCGAGACTGTGGAGGAGAAGAGGAAGCGTCTGCAGAATGAAGTCATGGGCATTCAGGCGCCGGCTGCTGCATCGACTGCATCTGAGCCGGATGCTGGGAAGGCATTGGCGGCGGAAAGAGCGGAAAAGATGTCCAAGCATGTCCGCGAATATAACGTGAGTTGTCACCTCTCATATATATATATACTACTACTAGTAGTAACCTACTACTTGAGTGAGCTGCTGGCTAAATTGCTTGTGAATCAATAGGAAAAGAATAGGAACAAGTCATTGTATTCTCAGCACAAGGCCAGCACCGAAGAGCAGGAAAAGGACGACCCCAGTGCCCGAGCGTTCGACAAGGAGAAGGATATCAGGGCTCCGTCCAAGATCAGCCATTCTCAGCGTCGGGAGATGCTCAACAAAGCTGCCGACTTCAACTCACGCTTCTCCGGAGGAAGCTTTCTATAGAACTAATGACTACATGAAGATACCATTGTATAACTTTGTGTGTGTGTGAGAGAGAGAGGTGGGGAGAGGGTGTTGTGAGTGAGTGAGTGGTCTCAACTATCGTCGATCTCCATGGGATCGGAATCGTAGCCAGGCAACTGTTCGTCGTCCACAGCCATGTCCGGCAGCGGTGTCCTGTCTCCCTCCGCCTGTCCGTTGTAAGTCTCTGCCATCTTCTCTCGGGCTCGCTCTCTTGCGTCCGTCATCACTGCCCGAACACTGTCCTGTTCAGCCGGTATTCCCAGCGCTGCCGGAACGCGGTAGAGCACCAGCTCGTTGTTCCTCTCCTCCTTTGGTTTATGCGTAAGCACTGATTTCGGGATCGACATGAGCTGCTTCTCCATCTCCGGCATGACTTTAAACGTCTGCCTGCTCTCTTCCTCCTCTATCTGGGCGATCTCGTCCTCTAGATCCGTGATGTATACTCGGGTTTTGGTGTCGTCGACCTGCATGCCATCGCCGTTGCTGCTGGCCCGCGAGGACGTGTATTTCGACGGCGAGCCTGCATGCTCTCGTCCGTCTGCCTGTCTCTGAGCTTCTAGACCGTATCTTCCTCCTCCTGCTGCTGTTGCTGTCGTCGTCGTGGGCGTAATCAGTGCCTGTTCGGATAATCTGTCTGTAGAAAGATAAAAATCAACCAAGCTGTTAGCCTCCAGAAGCTGCAAAAACTCCCCAGATTTTCTCCCAAGGAAAAAAACACCAGCCCGTCCGTCTCCTGCGTTTCTTCAAGGCTCTATCCAGCCCGTCAATCGACAAGGAAACAGGCACAAGCACAAAGACAGGGTAAAAAACAGCTTTCATACCGAGTCGCAGGCGGCCAAACTTCTTCCTCAGTCGCCTCTCGCCGTCGAGCTCCTCCTCTGCCGCTCGCTTTCCGCGACGTTTTTCGACTCTCCCCGCCGCTGCTGGCGCCATTGATCAGGCATCACAGTGCTGTCAGAGCCCGGCGCCGTCGAGGAGCATCGCTTCCGCCCTAATATAGCCCTGTCGTGGTGTGGTTGCTGCGGCAGAAGAAGAGCGAACGCGCCAGAAACAGCCCCGGCAGCAGCAGCAGCAGCAGCAGCGCAGCTTGGATGGGCGCAAGGTTTGCTTGGTCGCCAAATCCACTCTTGGGTGTGACTCGCTCGCTCTCGCTCAGCGCCAGCTCGACTCCCACACTCCGCTGCCACAATTTCGCCCTCCGCAGCTCATCGCATCGCTGGACCTGGACGCCGCTCAGGATGGCTGCCTCGACTTCTTCTCAACCGCCCGCCGGCCAGCAGACGGTGGAATGGCCGGCGTTGCGCGTGCGTGACACATTCCTCGACTACTTCAAGAAGAACGGCCACACATTCGGTATGACTCCTGGGCCCCGTCCCCGGTGCAGTCTCTGTCTATACGCTCCTCTAGAGGATGGATCTTGGGCTGGGGATCCCTTGTGAGCTGCTTGCTGACCTTCTTTGCAGTGCCGTCGTCGTCGGTTGTGCCGCTGTCGGATCCCACCCTGCTGTTCGCCAACGCGGGGATGAACCAGTATAAGAGCATCTTCCTAGGCACCGTTGACCCCAATTCCGACTTTGCACAGCTGAAGCGTGCGCATAACTCGCAGAAGGTCCGTCTCCCCTGTGTCTACTCTATAACATGTATGCTAACTGGCAGTTTCAGTGTATTCGTGCTGGAGGAAAACATAACGTATGACCCCGCAATCGCTCATATCAAAACGGTATAAAAAAAATCTTTCAGCGGGATACTAATGGGTCAATAGGATCTTGATGATGTTGGAAAGGACAGTTACCATCATGTGAGTGCGCCCATTGCAGTGCCAGATGGATTCGAGCTGACCCGTCCCCCCTGGTATAGACATTTTTTGAGATGCTGGGAAACTGGAGTTTTGGAGACTATTTCAAAAAGGAGGCCATACAATTTTCCTGGGAGCTTCTCACCAAGGTTTACGGTTTGGATCCTGATAGACTCTACGTTACCTACTTTGAAGGAAACGAGGCAGCCGGCGTTGGCCCTGACATAGAAGCAAGGGATATATGGCGGAGTGTCGGCGTGAAAGATGACCATATCCTCACAGGTGACATGAAGGACAACTTCTGGGAGATGGGAGACCAGGGCCCTTGCGGACCTTGCAGTGAAATCCATTATGACAGAATTGGAGGCCGAAATGCTGCTCATCTCGTTAACCAGGATGACCCGGATGTGCTCGAGATCTGGAATAACGTGTTTATACAATATAACCGTGAGCCAGACAGGTCTCTACGGCCACTGCCCAACCAGCATGTCGATACTGGTCTAGGATATGAGAGACTGGTCTCCATCCTCCAGAACAAGTCGTCGAATTATGATACCGATGTGTTTACCCCCCTGTTTAACGCCATTCAAAACATCACAGGTGCTCGGCCGTACACCGGCAAATTTGGTGCCGAGGATGCAGATGGAATAGACACTGCCTACCGAGTGGTTGCTGACCACCTTAGAACACTGACTTTTGCCATTACTGACGGAGCTGCACCCAACAATGAAGGACGGGGCTACGTTGTTCGTCGAGTGCTTCGAAGAGGTGTACGCTACGCCAGAAAGTACCTACAGGTCGAAATTGGCAGCTTCTTCTCAAAACTTGTCCCAGCTCTCGTAGAACAGATGGGTGACATGTTCCCGGAAATCAAGCGAAAGCAAACGGATGTCATGGAGATCTTGGACGAAGAAGAAGTGTCGTTTGCCAAAACCCTCGATCGTGGTGAACGCCAATTTGAGAACTACGCTCAGCAGGCGTTGGACTCCGGCGCTGGAAAACTCCATGGTGCCGATGTCTGGCGACTCTACGATACCTTTGGCTTCCCTGTCGACCTTACTCGCCTGATGGCAGAAGAGAGACAGTTGACCATTGACGATGCCGAGTTTGAAGAGGCCCGTCTCAAGGCCAAGGAAGCCAGTAAAGGTCAGGCTAAAACTGCCTCTGACCTCCTCAAACTGACTGTTCACACCCTGAGCACACTTGAGAAGAACGGTGTCCCAAAAACTGACGATGATGCCAAGTTTGGAAAGGGAAACATCGTTGCCAACATCAAGGCTATCTGCCATGGAAAGGAGGTCATTGACTCGACCAAGGACATCCCTGCCAATGAGCAGATTGGTATCATTCTCGACAAGACCAACTTCTACGCCGAACAAGGTGGTCAAGAGTACGATACCGGAAAGATCGTCATTGACGGTCAGGCCGAGCTGGATGTTCAGAACGTTCAGATGTACGGCGGCTATGTTCTACATACTGGCTTCATCAAATACGGTAACTTCTCTGTCAACGACTCTGTCATTGCAGAATACGATGAACTCCGTCGATGGCCAATCAGAAATAACCATACTGGTACCCATATTCTCAACTTCGCTCTTAGAGAGGTTCTCGGTGATGGTATCGACCAGAAGGGGTCCCTTGTTGCCGCCGAGAAACTACGTTTCGACTTCTCTCACAAATCCGCCATCTCGGACAGTGATCTAGAGAAGATCGAAGCCAAGTCTACCGACTACATCCGCCAGAACTGTGCTGTCTACTCACAGGAGGTTCCTCTCGCAACTGCTCGTGAGATCACCGGCGTTCGTGCTGTGTTCGGAGAGACATACCCCGATCCTGTTCGCGTGGTATCCGTCGGCGTTGAGCTTGACGAGATTCTAAAGAATGTCAAGGACCCTCGCTGGGAAGGTGTCAGTATCGAATTCTGCGGTGGCACCCACGTCCAAAAGACCGGTGATATCAAGGACCTCGTCATCCTCGAGGAGAGCGGTATTGCCAAAGGAATTCGTCGTATCATTGCCGTAACAGGTGAAGATGCACATGAAGTCCAGCGTGTCGCTCGCGAGTTTGGTGAACGACTCAACCGCTTCGAAAAGATGCCTGCCGGTCCCGAGAGGGATGCTGAAATTAAGAGTCTGCAAGTCGATCTTAACCAGCTTACCATCTCTGCCGTTGAGAAGACCAAATACCGCAACCAGTTCACCCAGATCCATAAGAAGATCACGGATGCACAGAAGGCCGCTCAGAAGGCTGAGGTGAAGACTGCCATTGATGCTATCTCAGCCTACTTTGAGGAGAACAAGGACAGCCCATCACTCGTCATCAAACTGCCTATCACTGCAAACCAGAAGGCAATCAGCGAGTCGTTGAATCACGTCAAGACAAAGTTGAGTGGTAAGGCGTTGTACGTCTTCGCCGCTGATGCATCCAAGGTTGCCCACGGATGCTACGTGACTCCCGTACGTTTCCCCTGCCAATCCCCAACTACAACCCTAGTACTTGCCACTAATGTATCTTTTCATAGGATCTCACCACCAAGGGTGCATCAGCTAACGAGTGGGCTAGCGCCGTGTCTAGCATTGTTGGAGGCAAAGCAGGAGGCAAGGCACCCGTTGCGATCGGCAACGGTACTGAAGTTAACAAAGTCGACGAGGCTTTGGATGAAGCCACAAAGTATCTAGAGAAATTCAAACTCTGATCAGGCTTCTGACCCTCGTTTACGCTTGGGTGACAAATTCTGCATTTATTCCTGTTTTCTTGCATCTGTTTTTAACTTCATCGGAAAGGGTATATCATATCATCGGTGGGGGTTCATATAGTAACTATAAAGATAACGAATGCATCATAGATTTGGTGCCTTGTTCATTAAAAGAGCTGACGTGTAATAGCCGTTTACAAGTGTAGATAAGCATTTTAAAACAAATCTGTACGACCCCAGCTATAGCGCATCTAGCTATCTTTTAAACCAAGCTCGTGCACGTTTGAGATACTGCGCGATATGTGTCATGCCGTACCTGTGGTCGTTGGATAATTGCGTTTGTCGTTCCTAACTGCAGCTATCCGATCCTGCAGGCTCAGCCTTCCTTCACCGTCTCAAGAAAGGCACTTGGAGATATTCATGACTTTCCACGCCCATCGTATCGCCAACCCTTTTTTAGAGTTGCCTTATTTGGCTGAACCATCATCCTTCATTACATCTCTCCGCACTGTGCGATCACAACGTCCTGGTTGGGCTTGTCCCTCGTAGTTCGCGTATTCTCTATCATACGCACAACATCCATACCATCCACCACACGGCCAAAGACAACATGTTTGTTGTTAAGAAATGGTGTGGCGGTGGTAGTTATGAAGAATTGGCAGCCGTTGGTATTTGGTCCAGAATTCTTCACCAAGCATATCCCAGATTAGCACATATTCAGAAACAATAATAAGGAATATAGAAAGGAATCAAGCACATACAGCCATGCTAAGCACACCCGGTCCATCGTGAGTAAGGTTGAAATTTTCATCCGCAAACGAGCCTGTTCCATATATGCAGGCTCGACCAGATCCGTCACCATTAATGAAATCTCCGCCTTGAATCATAAAGTCTTTAATCTATGAATGCATCAGCATCTGCATCGTAAAGTAGTCTGACAATTCATGCATCCTATCGCGCTAACTATGTCGCAGATAAAAGACTTACAACTCGATGAAACTTGCAGCCTTTGTAACCCTGCGGCCGGCCACGAGCATTCTTCGTCTCACCGGTACAAAACTGTCTGAAGTTCTCAGCTGTACGAGGTACAACTTTGGAAAACAGTTCTATTTTAATACGTCCGAGTGGTTCACCTATATACCGCGTCAGTATATAGAACGAGCTGGTGGTGGAGGCGGTTCATTTAGGTACCTCCAAGTGTTATATCAAAAAACACGATGGGGTTAGGGTTGTCCCCTGCAGGGGTAGACGGCTGTTGTGCACTCATTTTCCAAATTATTTACTCTTGTGGTATTGGATTGATAGAAGTGGTTTGCAGGATTGTTGTTCTGATACGTTGGTTGATAGTTTAATATGCGTGGGCCATTAAGATGTTGGATAATTGGCGAACTAAAATAAGCGCAGCCGCGCACAAGGTCAAACACTTGAACCTGGACCAGAGTAAAATTCGTATACCCAGAACCAGGACCCGGCCGTGAACCTGATGATCTTCTAGAAGTGGGTTTTATTATCAGGAATGAGGCTCAAATGGATTTGGTGATCAGAATATGTTCATCATATCGGGTAATTTTGTGTCCGTGTATTATCAGTTTATGTACTAATTGCATCCTATGCCACCTCCCTTTCATATACACTATCACCAAGGTCCACGATCAACGTAGTTAAGGGCCACCACTATATTATATCCAGCGTTCCATAAATGTCATTGAATGGTCACCTCGACTATGGGGGACTGAGGCTGAAGCCTATAGTCCATATGTCCTGCGCGAACCCCAACTGCCTAGGCTGTCTCTTTTCATTCGCCCTAGTGCCAGCCTACGACGAGGGAGAAGGAGTAGGCTCAGAGACGGGTTTACAAAGGAAGCTGCGAACTTCGAATTTAAACCTGGAGATGTTTTCCGTATAGTGATCTGTCATCCTTCCCTTGCATTCAGGTTGCCTAACATGTCTCAGTCAGCAATAGGAAGGGGCATAGAGTTTGAATATAAAGCAAAAGAGAAAAGAAAACGCCAATAGTCCGGAGACGATGGAGGGTAGACATACGAATAGAAGACACAGTCGTAGCCTTGAGGGATATCTGCGGCTCTGCGTGATTCCAGTTAGTGTCGACACGCGACTGATCCTGTGGTAAAGTATACATACTTAATCCAAGTGTTGAAGTCACTACACTGGCCGTCTTGCACAGCTACTGGGAAAGGAGACAAAGTGCCATTCGGCGATTCGTAGTAACCGACAACCTGCTGTAGCATTTGTTAGCACACATTTCGACCAAGCGTGGAAAGAAATGATGAGTCTGAGAGCCAAGTGTATATAAGTGAGGTCCCTACCTTTGGATCTTGAGCAACAACGGCTGTGGCGCAAAGGCCTAGAAACACTGCAGCGAGTGAACTGACGAGATGCATTCTGGCAAGGATGGAAATAAGAAAAACAAGAAGAGAAGGCTGGTTAGTGTTAAAGTGGCTTTTTATCAAACGAAACCGCGAAGACGGTCGAGCCCGTTTATATAAAGATGAACATGCGGCAGGATGCATCTGCCGGGGCCTCGGTCTTGGAGGGCAACCCGTATTCTTGGGTGCCATTTTAGAAAGGACTGAGCCTAAGCGAAATCCACCAGTAGCACTGATGCGATTCAGCAAGTTGAACGACTAATAGTTAGACTACTAGATCGTCATAACTATAAATCCAGTGGCGTCTGATCGCAATGGGTTTTTTCCTTTTGATAACATTTGGAATATGATTCCGAGTCCAGGTTCAGTTCCGTCCAAGACGGAACTGTTGGCAGGCCCAGCTATTAATAACAATGGCTGGGGGGAAAAAGGGGGGTATTTGAGCCGAATAATTCCAGTTTAAATCTGGTGCACTGACATTCGTATTTCCGACTGTGCTTGGGGGTATAGAAGACTTTTTTCTCGTCTAATGGAGCTGCCGTCTTCCAGCTATGGAACCGCCTAGAGCGAACCTCTACTTAGGGCGGAACCAACCCCCCCCCCCCTGTACCCCATCAGAGATCCTTACTCCGTACTCCGTACATCTGCTGCTGTTCCGCTGGAGTTCATCGTTTATCGCGATCATCGCAGACAAGATTGGAGTTGTTCGGTAGATGTACCCGCACAGAGTTTGCGGAGTGGGAACGCAGTTCATCGCCTTCATTTTTGTTCTTTCGGAGACGGGATGATCCGAGGGCCAGGAGAGCTCGTCCTAGCCCATCGCAGGAGTCCCGACAGCTTCACCAGATGCAGCTGTGCCAGGCAGTGCTCCCGTAGAAGCAGTGTATCCGTAGCGTTGATGTGTGTTAAACAACGGCCGTTTTCTTTGTCGTTGGAAGAAAGTTGAGGCCGAAATCCAGCAGTCACGTGGTGCCCTTGCTTCCGAGGATTCCAAAGGATTCCCAAAGGGGCATCTTTGGACGTCACTTGTGCCGTTTGTATCTTTTTCGTATGCGCAAGTGAATACGCAGCGAGATGCACAGCGACGCAGAGGACGAGATGCACAGCCAAGCGGGATCCAGGGCAGCGGCTATATTCTCCCTACACTGACCACTGAGAGAGACAGGCGAACGGCCGAGTTGCACGCAGAAGAGCGCTCTGAAACGCGGGGGATATACGCCTGGGATACCTCTGCTGGCGGTACCCCGTATTTGCTGGAGGCCGAAAGAGGTATCCGAGTACGCCACCAGGGTTGAGAAAGAACGCCGAAAGGAGGCGTCTTGACGGCGATCAGGACGGCGCTTGGAAAAAGAAACGGGTTCTTCTTCGCCTAGTTGCAAGGAATGATAGCACATTGTCGCACCGGACGCTCGAGGACTTGATAACTGCAGGAAGCAAGACTTGCTCGGCCAAACCAGCAGGACGGACGAGACAGAAGACAAACAACTACGGAGAACGGACTACGCTGAGATAGCGATACCTAGAGAGAGACAGGCGAGAGACAGGGGGCGTATACAAGACGGCACGACTCGCTGCAGGCTCATCCTTTTAACCCTTGACTCAATCGCAGGTGGCAGCTAGTGTGCTGCGTCCTTCTCCACCCCGGACCAGCTAGCCGTGAGATATTACGTTCACGTCTCACTACTCGATATTATATTCAGAAGAAATACTCGACGGTCGAAGGAGCCAGGCAAGACAGGGGCAGAACAAGGCAGAAACGCCCATAGCTGCCATTTGAGCAGGGCCTTGCCCTATTTTTCGCCTCTATCTCTGGGACTCTCCGCCTGGGTCTAGACATATATGTTATTGTTGCCAATTTGCTGGGGCCCCTTCGCTTCGACTCCATAACATTTCGCACTCCTTCTCCACAGCTAAAAGACACAGCGCTCTTCGATCGATGAAGAACCCGCCAAGATCGGCCTGTTTCGCCCTCAACGCCCTCAAAGAGACTGCTGGCGATCGTTTTTTGGGCCAGCCGGCTTGAATCATCGAATTGGACAATTCGATTTGGGCCTACGCCATTCTCGGACCTGTCACGAATCAGAACCAGCCTGCACTCGAGTGGCTGAGTGTTGACTTATAATCCCCCCCTTTATCCCTGCAGGCTCGCAGCCTTCAGGCTTTTTTAGAGCGCTCAAGACCAGTGGTTTTTGCTCTTGTTCTCCTCTTTCCGTCGAGACCCGCTCTCCGCTGTATCATAATCGTCTCCTGGGACGCTGGTGTGGATTACGTTCTTGCTTACGCCTGAACTTCTGGTTTCTGCAGAAGGCTTGATTCTTTGATCGTTTTTTCTACATATTTGCTCGCTGCTCTGTCTTCCCATTTCCTCACCGACCGACCGACGGCGTCGATCGAACTCGCTTGGTTGTTGTGCTGCTACACAACGGCCTCCCATATCCGTTGTGCCTTACAACCATGACTACCCCTTCGCCGTCGTCTACACCCGGAGCAAGTGGCGAGTCGGGGTCAAATAACTCGCCTTTACTCTTCTTTGTTGCGCTCGGCTTTGGAGTCGTCTTCACGAATCTATGGTATTTCACAACACTCCTTTATATCACTCGCTTTTATGGACAGATATTACACTCATTTGAGTCAGTCTCTAACTTGACCGATGGACAGGATTATTGTCGGCGTGAAATATTGCTTTCGCTATAACCAGCGACATCGCCAGGCTCGAAATGATGATAATGGCGACCCCATCGACATGGTTAACGTCCCTAGGACTCATCGTAGGAGGAGGGAGAAGAAACTCATGTCGATGGAAGACGTTAACAGTCGATTTCCCATCACAAAGTACAAGAGTTGGCGTGCTTCAAGGGCTGAAGCAGGCCTGCCTACTGCTGGTGGTATTGACAGCAACATCGACACACATACAAGCCGACAAGCAGGCCACCAGGAATCCGGAATTATCGATACATCTCGCACGACGACTTCGGCAGACCGAGGCGAGTGCTCTGGCGCGATGAGCCCTGACAGCATGCTAGGGCGGAAATCGACCGACATCCAGGTACCTCCTGCAGCTCATGTACCTGCGGAGAAATCGACCACTGTACAGCCTCCTACTTCGCAAACAAATCCATCGCAGCGTATATCTACCGATAACCACAGCCTGAAACATACCGACTCTCACCTCCCCGAACACGACGATGATGACCATGACGACCACATTTCTCATGCTATTACCAACGATCTCATCGCCAACCCTGGTGACTCTTGTGCCATCTGTCTCGACATTATTGAAGATGATGATGATGTGCGCGGCCTCACTTGTGGCCATGCATTCCACGCCTCTTGTGTCGACCCTTGGTTGACTAGCCGCCGTGCCTGTTGTCCTCTGTGTAAGGCTGACTACTTCACTCCCAAGCCACGGCCCGAGGGCGAGGCTCCCGAAGAAGACCGCCGTGAACGTGGGAGAAGACATGGCAACAACAATGGGGTCAGTGAGGGTGAATCACCTTATCAGACTGCCCGTATGCCACCGTTTGCCTCAAGAATGGTTTTAGCCGGTAGATTCATGCCGATGCTTCCGGGTGAAGAAAACAATCGCTCTGCTCGTGATCGAGGCCTTCGTGTTGCTGGAGACCATGCAAATGCTGACGCAGGTCAAGACGGCACTCAGCCACAATCCAACGGATGGAGATCTCGCCTGCCGCGCCTGAATATCCCCTTCGGGAGAAATAGGACCAACGGCTCTCAGCAGGGCGATGCAAATGCATCGTCAGTTGTGGCTGATCCTCCTACACCAAGACAACTGGAATCTGCTAGCCATGTCTCAAGATAGACAATCTAGTCTTGGGATGGCTTATACCCCTCCGCCGCTGTACCATACGTACTCAATCCTCACTTCATCCTCCAATCTACGACTCATCTATGATCCGATTATCGCCATTTACCTCATCTATCACTGGAACGAATAACGACCAATCCAAAATCGCACCCTACTTTTCTATTCCCTGAGTTTAGTTTAGCAGGAACATACCCATATGTCCCTTGGGGACAGCATTTTACATATCTGCCCGACGCCATATAGTATTTTTTACCCCCCTGCCTTAACGTTGTTCAATATCGAGCAGTGTTGATACTTTTATAGTTCAGCAACTTGTCCATACTAGTCATTTAGCTGTTCGATTTTATGCTCCGTTTGCTTTCCTATCTGCCTTGCCCATTTACACTCCTGATACCCCCATCTACACACCTCGCTCGTCACTTCCATGCATTGTGTCTACTGGTTTTTCATTGCGCCTGTTTTTTACACCGTGACTTTACTGGTCTGGCTGCTGAATGTTCCGATTTTTTTTTTATACTTTTCTTTCTTTCCTTTATCTTTGGGGCGTTGCATCTATTTTGCTTCAGGTGCAAAGGATTTCTTGATGATTAGTTGATTGGCATGCCCTGGGATTTTCGATCAGTTGATATCCAGTAGCTTATCTATCTAATGGGAACAAGAAGCAAAGAATGACCTACTCTATATGATATTGTATATGATAGATTTACTTGAATCTCTTTTGAATTACCCTATCCCCGAATTTGAGCTCTAATATACGTGTTTTTATATTAAGGTGTGACCATAAATCGCATAACCTAGTAATGTAGATTATCATATTGGTGCATGTCCCAGGACAAAAAGGACATAGTTAAATGTAGGGTTGGATATATATGATTGAACCGAAGAGCAGACGTATAGGAAATACTATACAAGCAAATTAATAACCCGCACATAAACTGCAAAATGTAGATCGACAAACACTGATATGGAAAAGAAATATGTTGAAGCCTCGTTTCATCACTTCTGCTTGGGGGGCGCGACGCCTGCACTGAGCACACCAGGCAACTCCTCTTCTCCAATGCTAAACAGCATTCCGACACCATAGGCAACTCCCAAAACGAGGACCACACTCAACCCGCCGATAAGCCAGAACTGCATGCTGACGTCCCTCTTTGAGCAGTCAGGGCCGCCCCACTGGACAGTCTTTGTCTTCCCATCTTTGTTGGTGGAAACAACAGTGCGGTGACACTTGCATGCATAGCAATCATTCTCGTTACTAGAGGAGGTGGAATTCTTCGAAGAAGTGCGTTTCAGATAGCATGATCCATGTCCCGAGCAGTTATTAGTTCGCTCAGTGCAGGTTTCATTCTTGGTGTAGCATACGGGCAGATGGAATGCGGGAGTAGGGTTGGCGGTGGCAGATGGTCTAGCCATAGAGGTGGAGGTGGCATCAGCACGGACAGCTTTCTTAGCAGCAGGTAAGCTCTGATGAAGTTTCAGCTTGGATTTGTCGGCAGGGAGGCGTGCCTGGCTGCGGTTCTTGGTGTAGGTGTCGTATGGGACTGTTATGACGGTGGATTCCACGTTGAGGTCAGAGCTAAGAGCAGCAAGGGACTTGAAAAGGGAAGTGAATTCCCCATTCTGGAGAAGGGGAGATTCCTAATGAAAGTAACTTGTAAGAATATGATATGCCATATATCGCGAGATTGGGTTTCGACTTACAGAAGCTCTAAGACGGATAACAAAGGACGTATGTTTATATGTAGAGGAGCCCGCAATGACTTGCTCAATAAGTTTCTGGATCTTGGCCGACCCTGATGTACAGTCCGGCATCTCGGAGAAAAGTTGGGCATCCTGAGGGCAGGCACCGGAGTTCTGGGAATGGTTAGTCCATCGAGATGCAATAGAAAGAGGCAGCTTATCTGGTTCGAAACTCACCTGGCTTCTCAGGGCTACAAACCCGGTACACGAGGCCTCTTCTTCGCCATATAGACAGGTATTTGGATCATGGCAACTCTGTGACTTTTCTGAAACGAATGAAGATAATATCGAATCGTCTAGATAGAATGCTGATGGGCTTGAAATGGAGAAATCGTGTGGTGTTTTTGACTCCAGCGATTTGACTAAACATCATCAAGTTAGCAACAGGATCCATCGACTTCTTCAAGTCCCATACACAACCATGCACTTACTGTCTTCTGAGCCCACGCCTTCAAGGATCAATAGTAGCTTGTGTGGCTGCTCTTTGTTGGTGTCGGTAAAGGGCAATGCCTGCTGGCCTCCAAAGAGATTCAATTCCCGGATAGTCTCCTCATCCACTTCGCCAACAGTAGAGGATGATTCAGGCCATCCCAATCGCCGTTCTAGCAGCAGTTTCGCAATATCCGGGCTCCGTTGTCGACTATCTCCAGCTCTCGGCTTCCAAGAATCCACGCCCGCGCCGTCCTGAAGCATATGAACGAGATAATCCTGGGCGAAGGATGTAGCTGTAAACGCGGACAGCACCACCGCTAGGTTGCAGAAGACGGTTTTCATCGTGATGGCGCTCGTAGTCGTAGCTCTATGGATGCAGTCAGGTCAACTAAACACAGGAGCTTGCCTGGTATCGATCGTGTTGATGGCGACAGCTGGTCACTCTCCCAGCTACCCTGCGCAGCCAAAGTCGTCAGCACTAGACAGAGCAGAAGCTATCTCATCTGCTGGACCGTAGCTATCGACGACCGTCGGCGAATGTGGTCGATTCTGTCTCTTCGTCGCTGGTTGTCTTGACCATCTCAACCTGAAGCAACTCAGCTTCATCCAACGACGTGAGAGAGGTTCACGTGACTGAGATAGTTCCAATTCATAACTTAACTCCATAACTAATCACCGACTTCCAGAAAAAAATGTTGATAGACGCAAAGAGACGAGGCAGAGAGACAGGATAGAGAGACTAACCATTCGACTCCTGCATTTTTCGCACTTTTTTTACTTATAATCTTGATTGCTCATTTACTATACACACTTGCAGATACCCGATTCCTCTTCGTGTCCATTCTCCCAGCGATTTTAAAGGTGGTCTGACCGGGATCCTCCACGTCCACAGCGCGACTCGGCGAAGCGAATGCCAGGACTGATCTCCAGATCTTCAGTATGCTTTTGCGAATATAAATATACAAAAGGACGCCTGGTCAAATGAGTCTATTTTTCAGGGCGACAGGCTTCCGCCGTCCGTTGGTGCTCTTCCAGGTACGGCGTTTGATATCCTACCAACCACACGGGTTGATACGAGTACAACGAGTGAGAATAAGGGAAACATGGTTCCGGTGCGCCTCCTCCATATGACTGGGACCAGAGGAGCATATAAGCTTCGGGGGTGAGCACTGGCTAACACTTGTTTGTTGTAAACTAGGCGAACACTTTGGACCATCGCGGCCTATGGCATCGGGACATATATGTGGGCGGAAATTGCTCTAAGGCCGCTTGATAAATTGGAAATTGATCCCGAAGAAGATGGACCTAGGAAACTAGAGACAACGGGAGTACAAAGGCCTGCTCGATCTCTGGGTGTTAATGATGACGAGAATGACACCGAGGAAGGGAAGGAGGATGATGAACCTATATTTATTCCACTTGGGTTGCCCCGCCTGGTAGAAGGGGAACCGTACACTCCAAACGATCCCGAATGGCACACGAATGCCAAGTTAGCCCGTGCCTCGGGCAATTTGCGATTCATTAAAGGTAGGATAGATTGGCAGGCATTGTTCACGGCTGGCTTTGTTAAGGGGCTAACATGGACATCTAGACCATCTCGTAATGCATGTATTGGAAAGCTTCTCCCGAGACCCTCGTATCATTCGCTTCACTGGAAGCCCTCTCCAAGTGAGATTCCTCCATCTAACTCATGCATTTCCATACAAAACGCCCCCAACATATATGCGGTCTGGGTAAGCTTGTTGTAGCACCTCCGAGCTTTTAATTGTCCTATACTAAGGGGATTTGCAGATTGGAATGGTCCGATGATGGGTTTAAATGGACTTCGCAGCCTGTAACCACAGAAAGAGGGGACCTGATATGGAACGTGCTTGAACCACTTCGAGTCACGGCGTCATTCATACGCGCAGGCTATTATTATCTTGCACTGAAACGCGCCAGACTGGAAAGCTTTCTGAATAGACTGCGTTTCAATAATAACGGCCGGCTCGAGGCTCAGCGCCAGGCGGAAGAATCAGTCAACACCCCATATATCCTGCCCATTCTATCTTGGATGCCTGGAAGTAGCGAAGACACATCGACCTTTCAGAAACCCACGATGCTGGATAAACCAGACGTCAGGAGCAGCAGCCCCTTTCAGCCCGTTGTCGTCTACGATTTAACAGACAAAAACAGATATGGGGAGAATGATAAAATGCCCGATCTACGTTCCGCGGTGGGATTGTTCTTGATGATGCTAAGACAATCGCCAGGCAGGTATAAGTCGCCGCCACCTGGGGTGTTCATTATTGCAGGGATGATAACCCTACATGGACCAGAGGGCTGGTGCAATGTTTACGCAAAAGGGGTTTACGACCCCACGAACAACAGGGTGGAAGTTGGTATGGATTTGGTATCTATCATGCCTTATTTCTAGGCACCGCGCCGCAATTCGTGATACCCCGGTTTTGTCTGATTGGCGGGATCATGCCCTTTTCGTGCCTTTTATAATGCGTCACAGAGGTGTTCCAGATATTGCCTTTGACGATTTTCTTTTCCATTCTATGCTTGTCTTCTGTCGCTTATTCGATAGACGGTGTTTGGAGCGGGCCTCGGTATATACCTCTTTTTCTCCTTGCTTCTCTTCTTTAGGATCGGTTTGTCCAGTTTGTATTGATAGAGAGACGTAGTCCCTTTTCCTCAAGACTGTATATCCAGTGTTGTTATTTGACCCACTGTTCAGACTTGATATTGTGAGTCTCTGGCATGGCTGCGTATGACGTAATGTAAATATGGATAGCTTCTGAAAAGGCTCGCGGGGTTGAAATAACCAACAACAACCGATAACCAACCGATAGAATTGACATCTTACTCTAGCCCGCCTGGAAGTGTGCTCCATTGAGACCTTGAATCTGTCTGTTAAAGCCCTACCGGTGCAAACATGTCTCTTCAACCAAAATTCGCGGGTCTTAAGATGGCTGGTGCAGCAGAGGCCCGCCATACTCTTGAGATATGTATGTTTACCATGGAGCTACTACGGGGTCGGTCCATTGACTAACAGAGATTGGCCGAATGATAGATCTGGACTATGTCTGCCCTGTATGAGTACCCGGACTTGCCCAAGAAAAACACTCTACTCACCAAATTACCCAGTTCTCTGCCAAATTGTTCAAAACGTTTTACGGCCAAGTCCTCCCCTCACTCCCCGAGGCCGCCTCATCACGCCTCACGGTGATATTCCGCCCACAAATACAGCCATGGCACCCGTCCTCTACTCTTGCGATTGAGGCAGCACTGGCTGTTCTCAAGCTGGCACCTACAAAGTTCCAGCAATTTAGCGCTGCTCTGTTTGAGCATCAAAAGGAGTACTTTGATGCCAATGTGGTTAACGAGACGAGGAACCAGACTTACGAACGGCTAGCTAAGCTCGCTAGTAAGGAAGTGGGCGTTGACGAGGAGGCTGTTATGGGGTTGTTGCGTATATCAGATAAGCCCGGTGCGGGCGGGGATCTGAATGGTGGGAATGGCGTGACGGCGGATGTGAAGATCATGACAAAGGTAAGGGGCTGTGAGAGAAGCGTGGTACACCTTGCGGAATGGGCCGACGATGTAATTGTGTATATATATACTAACGATGCTGGTAAATATAGGCCACCAGGGTTGTGGGCGTGCATGTTACGCCAACGGTGTTTTTCAATGTAAGTGGATCTATGCATGCTAGTATTAAGCTAAGTGCCGGGTTTCTGGACACTAACAGGGCTGGCGCAAGGGTATCGAGGAAAGAAGCATCAGTAGCAGCTTCACGAAGGACCAATGGCTCGAATGGGTGGAGAAGAACGTTGTTTGATGAGCCGAAATGCGATGTTGGGTAAACACGTCAGAGACCCAATAGATAGGGTTGGGGTTTAATTAATTGTAATATCTTGTCCAGAGTGTAGAGAGGGTGACCGTAGCTAGGCGAGATGTCGGAACAAAGTTGAAATAAAAACTGAGTATATATCTTAATAAAGATTCGGCTCTGAACTAGGTTTTATCTTTGAGAACAAAAGATAAGATAGTGGTTGTGGGAAAATAAAAGGAATCTTTGAGAGAAGTAGTCGAAAGGAATCTGGCTCGCTAATATGATGGCCCACGATGCTTGAGAATTGGCGAAGGTAGGAATGGAGGTCTGAAGTAGAAGAGAGGAATTTTGGGCGGGAGTAAAACGAGGAGAGGAGTAAGAAGCCGTTAATTTAGATTCGTGAGATAACATATCACAATAGCCATGAGAAAACGCCGGCAAATGGACAGAGCGAAAAGTATAAGGTAGGCGGAGGGCGGATGGATAGGCGGATGGGATGGGTTACTGGGAGACGGGCGGTTGGTAGTTCACGGGTCGCCTGGGGAAAAAAAGGTTAGAGATTGGCATGCCCGCGGCAACCGGGAGGAAAGAGAGCGGCCACTCACTTGAATAGTAGAATGTGTGGTTCCGGCTCATGAACTTCGTAATGTTCCCATCCCAGACTCTGTACAGGTCAAGTCAGCATCGTGTTTTCTTACTGTTGTTCTTCCGTGTAGGTGGCGGTAGCCGTACCTGAGTGATCCCGAGTCCCCGCCACTCTTCTTCCCACAACAGCTTCAACGTGCCCTTGGAGTGATCAAAGTATTCGGTGGGGATCTTCTTGAGCATGGGCTTCGGCAGCTGAACGTGTCTGTATTCATACTCGTTATCGGAATACCTAGTCATATAGCCAGTTAGCATGGGGCTCTCTGCCAAAAGCCGAAAGGGGGGGGTTGTTGCCAACCTGGCAGAGTAGTGAATGCTGTCCACAAACTCCTCGAGTTTCTGCTTCTCAGAATCGAGGAGCAGTCTCGGTTTCTTATTCCGTCTAGACATCTCGATATCCATGGCGTCGTGCGCTTCGTCGAGGTCTCGTAAGGGACAGTTCTGGCGGTGCGGGAAAGCGAGGGCAGTCCAAGTGCAGGGTCTGCTGAGACAGGTGCCAGCCCGCACGGGTTTGCGCAAGGAGCTCCAACAGAAGGACGAGAGAGAATATCAGCCAAGTAGAATGCTCAATGGGCGCCGGAAAAAGGGCCAAAAACAAGGGCGCGGTGCGTAGGCGTAAGTCGAGTCGTAGCGACGAGAAACTCGCTGGAGGGGTCAAAAAAGGGCACAGTAGCGGGTGCTCACGAGGACTGCGGAAGAGCTGAGCCGGCAAAAAAAAAGTCCAACGTGCTCGCCGGGGTCGCACAAAACAAAGCACTCTCCGGCTGTCCGCGATGTCTCTGCTCTCGAGAGCGAGCGAAGATATACAAGTTCGAGGCGGCAAAGCGTTCGACGGCGCAGGGAGAAAAGCGAAGAAGAAAGTCGAAAAGGTTCGTCCCGCGCTTAAAGCCCAGCGAGGGGGCGAACAAAAAAAAAAAAAAAAAAAAAAAAAAAAGTAAACAAATAGCCAGTGAGGGTTGTCATTGGACGGAGATAAGTACACAGAGCCAATGAGAAAAGATTGAAGCATAAAGATAAGCCAATAGAAGCGTGGAGATATTCAGAGTTCCATCCAATGAAAACGACAGACTGTCTTAGTCAGGCTATCACATGACTTCCCAAAGCGGCAGCTTCACGACGCCTTTTCGTCGTCTTCGACTTTCGCATCTTTTGCGACTCCAAGTCTCGCATCGCCAGGCGCAGAAAGAAGAAGAAGATATTTCGCGGGCCTCACTCCTGGCTCCTCTGCCCTCCGCCGCGCGACCTAGATGCCCTCGCGACGCCGCCAGCCGGAGAAGCCGCCCGCCTTGCCTCTCTCCCTCCGTCCAAACCCCCCAATCGAAACACGAGGCTAGCTAAGCTCAGGAACCTGTCTGATAGCTATGTCCACCAAGCGACGCGCAAACAATGGCGGGGCGCCAGAGCGGCCGCTCAAAGAACAGAAGCGGCGCAGAGTCTCGGTGAGTTGAGCGGTCTGTCCAGATTGTCGGCTCCCGCGTGCACAGATGGCGAAGAAGTTGGCCGGTTGTTGTGCTGGTGGTGGTGTGGCCAAATAGCTGTCCGGTTCAATGGGCCTTGCTCGGGTATACATCATAGTTACGGGGGAGGCTGCTTGCGCCCGCAGCGTTGGCCGCAGAGCTGTGCCCAGCCGGGGTAGTTTCGCGCCTGACGCCGGTGCTTGCTCGACAGGAAGCGTCGCGGAGATCAGGCGAAGCTGGCCGCTCCTGTAACTGGTCGTTTACCCGTAGCGTTGAAGGTCAAATGAAGGGCTGGTGGTCGCGCCGGGCGCAACATAGCTGCTGCACCTTTTATTTTACTTTTTCTACGCCTTGATAACTAGGCTTTTAGTGATTGCTGGAAGAGCCGTGTACTAACGCCCGATTCTTGGTTCCCGTCATAGATCTACACGCCCGAGACCAACGAGACGCCTGAACGAACCACACGGCATGGCCTCGAGATACTAGATAAGATCAAGACGGCAGTCGATAAATAGTACGCTTACCTACTGATTGTTTATCGTCGTTTATACGCTGTTTATCCTCGTTTATTCGCACAGAGCTGACAGTGCATGCTTAGTGGACAGCCTATAGCTACCGAGTTCCTGGAGCTTCCTGATGGGGTTCGTGGATTCTTCTACCTAGTCTTGCCAATTTTCGACTGTTCGCTGACGTTTCTCAACAGAAAGAGTACCCCGAATACTACCTTACCATCCGACTCCCTATCGCTCTTGATATTATCGAGGTACCAACAACGCTGCCAACTTAATAGCAACCGGCATAGTATTGTTAACATGCTAGCATCTAGAAAAAACTCAAGAATCACGGATATACCCAATTGACTTCGCTTGAAGCTGACCTCCGACGCATGGTATCCAATGCGAAGTTCTACAACGAGAAGAGCTCTCTGCTCTTCTCTAACGCAGAGCGAATTCGCAAAATAGTGGTTGCGGAGATGCCCAAGGTTAACCCTGCGTATAAAGACCCAAACTACGCTCCGTTTTCTACCCCACTGCCCAACAATGAGGTAGAAGAAGAAGACTTTATCGATGAACTTCCGGAAGGAGAGGATGAATCTGAGAATGAAGCGGAAGCGGAAGCAGAAGCAGAAGCAGAAGTGGAAGCTGAGCCAGAGCCAGCACCTCGGGAGGAGCGAACAAGGTCCTCAAGACGTGCGAGTGGACGTATATCGACAATTGATCGTGAACAAAACCAGACAGATGTCCAGAAAGAGGATCCTGATGCTGCTGTTGCAAGTAAATTCCAGGCCGCCCTGGAAGGAATACTGAATGAAGCTATCCGCATGCAGGACGAGGAGTAAGCTGGCCACACTCTAGCAAAATTTCTGCGTACCAGTGAGCTAACAACCACTATAGCGGGGAAGAAAAGTTTGCACCTTTCATTAATCTCCCAGATAAACAGCTATATAAGGAATACTACGACGTAATAGATCACCCTGTCTCACTGCGAGGTATTCTACGAACAGTTCGTGGCACAGACAGAAGAAAGCCTACGACCTCAAAATCCAAGGCTCCCAACCCGTTTAGGTCCTGGAAAGCGTTCATCGATGAAGTCAACTATCTGTGGACTAATGCACGGATATTTAATGAAGACGAGAGTGATATTGCCATTCTTGCGGGCGAGCTTGAGAAATTCATAAATACTCGGATAGCAGAAACGAGAAAGGCGGTTCCTGCGCCCGAGGAGGAAAGCAGTGGTACCGGAGGTGGAACGAAGATACGGCTAAAACTAGGAGCAGCCACATCAACGCCCGAACCGCCTGCTGCTCCGACGACATCGAAACTTAAGCTACGGCTGCCTGCCAGACAACAGCAGACGGATACTGCCCCGGCTACTTCGAAAGTGCCTGGTGTGAGAGTTGACACTGAAGCGCTCAAGCGACAACAAGAGCTTGTCAGGGCCGGGACAAACGGGGTTGAGGTACCTAAACCGAGCACTAGTAATGGACAAGCGACGCCAACACGGACCCTGCGAGACAGAACGGGCTCTGCAAGGGCCCCTGTGGCCGCAGCTTCACCCACTCCTACCGCAGCTGCTGTCAACGGTACGGGAGCTGCCCCTGCTACCACCGGGCCTTCACTTCGGTCTCGGACACCGCTCACGAGGCGAGCAGAGGCAGAGTTGGATCGCGAAACAGCCCCCAAGCCAGAGACATCAGCAAAGCCTTCGCCCAGCCTACAGGCAGCCCATGCTGTTACTCCAACACCAGCTCCTGCTGCCCCCGAACCACCGGCGAAAAGTACAAGCACAGGTGCGACACCTCTCTCAACGGCTGATTGGGAGAAGCTATCTCAGGCAAGAAACAAAGGTATGTCACCCCTCCATCTGCCATTATTATACACATGTTGAACTGCTAATAACACTGTCATAGCATACGGCAACGGTCTCATATCACAGATATCCATATCGTCTCACTCGTCACTCCCTCTCCGCCAACCCTTCCACATTTCCCTGCCTTGCTCACCCGTCCTTCCCTCTCAACCCATAAGCCTAACCCTATCCTCATGCATCAATCTCATAAGTTTCAACCCCATCATTGCGTCGACTTCCCACCGGCGTCCCACGCAGCACTACTTTACCGTCTGTGACCAGAAGAATCCCACTCCACCGACCACCTCGGTTGTGCCGTTTACAGACTATACCCGGTTTGCATACGATGTGCGGCTGCGCGAGGGCGTCAACAAGCTTGTGGTTGGCGTGTCTGCCAAAGCGGACGGCGAGACGACGGAGCGAGTCATCGTTTTCGTCAATCTCTTACGGTCTTAGTCTTCTCCTTCGGTCCTTTTGTTTCATTTCTCTTTTTTTTCCCTTGCGGCAGGCACATGGCTCGGTCTTTGGCTAGGTGTTCATGGTGTTGTGGATGGCATCCCCGGCGGCTAATCCTGCCTGTAAATTACTTTACCTGCATTCATTCTCCAGCATCTTCTTCTTCGTTCTCTCTTTTCCATCATCATGTCCCTTTTGTCCCTTTTTATATCACGTGATACTAACTCGCCTAGTGTAAATTACGGTAATTTTCATACACAGAAACGTCCTTTTTTCGTTTTTTATTTATTTTTTTCTTCTTTTTTTTTCTCCATATAAAAAACAAAATTCCACCGCCGACTCTTTTTTCTACTCCAAACGCCCACCACGAAAAGACTACAACGTCCGACTTTTCTTCTAAGTCGTTGAGCAGCGAGAAAGGAAAAGACCACTGAAGGAATCGAAAGAACTAGACGAAGGAGATTTCGCTTTTCTTTTTCGTGGCCCAGCATGTCTACTGAAACTTACGACGGTGCTATCGGCATCGATCTTGGTAAGTGGGATGTCCGGAGCACCGCAAGCGAGGCGAGCAAGCAGTGCAGCAGACCACCACGCCCGAGCCCGCAGACGGACAGGAGACGAGCAGACGAGTGGTTCTCTGCGGGCGGGCTGCTCTGCGTAGTTTGTTCAGGGATAATTGGCTAATTTTGAAAATTTCAATAGGCACAACCTACTCTTGCGTTGCCAACTATGAGGGCGCCAATGTTGAGATCAGTATGTGGGACAGCTTCGCTTTGCGCTGAGGATGATTGTTAACGTGTGAAATAGTCGCCAACGAGCAGGGTAGCTTTACTACTCCCTCCTTCGTCTCCTTCACCGATGAGGAGCGTTTGATCGGTGAGGCCGCTAAGAACCAGGCCGCCATGAACCCAGAGAACACCATCTTCGATATCAAGTGAGTGGCATGCAGCAAGTCCCCAGAGACAAAACGGGAGAGATCTCAATTGCAAGGCCGGAGACAGGATCTTCTCTGGCAAAAGTGCTCTCTTCGTGTTTTGAGAGTGGTGATGTTGACGAGTGGGGGTGCTAACTTCTGTGGCAATTAGGCGTCTTATCGGACGACGATTCGAGGATCCCGTTGTCAAGAAGGATGTCGAGTCCTGGCCATTCAAGGTCATTGACCAGGGCGGCAACCCAGTCGTCCAGGTCCAGTACCTTAACGAGACCAAGGTCTTCTCCCCCCAGGAGATCTCCTCCATGGTCCTCATGAAGGTGTGTATCGATCTCTCTGCAATTGAAGTGGGGATGTAGAACTAATTGATATCTATAGATGAAAGAGGTTGCCGAGACTAAGCTCGGAAAGAGCGTCTCCAAGGCTGTCATCACTGTCCCAGCCTACTTCAACGACAACCAGAGACAGGCCACCAAGGATGCTGGTGCCATTGCCGGTCTCAACGTTCTCCGTATCATCAACGAGCCCACTGCTGCCGCCATTGCCTACGGTCTCGGCTCTGGAAAGTCCGAGAAGGAGCGCAATGTTCTCATCTACGATCTCGGCGGTGGTACTTTCGATGTCTCCCTCCTCAACATCCAGGGTGGTGTCTTCACCGTCAAGGCCACCGCCGGTGACACCCATCTTGGTGGTCAGGACTTCGACACCAACCTCCTCGACCACTTCAAGAAGGAGTTCACCCGCAAGACCAAGAAGGATCTCTCTGGTGACTCCAGAGCCCTCCGAAGACTCCGCACTGCTTGCGAGCGTGCTAAGCGTACTCTTTCCAGCGCGACTCAGACTACTGTCGAGATCGACTCTCTCTTCGATGGTGAGGACTTCAATGCCCAGATCACCCGTGCTCGTTTCGAGGACTTGAACGCCAAGATCTTCGCTGCCACCCTCGAGCCCGTCCAGCAGGTCCTTAAGGACGCTGGCATTGACAAGAGCAAGGTCGACGAGATCGTCCTTGTTGGTGGCTCCACCCGTATTCCCCGTGTCCAGAAGCTCTTGAGCGATGCTTTCGATGGCAAGAAGCTCGAGAAGGTAAGCCTATACTCCTTTTTCTCTACTACTCCAGTTCACTATTAACAAATATGTTAGGGTATCAACCCCGACGAGGCCGTTGCCTACGGTGCCGCCGTCCAGGCGGGTATCCTCTCTGGAAAGGCCACCTCTGCTGACACCAGCGACCTCCTCCTTTTGGACGTCGTCCCTCTCTCTCTCGGTGTTGCCATGGAGGGTAACATCTTCGCTCCCGTCGTCCCCCGTGGCCAGACTGTCCCAACCATCAAGAAGCGTACCTTCACCACTGTTGTCGACAACCAGCAGACCGTCCAGTTCCCCGTCTACCAGGGTGAGCGTACTAACTGCGAGGACAACACCTCCCTCGGAGAGTTCACTCTCTCTCCCATCCCACCAATGAAGGCTGGTGATGCCGCCCTTGAAGTCGTCTTCGAGGTCGACGTCAACGGTATCTTGAAGGTCACTGCCACCGAGAAGTCTTCCGGCCGCAGCTCCAACATCACCATCTCCAACGCTGTCGGCAAGCTCTCCAGCGCCGAGATCGAGGCTATGATCAACGGTACGTACTGTCCCTTCTACCCTGTAGCATCGGCTGTCGCAATTTACTAATAAATGTATGTGTAGATGCCGCCAAGTTCAAGTCCAGCGACGAGGCCTTCAGCCAGCGCTTCGAGGCCCGCCAGCAGCTCGAGTCCTACATCTCCCGTGTTGAGGAGATCATCACTGACCCAGGCATGTCCCTCAAGATCAAGCGTGGCAACAAGGACAAGATCGAGTCTGCTCTCAGCGACGCCATGGCTCAGCTCGAGGTCGAGGACTCCTCCCCCGAGGATCTCAAGAAGAAGGAGCTTGCTTTGAAGAGACTCATCACAAAGGCCATGTCCACCCGATAAACGCCTGAAACTACCAACCAATCCTCCCCAAACCAACTAAAAAGACGAAGATTTGATTTGCTCTGCAAGACATAGCCTAATGACATGTGTTTTGTTTATCATTTCAACGACGGCGAAAGCCGCGGTGCGCGCATGATGGGATGAAAGAAAAGAAGAAAGGAAAAAAGACCGAATTTGAACATGACCTTGAAAATGAACCGTGTTGTGTTTCTTCGCTGCCTTTCTTCTTCCTCTTTTTCAGAATTGTCTTTTGAATTTTGTGGGCTAAATAAAAACGGGATGATCTTTACTCTGTTCCTCTTTTTCCTTGTTACGCCTTTTTCCTTTCTTATCTTATTCCCTATGTGTTTATGTCTGTTATGTCCGTCCGGATGCTACACTTTCTGAGGCTTCGATAGGTAGTACAATGGATATATGCTACAAAAAGTCCCCAATTCTAGTGACAGCTCTGCAATCATTATTTGTCTGCCAACGTAATAATATATGTAGATTCTCGTGTTCAAATTTCTGGCTAGTTACTCCGTACTGTGACTTGAAAGAAAGATTGGCGGAGTCGGATCTCCAAGCCAAAACCTTGCAACTTCCAGCTGCGATATCAAATTGTTCAAAACACCATCGATTTACAACAAGAAGACCGACACAGCACAGCAACTCATATCTCACCATGTCAAGTACAGCCCAATTAGCACAATGCACTGCTTTACGTAGCGTGCTACGAAACAAACGACTCCCTACCGTCCCTCCTCGCCGCTGTATATACACTCACACGACCAACAACCGCATACACAACATAAGCAGATTCACCCTCCAGTCAACCATATCTTACCCATCCAGCCGAAATTTCTCCCAGAGTTCCGCTCTACTGAAGAAGAAAGGCTCGAAAGAAAGCCCAAAGGAAAATGACAAGGCTGCTGCCGCCGGCGGTGCTGGCGCAGAAGACCCGTTTGATTTCTCTTCCCTCAATGACAGCATCAAAGATGCCGTTACACGGCTAAAGGAGGATCTTGCCAAACTACGCGGCGGTGGGAGAGTTACACCTGAAGCCATTGAGAACCTACGAGTGTCATTGCACAAGCCGGGCGGCGCTGATGTTGGGAAGGGGAAGAAGGGCGCCAGCTCGAGCAGCAAGGAAACCGTCAAATTGGGGGAGGTTGCGTCTGTTATTCCTAAAGGAGGCAGGTCGGTGTCGATATTGGTTGGAGAGGAACATGTGTGTATACCCTTTGGACTTTTTTTTAATGATATACACTGCTAATATTAGTCTCTAGGACGTCAAACCCGTCATGTCTGCGATTACCTCGTCCGATCTATCACTGAACCCTCAGCCAGACCCTCACAACCCGCTTCAATTGAACGTCCCGATTCCTCCTCCGACAAAGGAGTCTCGAGAGCAGACGGTTAAAGATGCTAAAGTAGCTATGGAAAAGGCATCTAACATTGTCCGTAATGGGCGCGCGGCACTGAATAAGAAACTGAAGGGTAAGGAGCTTAAGAAGCTTCGACCGGATGATGTACGCAAGGCCATAGATCAGATGGAGAAGATTGCCGAGAAAGGTCAGAAGGAAGTGAAGGATGTCTTTGAGGCAGCGAAAAAGGCATTGGAGGCATAATTGGAAGGCTATTGTATTCAAGGTCATGTTGGGGATTGATATCATTTTCGGAGGCACATTAATTTACAGCAGTATTGTACATTAGAATTGCAAGTTATTTGTGGAAAAAGCCAATCAGTAAACTCATACTATGAAATAAGTTATTGGTACATGAAATATCTCTATATAAAAATATTATACACCGGGACGCGCCTGCTAAGCAGACTTGGCTTTAGCCTTTGCTTTCTTGAGAGGGAGATTCTGCATAAGGCTGCCCATGAACCGTTGAGTGTGCTCGGTGTGGTAGGTGTGGTTGTTCGACAGGTTTCTTAGGACGTTCTTGAGAATTGGAGAGGCATCGGCATCGAGCTTGAAGGGTTGATCGTATGCTCCTCGGATCAAGGAGGAAATCATATGCGATTTCTCCTCTTTGCTCACGTTCTCGAACTGCACGTCAGCAGGCTCGACGGTTTGCCCCTTCCTCTGGCTAAGCTCAGTTGCATGTTCGCTAGCCAGTTGCTTAACAAACTTCATGGTTTCGGCCTTCTGTGCTTCGCTGGAGAAAAGCACTCGTTTGCCCTGGTAGACTCTCTTTGCCAGGTCTTCGGGCAGCTCTTCACATCCCACGTACGATTCACCGAACCACGAGAGTTTCTCACGGATGGTGCTGGTATTTGAAGCTGCATCTATCGCCAGAGCCGGCCATGTTTCCTTTAGAGTCTCGGCGGTATATGGCTGAGGGTTGTAGCGGACAGCCGGTTTGTGTTTCCCTCTCTCTTGGAATTCTTGTTCATATTCCACGAACTCATGCATATCTTCTTCACCCTGCCCCTGCGCTTCCTCTTCCAACCTTCTGGCTTCCTCCAACTGTCGAGGATCGACTAGCTTCCGTTTTTTGGAAGTTCGCGCCATGCGTGGCATCCGTGTGCCACCTGTACTGCCCCCTCCCCTACCGCGTCCCATACCTCCTCGTTGTCTAAGTCTTTCCTTTAGTTTGTCTGCGTTCATTGAAAGCATGGGACCACCAGGTTTGTTGCCAGTGCCACCTGGGGAACCATTTAGCCGCATTGGGCGGGTATTGAAGCTTTCATTGTCGGTTGTGAAGCGGATTTTCGATCCTGAGGCGGTATTTTGGGGAGCCGATGTCCGATCAAAGACGTCTTGGACTCGTCGCACTGCAGCCCCTCGACGGCTGGAGAAGTCACCCGAAGGCTTTCTTGGAGCTTTACAATAGGACTATTAGCATACAGCAGATGTGCCATCATGGAGACACGATTATAACTTACAAGACGGCCGTTTATCTTCTTCAGCACGAAGGCATGTCGATGTGAATTCTCGGGTCGTAACGAGCGAATTTCTGGTCAATTGCAACGCTCCCGTCGCAGGACGTCGGAACATCTGGGCCGCCATGTCAGGCACTCGCTGCAGGTCCTGCTGACGACTGATATCTTCGAGTCGACCGCAGCGTCGCTTCTTTTCCTCTGCTTTTCTTCAACCTTTGAAGTTTCGCAAAGAAAGTTTCGACCAAAAATGATAGTCACGTGGTAATGGTATTTTATATCGTATGTACCTTACATAAAATACGAATGATACCATTAGTCATCATTACAAACAGTACAAACAATGCAAACAATGCAAACATAACGGTTTGCCCGATAAGGAAGGCTTTTTGTCTCTCTCTCTTTTTTCTTTCTATCAAAACTGAATGAATCAACTTCGAATGTTTTTCTATCAAACGAAAATATCTTCATACCGTTGAATCGATAAAACGTCCACCGGTTGACCGTTGCGTCGCATAACTCCTAGAAACAGGGCGATCAGGGTTTCCAGCATCATCGCAAGACGTTACGCTGCCAAAGGTTCCCCGCATCGGGCTGAGATCCTACAGCTCGTGAGAGTTCCAGAAGACAGACAGACATTGCATACTTGCGGTACATTACGATATCAACCACTCCAACGCAGCAAGGATGCTCCGCCGCAAGCCAACCGCTATCACAGTGACATCCGAGGACATAATTGCCTTCGAGGAAGCGCAGCTCCGCCGTCAGCAGGAGCTCAAAAACAAGAGCTCAAACAAGGCAAGTTCATCAGGCAACAAGGCTGAGAACGACGGGGCTCGAGATCGCGACGGGGACTCGATGTCCAGCTCTAATCGGGCAGGGGTTGATCCAAATGACGAGCTGAAACCATTACCTGGCGACAAGGCGCGGATAGTCCGAACTCGAGACGAGAGGATTGGCGTGGGACGGTAGAGGGTCGATGGATGATGACATGCATTATATTATCCGTTTGTCGGAGTTCTAGAAGCCGGGCGGAAGTTTCGACGATGGATAGTCTGTTTTAAAAAGGGCGCATGACCGCTGCCACGCCCATCGGAACAAAGAGCATATCGATAGACAGCAAACGATGTTATGATACCAACTGACTTGTGCTATTTTTGATAATAAGCGGCACGGAAGGCGGGATGATCAGGATGCCAGAGACCGGATATTGCATAATTGAAAGCCCATGAAGAAGCTGAATTTTATCCTTATTGGTTATATATTAGGGGCTTGTCCCTACCATTCGCTCTTGGGGAGGGATTTTGGCTGGGAATGGTGACGCGGAATGGATGCATATATATGGAGCTCGAGAATGCTGGGTTATCGTGGTGCTCTGCATACCCCCATAACACATTGCAGCATGTGTGTGGGCAGGGTTTAGCATTTTTCTACCTGCTCCTTGTCGACATGCACGTATCCTTGCGATGTGTTTTGCTAGCGGGGCGCATCATGCAATCAGGAAGCGTGGCAGAAGTTTCGGGATATGCATATCACTACGGAGTACTTGGGCAGACATACTGTCATACTGTCATGTCATGTCATCTCGACATACTTACAAGTGTGTATGAAGGTGTCGCGGCCAGAAGTTCGTCCGTCCGGTCCGCCGTCTGCGGGTGTGGCATATAGTGAGCTGAATATAGGGGGTATATTTGCCACACCCTGTCTATAGTTTTGATGATTCAATTTTTACAATTACGCCTTTCCAGGCTGCACAGTCGACATGGCTGTTTTCCAATTCGCGTAACCAACTTCATCCAACCCGTTGACAGGCAAAGCCATGTATGTAAGTATATATTATCCCACTTACTCCGTATCAATAGAAAAAAGAACATCCCAGCGGTAATTTCTTTTAAGAACATAACGAATAAGAAACCGGGAAATACCCCTGTTTTCTATTTGCCGTGGCCATCTCATCTCAATCAGTTGCGTTCCCAGGTCGAAAGGGTATCAATAATTTGGAATCAAGTAAACCACACAACATGACATGCAGGCAGGGAATGAACCAGCCAAGGAAAATTGATGTACATTGCCCCAAGCCCAAGAACCCCTTTTCAACCCAGAGAAGAATATGGAAATAGAAACGTAGAGTAGGATTTTCGCGCGATGGTTTCAACGGTATCCGTCCGTGGGGAAAACGAGAGTATTCTGGCTTGCAGAGGGCAAAGAAAAAGAAAGCAAAGCAAAGACCCATATCCCCAAGGCATAAATCGTAGCATAGATGCAAGGAGCAAAGGAAAGGGGGTGGAATTAAGAATTATGTAGTAAGGAACGTCGAAATAACCAAACGAGCGAGTGAGATGTGAATGCGAATGCAGAGGGTAGAGTAAAAAAGTATGAAGTAGATGCCATAAGAAGTAACAATAACGATGGGAAGCATACAAACCATCCAAAAAAGAGATCCAGCATACCCCAAAAAAGATTCGTGAATAGTGGTAAATAGCATAAGATCATATCCCAGGAGACAAGACGCCAGCGGCCAGAAAACCAGAACCCGAACCCAGTGGGACCACACAAGCGAAGTAAAAAAAAAAAAAAAAAAAAAAAAAAAGAAACAGAAAAAGAAAAATGAAGAAGAAAGAAACCAAGAAAGAAACTGACAGGTATTTGTGACCATGGCAGTTGTAATCATCTTCTCCGTTTAGCCTGTTCGTCACCGTAGCTGTCGACATCGTCCCATCTTCTCTTCGCGCCCTCGGGATCAATGACGCTGGCCACACTACGTTGCCAGTCCCTGGCCCCCATGACCACGGGCAGCATGTTGTACTGCTGTGCAGGCATGGAGACCTGCGTAGGCTGGTTAGGATCGACCAGTGGCATGAGGGGCTGGGAGTAATCCGAGTACTGGGCTGCGCCGGAGCCTGGGCTGCCATTGGCACTTGCCATGGTAGAGGAAGATGGGTAGAGAGAATGGGGGTCAGGAACAACTGTGCTGTTGGTTGATGATGTTGCGGAGGGAGGTGAGTTAGAGTTTATGTTCCCTGAAAAGGCGAGGTCCCATTGTCTATATCGGCGAGTAGTTAGCTAGTGTGACACATTGTAGTAATTGCAGTAGTTAATACGCACGTTATGATTCTCGAGGGATTCCAGCTGTTCTCATCGACAAGCGGCATGGATGTGATTGGCGGTGGAGCGCGAGTAGTGTCGTAGGGCTGCAGCAGGCCATATGTGCCCGTTGCAGGAGACTCGGGCTTCACGCTCGTCTGCGTAGAAACAGGCGGACTGATAGGGTATGAGTCGGAGAAGGGGAGATTTCCTGTGCCCTGAGCAGGTTCTTGGGCTTCACTGTATGATGGCGACGAATGGTACATTGCATCACTGACGGGCAGAGAATGAGATGGGGGCCCGACAGGGCTTCCATAGGGGAAAGTTGGCTTCAGCTCGAACGGCTTGTTGATGTCTGCGGAGAAAGCAAGACGTAGGGCAGCAAGCTGTGACTGCAACTCCGTCATGGGCCAGGAAGAGCTGCATGATTCCAGAACTCTCATGTGCCGAGTGAAATAAGACCTGGAATCTTTGTTGAATTCCGGATCTGGCGAAGTGATGGCTACAAGATGCAGCATAACACTGGTTAGAATGCAGTAGATGGAGAAGTTGATGCCTCGTTGCATGCACAGGAAACCTGATACGCCAAACGAGGAGAGTAGGGCTTCCTGCAGCCGACAGATCGCCTTAGCCGAGCTGTAGCATATCGAGAAGTGGTGTCTCCATTCTCCGCCGGCCGGAAACGAGCTGGCGGCGACAAATTGGGGACGATGGAGCATGATCTTGGCCAATTCGAAGTGCGAATGCATGTTTGCGAGAAAATGCGAAGGAATCCATGGGGGCGAACCATCTGGTGGGTAGGTGACCATGAGATCTGGTGGCAGGCTGTTGTACCAAGCCTCGAAAAGAGGGTTGTTACGGGCAAACTGCGGATTGGCGCCCCAGTCCTTGGTCTTTTTCACCTTGTGGAAGACGTCAACTATGCGGCGAATATTGAGAGCATTATGGACGAAGTAGCTGAATTGTCTTGATCGTTCGACTTCGTATGCATCGAGGTTGGGGATATCCCAGGACGGACGGATCTCTACTGTGTCAGTCTCCACGCCAAACTCCGAGCGTCCTGTCACCAGTTAGTAAGGATTTGCATGAGATGCATGGTATGCATGGTACGCATGGGATGTATGTATGTATTTTCAGCATCTTAGACATACCTTGGGGCCCCCCGACCATTATCTCGACGACGAGAATGGTCTGCCAGACGCGGGTGCGAATGAGACACTCCACAGTGTCATAGCCACACAGCTTGCCCTCTGCGTGGTATTGGTAATGCTGGTGCAGTTCGAGATCCTTGGCCATTGAAATGATCGTCTTGATCGTCTGCCATGAGCGGTAGTAGTAGCCTGGGCGTGGCATGGCTTCTCGGGCCTTCATGATAAGCAGCAGAGCCTGTACGGTGGTGAGCCGGGGCGCTTCCATGAATTCCGGTTCGAATTCTATCACCCGGTTAGCAAAAGTAACACGCACAAGGTAAATGCGAGGGAAGTATAAAAAGAAAAAAAAAAGGAAAGAAAGAAAGCAAAAAGAGAAGAGACAGTACGTACTGTTAGCAAGGGCAAGCCACTTGGTAGCCTTTGCGGTATCGTTGAGAGCCCTAGCAGAACAGGCGAAAAGTGCACTGAGCAGGAGAGGGGAGATATCCCACTTCTCCCGCCGCCATTGCTCGTAGAAGTAGTTCCTAGGGATTACAGGGAGGTAAGGATGTAGATCATCAAAGTAGACTCTGAAGTACTCGAGCGCCTCAGTGTCGGAGGGCATGAGCTCCGCCGGAAACTGCAGGGACGAATTCGCGCCATTGTACAGCGGTGGCAGAGACTGTTCGCACTCGGCCAGAGCAGTCTGTGGTTTTATATGGTCCTTTGACTCTTGATTTATATACGGTGCTAAGAGAGATGTTTGTGTTAGTATGCATCTGAAACGGAGGGGGCGTTTTGAGAGCCGAGAGTGTCTTACCAATGCCAGTTTCGTCAATCTTGAGCTCGTTGAAAGCCGTTGTAAGGTCGCCCGAGTTTGTTGGGGTTTGTGGAGGCGGCTCAGAAACCTGGATAATAGGCTGAGGCGTTGATACCGGGAACGGTGGTGGCGGGTTTCTATGTATCTGAGTAGGAGCCGGTGGTGGTGGTGGTGGTGCCTGCGGATGTTGGGGGTAGTGAAAGGCTTGCTGTAGCTGTCCGTGGGATGCGTCTACGGGCGAATGGTGGTAGAACCGCCCGTCATCCGTAGGCGAAGTAAGATACTGATGAGGCTGCTGGTGCTGGTGCTGCTGGGCCTGATACAGCTGGGAATCACTCTCGTAGCCGCGCAGGTCTCCGGTCCGTCGTGCTGGCTCGGCCGGGTAATACTCCCGCGCATGGAAGGACGGCTGCGAGGTGGTGTGTATCTGCGAAGACGAGGCCGCGGGAGCAGCAGGCGGCGGCGGCGGCGGCGGAAGAGCACCTGAACCTGCCGGAGGAGCGGGCTGGGAGAAGTCGAGGATCTGCTCGTGGGCGGCCGGCTCGCTGTCCTGGTCGATGGAGGGTGGGATGCAGACGAGCTTGAGTCTGGTGCAGGCCGAGCAGGGCCAGATGTTGGTGGTAGCCGAGTCGCACTTGATCTTGCGCTTGCGACAGCCATTGCAGGCTCTCATCACTGCAAAGTGTCAGTCTCTCTGCCTTGTTCTTTTTGATGTATGTATGTCCGTAGACGTAGGTAGTAGTAGTAGTAGCAGTAGAAGGGGGGGGCTCCCTACCTTTGAGTCGCTTGTGTCGGTTGTGCTCGTCAACGAAGACATAATCTACCACCAGTCAGCGTCTTTTTCTCCTGTAGGCCATCATCTCAGCGAGGATATCAGGCATAGCTCACTCTTGCGGCCCTCATGGCGCTCCCCGCCCTGGCCGGCGGGCAAGATGGTGCTCTGCATGGCGTCTCAGCAGCGGGCGGCGACGGCGACGGCGACGGGCAAGACAGCGCGATCAATCGCAGTCCGGCGGGCAGAGCAGACGGCAGCACGACGGCGGGCAGCGAGGACGGGTTTCTCTGTCTCTGTCTGTGTGCGTTGGCGTCGCCGGCGGAGGGCTGGTTTTGGCTGGCAGTTGACGTTGTCGTTGTCGTTGTAGTTTGTAGTTTGTAGTTGTTGTAGTTAGTCGAAGGCGTTAAAGTCGGACAAGGCGAAGAAAAAAAGAGCCGCCGAGGAAGCGAGACGACGGCCTCAACAGCACCACGACAGCGACAGCGACAGCGACGGTGACAGGATCCAGACAGGGCGTGAGGCACGACTTGGGGCTTTCTTGTTCGTGACCAAGAGGGAAATCCAGAGGAGAACGACTAGCTGAGGAAGAAGAAACGAGAGGAAGGGCTGGCTGGTCTGCTCACTAACTCACTAGCAGGAGGCGACTGTGGGCCGGCGTTGGAGCAGGAGAACTCTAGAGCAGAGCAGAGCGCAGAGCAGACGGAGAGAGACAGCGAGGTGAGTCGAGAGGAGATCGATCTACTGATATCGTCCCGTCTTGCTGCTAATAATATACGCAAATCTGGAGTACGCACAGCAAAAGGTGCATCATCGACGCCGCCAGCAGCCAAACGACGAGCAGGACCAGCAGGCCGGGAAACCTTCTGCCGTTCCAGAAGCCAGGCGAAACATAAAAAAGGAAGAGACAGAGAGACAGGAGAGGGCTAGAGAAAAAGAAAAGAAGCGCCGGCCATCTGCGGGACGAAGGCTGGAGGGAGAGTTAGCCCAGTCCTGCTTTGAATTGCAGGGATAGCCGGTGGTCGAGATTGATATCAGGGAACAAGAGACAACTATCAAGCAAGAGAGGAGACGAGACAAGACAAGACAAGACGAGACGAGACGAGACGAGATGCAGAACTCGAATCCGACGCTGTTGAGCGCGGCTGACCTGCCCAGCCGGGAGAAGAAGGGCGCAGAGTCCCAGGCCAGGGTGGACAGCATCTTCACGACGGAGCCTACCTTTGATCCCTTTGCCAGATACCAGGACGACGATGGCGAGAGCAGTCAGGATGGCAGCAGCCAGGACGAGCTCGAGGAGCCCATCGACGAGCAGGAGATATTCGGTATGTCTCTATATCTACATCTACATCTAGTTCTATGTTCCATGTATGGATAATTGACACGGTACAGACCTGATTGCAACGATATCAGACCCCGAGCACCCGATTCCGCTGGCAGAGCTGGCCGTCGTCTCGCTGCAGGACATCAGCATCACGCCGGCACTGCCTCGCTCGCCGTCGTCTCCCCTCCGCAAGGTCACCGTCCTGCTCACCCCCACCATCACCCACTGCAGCCTGGCCACCGTTATCGGGCTTGGAGTGCGCGTCAGACTGGAGCAGGCCTTGCCCCCGCGGTTCAGAGTCGACGTCCGGCTCAAGGAGGGCTCGCATAGCACGGCAGACGAGGTCAACAAGCAGCTCGCAGACAAGGAGCGGGTGGCGGCTGCACTGGAGAACCAGACGCTCATGGGCGTCGTGGGGAAGATGCTGGAGACCTGTCGATGACTACCTCCCTGCCAGTGAGCTGACCTTAGTTTCTAATGGGTATGGAGAGGCTGGTAATAACGGATTATGTGATGGTATACTCGGTATACTCGGTACTATGGGGTGGAGTGGTATTAACAACTACTGCGGACATGGGTCTGAGGTAGCATAGGAGGCACAGGAAGCACAGGAAGCATAGGAAAACGAGCAGCAGGATGAAGGAGGACCAGCGTAACTGCATGTAAGTGTATGATGTACTTTGTGTCTATCTTGATGGCATCTGCCAGTCCTCCCCTTCTCAGCACGCCCAGCAGCTAACCAACGATGGCCCGTCTTTGTTATTTTTATCTCTTTATTGCTTTCTTTTCTTCTTCTATTATTATTACTATTATTACTATCTTCCTTCCCGTCTTCCCTGTCCGCCACTGACTAGTAGTAGTATCCAGGAATGGACATCAGTCGACTCGATTTTCTCTTCGGTTGCCTGGTTCGTTTTCCCACAGTGACGGTTCGGGCTGTTTTTCTTCCCCTTTACTTCTTCTGCGTCTGCCCCTGCAGGACCAGAGCAAGATCGTCGCTGGCACGGTGGGCTTGTCTGGCTCTCCCACTGTCTGCCCGTCTGCCTGTCTGCCTGTCTGCCTGTCTGCCTGTCTGCCTGTCTGCCTGTCTGCCTGTTGGGCCGTCGGGCTGCTGGGCCCTTTCTGTGGGGGGATATATATGGCGGAGGGTAGAATTCTGATGGCCTCCGCTCGAGTGATAGCTCCAGTGCCGGCCATCCGCCCTCCCTCGCAGTCGATACATCTTATATATCGAGGGACTCCAGTCTCCCGTCTCCAGTCTATGGGGTTCCTCCTCGGTGGCGTCTTACCGTGGTAGGCAGTTCGACTGATGCCCGGACTCAGCATCACGGCCGCAGGACTCCAGGTGTATCTGCCCGCCGCCCGCTGCCCGCCGCCTGCTGCTTCGTATAGCCGTGTATCTAAGTGTGTGTGAATACATATATATCACCGTCTCGTCTGCCTTCACGGCCGTCTCTCGTAATGCAGGGTTCATTCATTATTTAGTCAGCCATATAACTAGCTACGCCCTTGATATCTACTCGAAACATGGAGGTCGAGAGCGAAAAACTCGACTCTGCCTCGTCTCTCCTCTAAAGCCTCGTCCTGCCCTCTTGCTGCTGAAGAAGAAGAACAAAAATAAAGAAGAAGATGCCCGCGTCCGTTGCAATCGTGACTGGCGGCGCCGGCGACATCGGCCAGGCCATCGCCCGCAGGCTTAGCGACTCCCACGACCGGGTGGTGATCCTCGACCACGACGCCAGCAGACTCGACGCAGCCCTCGCAGCCCTCGCCAGCGACACGTTCGAGCGCTGCCTCTGCGACATCACCGACAGCTCGCAGGTAGCCGGCCTGCCTCGCCGCATCTTCGGCCCAGAGGAGGACGCAGACCCGGACGGCGGCGGCGCTGCGGTGCTGCGGACGCTGGTCAACAACGCCGGCGGCTCAGCAGCCTACAGCCTCCACGAGACCTCGCCGCAGGCCTGGCAGCGCGAGACGGCCCTCAACCTCGACGCAGCGTTCCTCTGCTTCAACGCCTTCGAGGCTCACCTCAAACGCTCGCGCGGCTGCGTCGTCAACATCGCCTCTGTCAACGGGCTGGCCGTCTACGGGAACCCGGCCTACAGCGCCGCAAAGGCCGGCCTCGTCCACCTCACAAGGTCCATCGCCGTGGAGTACGGCCGCTTCGGCATTCGAGCCAACGCAGTCGCCCCTGGCACCGTCCGGACCGCCGCCTGGGCCGCCAGACAGCAGGCCAACCCACAGGTCTTCCGTGATGTCGCGCAGTGGTACCCGCTCAACCGCATCGTCGACCCGGACGACGTGGCTCATGCTGTGGCTTTCCTGGCCAGCGAGCAGGCCGCGGCCATCACGGGGGTCTGTCTGCCCGTCGACTGCGGTCTTACCGCGGGCCAGACGGCCGTTGCTCGGACTATAACCCAGTCGGAACACTACTAGGAACTCTACTTTGACGTTTTTTCTGGGGATATGAGAAAGCTTGTGCTGAGCCTCTAGAACTTATAACCAACCAACTATCATTTCTCTGGGGCTGAACGGAGAATCCGCAAGGCAGCGGCTGAGGCAGAGAGACAGCAAAGGGCAACGACGGAGAGAGAGAGAGAGACTCAAAAGGGATACACGGAAACAGGAATACCTCATACCTACTCCGTACTATGGAGTACATATGGACGCTTCACTAAAGGAAAACGTGCGTCCGTTTGCTATATACCATGCCCACTACGAAGTACACACGCCTTCTTTACTACAAGGACAAAAAAAACAAACCCACAACCACTCAATAGATTAGCCCCCTTACCGTCCCACAGCTCTTGTTATGGCACTCGATGTTCCGGTCCTGCATCTGTGCCATCCAATATCAAAAAAGAAGAAGAAAGGGAAAAAAAAATTCCACGTCCGGCCTCCCCCTTTTACACCTCCCGCCCCCCTAACCCTCTTCTCCCTACATCCTCCCCTCCCCTTCTCCCTTACAACTTCAATCAAAAGGAAAAGAGAACTATCATATTGCTCGAGAAATGGCCACGGAGTCACGCAGATCCCCCGGCCGCTCTTGATCACTCACCCCTCGTCTTGCTTCCCGTCTCTGTTCTCTCTTTTTTTTTTTTCCTTTTTGACATTTTGTCTTCGTTCTTAACTTGGGACTCTCTGCCTTGCCAGCAGAAGTGGCCCGTTCCTCCCCCCTTGCCCTGACCCGCAGGTACCTTGAACCGAGCTGCAGTTTGCTCGAATGATCTCCATGCAGTTCAAGTCGACCCCAGATGGAGGATCACGATGAGGCCAAGCCGTCCAACTCTTGCCGTCCCCTAGCCAGCACACACGCTGTCCCGTCTCTGGCCCGGACTGAAATCCCTCTTGCAATCTGTTACCTGCATCCTGCTCCCATACCCTGCCCTCCCCAGAGAAAACTCGAACGTCTAATCTCCCTTGCCATGCCCTTGTGCCTCGTGCTGCATCTTGCTGTTCCATGGCGCCCCCCCTCGTGTCCTGTCCTGTGCTGTGCCGCCCCGTCCCCGTCCCATCCTGTCTTGTTTTGTTGGTGCTTTCTTTGCAGATACACGTTTTACTCTATGCCTCTTATGCCGCTTATGTGCTGCTCTTCCCTGCCGATATTGCCCCTCATCTTATTGTATCGAATTTTAACCAGGCAGCGGACGGACGGACCGGGCACCGACGGGCACTCGCATAGGACACGGGCATAGGCAGGTATAGGTAGACGCTACCTTACCAGACCATTCCACATCCCTTACATTAATGTTGTGATTACCCAATTTAACATATCCTTGATCCTCAGACTTTTGCGCGCTCTGCTGGCGTCGCAGTTATTGGAATATGGCGTGACGAAGTTAAATAGATTTTAGATCACATAATATCAAGGGTTTGGTTTGGTTTGGTATATTACTTCCCCTCCTCTGTAGACCTAATATCCGTTCTTTATGTGCAAGAGTAGTTCACGGCTTTTGCCGAAGGCTGGATCCGCTTCGTCGCCCGAACATTGGATAGATCAAAGCGTAGTGCAATGTTGCTTGTTTGTTACTCTTCGAAAGGGTGTCTTGTTTGTCACACCCAGGCATTGGCTTGCCTGCTGTGCTACGTTGTCGGAATTTTATGGTGACTTGTCTCGGCTACATGCAAGTAGGTTGCTATTTATCCAGAGTCTGCCATTGACACCTTCTCCACCACTCTTCAGCTAGCCATCGTTAACATAACTATTTATGCAATGTCTCAGACAGCAAATCAGTACAACCTCACTTCCCACCTAGATAGAGCCTCAATATTCTAGAAACGTTAACGTACGGCACCTAATTAGGATACAATTCAACAAACCAGCTAACGGCCCTCTGCTAGGCCCAATTGTTTCCAATGCAACATTTCGAATCATGCATACTTACAATTGCTACCCAAAAAATATGCCAACAAAGCATATCACTGGTTATTAACCGTTTATTCGCAGTAAGTTGTACGCCTATTCTTCCTCCGATTATCCCAACTATCAAACACCGGGGGTGTTGGGTTGGTCTGCAAATAGACAAGTATAAAAGGGCCCACTCGCACCAGCATCCTCATTGCTCTGCTCATAGTTATCTGGAGCTCCGACCTTGACACAACTACATATACCGCTATACAGGCCCAATCTGTTGCCCATTGTTGAATGGTATGAGCAGTATACAATCGTGTACCAATTCCATTTTGGCATTGAACTGAGATTCCGAGCATAGACTTATCCTGCCCCCTTGTTGTTCGTGTAATTCGCACTATATAGTTACCCACTATGAAGATTTTCATGGTACTTGCCGTACTCTGCGCTACCAGCTATGCCAGACCGGCAGTTGTCGCCGATAAGCCGAGATTTGGCTGCGTCCCTTGTCAAAACCAACAACAACGGTGCTGCGATACGGAACTCTATTGCTGGGTTCGCGCTTGTGATACCTCGCCTACTCATGGCTGGTAAGTATTCTGTCTTCACATTGGTTAGCTATTGCTAAGCATTTGTTATGAGCGGCAGATGGAAATTCACTCCGACATGAGGATACTATATTCAATCGATAACTTATTTGTTATTCGAACGAGTTATGAGGGGGAATAGGGAAAGGATACAAAATTTCTATTATAGGTGATGGTCATCCATTATACTATGGAATGTTATGTTCTTCATTAGCCAGTCACTTCTTGAGATATCAAGTCGAGATATACTCTATTCTACTATTCTACTGACCCCTTACCCTGCAATTTGAGATTTGCTATGGATAAGAAGAACAACCTTATTGGATGGGAAATTAAGGTTGGTGCTCCAAGATGACGTAATAACCTTAATAGCCCTCGCGTTGCTTCATTAAAACAGTTCTTGATTCTAATTGGCTAAAACTGCCTGGCCAAGCGCCCTGCCAAGCGCCAGCCGCGTGATTTGGCCATTCAAGGTTTAGCCTCTGGCCGCTAGCGCGGGAGATATAAGGCTTGGCATCACGCGTGCTTTCTTCATGGCTTTTCGCTTGTGCATTCAAATACGAGTTCTGGGGCGAAAGGAGACACCCTTGCATAACCACGTTATTGTATAATTATATAAGGAGATGCTGGTCGCTCACATGCTTCCCTTTGTGCGTCAGGCCTGGACAAGTATATCGGCCTTCAAAGGATCAAAGGAATAATGCTCCTCCCAGCTCCGTTATCAAAATACGTATCGTCTCTCAAGTCGCTGAGGCAGAAGTGGCAGGGCCACGCTGCTTCTCGACCAGAGGATGATAAAAATTCACTTTTTGCCAGGCTAGTTACAGTGTTTCTGTCTACCTGGGACCTTGGTTTCACTTCCTTTGGAGGCCCGCCAGTGCATTTTCGCATCCTCCATCAGAGATTCGTCGAGGGTAAAGGAGTCAAGGAGAAATGGATCGATGAGCAAACTGTGAGCGACTATCCGAATTATTCATAAAATTCTCCTTGTGCGTGGCTGATTGTCCTGTCTCCATAGTATCAGGAACTCTTTGCTATCTGCCAGGGTCTTCCAGGGCCAGCGAGCACAAAGCTGCTATTCTGCATTGCATTGCTTCATGCAGGATTTATCCCGGCACTCCTTGTGTTCTTTTTATGGTGGTAATGACTACTCCGTTTCCCCGGTATTCCGAATGTAATAGTTTTAGCTCATCGATTTTAGTCTTCCCGGGGCAATTGGCATGTATGCTTTCTCTCTGGGTGTTCAACGAATTGGCGAGACTCTCCCTGAACCTGTTTATCCTTTGCTATCTGGGCTAAACTCATCGACTGTGGGAATAATTGCCTTAGCAGCAGTACAGCTGGCAGAAAAGGCCATCAAGGATAAGTTGACCCGCATCCTGGTGACCCTTGGTGCTTGCGCCGGCCTATGTTACAATGCATTGTGGTATTTCCCATTGCTCATGGCCGTTGGTGGAATAGCCACTGTTGTCTGGGACGGGTGGCTGCATCAGAAGATCCGGAGCCTTCGGCTGAATCGGAAACGAAGAAATACCCATCCTGAAGCTGCCGAGGAAACAGTAGCGCCACAGAGTCTTCAGACAGGAGACCAGCAAGGCCATGGCAATTCAAGCGGACCAGAGGACAGTACCCAAATAAGGCCGCGCAGGACAAACGCTCCCGGCGGAAGTAACATACAATGTGACCAAGCAGGTCTCCTCACGAACCCAAATCAATCAGCGGAAGCTGATAATCCACAAAAGCATGTTATCCGGCTCAGATCTGGCATTATAATCACTGTATTATTCTTTGGTATGACTTGGTAACTATGCACCTCGAGTGGAAATATACTGATTAATCATGTTTATAGCATCCTTTATAGCTGTGCTCGTGACCAGAGGCGTTCTTCGCACCCCACCCCTGGCTCTTGACCTTTTTGCTAGTATGTACCTTGCCGGAACCGTGATCTTCGGTGGTGGTCCTGTTGTTATTCCACTTTTGCGATCATATGTCGTAGATCCCGGTTGGGTATCAGGCAGAGATTTCCTCCTTGGTCTCGCTATTATCCAGGCATTCCCTGGCCCAAATTTCAACTTTGCTATTTTTCTCGGTGCTTTAGTGCTACAGAAATCACCGTTGCCTACCATATTCGGTGCCATTCTCGGTGGATTGGGAATTTTCTTGCCCGGCATCACTTTGGCTGTTGCGGTCCAGAGCTTCTGGGCAGTGTTGCGAAAGAGAAAATGGGTTACAGACTTCCTTCGGGGGGTTAATGCAACCGCAGTTGGCTTGGTTTTTACCGCAGTTTACCGTCTATGGGAGATTGGCTACCTTACACCTCAAACCACCCGTGGACAAAGCTTGGGCAAGGAGCCGTGGTGGGTCGTTATCGCGGCGGTGACTTATGTTGAGAGCGCATGGTTTGGTATCCCACCACCAGTTGCAATTGTAATGGGTGCAGTCCTCGGTCTTTGCTGGTACGGTGCTGTTGGACGGTGATCTTAATCCCGTTTCGTGTTAGTAGATTTTGCTTTCTAAGGTGTTCATTGGCAGAGGGTAGCCAGTCTGTCTTCGAGTTATTACATACAACATTACATTGACAGTCTACAGCACTACCAACTCAAGCAGGAGAGAGATACCCTCCTAGCAATAAAGAAAGCCTAGCAATTGATTGCATATTAACTCCATCATTAGTAGTTGTACATTCATAAAATAAAACTAATCCTTCCTTTTTTTATGTAAACTCTATGTATTATTGCAATCATGTTTCGCCGAGGATACCGCTCTCCTTCAAACCTTTCCAAAGCTCCGGTTCCAAAAACTTGCTAACGGTGATATCTTCTGCAAGACCCTTTCTTCGGCGAGTTTTGAGAACAAAATCTCTTGCAGTTGCCATGGGACTTGCCATCTCCAGCGGCCGGAGTTTGATATCTCTGTCCAATGGGTCTCCCGGCACAACACTCCATTTGTCAAATACTAAACTGACAGTTGCCTGACCCTGGGTATGGATTCTGAGATCGGTCTCAAAACCGAAGGAGTCAATGACGGGAATAAGTCCTCGAACAGAATAAAGAGGAGTTCCTGCGATAGGACCATCGGATAAGACGTGCCCACGTCGACGAGAGAGGACAGTGTATATGGCGGCGACTGAGTCTGGAGGACCTGTCATAGCACAGGTATAAATGGGTTCCATCAATCGGGGAGAGGCCATGAGGAATGACGAGTAGATAACGCGACGAGTGGCCGGGATGATCTGCCCACCGCCTCGAGAAAAGGCTTGGTCAGCTAGTTGGATATCTGTAAGACGGAACTTGGTGTTTCGAATGGCTGGGGAAAAAAGTATCGTTAGCAGTTATTATTATAGAGAACATGTTTCCTTGCCAAACTCGCGAGTATACGGGCTCTGAATGTATGGTGAGCTTACGTTCTTCACACAAGGGGCCCTCCCTCGTTCCCCAGCTAAAAGCCTGGCGAATAAAGTCCCTTACTGACCCAAGTAGTTTCTTGTCTACCTTGGAAGGCAATGTGTCGTCCTGAAGAATATTTGGTCCCATATCATCAGGGCCAAAAGCCCAAATACTCCTTGCGGCTAGTTTATCCCAATCATATTTTTCTTCAAAGAATTGACCGACTTTTCGAATTGGATCGTGAATGTTGACACGACCACTCTCGATATCTTCACTGATACCATCATCGAGAGGTTCTGCAATCATCGTGATTTTGTTCTTAGTGTTGGCTGTGACGGAATAGCACATAATGGCGGAGGTTTCAACAACGGTTTCACAAAATCTTGTAACCGGGTCTGATACCTTAAGTTCCATTTCCGCGTATAGTCGACGGAGGTCATGCAGAACACAATCCATGTAGAGCTCCCCAGTGCCCAGTACAATATGTTCACCTGATTCCTCAACTCTTGTAGATATCAGAGGATAGCTTTTGTTAACCTTCCGAAGTCCCTCGAGCATCTTAGGTAGCTCTGATGGATTTATGGGTTCAACAGCCACCTTGAACACAGACTCTGTCATATGCTTGATAGGCTTAAATATATATGCTTCCTCGTCATCTTCAAGTTTCAACGGAACAAGAGTTGCAGTTTTGATGATGGAGTTATCTACTCCGCTGAGGAGCACCCAGTTACCCGCTGGGACGCCACTGGTAGGAATGTTATAGCGGGACTCGGCGATGAACGTGTCAGAAATGGTTGCAACGACCATATCCTCATTATCATCCACTGTATACCCTTCTCCTAGTACTCTGACCTGCTGTCCTGCCCTTGCAGTTCCGCTCATGATGCGCCCAAAGGCATTGAACCCGGCAGCATCTGGTGTTCCATACAACTTAGTGACATGCACAACTAATGGACCATCTTGATCACAGGCTTCCATGGCAGCAGCAACTTTTGTATCTCGTGGCCCAGTATAGTACTTATCCAGTTTTTTGCTAGCCCCGTCGACAGGAGAAGGGATGTGCTGAACGACCATATCGACAAACCCAGTGACAGGGCCAAAGAACTGGGCACAAACTAGTTTTAAGAGCACCTTTGCGTCGGATTTCAGCTGGGATGGTTTTAAGTTGATTCCAAGCGTTGCGAGCGTATCTTTCAGATCTTCCGGGCTCTCACTGATGGTATGGGAGTAAAGCTTGTAGATAGGTTCAAGGATGAAATGGACAAAGGATCGCTTCGATTGTTCTTCCATACCCTTGCGCGTAAACTTGCGGCTGCGAGGATTGAAGAATATATCACCCCATAGTCTTATAGCAAACTCGGAGAGATCAACTTTCGCATATGTGTCCGCATACATTTTTGCGAATGACTGGAGGGTAAAACACCAGTTCATCGAGGCACATGCAAATGCAACGTTGCCCTTCTCGGGGCTTAGCCGTCTCTTTTCTCCTTGCCCAGGTATTGTTCTCTCGATAACAGTGTTTACCTCCTCAACCACATGCTTCAACTTGAAGTAGGCATCCGTTGGTGGTAGTTTTAACTCCAGTATGAGTCGGTCCAGCTTGTTAACAATTAGAGTGAGTGGCAGGTCTTCTAATACGGCGTGCTTGATGATTTGTTCCGTGTTGATCTGGACGCCTTCAACCACGTCCACAACAAGCACTACTCCGTCTACCAGTCGCAATGACGCGGCGACTTCGTCCACGAAATTGACATGCCCGGGGGTATCGATTATGTTGAAGAGATGAGATTTCCCTTTCGTACCTTGTAAAACAAGGCTCATCGGTGCTGATTTTATTGACAGTCCACGCTCTCTCTCTAGAAAGTGCACATCTGTGTATCTCAGCTGTTCATCCTTAGATTTACCAGTTCGTTTATCAAGTTTTTCCGACAGATCGTGCGTCTCCATAACCAATGTATCCATAAAGGCTGTCTTTCCATGATGCAAATGACCGGCCAATGCTATATTTCGAGTTTGGCTAGGGTAGTTTAATAGATCTGTCATGAACTCTCTAGAGTAAAAGACCGGTGGTAGATCTGCTTCCTGGACAGCAAACTTCTTCTGCTGAACTGGCGCGATAATTGGTTGTGACAGTGGCTGTGTATCTTCTTCTTGTACTTTCGTCTCGACATCTGCGCCGTAAACTTGTTGTGCAGTTGGGTAATATTGCTTGTCTTCGTGAAGAATCACTGCATTCGATGGACCTTGGTCTATAAGAGATGGGAGCAGTTAGCCATAGGCAATAAAGGTGAACCCGCCAAATCTCCTACCATCTATCTCCATGAGCTCCTGGCCATGAGCAGCCGGGGCTTCCACTTCCGATTCAAGGTCATAATCAAATTGCTGTGCCTCAACGCCGCCATGTTGCGATTCTTCCTCGGACTCTTCACCTCCAATATAATTGCCGAACCTGGATACAATTAGCTTGCTTTCTATTTGCGCAGCTGGAGTAATTGCCGTTATATCCATATTTAATCCATCTCTAGAAAACTTACTCGTCATAAAGGTCATCCATGATGTGTTAGCACGCGATCGCAAGGTTCCGGGAGGGATGTGTTGACAGAAAGTCGCAGAGAGCCGCTAGTCAAATGAAGGATGGCACTTTAACTTATGCCACAGGCCATGGAATGGGACAAGACTGTGATGTGGCGGCTGGTTAGAGCTCTAGATGCTCTGGTAGAGAGATACCTCAAGGCGTTCGCGTTTATCAACTTCGACTTTCTTCATTTCGTCTTGATAGAAACTGCGCCAAGACTATTTAAGCTCAGAAGCTTTACGATCACGTGCTGAAGACTTGGCTCACCTGATATAAAGAGAAAACATCAATGTTGGCACAGCAGTTACAACACATTCTACTGCCTTGCATGTTTACAAAGTAGCAGAATGATAAAGGATCAATCTAGCACAAAGACACACTGAAGTAGTTAATTCTTCTCGAACGTTCATGTTCATCGATGAGCCATGGATGGTGTACAACCAAGAATACCCACCAGTTCTGTCCAGGATCCTTACGCGCCGACGGCAAAGACAAGACGAGGGTGTGTAACAGTCTACAGTATCCCGTCAACTACATACAACGCTGCGGTCACAATAAAGTCAACAGGAATGTCACTTGTTGGCTCAATACCAAAAAATGAAAATCTCTTGTAGAGATCATAATACAAGAATTGTATGACCAAATGTATATAGCCGAGTTTTGGACGAAGCCCAAATTCTGAGGGCAGTGGGGAGTCGCGCGATTAACCAGTTCATTTGAGAACGGGCTTTATCCACCACTGCTGTCAAAGAAGCCATTCGTATACAAGAAATCTGAGTGGACAGTAGGACTATAAAGAAGTTCACAAGAAAACAACATGCTATTAGGAAACACTTTCGAGAGCTGAAACTTGGACAGTCTGAGACTGAGCAAGAGGGAACCATAGCGTGACCATGAAGATTTCAAGCCTTACCATTTTCCCCCTTCTGGGTGTCGTGTCCGCTGGAATTAATGGCAAAAAGCCGAACGGTCCAACGTATGCAGGTACCAACCCGGCCTGTACTTGGTATCTTGACCTCGTTGATGATAACTATACTTGCGAAAATATCGAAAGTCAATGGGATTTGAGCCACGAAGTCTTTGTGTCCTGGGTAAGTCAATCAATACTTTGATCACTTCGAAGGAATTACAGCAAAAGCGTCTAATGGAATGTGGTTAGAATCCTGGTTTGAAGAAAGACTGCAGTGGCCTCAAAATCGGTCTCTCAGTTTGTGTGGAAGCCCCAATGGAATCAATTACCGCAACCCCTACGTCAGGGGCTTCAACTTCTTCGGAATCACACTCCGCTTCACCTACCGCTACTGGGCCTCCTTTGCCATCTCCAACCCAAGATGGCTTGGTGGGTAACTGCACAAAATTCCATCGGGCTGTTAGCGGTGATACGTGTGGTAAGATTATATCCCGGTATAAACCCGTAACGTTGGACCAGTTCATTGAGTGGAATCCGGCGGTCGAGAAGGATTGCTCGGGACTTTGGTCTGGTTATCATTACTGTGTCGGTATACCTGGGACGCCCAGTGCATCCCCAACGAGTATATCGGCTAGCACATCACGGAGTAGCACCAACTCACATACGACTGTAAGACCTGCTGCGCCGGGGCCAACCCAGGATGGTATTGTCAACAACTGTCAGCGGTGGCATAAAGCAGTATCTGGGAACACTTGCGCCAGTCTCCTTAACCAGTATGGAACTTTCACTCTAGACGAGTTTATCAAATGGAATCCAGCAGTTGGAGAGGACTGCTCCGGCCTCTGGTTAAACTACTATTACTGCATTGGTAGGATCTCATGGACTTATGAGCGACGTTCTAAAACTAATCAATATTGGATAGGCATACCCGGTACACCCACAACGAAGAAGGCCGTGCCTAAGCCAACCACTACGGGATGCAACAGCCCTGGTCTTCCTTCTCCAACTCAACCCGGAGCTATATGCCGATGCAGCAAGTGGCACCAGGTCAGACAGGGAGATACCTGCGACAATATTACTCGGAATTACCGAATCTCAATCTCAAAATTCAAAGAATGGAACCCCAATGTTGGAAAAGATTGCTACGGTCTATGGCTTCGGTATTATGTTTGTGTCGGGGGAAAATGAATCTGGGTGATGGAAGAAGAAGGTCATAAGAAATTGTGAGGTTTTTCTACTGGTTCCGCCCATGTACTCTTGTAGGCTCCAGCTTTAAATGGAATCTTTTAAGTGACTACTAGTTATAAACCTTGGATTTTTTGCAGAATGATGGTCTCATACCATATTCTAGATTCGCTGGTTGCAATATGTAAGTATGATGTCTATGCGGATCATCCAACACCAGCATATATAGACAAAGCTACTCCGTAACCGCTCAACAAATGGCTTAATCTCCTAGGATACTGTGAAGGATATAAGCTTTCCCTTACACTAAGCATATGGATAACTAAATTATTCATCGTATTATTATATGTATCTATCTTTCTTCATAGTCACTTCCGTAGATTAGCTGATAATATACAGAACACTAGGGTTTCTCTCTTAGTACTATAATAGCCATTCTTGTTAGAATAGTGTATACATTGTGTTTATAAATGTGTCTATGGCGTCCAGCCTCAATAGCTAGTTAACTCGTCAGATAGTTTGTTAATCACTTGGCCGTGGGGGTGGCTTGGGTAAAACCTGTAATATCAGAAATATTGTTGATACCACTGACACACTACGCATGATGGCGTTTCACCACGATATAATAACTTCATCCTACCACTGCAAGGTCGAATTAGACACTAGTACAAACCGTGGCTGAAAAACATGATAAATCCTGAAGACAATCTAGATTAATTTGTGCGGAGGGTCAATACAGAAAACGGGTGAGAATACTCCATACTCCTGTAAAAGTTGCGAGAGTAGCTCCGTTACTTACCACACTCATTGATTCTCTGGTGGCTGACTGATAGCCAAATCCACACAGAGATATTGACTTCCACGGAGCATACCATGTTAATTGTTAATGCAGTTCGCATATCAAACTCCGTTCTCACCTCCAAGCGAAAGGACTGAAGATCTCATGCAGACCAAAAAATGTGCCTGATATACTTGGAGAAGGCGGTTGTGGAATTAACCAATAAAAAGCTTCAAGAAGGCAATAATGACTAAGCACGGATAGCTTTAATTGGACGCCTCAACATCCAAAGATCTTCGTCTCAACTTCAACTTTCCTCACATCCGCCCTGGAACTGGGGGAATTTTCATCTCAACGAGGGATATGAGATGAGTATTTCACCTCATCTTGATGGCGGGCCTGGGAAAGGCCCGCACAACGTGGCTCAAAAAAGCCGACAAAGCAAAAAGAAAAGGAGGGTCGCACGTATCTTGTGCAACGATTGATCATATTGTACTCTGTAGCTCGCAACGGCTTGGATATCGCCAGAGAATAGAAACGCCATCACAATTCCTGCTCCACAAGGAGGGACGCCTCGCCAGGCATGTTTGACACTCAGACTATTCAATCCTTGACTGAAAAATGGCCGTGGCTCTTCTTTGAAAGATGAAGCGTTCTCAACTCATTTCCTTAACTTCTCAATTTTGTCTCATTGTTGGGAATCATTCTCTTTGAGCAATATTCTGTTGCTCTCAGTTTACTACGTCTGACATCCCGAAGCACCTACGTCCCAAGAACGCACTACCAAACTTCATTCGGCGAGCTCGGTCTTAGTACTGAGTACTCCGCCTAAAAATGGGCTCAATCGCAGTTGAGGAACTCTTAAAGGAAAGGGAGTCATCGGCTAGCACATCATGCACGCCTATGAAAGCTGTTTCTAATCCGCAAGATGTTCCTCCTCCTATCGCAATTGTGGGTATGGGTATGAGACTCCCGGGTGGTATCACCTCTGCAGAAGAGTTTTGGGACTTTCTGGTTTCAAAGGGAGATGCGCGTAGTAAGATACCAGAATCTCGTTTCAACATTGATGCGTTTTATAATAGCTCGAAGCCTGGCTCTGTTAGGACAGAGTATGGCTATTTTTTAAATCAAGATCTGGCTCACATAGATGCGTCATTCTTTTCCATGGTGAAATACGAAGCTGAAAGGCTGGATCCCCAACAAAGACTGCTACTTGAAGTGGTATGGGAATGTTTAGAGTCTGCCGGCGTAACCGGCTGGCGCGGAAAGGATATCGGCTGCTTTGTTGGCTCTTTCGGGGAAGACTGGCTTGACATGTCAAGTAAAGATACCCAGGACATTAACAGAGTCAGAGCTATCGGTGCTGGAGATTTTGCGCTCGCAAACAGAGTCTCCTATGAGTATGATCTCAAGGGACCAAGGTCAGAATATCCTTCTTTCTATAGTGAAAGTTAATGAACTAAACCCCCTGAAAAAGTATAACGTTTCGAACTGCTTGCTCAGCTGCTATGGTGGCTCTACATAATGCATGCCTCTCTCTTTACTCAGGAGAATGTTCAGCTGCGATTGTCGCAGGATCCAACCTTGCTCTGGCTCCGACGATGGCAACTACAATGTCCGACAACTTGGTTCTTTCGCCTAGTGGAATTTGTCGATCCTTCGATGCTGATGCTGATGGATATGGACGCGGTGAAGCTATAAATGCGGTTTATATTAAGAGACTTGAAGATGCAGTTAGAGATGGAGATCCTATTCGTGCTGTCATTCGCTCTACCGCGACTAACTGCGACGGTAGAACGCCTAACATTTCGATGCCTGGTGCAGAAACCCAAGCAAGCCTTATACATCAGGCCTATAGTCAAGCAAAGATATCTGATCTTTCTGCAACTGCTTTCATTGAGTGCCACGGCACTGGAACTGTCATGGGAGACGTCGCTGAATTAACAGCCGTTGCAAAAGCTTTTGGAGAGAAAGGTATATATATTGGGTTGGTGAGTACTATGAAACTGAGTCTTGGTATTTCATGGTCCGCGAAGCTCACTCGTATCTAGGTCAAACCTAACGTCGGGCATTCTGAAGGTGCCTCAGGACTTACAAGCATCATCAAGGCTACTTTGGCCCTTGAGAATAAGATCATACCCCCGAATATTCATTTCAAGAACCCGAACCCGAAGGGTAAGAAATTTGCCCGTAATTTCTTTAAAAGGTGATATTAACAAATTTCTTAGTGCCCTTTGATAGTGCCCGGCTCCAAGTGCCTCTAGAGCCAACTACTTGGCCCCACGACCGAAGTGAACGTGTCAGCATCAATTGCTTTGGAATTGGCGGCACAAATGTGCACGTAAGGGATAGTAATATATGATTATCTCGTTAAACTATTACTAACTTAGACAGGTTATTATTGATTCGGCTGCATCATTCACCGCTGTGAATAGCGAGCATTCAGAGAGGCCTGCGCCGCAAAATAAGTCGAGACTTCTCGTTCTGTCAGCAAATTCTCAGAATTCGCTGCAACGACAAGTCGAAAATTTGAAGGCTTATGTAGAAAGTCGGCCGGAGGTGTTAAATGATTTATGCTTTAATTTGGGGGCTAGGAGGGAACATCTCAAGTACCGAGCCTTTACAATTCTTGAGCAAGAAGGAAGTATTGATACTGCAGGCTTTGAAACATTTCAATCTATCAAGTCGCGTAGTATGGTTTTCGTCTTCACAGGCCAAGGGGCACAATGGGTCGGCATGGGCAAAGAACTACTGCTTGAGTTCGATATTTTCCGGAATGATATCAAAGCCATGGATACGGCCTTACAAAAGCTGAAAAACGCCCCATGTTGGAGTATAGAAGGTATGAGTAATATCCATGATTGACTTTACGGTTACTAACCCCTGTTATTTCACATTTTCAGATGAGCTGTTGAAATCCAGTGAGGATTCTAGGATTAACGAGCCTGAATTTGCGCAGCCACTTTGTACAGCTGTGCAAATTGCTCTGTCGAATCTATTAGAACTCTGGGGCCTTTTGTCCACTGGTGTGATCGGTCATTCAAGCGGCGAGATTGCCGCTGCCTACTCTGCCGGCGCCATTACCATGGAGTCTGCCATCATTATTTCCTACTATCGCGGGCAGGTGACAAAATCAATTTCTGAAAATGATGCTACACCCCAAGGCGGAATGGCTGCTGTTGGGCTTAGCCCGGAAAAAGCCAAACGCTATCTTATTGATGGCGTGGTTATTGCGTGTGAAAACAGTCCACAAAGCGTGACTATTTCTGGCGACAGCGATAAACTTGACAAGGTCATTACCAGGATTCAATCAACAGAAGATGATATCTTTTGTCGGCGTCTTCGCGTCGGAGTTGCGTATCATTCTCGTAAGTCTATTCAATTACTCTTTATCGTCTAGATCAGTCGGGATTAACGTATTCACATTAAAATTAGACCATATGCAAGGCTTGACTGGGCTATATCAAGACCTTATCGGGCCACATATATCCTTTAAGGACGCCATGATTCCATTCTACTCAAGTGTGACGGGAAATATCATTAATGAACCCATTCAGCTAGATGCAAAATATTGGGCTCAAAATTTATCATCTACTGTTCTATTTTCAACAGCGGTTGGAAGCTACCTTGAGAAAAATGGTGGCAATGCGTTGTTCCTAGAAATTGGACCTCATTCTGCTCTTTCTGGGCCTCTTAGGCAGATCTTCGACGGCCACCAAGCAAAGCTGAATGTCGCCTATATACCTACACTTATTCGAGGTGAAGGTCAGAGGAAAAGCCTGCTGACTGCAGCAGGGAGAGCCTACATGAACGGTAGCCCTATTAGTTTCCCAGAAATTAATGGCCCTGGGAGGGTGCTCACTGATCTCCCAAAATATCCTTGGCAACACGATGTGAGGTACTGGGGGGAGAACTTAATCTCCCAAAGATGGAGAAGTCGACAGCACCCACACCATGAGATCCTGGGCTCGCGTGTTTACGAGGCAAGCGACATAGAACCTACTTGGAGAAACTTGCTATACGTGGAACACACTCCTTGGATTTGGGAGCATAGGTTAAATAAGGAGATTGTATTTCCCTGTGCTGGTTACATCGCCATGATCGGTGAAGCTATCTATCAAATTTCTGGGTCTCATGCATATTCAATCAGGAACTTGTTCATGAAGAGAGCTCTCATATTGGAAGATTCTAGTGTCCTGGAGCTTGTCACTAGCCTGAGGCCTGTGCGGCTTACGGATAGTGCTGATTCCAAGTGGTACGAATTCACCATCAGCTCCTGTAACGACAATGCCTGGCAAAAGCACTGTACAGGCCGTGTGATCCCCGGTGACATTGAAGTATGTCGGTTCAAAGACCATAAAGGTCCATTCATCAGACAAGTACAGGCAGACAAGTGGTACTCCGCACTGGCAAATCAAGGCCTGAATTATGGCCCTCGGTTCAGAGGCCTCGAGAACATTACTGCGGATCCCATTGACTACCAAGCCACTGCGTCTATAGCTGATGATGAGAATCTACATGAGAGCCACTACTCACTACACCCATCAACAATTGACCAATGCTTACAGCTTTTTAGCGTAGCTTTCACGCATGGTATTTCTCGTCAAATGACCAAACTCAGCATCCCCGTGTCTATTGAGAAACTTTATATTAGCACAGGGGGCCTGTCAATGGCTGCCCACGCTAAAGGCACTGGAAGATCTAGCAGTACGGCAAGTGGACGTGTGGTTATGACATTGGATAATAAACCTGTACTGTGGATGGAGGGAGCCCAGTTCTTTACAGTGGACGAGGAAGATACAAGCTCACCAAGTAAACGCTTGATATCACGATGCGAGTGGAAACCGATTACCCCATCAATTTCCGCTGCGAACGTGTCGGGCTCAGTCCCTTGGCCATCAACCGTACACTCTCGGCGGATAGTAGGGCAGTTCGCAAATCTATCGATTCTCGAGTGTTTCCATCGAATAAAACACCTCAAAGCTGAATCTTCACACCTAGCCAAATATCAGCGGTGGATTATATCCCAGACAGATCGTCTTAGTAAAGGGCTGGATGAGCTATTCCCTGAAAGTGCTCCGTGGGCAGCAGCTTCTTCTGAAGCCCGCCTGACTGCTATGGAGTCGCTAGTGCAAGAATTGGAGGTTGAATCCCCAAGGGACATGCCGCTCATTGATATCTCCAAAACTCTTCTTGATCGTTGCCCTCAAATAATTGAAGGCAAAGTAGGTTCGCTGGAAGTTCTTATGGAGAATGATAGAATCAAGGACGTATACAATGATTTGTGTTGGACGTCCGCTTGGTCCGATTTTTTCTCCCTACTTAGCCACTGGAACCCAAACTTGAGAGTATTGGAAATAGGTGGTGGAGTAGGAGCTACTACGGCAACAATGCTACTCCACCTAGCACCTGCAGGAAGGACTCGTATGTATTCCAAGTACACGTTTACTGACATATCCCCCGGAGTGCTACCGTTAGCAAAAGAGAGGTTTAAAGACTTCGAAGAAATAGAATATTCCGTGCTTGATATTAGCAAAGATCCGACAAAGCAAGGCTACAGCCCAGAGAGTTTTGATCTCATTATTGCTTCGAACGTGCGTACGCCAGTTATATTCCTAACCACAGTTTGCTAATTTGCTATCAGGTCCTCCACGCAACTCCATGTCTAAGTGAGACTTTAGAGTACGTACGCAGGCTTCTAGTTCCTGGAGGTGGCCTTTTACTGGAGGAACTTTGCCCAGGTATGCTCTTTAGTTATATATTATGCCCTATTATCCACTGACCAATTAATTTCAGCCATACCCATCTTCAATTTTATCATGGTAGGTAATCATTCAACACCTTGGCTGGCGATTTTAAGCTAAATACATTTGGTGTGAAAATATTAGGGTGTCCTTCCAGGTTGGTGGCTAGGAGGTGGGGATGGCCGAGAGGATACCCCCCTTGTAAATCCTGAGCGATGGGACCGGGAACTCCAGAAGAATGGATTCACTGGGGCAGAAGAAGTGATCTATGACTGTGAGAAACCGTATCACTATGGCGCTGGTATATGGTCGCGGCGTGCAGATATTCTCCCGGTTAAAGGAGATATATCTTTTCTTCATCATCCGGGGGTTCATGAATGGGCATATATGGCAGAGGCACAGCTTTCCCAAAGGGGCTACACAGTACATTGGTGTACCCTGGACCAACTTCCTGCCGGTCAGATCATAATTTCATTCCTTGACTTAGGTGGCCCATTTTTCGACAAAATCTCCGAAGGAAACTTCCGCGCCTTCCAAAAAGCTATGTCAACTGCAGCCAATTGCCGGATGATATGGGTAACACGAGGAAGTCAGCTTGAGTGTTCAGACCCTCGATATGGTTTAGTTCTTGGTCTGGCTCGTACGCTTCGATTCGAGATGGATGTAGATTTTTCCACGGTCGAAGTTGATAAGTTCGATGAAAAGACTGCTACCGTCCTCTGTGATCTACTTCAGGATATGCAAATCTCCCGCGAGAAACCATGGCTGGACCAAGATTATGAATTCACTGTACGTGATGGAGCTGTGCATATTGGCCGATTCCATTGGACGCCTCTGGATGAGGAAATTACCACGACCAACAAGCCCAATATGTCCAAAGGTCTACACATTGGAACCTATGGTCTCTTGGATTCTTTATCCTGGGTTGAATCCGAAGAGCCTCCAGTTGGGGAAAATGATGTGATGGTGGAAATAAAATACACGGGGCTTAATTTTAGGGTATGCATTGACAGTGTATTGGGTTTCTAGTGGAAGATACTTACTTGCTAATAGGACATTATGGTGACGTTGGGTGCCCTTGGCGACACAAGTGAGATTGGACTTGAAAGCTCGGGAACTATTTTCAAAGTCGGTTCAAACGTCAAGACCTTGCGTGTTGGTCAAAGGATTCTAGCTCTGGGTATCGGTCTTCTTCGTACCAGGAAGGTGATACCTGCAAATCACTGTGTCCCAATCCCCGATGGATTGTCTCTAGAAGATGCAGCGACAATGACTTCGGTATATGCTACCGTGATACTCTCCCTAATACGGCTTGGAAATCTTCAAAAAAACCAGGTAAAAAGAAACCCACCAAACTTCATTGGCAATCTTTCAAACTGACGAAAAAAATAAAAAAAACGTAATAGTCTATACTAATCCACTCTGCATGTGGCGGTGTTGGTTTGGCAGCAATCCACCTTTGTCGAACCATTGGGGCAGAGGTAAGGATAACACAACCCTTTATATTACGACGTTCGCTAATGATGTGTGCAAGATCTACGCAACTGTTGGAAACGAACAGAAACGGAAGTACCTTGTAGAGAACCATCAGATTCCAGAAGATCGTATATTTGATTCAAGGAGCATCTCATTCTTCGACGATGTCATGCGACATACCAATGGTAGGGGAGTCGATCTTGTCCTGAATTCTCTCTCTGGCGAATTGTTGCATGCCTCGTGGCGATGTGTCGCCGAGTTTGGTCGGATGATTGAACTAGGGAAGAGAGACATCCTAGGCCATGCACAGCTGAATATGGACGGATTCTCTGGAAATAGGGCATATTTCGGAGTTGACCTATTCCGACTCGGCGAGACAGATACGACTATGTTTGGACAGTACGTATTCCTTTTCTCTTACCTATCGGTCTTGATAATATATGCTTGTCAGACGCTGATGAATGAGAAGGCTATGCCGAGACGTTATTGAGTTTTACCAACAAGGAAATATTCAGCCAATACAGCCAACGACGACATATGAGGCCACGGACATCATTAGTGCCTTCAGGTACATGCAGACCGGGAAACATATGGGCAAGATCATCATAAAAATGCCAGAGGATCCAGCAGAATTACCAGTCGCAAAAAACAACTTAAACCTTTCTCTATCCCCAGGAGGGTCCTACTTACTGGCAGGCGGACTCGGCGGACTTGGTCGTCCTATTACGACTTGGATGATTGAAAAGGGAGCCCGGAATTTTATATTTTTGTCGCGATCAGCAGGAGAATCTGATTCAGACAAAGCTTTCCTGCGCGAACTGGCTGCTCAAGGGTGTACTGCTACTATAGTGAAGGGAAATGTAGCTGAACTAGACGATGTCAAACGGGCAGCTACTGCTAGCCCAAAACCAGTTGTTGGCGTTATCAACTTGGCTATGGTACTGAGGGTAAGTGAAACATATAGAGGCACATCTACTCTTCTAAAGCGGGTTACTGACACAGGAGACAGGACGAAGCCTTTGAAAAAATGACCTATGATGACTGGAATGCTGCACTCGCGCCCAAAGTCCAAGGAACATGGAATTTACATAACGTCTTCAAGGACGTTTCCCTAGATTTTTTCATCCTCATTAGCTCTATATCTGGTCTGGGAGGTAACTTTGGCCAGGCAAACTATAATGCAGCGAACGCCTTCCTGGATACTTTCGTCCGCTATCGCAAATATATGAATCTGCCAGCCTGGGCTATTGACGTTGGGGCTATGAAGGAAATTGGCCATTTTAGCCAGGATAAAGATTTGGTGCAGAAGGCACTTGCCTGCTCAATAGAAATGCTGGACGAATCCCATCTCGTCGATGCTCTGCAGGTAGCCATGTTGAAGTCAAAGGGGTCCGAGTCAGGCCAATTTGCTATAGGGCTGGGTACATCGAAACCTCCTCCTGATAGTGGTAACCACCCATTATGGCCAAGAGATGCTCGATTCACCGTTAATAAAAACCTCCAGTGGAAATCTGACAAGGCAAACACTACTAGCATTGTAGACCTCAGAAGCTTCGTTGAAGACATCAAGAAGGACCCCAGCATCTTAGACTTGCCGGAGAGTAAGAAAAGAATCGCAAAGGAACTGAGGGTGCTGATAGGCCCGCGTGTGGGACTTGATGAAAATGCAGACGACGAGGAGATCGATAACATTGCAATCGACTCTTTGATGTCTATCGAGATCAGAAGCTGGTTCCGCCGGAATTTATCGTTGGACGTACCACTGATTGAAATCTCAAATGCAAAGACCGTCGGAGGACTCACAGCGACTACCCTGAATGCATTGCGCTGTAAGTATCAGTCAAAATCCACCGAAGCTGATGGGGAGGATAGCGGGATATCTACGAGCGAAACCCCTGATGAGGGAACATTGAAAAACGATATACTGTTGGGAACTGGATTGCAACCTACTCCAGGGCCGACAATTGACTGGAAATGCGAATCTGAGGGCCGGATATTCTTAACAGGTGCTACCGGTTTTATTGGTGCGTGGATGCTAGCATCGCTCCTTGAGCGGCCCGATATTAAAATTGTTGCCTGTCTTGTACGAGCAAGGGATGAAAACACTGGCCTGCAACGCATCAAGGAGGCTTTCAAGAAATATGGGATTGAATGGAAATGCGATGAGAAGCTGGCAGTCATTCCGGGAGATATATCCAAGCCAAAATTGGGTCTTGAAGGGGCTAAGTTTGATGAATTGTCAGCGTGGACAAGTGCTGTCTTTCATTTTGCTGCGCTGTCAAATTTTCTAGAGCCCTATTTTGCTCACCGGGAGGTAAACGTTATCGGAACTTTCAACATGCTTCAATTTGCGACCAACAAGCGGCCAATAACTTTCCATCATAGCTCCAGTTTGTCTGCATGTGGGCTAAATGCATATCTCGGCAAGCAGCGCATTTCAGAAGATCAAAAACCGGAGGTTGATCTTAAGAAGGCTGGCCACCATATCGGATACTCATACAGCAAGTACACTGCTGAGATGGTCTTATGGAATGCCATATCGAACGGAGTGCCTGCATCTATTTATCGTTTCAGCATGGTTCTGGGACATAGCGTTACTGGTATTGGGAACGATGACGATGCCACCTCGAGAATGATGTCCAACTGCATACAAATTGGCAGCTATCCCATTGCCCCCAAACAACGCAGCCAGTTTGTTCCAGTGGACTTCGCTGTTTCGTGCATGTTGGAGATTTCCACATCACTGGAAAATATCGGCCATGCGTACAATGTGATACAACCAGATCAGGAGAATCTGGTTGATCTTCCGGCGACTTTTGATATGTTACGACAATGCTGCCCCTCGCCGCTACGGCCTGTTCCGTATGAGGACTGGCTTCAATCTCTTGCAAAGTTCCGAGCTGGTAGGTTGAGCGTCTTTCTTCCAGAGATGGAGGATAAAGAGCACGAACGCCACGACATCTGGCAGAATATTCACGCAGGCGAGCATCGTTACTGTACTGATAATCTGCGCCGGGCTCTCGCACATCGTCCAGATATACTACAGCTTCCTTCTATGGACAAGCTCATGAAGACATGGTCGGCCCAATGGATCAAGAATGCTACCAGGAAGGAACAGATAGCTCTTGCCTAGAACATTGCATAGACCAAGGCTGTCTAGCACTCACTGTGGAGGCCCTATCTTTGGGCGACATGATCTCTGTGACTGCCTGAAGTTTTAATGTATTTTAACTAATGATTGCTCATCTCTATAATAATTACTTGCCACCATTCAGGGGCAGAATATCTCGTAATAAACCCATACAGTCAAAATACACACAAAAGCTGATAGAAAGCTCAAAAATACCGTAATACATGTACATAGGGAATAATATTTAGCCGGAACCTTATTGTATAGTTGCAAACAGGCCCAACATGCCAAAAACAGTAATTTCTGCCATATGAGAAGTAAAATCTGCTTGAATAAATTTACAAATAATTAAAGCGACTCTCAGTTTGAGAAGCGCATTTTGTAGATATAAAGATGATCATGCACCAGAAGGGCGACCGCAGTGTCGATGGACAAAGGGTGCATCTCCGATAACGCTCGCTCACCCGCCAGGCTAAACTCCAACGCCCCGGCTTATCTAGTTTTTGGGTCCGCAAGCTCAACAAAACCATAACCATAAAAAGGGCGACCAAACCATCTTGCGCTGTCTTCCTCTTCTTTCACCTGCTCTACATATTTGAACATCCTACATTTTAATATAATAATAATCTCTACATCTCTCTTACCAGCAAGATCTCTATCCGTCAAGCTTCCCCGCAATGTCTTCTCGTCCTCCAGTTTACATCGTATCGGCAGCCCGAACCCCAGTGGGCTCGTTCCTTGGGTAAGTCTTCAGACAGCTCTCCTATAGCCAAATGGTTACCGGTGACACTGGAGAAGCTGGGATTGGAGGTATTTGAGAACTTGTACTGACTTGACCGGCTGTGTAGCTCTCTTTCGTCTCTCACTGCCCCTCAGCTCGGATCCCACGCGATAAAGGGTATATATATTGCAGCTTAACTTGGGTACTGTCCAGGACTAATGAAGCTGGATTGCAATAGCTGCTCTTGAACGGGCTCAAGGAATTAAGCCAGAAGATGTGGAAGAGGTCTTCTTTGGCAATGTCCTGTCTGCAAAGTAAGGTTGTCCCTCCTTTTGGCGGGGGTAGCTCTCGAGCTAACGGGGTTGCAACAGTGTCGGTCAGAACCCTGCCAGACAATGCGCACTGGGGGCTGGACTCTTGGATTCTACAGTTTGCACTACTGTAAACAAGGTCTGCGCCTCAGGTCTCAAGGCTGTCATTCTGGGTGCCCAGACCATCATGACTGGTAACGCCGATATCATCGTTGCTGGCGGAACTGAGTCCATGTCAAACACCCCCCACTACCTCCCGAATATGCGTACCGGAGCCAAGTACGGCCACCAGAGTCTCACAGACGGTATCATGAAGGATGGCCTGATGGATGCTTATGGAAAGCAAGAGCTCATGGGGCTCCAGGCAGAGGAGTGTGCTCAGGACCATGGATTCAGCCGTGAGCAGCAAGACGACTATGCTATCCGCACATACCAGCGTGCCCAGGCTGCGCAGAACTCCGGTGCTCTCAGCGCAGAGATTGCACCTGTTGAGATCCCTGGTTTCCGCAGCAAGCCATCCACCATCGTCGACAAGGACGAGGAAGCCAAAAACGTGAGCAGCCCCCTTTACAATAAGTAGGAATCAACGAGAGACAAACGACTAATATAAACCCATCTAGCTTAACCCCGACAAACTCCGAGCCATCAAGCCTGCTTTCATCCCAAATGGCGGCACAGTAACGGCCCCTAACTCATCCCCCCTTAACGACGGCGCAGCAGCCCTCGTGCTGGTCTCTGAAGCCAAGCTGAAAGAGCTCAACCTCAAGCCCATGGCCAAGATCCTCGGATGGGGTGACGCAGCCAAGGCGCCCAGCAAGTTCACCACTGCTCCATCCCTGGCCATCCCCAAGGCTCTCAAGCACGCTGGAGTTGAACAAAGTGCCATTGACGCCTTTGAGATCAACGAGGCATTCAGCGTTGTTGCATTGGCAAATATGAAGATCCTCAACCTCTCTGAGGATAAGGTCAACATCCACGGTGGATCTGTTGCACTGGGGCACCCGCTTGGAGCTAGTGGTGCGCGTATCCTGACTACTCTTTTGGGTGTCTTGCGTGAGAAAAAGGGGAAGCTTGGATGTGTGGGTATTTGCAATGGTGGAGGCGGTGCTAGCGCCATGGTTATTGAGTCCCTGCAGTAGATTGATTGATTGATTGATTGATGTTAATGAATGCCGTGCGGTAAAAGGAGAATTGACTTTATCGATATTTTTCCAAAGTCTGATTTGATTGATGAACAAAAAACAAAACATTTCGGGGTCATTGAGAAGAAAACAAAATATCACGTCCAGAATGAATACATAACTTAGCTTAAAGCATGGTTAGAAATACATTATCCCAAGAATAAAGCTATAAATTACCGAGGTATGGAAAGAAACCGGGAGTAAAAAAAGCGACCGACCTACGCAAAGGCTCCTACCAAGGCCATCAACGACGCACCAGCAGCAACAGCAATACCGGCCTCAAGCCGATTTCGTCCTTGCAGAACCTCGTAGCTTCTATCACTCAGGAAGTCCTCCGCAAGGAGCTCCACTAGCCCAGCAAATAGTAAGAGGCCACTACTGAATGCGTTCGTCAGTCCAACCATGAGCAGACCCGTAGTGCTCGCTGGATCGTATAAATTATGTACACCGAGTCCAATAGCTTGACCTATAGGCGTAGTTGCCCCGTATGCAAGAGCCATGAGCCACGGTCTAGGTGACGAGGCAGGGAACAGCGCCGGTATTAGAGCCGCTATGCGTGCGCCGAGAGCAAAGCCTTCAAATGTCTGGTGGAAGGATATAGCGACTAGAAGGACGAGGAAGTTTGCACCCGTGGCTACGGAGAGAGCCATACCGATGAATATGCTGTGGAAAAGAATACCGGCTTCAAGAAGGAGGCATTGAAGGAGTTGCTTTTGAGCACTTTGCTCGCTCATATGGCTGTCGTGGCTATGGTGGTGGTGATGATGGCCGTGATGCGTAGGGCGTACGTATTCCGACTCGTTATCGTCCGGCTGCGGATCGAGTTCTTCAAGATCAAGGTCCAGATCTTCATCGTCGCTTGCGTGGTCTGCACCTGCATCTCGACCATCTTGACCTCTTGCATGGCCATTCTGCATTAGCGGACTTGCTCCATCGACCAGGTTCTCCGTCGAGTTGCTAATGATTATCCTGGCCGGTGGATTCCGTCGTACTTTGCCCATTCGTACAGATGAGCCGTTCTCGTGTGCGTGACCGTGATTGTGCCCGTGCCCGTGTCCATGGCCATGACCATGGCCGTGACCATCACCTATTAGCGTATCATACTCCGATCCATGAACATGCCCAGCTCCCTTCATGGCAAAGAACATTTCAATGCAAACGACTATTAGCACCGCAACCATGGCTACCAGCCCGGCAAAGGCAGGATAGCCCTTATTCCAGAATCGCGGCAGACATGGGCTGGTCAGGGATATGAACGCCGTCGGCAGCAGGTGGACGAAGGCAGTAGCTATAAGCACGCCTGCTGTTCCGAAATGGCGAGACAAAAAGAGAAAACGGCGCGGGATAGGTAGTTTAGGGAACCGTCGAGCTATTATGGGAAACGCACAGGCTGGTTGATAGCTGAATGTTAGCATGTCACTATCACTGCATAAGAGGCATGTGGTGAATTGACCGTACCGAAGGTACTGAGGGTGAGTATGAGGAACAACGCAGCTACGTGGGCTGGTGTATTGTATGTGTTTATCTTCTTACTTCCGCACGACCGTCGGAGGTACTCTTCTTTCAACTTGTCGAGTGGTATGGCGTCCAGGCCGGACACTGCAGGGGCTATGATGAAGCTGTTAGTTCGAATAGCGGCTTCAATGGGTGTCAAACGGAGCAGGCCAACTCACCCCCATCCATCCTGGATAAATTAAACCGTTTTCTTTCCTTTGTATCCGGCTATTGATATGTATAGATAGATGTATATGTACGTATATCTTGGCCAGCAAGATATGGGCGTATATGTTGATTTCCGCTCTGCTGCACTTCTCCGTCTCCGCAAAAAGTTGTCTGTTGTCCACTTCAGGAGAGCGTATATGTAACCATGCGCCCGTCATGCAGTGCATGCATCCATAGCCCAGATATTCCGATCGATATCCCAATCCCAATGGCCGTATATCAGTCTGTCTGACTGGTTCGGTCCGTTGGTGTCAGTGGAGACTGTCGTAGGTGGAAAAGTGCCGGCTGCGCAAAACAGCGCCGCAACGAGAAGAGTAGCGAGAGATCGGATCTCGAGGTGGTAGAATTGGTATGGCCTTCCGGTCAAGAAGCGTGGGAATGGCGCTGTATTGTGCTCCTGGGCTGTCCTGGTGGTTGTCTGCTGTTCTGTGCTGTCTTTTGGTCGTGTGTCAAGTTCGGTCAAATCCAAATTTCTTGAAGTCACGGGATGTCACGGCATCCATGGAGCTGGAGAGAGAGCGGACTCAGTCGGTCGAAGGCGCAGATAACGTAGAGATGAGACAAGACGAGAGTAGCGAGTATCCAGCAATGGAGATTAGATAGCAGGCGAAATTGTTAATGACAGGTCGGAAGATGCCGTCTAATAACAGGGCGAGACAGTGGCCTGGGTGGTCATTATCATTATGCTGTCAGGGGCAATATCCAACATAAGTTGCCAGGGGCCTCGTTGCGCATATTGGACTACTCTACATATGCGTCGAGAGACGGAGATCAATGATACGATAAGGGATTTAAGAGACAAATTGTTCATTGAAAGAGTAGATACAGGATACAAACAAGAAAGGGGTTTCATCAGACAGCCGGATGTCCCGAATCCGCTTCATGCCTCCTTGAGAAAAGGAAAAAAATAATGTTGAGGGGGGAAAAAAGGATCATCTCATGAATTTAAAATCAAAGTAGAAGAGGTTAAAGGAGGTCGAAGCGGACACTGATCACCGGGGAGTGCCGATTCTGTCAACACCGAGAGGAAGTATGTATGTATGTATGTATATAAACAGAGGATGTTATTTGCAAGGCATGGATATCAAGATAACAGTATAAAACGACAACGAGAAAGAAAAAGAAACCGTGACGGGCTAGTCCGGGCTTCTAAGAGGCGAGAGCGAAGTTGTTGGTTTTCCCGTCGCTGGCACAGAGTTTCTTAACGTCCTCGGGGCTGAGGGTCTCGGGGAACTTGTCGAAGCCCTCTTTGAGAGTCTTGACGTAGAGGGTGCCATCGTCACCGTTGAAGACAACAGCGATGGTAATCGGTTCCTCTGGACGATCAAAGTAGTAGCTGGAGCCACCGGATAGTTCCTGTTTAGTGTGGTAGGTAGACTTGCAGCGCTTGTCACCGGGGGCGAGGACCTCGAGGACGTCGAACTCGCCGCATCCAGACTTCCAGCAAGAGCAAGTTGGGTCCATGGGGTACTGAGAGGTGCGGGGGATGTTGGCGTTGAGCAGCCAGATGGCGGGCATGTCCTTGGGGTCGTAGATAGATGAACCGCGTGTGCCAGTTAGGGGCATGGCAACCCTAAAGAGGAAAATCTTATCCTCACCACCGAAGCCGTCTGTAAATGCTAGTTAGTATATGGACGGCTAAATTGTTGGTATATATGGCGTGGGGGAACCTACGGAAGGCATCGGCACCAGGACGGGTGAAGCCACAACTACCACCCTCGCACGACTTGTCCGACATGATGATGAGCTCTTTGCCATCAGGAATGGTTGGGTCCTTGGGGAAGTTTGGTCCATCGCCCATACCGAAGAAATCGTCGTCAAGGCCAAGTCTTTTAAGGGCGGCTCCGAAGGCCTGATCCACACCTTTATCCCAACCACCATTATTGTTCAAGAAAGAGACGCCCTCAGCTTCCTGCTTATCGGTGTCTACGAGGGCAACACGTCGCCAGTCGCCTGGAGCAACATTGACGGGACCATGGGGTTTGGGGTCCTTGGGCTTGTCACCACCCTTATAGCCGTTGCTCTTGACCTGAGGTTCGTTGATACCAGGAGCACCAGGAGCAGAAGTGGGGGCAGCAGGGGCACCACCAGCGTATTCGTTGATCCAGGAGACGACCTGGCCGTCGATGATGGCGACGACTTTGTCTCCGACGGCGCGCTTCTCATGGAATCGCTGGTGGGAGTGGCCGTGACGGCGCTCGTGGATAGATGGCTTGAGCTCGCGCTTGGGCTTCTCACCACTGCCTCTGTTGTAGACAGCCATACTGAAAAGTTGCATGGGTCCACGGAGGTGAATAGACAGCTACTCGAGTTAATTAGCCCCTTTCATGCTTTGTATCTTTCTCTCTAGACACGTTCAAGCTTACCTCTTCGCCAAGAGGGCCAAATGCACCAGAGTACTCATGTTTCTCAGACCCGCATTTACCGCCGCTCATGGAGGTGACCAAGTCGTAGGTGCCTGAGGTAGAAAAGCCCGAGTATGTGATCAGGTCAACGGCGGAGCAGTACCAGTTGCCGCCATCATTGTTGCAACCGGCCTCAGCCGAGACCGTTGAGACGGAGGCTGCGAGCGCAGCTCCGAAGAAGAGAGAATAGTGCATCTTCTATATCGCCAGTCAGTCAGTCTATGTTTTTTCGGTGGCTGTGTCTCTTGCGAAGACTCACCGTGAAGGACAGACAGGTCGTATCGTAATGAGCGAGAGTCTTAAGGAGCGGATAAGGCGTTGTCTCAGCAACGACCTTGAAAGCAAGAACAAGAAAATGAGCGAACGAAAAGAGCGACGTTCGGTGGTGACGCTGGATGATGCGAGGATGTCGTTGCAAAGAAGAGAGAGAGAGAGAGAGAGAAAGAGGAAGAGAGGAAGAAGCAGAAAAAGTGGACGAGGCGGCAGTTTTTAAAAACGCAGCGAAAAAAACCAGGGGCTGCGCAGGGAAAGGAGACACAAACTGGTAATACGCGTTACGACGTTACCGCGTTTCCCGTTGGTGGGCTGGCCGGCGGGCGCAGGAGAGCCGCCCCGCCCGGGCCCCCTGACTCTCGTAAAAGCGGCCGCATAACAGAGAGGGGACGGCAGCTGATTGGCTGAGAGGGGAGACTTGCGTGGCCGCCCTAGGCCTGAAGCAGGACTAGCGCCAGGAACAAGGTTTTAATGACAGGAACCAACGCTCGGCCGGTATCAGGGCGGTATTTGATACGCTCGTTACATACGATACGAGACGGTTACCTGTTTCAGCCTTGACGAGGAAAAGTCAGCGACATAAAAATAGACGGAGTATAAGAAGAAGAAGAGAAGAAGAGAAGAAGAGAAGAGGACAAGTGAAGGGAAGAGAAAGAAGAAGAGGAGAAGAGTAGGAAGACAAAGCAAGGAAATGAGGCCCCTTTGTGAGGGAACAGCAAGGCCAACGCTGAAAACGTTGGCTCCTCTTGCTCGCTGGCTGGCTTTGTTGCTTTGGCGCCGGCTTTTCCTTGCTTTTTCCAGTACTTGAATAAGTCAGTCAGGGACGAGGGGACGGGGGGGATGAGAGAGTCAGCTGTGGGCCGCTCGGGGGGGTTCGCTTGTCTGCTGGGACGCTGCCTTGGTTGGCCAGACCAGATCGTCGCTGGTGAAACCTGGGAGGTGACGGGCGAGATGAGGTGGCGTGGACGCAGTAGAACGTGACGATCCGACGATGATGCAGTGGTTAGAGCATTCCGCACGGAGTAAAGGAGGTGATGACAGCAGTGATCGTGATCGCGGTGATCGTGATGGAGTGAGTGATGGGCGTCGAAGTCGTCGTCGTCGTCGAAATCGTAGTAAGGTTGGACTAAGCCCCTAGCTAACTAGTTGCTCGTCTATTGCAACGTCTCCCCTATATTTTCGCCTCTCCTTACAACTGCTCTACCCCTATCACCATATTAATATTAATACTGGGACTAGGATTTTATAAGTCATAATCAGCTTGCTTCTGGGCTTTGTGCATGACTTTATCTTCCATACAGAGTGCTCTGTCACTGATAAATACACCGAGCTCCCTGTGCAGTCGCCCCTCCAATAAGAACTTAACATATCCCCTGCCCTGTCCATCCGCTGTAAGCCGCTTCCATGTGCTTCCTGCGTCGAATCATCAAATACAGATGGTTGCCTAGAATGTACATGGTAGCCTAGGATGCAGGTGGTTGCCTAGAATGCAGCAGTTGGTATGTAAAGAAACTGCTTGCTCGCTTCTAGAGTTGCTTTCATCACAAGAAAATAAAGAAAAAAAAAAATCACCCAGTGAAAAGAAATAGAATCTGAATCATCCGCTGAGAGCCAGTGTGCAGTTCTAGGTGCCAGGTAAGTCATATCGTTCCATCAACCACAGCTCCCTCCAGCTAGAACCAAGGAGGGCCTCTATCGTACGGCATCTTCGTTCTCCAATACTGGGTATAGAAAGAGATGCCTAACGAAAACACAGCAGCGTCAGCCATGTGCAAAAGAACCTATAGTCGAATCTATTTTGCTTGTCGCCATATCCTCGAAATGCCCGGCAGCCTGATCCCCGAGATAAATTGCGGGGGCTGTGGAATAGAGAAGGGCAGAAATACCAGCGTTGGAAGCACAGTCAAACATACGCCTTGTGATGACTGCCAGGCTTCCGGCCTTTGGGCCTGCACACCCGCTGGAAAATGGTACAAGACTGCAGACGGTGGGCCAAAGAAATTTAACGCTGGCTATAAATTCCCCTGTTGGTATTCCTTAGCTTATGAACCTCCCAAAGAGTCACACCGAATCTGATGGCTTTATATTATAGAATTGCCGACGTTTGGAATATCCATCGCCTCCAGTAGGATGGAATTCGCAGATACTTGGTTATATGGTAGCAATATCAGCGTACGCCATAGTTGGTTCACTCAATAGTTAGGCTCAAGGACAACTTAGCTAAATCTTACCTCCGATGCGTTCGCTATACCTGCATATCATGTTCTGTATTCGCTCAGCTACTTCCGTACCGTCTGCCCTTCTGGTTATTCGTGCTTCACAATAAAACCTCGTTTCCTTCTACTGTACTATCTATACTGTACTAAGTATATGTCAATGTCGTGTTACCCAAAACGGCATAGCGTAGATATGTTCAAGAGAGCTGCTGAGACGATCTTCTTCGATTAAGGAGTCAAACAAAATCTCATCCAACACACCAAGCCCGACCTCTGCACGCCCATATATCTACAGACATAGGCCCTTTGACATTTGCCATGGGCTTCCGCTACTCTGATACCCTGGAAAAACATGGCTGCATTGGGGTTGGCGGCTATGCGTACATCTACCTCGTCAGCCCGACCATTGTGGTGAAAACTGTACGCCCTGACCGAGACCATGCAGAGGAGAAGGTGATGGGCCATCCCTTACACGGGGATATCGCTTTTTACAAATCTTTCAACGAGCGCCGTGATCGGTGTCCACATATCGTGGAATGCTTCCTTATGTTTCCCGACCATCTCTTCCTCTCATTCTGCGCGAACAAGGCACTCTTATATCGCTTCCATGAGCGCCAGGAGCGAGAAAATAACGACTTCTTTGGCCGTCTTATCCGTATTAAGGATTACGAGGACCCCGCGCTTATTGCCCGGTGGATACAACAGCTCACATCTGCGCTAGAATACGTGGAGAAAATGGGATTTTGCCATAACGACCTGAATACGTCGAACTGTCTCCTTGATGAGAGACTCAATTTGAAACTCTCTGATTTCGGCCGTGCTACTACCATTGGGCAGCTATTGGAACACTCTCGTGCTCCCTGGGCCATGCAGCTGGCTGCCGGGCCATTACAGGGTACATATGGTCTCTGCTCTGCTAGAACAGAGCAATTTGCAGTTGGCTCCCTCCTCTATTACATGGTCTACGGTCACAAACCCTATGAAGATATCGATCTAGATTGGCCAGAATTAGAATCTCGATTCGAGCAAATGAAATTCCCCGAGCTAAATCGTCATGAAATTTTCGATGGCCTTATACTTGGCTGCTGGTATAATGTTTACCCTACCATGGCACTGGTAGCATATGATTTCAAGCGCAAAACAAAAGACTTTGCATCAACCATGGAATATGAGACCACTGACCGCCTGCAGGAGAGAAAAACCTGCGAGGCGCTGGTACGAAAAGGGATACTGGGTCCCGAGTTGGCACTTCGCTACCAGCCACTCTGGAAAAAGTATCTGCATGCTTTGAAAAGTACGTTTGTTTGGCACTACTTGGTTGGCCTTCCAAGGAGAGTCTGGTTTTGGTCCTGGTTTTGATCCTGGGGTTTCGGCTGCAGGAAGAGGGTTTGGCACAACCTAGTAAAACAGACCATGTCACCATGTGTATTATTATATCTTCACTTTCTAGAGCAACTCTCCGTAGATATGGGACATGGCCCGTTACACATTCCATTTCTGCAGATGCGTACGGCGTAGCTGTTCCTGATCCACAGTTGGGATAACCAGTCATGTGATGCGACTCCCGCCCGGTTCACGCGATGGCCAGATCCGCGGATTTACTCGCTGTAGATCTCCTGTACAACAACGCCGACGACAACGACAACGACGACGACGACGACGACGGCAGCGGCGGCCAAATATGAGTCCTGGGTAGATGAGACGGAGAAGACGATGACGGAAATCAACAGATATCCGTACTTCCACCCGACCTGCCCACTCTGCCAGCACGACGTCGCCATCGAACACACTTCCAGCTATCGTCTCTTCCCACTACACCAGTCACGCTACTTCGACTCTCTCCAGGAACAGCCCCAGTACACAGACGGCCGTGTCTTCGTCCAGGGAGTTCTCTTCCAAATCAAACGGTTCCCAGGTGTCAGATACACAGACAGGGCGGTGCTCATCCACTGCCGCTGTCTCTCCATCATCAGCCACTTGGCGCCCGGCAGCGTCAGCCGGTTGCTCGACCTGATAGAGCCTACTTTCTTGCCCTCCTCGACAGGACCGGTAGATGAACACGGCGCTTTTCACCACGTCGATGGTCCCAATAATAATACCATTAATAGTGCAAGTATAGATATAGATGTCAGAAAAGGGATTTCTAAACTCCCAAATGAAGTATGGAACTTGATATCAAAGTATGATGTGGGCAGACTAGAGTTCATCGTCAGGCTGGCAGCCCAGCTTCAGCCTCTATCTGCCTCTCCCCTGCTCATATTGGACTCCAGGTTCGAGCTCGAAACCGTAGATGTACGCGGGGACACTGTCAGAATTCATCTTGTGCGGGTTGGTGGTCGTGTGTACATCAGCCATCTCTCAGATCCTGAAGACGGTGCTTCTACCCCTACTAAGGAGCATGATAGAAATACCCTGCCATATAGGGACTACCAGTTTGGAGACAGCACATTTCTAGCCGTCAAGACAGACAGTATTGGTGTGGTTGATATAGCTCTGGATGAAAGTGATGGTCGACCAAACTGGATATTCGACCATCCCACCGCCCCCTTTAAAAAGCAGATATCCAGAGTCAGAGATGCAGATCTACATAGGCTACGCCTTGTTTGTGATGTACCGTACTCTTATATTCCCGTTCAGACTTTTCCCCTACTAACCAATGTTCCAGTCAATGAAATGTCGAGCCATACTGCCCACTAACAGGGGTGGGATTGAGCCTTACTTCGACGCAGATAGTATGCCGCCGGGAAACTCATGGATCAACTCCAGCATAAGAGTAGGCTCCTGGCCAACACAGCAGTCTGATCCATCCACATACCTTGCCCACGCCACATATATCTCCTTCCAAAAAGCTCAGTCAGTCACTTTCTACACCGATCTTGTCCGTCGTGGCATCACGGAAGTATACATCAACGAGCGCCAGCACCGCGGCTACTCCGTTTCTTTCCCGGACGTACAGCCATCTAGGACTGTACGCTTGTCCGTTTGTCGCCGCGGTTATGGACAACAACATCCTTTCATACAGGTAACCGCGTTTTTTTTTTTTTTTTTTTTTTTTTTTTTTCTTCCTAATGGTACGTTATGTATTAACGAGCAATAGTTTGAAATCAACGGATCATGGCTTCCCGCCCTGCCACAGAGCGGTATCGTTATCCAGCAAGTTGTTCTCGACCACGTCATTGGCATCTGGCTGGGCGAGACGTTCCCGCTCCAACCGGTCCATATTGGTGTTGTGAGGGACGAGTCTGCGCCCCCACTACTGCCGGGTGACCAGATGCTGAAAGTTCCCGACTTATCCATGTTCACCAGTAGATGGTAGCATGTATGTCACTGCCTTGTCCTTTCTTCTAACGCTTTTTGCCCTCTATGATCCAGGTCTGGATATGGTTGAGTTTAATCTACGGAGTATTTTGGTGCGGGATCGGGGATTCGGGGGCGCTAGTAAAAAAAAAAAAAGATCTCTCGGTTGACCCACAGCGAAAACCACGCTTTGATCAATAATTGACTAAGGAGAATGATGAGAATGAAAGGTGAAGAGAAAAAGACCTCGGTCTAGACTTGAGGCGGTATGAGTTACGAATGATGAATTTCATGTACGATAGATACGACGACTTTTTTTGTAAAGAACGGCATTACACAGAGAGTGAAAAATCTGACATTTTTGCCTCTCAGGTGAGTATCCAACCAAAAAACGTCCTATATTCTGTCTACCACGTTAATAATACAGCAGTGGCAATATCACATTCACTCAAGAAGAACTACATCTCTCTTCTCACCACCTTCGCCATCCCCCTTCTGAGCCGGCCCAGCTTCGTCCTCCCACTCTTCCTCTCCCAACAGTTCCCACTCTGCATTGGCCATCTCGCCTAATAAGGTGGATTTCAATTTGTCTGCAATCTTCATGGGAGATGGCAACTTCCACGTTTTCATAAATTCCATTCCTTCCGATGAACCGAGGAAGGTATGTGCCGAGCCATGTGAGAAGTGACCGAGTATTGGCAGGGATCGCGTTCGTCGTAGGCCATTCTCACCCTCCTTCTCATATGTATTTGCGCCTGTGTTGGCGTCATTGTTTGCTTGTCCACTTACCAGGGCTTTGAGAAGTGGTTCGGGAGCAACTAGAAGTTGCCAGAGGTTCCTACCGATATCACAGACGTCTTCCCATGACTCAGAGCCTAGATGTAGACCCTGAGTTCGGCATAGCCAGGATACATTCCATGCTAGTAGAGACACGCCTTCTATGAAGAGTGCGTAGCCCGTAGGATCTTCCTTGGCAAGTTTAGGCAGTGACCGGTCGATGAAGAGCGGTCGAGGACGTGGGAGGAGCATTGCATCTGCGCTTCGGGCGTTGTGCATTGATTGGGTGGGAGAGAAGTTGGGTGAAGAGCTGAGAGAGTCCTGCCGGCATGGCATGTAAGATGATGAAAGTGTATATATCGCTGGTAAAGGATGGCCACGGTGAGGCACCACCACCTCAGCAGGGAGCCTCAACCCAAGATAATGCGATACCAATACTAGCATCCGGGAGAGATTCCCTAGAGATGCAGTTATATGTGCGGGATTTGCACCTACAATCCATGAGTTAGCGATATGTATATGTGAGCAAAGTGGTTTATGCTTACTATTCATCTGGCGAAGATCGACAATGTTGACGCCTCCAATGGAGAACTGATTCATCAAATCTCCCTTCTTCCGCCTCGTTCTCTGACGGAAGCCGAAAAGACTAGCTACCTCCCGACTAAGGTATACTCGTGACTCTACCGCCTTTTCGTGAATGCCGTTCCAATGTTTCTCCTTGCCCTTGATGCTCTTCTGGACGGTTGCCAAAGCCCGAGCCCGCCGGCTAGCCACCTCGTAGTTAGCTGATTCTGCATCGGATCGCCGCTGAGCCAGAGCTGCTCGTCGCCTAGCAATCTCCTTCTTCCCATCTGCAATCTCTTTCTCCAGCGTAGATATGTGAGACCGTATATCTTCCGTTCTCGAAGTGGACTGCGATATAGCGGTGCGCTTTGTCTGCATCAGCAACCTTGACGGTTCCGGCTCAACTCCACCAACATCCTTAGATAGTCGCGGAATATCACCGTCGCTTGACAGTATCTCTGCGTTCTCCCGCGCATTCCTCGCTATTGACGCTTCGATCTGCACTCCAGCTGCATCCTTGTCCAGCAGCACTCTCGCATGGTTGTAACGTAGCCCGTATAGCTGGTTACGGGCGCAGGTTGGGCAGTAAAATCCCAGCCGTGAACTAGGCGGCTGCGAACATACGTGGCAGCCCATATCAGGTAATCCTTAGCAGCTTCGTCGTACTTAGGCTTCCAGAGCCTTTCCAATCCAAGCAGGTTGTGCCTTTTCGCCGGACCCCAGGGAGCAGCGATGAACCACTGAACATGTATTGGGTCATGGCTTGATGCCGTTAGAAGCAAAGATCTCTCTTATTTATCGTAGTTCCTGGGGGTGTCTTGTCATGATATCAACCCGTGACAGTCCACAAAAGTGCCGTTTCATTCTCCGTCTCCGTGATCGTTGTCGGTGAGCTTCCAAGGTCGTTGATATCATCGGTCGTTGGCAGGCGGCGGCCCGATGATGTCACCTGATCCAGGCAGGCGCTCGCACAACTGCCGAAACCGTAGAGTTTGTCTTGTTTGCATTGTGCAGTTGGGTATCGATCAAACATGCCGAAAAGGGAAACCTTTGGTACATCACGAGCTCAAAAACGTCTGATATCAAAGATCAAAGTACTTGTATTTGACACTTGAATAGTTGGAGAGATCCAAAGAACAGAACAGCTTGTTGCAATGAACACGGACACCGAGACAGAAGATAGGAGTGGAACACCCGTGCCAGGCTCTTCTCTTGATCCAGATTCCCCCATGGTGGACTCTCCCATCTACCCCCGGAGCCCAAAGATCAACATGGCTTCAAGGGAGGTAGAAGAAGAAGAGGAAGACGACGATGGAGAAGCATTCATTACAGTTGCACCTGTGTCTGCACCTGCGTCACCTACTAAAGAAACTGTGATTGAAGCCATGGTAGAACCTAGGACGGAGCCCAGGCCTCGTCCAAGGAAATCACTTATACCCACTCCCAAATCGAAACACGTCCCTAAATACATACCTAAACAAACACCCAAACAAACAAACAAACCCAGTCCCAGGAAAGACGACGGACTCTCTGACTTAGCTCATGAACTGGAAGGCTGCACATGGGAACAATTGCAACAACGGTTTACTGAAGAGATGGACGAAAGGTCTAAAGCTGAAAATATTCTGCAAAAAGAGACCGCTGATCTCCTTGAAGTTAGTCTCGCTACTCTACTACGGTTTAATGTTTTGTTCTAACTAGCCTTTGTTTGCTTGCTGCGTAGGTATTCATGGCGTGGTCACAGACAACCACGTTCCGAGACGAAGATAGAGCGTATAAGAGGTTTGTGGAGCCTGTCTGAATGTCTCACCCGAACATAACATAGCAAACTAACAAAAACTAGGTTTAAAACTCGGATGGACCATGTCCAGAAGTCAGAAACAAACTTGGAAGAGAAGAAAGCACATTGTACGTCAAATCCCTGTTATGCCCGCAGCTTAGCTTTGCTAACCTGGTACAGATGCCAACGTGGTCAAGGCCTTTGAAAGCGCTCTTGCCCTTCTACGGACTGAATGAACCCTACAAATAATAATCGATATAAGATGAATCAGTATTTAATGTATATTATGAAATTTCCTCCGGGATTATGAATATGGGCATGTATAATATTGCCCTAGTTATGAAAGAAGCCCTCAAGGCCTGGTATGTATAATGCAGCAAGTTGTTCCCGCCTTTCCTTCCTTCCCCATCCTCCAACCCACCATTATAAACCATCCGCATTATAGACCATCCGCCCAAAGTTTCATAAGCCTCAATGCCCATCATGATATCCATTATCACGGGAACCCCTACCTGCAGCAGCAGGGTGTGGGGCGGGAGCTCGGCCCATGATATCCTCCCATGTAGCGCCAAACCTCCTGCCCGTAGAGGCAAGCAGTCCCTCCTCCTCGGCTTCCTCGGCGTCCTCGTCTAGTTGCTGCTCATCAAGTCTTGGAGTCCTGAAGAGCATGGTGACGAAGACAATGAGTGACATACCTATGGTAGTGACATTAGCGGTAACCCAATACCCGGTTGACTGAGGAGATGTCCTTACCTAGGAAAGCAAACTGAGCCCAGAAATTAACCATGCCAAAGAATGGATAGTTAAGCGTTATTCGGTTCAAGAAGACGCTAACGACGCTGGGTGTACAGACGTCCTTGGCCGAGTGGTTTTCTGTCAATTCAGAACAAGGCTTTACATCCTGAGGCCGGTGTTCGCAGCTTAAACTGTGTTCTCCATGGTCGGATGGAATGTCACAGAATGTCTGTGGGCCATAGGTCGCATACTGTGGCGCCACCATCATGGATATAGAGAAGTTAAGGGCGAGAATAATAAGGGCAAGCAACACAGTGGCAAGTAGTAACGCCTGAGGAGTGGTGTGCCCCTTTCGTATACCGAAAATTCTAACCCATAGGAATCGAATGCCGACGGTTGCAACACCAATAACAGAGCTGCTGAAAAAGTGTAGCACCAGCACTATAAAAAGTACATAGTCGATGGGGAAAACTTTCGCGGACTCAAGAAGGGCCCAGTTAATAGGGTTGAACACGTTAACCTTCGCAAGGATATAACCACAATTGTGTTTGCAAATAGAATTCGCCGCCTTGTCGATCCCCGTCAGCAGCATCGAGACCCAGATCACAATGGAAAGTAGGAGCAGGAGCAGCCCCCCGAGAAGCTTAATGGGACGAAATACGGCCTCTATTTTGTGCCATGCTTTAACTAAAAAGCCTCTTCCGTCACCTGCATTAGATTCCGCAAGGCGTTGTCGACGTCTTAAAGTACGCTCCTCGCGAACAAGCGAGTCAAGCTCTCGTCGCTCCTTCGATGATAGATGATCAAGGTTGCCTCCGCATCGCCCTTCGAGCTGACGCTGGCGTTCAACATTCTCCTCCAGCCTTGATGCTGTTGTGGCGTATAGAGACGGACTAGAGACCGAGGGAGCTGTTTTGATAAACGACACCGGGAAGAGTGCAAGGCCAGCTGAGGTATAAAGCACGTAAACAATGATTCCAATCATTGTTAGTAAACCCAGAGCAAACGTCAACGCTCTTTCGCCATCTAGAGTTACAAAGAAAGGTCAGATTAATTTGTCGCTAACAAGTGAAGTTCCGCACAAATACGCACTATTCTCTGTGAGCAGATGTTTAAAGTAGTCGAGATCAAGCCCTGCTCCAGCTCTATTTCGAGCAACCGGCACGAAAAATCCGACCAGAAAGAGAATCACCGTCACGACAAGGAAGGCAATCGTGTAGCGAAAAGCGCCCCAGAATCTTTTTCCGAAGGCATTCCAGTCCTGCTGTTCAGCAAGCTCGTCATATTCCTCGTACCAGAAGTACGTGAACGGAATAACGAGCAAGCAGAGGATGGTATCAAGCGAGTAAAGAGAGTAATAGACGATCGTGAGAGATTGCACGATACTGGCAACGGCATCCGGAGTTGCCCAATCCTTCCTCTGGCCCAGTTTGCGCGAGTTGGTAGATGATATCAAGGCAATGTCCACAGGTAAAAGTAAAACGGTAGCTAGCAAAGCTGACACGGTGAGAATGCACACGGCTGATACCAGGCCTGATCGCTCTCTCGGCGCCTGGTAAACATAGACAAAGACCGAAGCTATCGCGATCAAGATCGCGACAACAGCAGCATACACGATCCAGATCAGGCTGGACTGGAGAAGGGTCATCTTGCGGGTGCTGAACTGGCGGAGTATCTTTACACGGCGTTCAAGCAAACCAAATCCGTCAAAAATAAGAAGTAAACAGGCGCTATTCTAACATCGTTCATGCCGTCCGTTGAGGTTGTCGTTGGCGTCGTTCGCTGTTTGTTTCAAGCTTCATTTCTTGGTCAGTTTGTCGTCATAGTCACGTGATGCAACTTCTAGGTGCCCGCCCGCACAAGGTTGCGGCTCTTTTAAGCTCCTTCGATAACTAGTTAGTGAAGAAAAAGGGATATAAAATCTACATCCGCGGCCAACGGTCAAAAAGCAAGATTTACTTTCTTGCCACAGGTTTGGACACGTCAGGTTACTCATGGAAGTGCTTGCACAGCGTCATACTACGAACAGCCCCTCCTTGACCTTGCCTTTTTGACGCGTAGTTTGAACAAACTACTCGCAGAGGCGCCGCACGCTGCTTGAACAGGGATACCCAGGGTTGGATCAGCATCTTTCTAGGAAGCCTAAAAAAGGGAAAAAAGGAAGGGGAGATCTTTGAAATGCATCAAAAGCCGAATGGAATTCCCCAGAAGAAAGCTAAATATTTCGGTGAAAGCTCGCCTCATGATCTTAGGGACCTGGAGCGAAATGCAGCAAAGGCAAAGCAATGCCAGCTAGCCAAGGCTGCCTCCTACCTTGAGCAAGCGTTTGCTGGTATGAAGACTGCTTGGTTTGGGGGATGGGCAATGAATTTGCGTGGATCACTCCGGGAGACGCACGACCTTAGTCTCCTCATCCTCGCCAAAGACACGGCCGAGATAAGATCTGTCCTAGAACAGTACAATTGGTATGACATTGCTGGAAGTCGGTAAATCTATGGCTAAATTCAAAAATAGGGCATTGCTATCATTTCACCTCGTCTCTGGCACAGTCCAAGAGAGACTTTTTGTGGATATTGGAGAGGAGGGCCAGGTTGTTGGTGCTAACATCACACTTTCAGGTTAGATATACTCAACACCCAGTGCCCCAACAGTGGTGGTTATCCTATAATGTATACTGACCTCCGTTTGTTCACAGGCGCCTTAGGCACACCAAAGCTGGACGAAGCAGAATCTTACGAGTCTATAACCCCAGCATTCCCTACACCGCAAGCTAGTCGGGTCAAAGTCATCCATATAACATGGCAAGTTGAGACAAAACTCAACGCATGGTTTTCGAACAGAAAACTCTCCGATCTTCTAGACCTGCAATTCTTACTAGAAAATTATAGGAACGAAATTGCTAGGTGGAGTCAATTTCTAGACAAGGACATGCGAGAAACTTTCTACGCGGTCTACATAGCTGCAGTGGAGGATGAGGAAAAGTGCAAGGTAGCAAAGGAGACCCTCTCCCTGTAATACCCAACGACACCTCATTACGGAAAGCCCCCAAGCTCGTCCAACCTAACATATCCTATGCACGTAAGGAAGACTATATTTTTTCTGCTTTTTCGGCTGTGCCACGCACACAAGTGTTCGGAGCATATTAACCCCCTCCAGCTTATTCACTAGGTCTTTCATAGTCTATGAAACCATGCTAGAAATTATGTATCCAACCTGGATATTTTGCAGTGTTAATGTCAGTTTTGGTGCGTATATACGATAATAAACGGATAGAGGCAATATCTTCATACCTACCTATTCTTCCATGTGACAGAACGACCTTTGGATACAAATAACGATAACTCTACGTCTAAGCTCTTTCGCTCTATTCATAACTAGTTATTGATAGTTGGTGTTGCCCGGGTAACCAGTTAACATAATGACAAATAACTACACAATTACAAGGCCGAAGGGAAGACATAGCTATAGTAGAGCACCGATATTATTCAAGAAGTTAGTTGGTGGCCTAAGGTAAGAGGCCTTCCCGGGATAACATATCCAGTGTCCAGCATTTAAGTGCGGTACGATGAATGTTGTGAGTTATATAACCAGTCCATTGGTGGCTTTTGCTCATTAGGACACCAACTCTTAACAATTCTTTGTGATATTCAGGGGCTAGAATTCAAAAGCGAGAGCACTGGTGGCGGGATGTGGAGCATAACTGTGAAACTCGCTTAAATTAACCGACCAAAATAGATAGCTAACTCGAGTTTGTTTGTTTGCACTTGGAAACCCCAACATCAATTGAGTATTGTGTTTGGTGAAGACCCCAAAAGCAGGGGGTTCTTGTTTCCAAGCATCCAAGAAATAGCCATCTCCCGATAACTAGTTACCAAGCAAGCCTCTGGTTAAAGGACAGTGGGATAAGGCAAGATGCCCGTCCCGGTTCGCCTTCTTACTACCAAATTCTTCTATGCTACTGGTAACACCCCTGCGGTGTGCCTCACGCACTCTCTCCCGCCAGATCAAGATGTGTCTCTACTACTTCTTGGATGTGGTGATGTGCGTAATGTGCTTTTCACAGCATACGCTGACCTGGGATCAAGTATATCCAAAGTGCTTCAATGTCTAAATAAATATGCACCTACTAAGACATGATTACTCCAGGGAATCGAAAGGTAGACGTTACCTGTTGTGACCTGGAAGGAGAGATTATCGGTATGCAACCAGGCGCTCCTTGCTGGCCCCCCGCGTTGCTGATCCACAATAGCTCGAAATATGCTGCTCTACACTCTTATCATCGACAGTTCGGATGACTCGAAAATTGGGGATCTATGGAATATCTACAATAATGTTTTGATCAATGACACGGCCCTGACTCTATTGCGCAGTCAAGCAAAGAAACTTGTTGAAAATAGCAAGAGTATTTCGGACTGGAATGGGGGGAGATATGGCAAAACTCTCCGATTCTGCACCCAGGCTACGTATTCTCGTGTTGTGGAGATGTGGAAATTCTATGCCCTAGACCCCTCGGATGAGCTCTCTTTCAATGAGCAGCAGAAAAAGCTCAAACTGACCATACAGAAGGCCAGAGACCTAAAGAAACAAATTGTTGGAACTACACGAGTTGCAACCGGGATTCGCTCCGCTGCACCTTGTGATCTTTCTCAAATCGAGGAAAGCCATGATTTCTATGACCAATTTTGGAGAGAGGGAGCTATTACTCCAGATATGAGCTCTTTTATCAAAGCAACTCACATGAATCCAATGATTTGGACACAGAGTCAAAGGCTAGTACTTCACTATGGAACTCAACCACTACTAGGATTTCACCTAGCTGCCGCATACTCCCCCCTTGCAAAAGGATCCCCTTTAAACTATACCTCCGATGGCCTGGGTGACACACCCGCTGCTGTCAGGGCAGCATTCGCCCAATTCCGTACCTATGTAAAAGCATTTCATAATCTATCTTCAAAGTGGATTCTCCGCTTTGTATGTGCTGACGCCCTGATGTTTTGCCATACACTTCAGACTCAAAGGTGTGGTACGGCTACCCGTCAGGAATATAGTGATAACTGGCATTTTGAACCCTTTATTCTTGACCCCCATGAATACCCTGGACAAGGAACTGGAGCTCCATACTTATTCGATGCCGTTGATACTTCGAATTTGGCGGACCATCTTGGACCATTGAACATTCTAGCTGCAACTGGCCCCTTGTTGAAGGCAAAACCCACATCAACTATATCCACAGAGCTACTAGTTTCACGAGGAAGAGACACAGATTATCTCAAATCGCTTCTGCTAGGAGATATGGTGACTATCGGCTCACTGTTCAAACTCACTCCGAACCAATATTGGACTGGTGCAAGTGTATCCTCTAACTTCATGGAGAGAATGGTTGGAGTTATTAATAAGGACACAGGCCAGGAACGTTATGTTGTGCGATGGACCCGACTGGTCACGGAACCCATCACCTATGACCCGAAACAACTGTCCCGACTTATGTACTCAATATACCTTTCCATGTTTGAGGACGAAAACCCAGCCAATCTCCTGAAATTGAAGCAAAACAGGGTAGTTTTCGATGAGTATAAAGCCTACACGAGGGCAAGCCTTTGTTGTATTTTGCAAGCTTTACAGAGGTCGAATGTTGTGAATTGGCAGGCTTTCATTGACGAATTCTTCGGGCTAATAAATCAAGATTCCAACCTGCTTATGGGCGCTCATTATCTCCAAGAGTTTTATCTACATCTCCATCTTTCAGGTCTGCATCCGGCTCTAACTCTCAACCCTGGTCTGGATGGCATAACTGCTCGGTTACCACAAAGTGCCTTTAGAAATTGGACCAATATTCCTCCGGCGCTATCAGTCACATTAGCCATTCCTCATGAGAAGCTCTCATTATTTGTGGAGAAGCCAGTGAACAATTATGGAACCCCAATATGCCAGCTTGTGTTTGACTCGCAAGCCGGGCAGAGTATATTTGCGGATATTCAGCTGGGCTTTGGGGAAGTAAAAACATTAGGCACAAAATATACAGAAGAATATGCAATTGAAATCAGAAAAGATGAAAGGGGATGGGACGGGACTGCACCCCTCCTCGCTTCCGTGATGGTTCCTACAGCTTTGATTCTCCTCAACCCAGACCTCTCAACTAATATTTTCTTGGGGTTAAAAACCAGTCCTGCCACTGTTCAATTGGTGGGAAAACTTGGGATGAACCTGGCCATCCACGAGTCTAAATTAGCCAATAATGACGTTTATATTACCCGCTGTCGTCCTAATATGGAGCACCAAATGACAGAGCATTCTAAGATACCCCCATTGAAGAGCAGCGTGGTTCCTTCAGATTCACCTAAGCAAATGGATGGGGTGGAGCTAAAATTCCATTTGGAGCTCAGCTCTGACTGCTCAAAAGCCATGCTTCTTACAACGCGCCTTGATATCACATCACCAAAATATCAAGACATACTGCGACAAGGTGCTGCAGTTCTCGTGGAGCAGGTTTCCCCATACAAAATAAATGTCAGGTTGGGAGGTAAACCTTTCCACTCCAATATTCGCCTTCCATTCCCCGTATTATCGGTAAATACGAAAACAAGAATTGCCCGGAAGTCCTCTTATCTTGAGTTTATTGCATCGATAGCTTCAACTGGAGACCTTACCCAAAACCCCGACAATGTTTTCCCTATCGATCTCTATGAAAGTGGCCCGATATTGAGAAATCTCGATTATACTACACTCGACAAGTTGCCTATTCTCGACCTTAGGGACCCTTCAAAGCTAAGCTGGGTCAAATTGCTTTCAAGTGATATGTTTAATGATAGAGAAGGGAAGGAAAGGAATAAGTACGTAAAGGGCAAGATTTGTACTTCCTCCGATGTGCGAGTGGCATTCAAAGATACACTCTTGTCATTGTTTGGATATCTCAGTGGTGTTGGAACAAAGGCCCAAATCAACGCTTTCGGCCTCGACAGTGAAACAAGTGGCGGAGTGAACGTTATTGTTCTCATGTCTTCTTTAAGACTGGAGGCCGCCAACCAGAGCATGGTCATTGACGCGGCGGTGATCCCTCTTACCATAGATCTTGTCATGGAGATGTATTCAAGCCTCCATGACCTCACTAACCGCGGTATGAAGACACTCAAGATCAGCGATGATGAGCTCCGCCTTTGGAAACATGTATTGCCTGCCTTTGTTGACCGGTGCCGGACCTGGAAGCATCTGCCGTCTTGCGAGTATATGTCTACCGGCAAAATACCCCTTTCTACGGATTGGGCACAGCCGATACTTTGTTCGTGTGGCAAAGGTAAGTTTCCCAACGGCTATGAAATCAAGGGATTCCCGGAGTGGAAAGACATCAAGAAATACGCCACCCGCGTCGCCATATCTCCTTGTTACTGGGTCCCGTTCCTGGATAAGGAATTCAAGTTTGATGCAGAGGACGAGGAGCACAAGGAGCACAAGGAGGGCAGCTATAAGGATAACAAGGAAGGCCTTTCCCAGATAACACAATCGCTATTGCAGTCGATGGATTTGAAGAAGGGATCATGTTCAAATTGTGGAGGGAAGAAACCTGGAAGTGGAACGAAGTTGCTGCGGTGCAGTGGTTGCAAGGTAGCAGAGTATTGCTCAAAGGATTGTCAACGGGAGGACTGGATGGCAAGGCACAAATTGGCTTGTAAAATGATGGCACAGATGAAATGAGCGTGGCTAGCTGAATGTTCAACAGCTCTCCTGTGTCTAAGTCCTACTCCGTACCATCTGCTCAATATAGTGTCATGTTGTCCAGTGGCTGCCTTGGGCGCCTCCCATATTGTGATGGCTTGCTCACATAAACTCCTCCCGTCACGGCTGAATGATGGCATTGACTGTTCTGTATGTGCACAATTGCAATTGCCGAAGGTACCCCATACTGTTTCTCATAAACAAGCCTCTGAGAATGAAGACAACATCGTCACACAGATCTCCAGCTAGATTGATGATATTCCATCTTCGTAACTATAAACTGGGTAAACACATCGGCGCTAACGAGAACTAGCGTCCGGTACGTGTATCCGATATCCGGCTTATGAATATCATCTCTAGTGTTTCGGTCTAATGAAGGTCAAACGTACCAAGCCCCATTTAGACTCCACTTCCAATCTTCGGATGCTTTGACAGTCGCTGCCAAAAACCACCCCACTGCACGATAACAATACGTTGTTTATAGGCCGGGTTAATTGATTAGGAAGGTTAGTGCGGTACGCATTAAATAGTTGTCATATTAACTCTTCAATTGAGGTGGAAAAGTGTGTGTGTTGGAGGGAGCACGCCGTACCCCACGGCCCTACTCCGTATATGTGCTCCGTGAATGCAACGGCGACATGGCTCATGCGCGCTAGATAACGGGAGGCCAAATCAAGATCAGAGTCTGGGTAGCCGACCCGTTAGTTATAGATAGATTAAATTTTATATATAAAACCACATGACATCACCTGTTGCCAGGGGTTTCCGTGCTTTCGTACAATAGCGTGATGGGATTATATAAAAGCTCTTTTTATCTCAGCAGGCGCGGACAGTGTTTCAATAGTGAGGACGGACGTCACAGGTCCCTCCATTAATATGCAGCAACTGTGTTTCTGTGTTCGAGGTCTAGTGGCCGGGTAGGGCGCCACTCTTAAAGCTCTTCATCCATGGCGCCGGTCACCGTTATTGATTCAGGTGTAACCGACCAATGCAGGTTCAGCAGCGGCCATGGCACCAAGCTTCCATCACCCTGACCTTGCTCAGGTACCCGAGGAGTAACCCGAAAGGTTTCCTGAGATCAGCTGTGGAACAGGAAACATGACCTGCGTCCAGTACATTCAGATATCCGAGTTACTCAAGCCATGGGCCACAGTACTCCGTAGAGGTGGGTGTCGGTGGTCTGCCGCCGACCTGAGTCCGCAATGCCGCCAGACAATGGTGAGGACTTCTCGGACGAGGATATTCGGCCTGGACATATCCGTATCTCTCCTGCAAGGCCTCCGTCTGTAACTAAGCGAGAAAGGGGGGAGGATAACGGTCCGATCTGGGAGGACGGGATGAAACAAATCCATACGAGGATGCTCTCACACAGCTTCCTGGATAGTCAGCTCGCGTCCTACCGGGAGCTCAGGGCCCTGGAAAGGGTGGAGCTTGGATATGATTCCGTGATAGTCTGACTCAGACTCGCTGTGCAGCGTGCTTACTGAGCGTTAGCTGCGATCCCTGGCCCATATCAAGCTCCTCCGGCGGTGATTCTTGATGCTGCCGGCCGTGAAAGGCTGGCGGGCGTTGGGAGTTCGAGCCGTCGATGGAGGCCGAAAGGGGCAAGACACGTGATCCCCGGCTTTTGACGACGTCGACGTCGAGCTTCTTTTGCTTCTTTGACGTCTCGTAAAGACAAACGACGACAACAACCTCGCCATCATCATTATATTGTCGCTGTTTGACAGCCCAGCGCCCGGAGTAAACATGGAAACTTACGCTTGCGGGCGACGGTCCAGGATTGATTGAGACGGCTGTCCACTCAGACGCGTTTGTCCACTCTGCAGATATCGCCGGGACGACTGGGGGGTGGAGCATCGTCCCGCGTGGTGGGAAAAGAAGGAGGCCAGTTTTCCCCCCTGATGCTGAAGAGCATAGCTAACTACCTGGTCGACCTCCTTTTCCCTCTCTCTGGCTCTCTGGCTCTGGCTCGTTGCTGCTCTGGCGGCGAGTCCATGGCATGAAATATGTAGCGAGTCCTCTCTCGCCTGGTTGCGTGGCTGAGACACAGGAGCACAGAGTCTACATCTCCTGCAGCAGCATAACTAACCAACTAAGGAAAAGTCAAACAGAAAAAATAATAATAAATGCCGGAAAAGTTGCCTCTTGAGCACCGATACTTGGGCACGGCATGCACCTGCGCGAACTCACCGCTTCTGCTGGCTCGTTGGGCACCCTGCCAGGAACTTGCACGCCCTCCCGAATGGTCTCAAGCCACTCGCAAGGCGATCTCCCAAGTATTGTGTTGCCCTAGCGCTCCTTTACAGATGCATGACCGTACATAGAGCTACGCCTACATGTATATTATTATTAAGAAAAGAAGCAAACGGACCTGCGGGTGCCAGAACGGAGATGCTCTCCGTTTTACGGGTACAGACTCCTTTTACGCTGGATGTAAGTTTGCGCACGGAGGCAGCGAAACGTGGACGAATTGTACGGGATTGGCGACTCGGTCAACTTGACTCGGAGATGCAACGATGGCCAAACCATCCCAGTCCCTTGCATAATCCTTAGCTAAGGGAATGACACGCTTTATGGGCCACGGCTGCCCCCGCTTGTTCTGGAAGCCACAGGTCACGCAGGAGTTGGGTGTAGCCGGGCTCCCAAGGAGTTTCAGACCTGGCTTCTCCTTTCCCAGTGGCCCAGTCCAGGTGTCGCCAAAATAGCTCTGTCCTTCCCTGTCCTTGCCAGCCTGGGGCAGACAAACCCGGCTCTCTGTCTGCTCTTGTTTCCTTAGTCCGATTTTTTCCCTCTTCTCTCTCAACGTACTCCGTACATCTTGATCTTATTTTTCTTCATCTTTCTTCTCTATCTTCACCTGCTGGCTGCACTCTTTTCCTGCGCTGCTGCGCTCTAGTCAATCCTTTCTTTCACTCCTTTCCCCCCCTTTTTTTTCCCTTCCCATACATAGCCGTCAACTACTATGCGACTATTTGGATGAGGGAAGGGTCAAGACCCCAAGTTCCCCCCGCATAGTTATATTGCATCTCTTTCTCGGGCTTTCATTTCCGCTGCTTATCACTCACCCCAGCCAACTGAGTTGTCTCCCACACCAGCGTCACTCGCGAACCTCCAAAGATTTCAACATTTCTGATAGAGCATTATTCGTCATCTGGAGCACAGCAGCTCCTTCAGCCTCGTCAGACACCTCCTTAACCCCCTCGATTCGTATTGCATGTCCATACTGCTTTGATTGGCTGTCCGAGTTCGCCATTGCGTGCGGAAAGCAGTGCTTGATAGTCCACTCCTTGCTTTTGCTCCTGTCGCTCATTCTCCTAGAAGGAAATAAAAATCTGTGGTTTTCTTTTGGGCAAAAGAAAGCAATACTCGATACTATTTACTCAGAGGTCTTCTGATCATTCCCACCCTTGCCTATATCAGGATCTATCATGATACCCATCCACAAAAGGGAACCATCTGCACTACTTTTATGGCACTAGACGTGCATTCCAATAACCAACAGAGTTTTGTCATCATTAGTATCAGCGTAGCGCCGAAATATACGCTTTATGTGAGCGGTTGATTCCGTCACTAGAACTGGCCATAGCTCGATCGCAACAATGCCAGTTCGAAACCATCTGCGCAAGGAGGGACACCGAGGACAGCTATCACCGCTGTTTCCTCGTCATGAACTGAAGATATCGGGTCCTCTTCCACATCCCTTACCTGCCGCCTACGAGGCCGAGCCTCCTGTCACCCCGAACCTCTTGCCCGTGACGCCCAACGTCGTGGCCTTTAATCCTCCTTTTATGAGTTCACCCCGCCAGTCTCGCCAGCCTCCGCAAACACCAATTCAATCCACTCATTCTGAGACTTCGCGCCCAGCTACATACCATCCACATCCGTCCCCAGGGGCGCCTGTGTCTCATACCCACCAGGAATCTCTCTCAAGCAATGTTTCTAATAGTTCTACCATGCACCGTAGACGAGGGAGTACCCTCAAAACGGTGATGCGGAAGATATTTGGCCGCAAACCACGAGACGAGCTTGATGATCTAAAATCCCCGCAAGAGATTCCCGAAATCTATCCTCACTCACCGGATGTCGCTAGCCTACACGATGATGAAGAAGGTGGTGTAGCCGTACAACCTCCTGCTCGCTTTCACAGATCCTCTTCCCTCCCAAGCCTAAAAAATAGTATCCAAAGAAGCCCCAAAAGCTCGCTCCGCGGCTTAGGTTCTCCTTCCCAACCATGGTCCTCCTCGGAATTCCTAGATGTTCGGGTGCACCGGAGACGAGCTACTCTGCCGAGTGTTGCACTTTCTGCACACGACGCCCTGGAGCTTGCCTCAAAAATTGATGCAGCCGCTACATTTGACAAGAAAAGCTCAATCGGAAGCCTCGACGCTCTGGTATTAAAAGCCGATAACCACTATAAACGCCGGTCACGAAGTGCTTGCGGTGTGCGAGATACTGCGAAATCGCATCGCATGTCTCCAATTCAATGGCGACGGAGAAGTGATGAAATCAGATTTTGGAGGGAGAGCACCCTCAATGACTTTGCCGAACCTCGTCCCGACACTAGACCTGCGACATCTATATCAAGCCACATTGGCCCTGACGAGAAAGTTGCAGACGCAAGTGAAGAGTCCGCTGATTGTCCAATCGAAGAAGACGAATCTGATGACTCCGAGCCAAACGATGAAGAAGGGTTTGATTTCAAAAATTTGATGGAAAGCATGCAGACCGAGAATGAAGTCAGTCTAGCCCAGCGAGTAGGAACTCTTGAGGTCAAACTGATGGACTTGGAATTTGCAATCGCGAAACTACAAAACAGCAGTGCTGAAGCAAATACAGTCAAGAAGAAGGCTACAGGTTCACCAGTCCGAGGGAGACCCATGGAACCCATAAATGACTCCAGCCAGTTCATCAATTCATTCGTATCCACGCCTAGCATTACGCCACCTCAAGGATCCCCTGCCGAAATAGAACCGATG